TCTGCTCCTCCCCCTCCCACCCCCCACAAAAAACCAACCTCCCCTTATAATACAACTGCATCCTCTTCTTCGTAATCCTCGTCTGAATCGAAACTCTCAACGCAATCTCCTGCACAGCTTCCTGGCCTGTGAAAACAAATGGGAGACGTTTGCCGTTGGCGTCTTGGACGATGAGTTGAAAAGGTCCGACGGTAGGAGGACCCGCATTGATGGAGTTCGAGTTGGAAGTGGGTTCTGGTGGGAGGTCTGGGAGCGCTTTGACAGCTTCGATCGTGTGGTGGAGAGTTGTGGTTGCGAGGTTGGTTTTGGATTGGGACCAGGGGGTGTCGAGGTTGAAGAAGCCGGATTTTATGGCTGTGATGGTTTGGCGGGTGACGGGGATGGTTATTGTGATGTTGAAGGTTTCTGGGGCGGGGGGTGCGGGTGGGTAAGACATTTTTTTTGGTTCTTCTTGTTGTTGATGTTCGGGGTGGGAATGGTGGGTTCAATGTGCGTATGGGTGGGAGATGAGAAGAAGTGGGAGCAAACAATGCGGAACTTTTTGGTTTTGTGCGCCGGCGACATCACTTCTGGGTGAATAGGTCTATTCACCAACTTGCGTCTGAGTCGCGTTGGCACATGCTGACTAGGCGCTTGTGATGCTCCAGAGTTCGGTCCCAGGGCGACATCATTCGAACTCTGCATCAACTTCGCAAGTGCCGTGAGAGTAGAGACATGGTGGTCGCCAGGCTATGAGTGTGTAAGAACGGCAGTAGCTGCACTTTGGAAAGTTGCCTGCTTCGAGAGCTGTGCAGCAAAAATGAGCATAATACCAATGGCTGTTGCTGGACATCCAAGTTGAGCGGCAGGACAGACAGTGCACTTTTTAATCAAAGGGAACAAGACTCACTTGACCACGTTCACTTTTGGGCATTGGAGTGACAAGAAACGATGAGAAGGAGCGCACAATTGTTTCAACCTTTTGCTTTCATTTCCACAAAAATTTCTTTCACATGTATGAAAATCCCATCAAACTGTAGAGGTATCATTAAGAATAGAGAAAAAGGCCATCAGCTAGCGACAACATCCAGCCTGGAATCTGGCGACAAAGAGTGTGAGATTCGTTTCGACATCCCATACATAAACATATAACCCGAACGCTCACAAGTTCAATCTTGACCCTTCAATTCACGCTCGCTTCTCTGCCTACCGCGGGAATTGCATGTGTGCGCGTTCCATTCCAGGTGAGAGAGGTGCTTCGTACGCACCAGGAATGGGCACAGCATCGTACACTTGCTCGCCGGGTGCAGCGCCGAAGTGTTCTTGTTGGTATTCTCGCGGCGCTTCGGCCATGAGCGGTGATCTCTGATCGACAGGTGGCGAAGGAGTGCGGTCTCGTGGTCGGACTTCTGTTGCCACGGGCGTGAAACCCATTTGTTGCATCTTTGGCGTCGCGCCTGTGACGCGGATCGGTGGTGCTTGGAGTCTGAATGGAGCAGGTTGTGCTATCTGGTTTGCGTCGACGTATTGCACTTCGCCTTCTTCGACTGTTATGGCGTGCTTGTAGTTGTCTTGGTTTGGTGCTCGCCAGCCGCCATCGCGAGGCGAGAACGGGGCTGGAGTGTTGGGTGCTGATTGAGAGCGGAGTTGAGCCAGGTAGAGATCGCTTCGGGCACGGTCGCGAACAGCCATGGACTTTCGTAGGCGGCGCTTGGAGTAGAAGCGGTAGAAGACGAAGCTGTAGACCATGATGGCAAGGAGCTCGACGACGATCTCAATTATGGCACAGATGAGCGACCAATTTTGCAATTTGCAGACCAGCTCGTATGAGACATCGTCTTGGAAGAGCGACTTGCGTTCATTGTTCACGCATGACCAGCCCCACATGTCCTTGTTGTTACTGTTGTTTCTCTGGGTTTGCAGGACGGCTGCACCGACGGCCCACATGACGATGCTGAAGACGAAGAAGATAACGGTGAAGGCGGTGTAGTAAACTCCAGCCTTTTCTGCCTTTCGATGTCCTCCTTTCCAGTAAGCGTAGAATATGAAGATGCAGGCTACCAGTGATATGCAGGCAATGGTCAGCAGTAGAATTTGTGGCCAGGTCTTCTGTTCAGGCGCCCATGGAGGGAGATTGTTCCTTGGAGGTATTGCTTTCGTCGCGTTGAATATCGTGAATGTGGTGGCGAGCATTGCAAGAACGATCAGTGAGCATGAGAAGTTGACGCCTCGTAGGAAGAACTTTGCTATCCGTACGCGAGTCTTGACTTTCTGTAGAATTGTTAGTCGTCAAGTATGTCGTGGTGTTCATCGCGATACTTACGATATCCTTCGCTTGCTCCTTCTCCGTGTATGCTTCCTGCTTCTCGAGTACTTGCTCCTCTTTGAATGTCGGACTGAGAATATTGCCATAGTCTCGTGGTGGAGCACCGGGAGTCTTCATTGCACTCTTGAGAGGACTCATAGGTATCGTTCGAGCGGTCATGGGCGGCTCGTAGTCGGTGTTGGGCATCTCCACAGATTCGTGCTTGTTGACATAGCCAAAGCCAACATCGGCCACTTGAGGTTGGGCCATCTCGTACTTCGTAGGTGGGTCCTTGAACGGGTTGCGACCAGTCTTGGAAGGCTCAATGGGCGAGTTGACGGCGGTTGCCTCAGCGAAGCGAGCTGTTCGGGGTGACTTCAGAGAGGGTGTCTTGATGGAGAGAGTCGTGCGTGTCGTTGCTTGCGAATCTCCAGAGGCTGACCGTTCGCGGACGGCGAATTGTACCTCCTTCTTCTGTCCGTCTGACATGCTGTCAGATTACAGATACAAGTGATAACGTGATGTGAAATGTGCTGATGCTGATGATCCTCTACGACGACGGAAAGAAACAAGAGGCCAGCTCTTTGGTTGCAAGCAACGCAAAAGGTTGAATTAGGAAGGACTGTAGTGATGTTTGGAGACCAGCTGCGAAGAGAAGAAGTACAGGCTCGCGAGCTTGGGTAGGCGTCGATAGATGAATGGGCTGGCGGTTCGCACGGACGCATGCGCGACTGCACATAGACCTGCAAGAATGCCGGGCGCCTGCGGTAGTCGCTGGGGTGCTTTCCAAGTGCAAAGATGATGATGGAGGCTGACGTGGAACAGCGCTTTCGGGAACTCACCTCTACTCTTTCAATCGCGTGGTCTGGCCTAGCCGGGCGTCTTCTGAAGCGTGCTGGCGAGCTGATAGGTCGAGCTGTCATGCGGGTGTGGAAAGCATAGCACTCCCACTGAAAATAGCCGCTTGGTAACGATGCGGGCAGTGGTGGGTATGGGAGCTTGGCTCTGCCCTCTATATTATTCAGGTCCAGGCGAGGTTCTTGCAGTGCTTCGCTAACAATATGGAGGATCTTTCTTTCGTGAATCGGCTTGGAAACGTGAGAGGCGTGTCTGTGAAGGGAACATCTTCTACGATGAGACTGCCGCGAGACGGCAAAGTCATCAGGCTTCCGGGCCAGGAAGCCATGGTGGCTCGGACTGCTCGAGTGTTCTGTGTAAGCGCCGCGAAGATCACACGAAAATGGACGATTGGTGATGGAGGCGGTCGACGTGCAGCTGCGCTGTGGAGGACCCCTCGAGAACAGGGATCCGCCAGCAGTAGAGTTTGGCGCTAAAGTGCAGTGACGGCCACTCAGGAAGCAGGAACGCAGCTGGGCGCTTAAGTTAGCTCCAACCTCGCGAGAGTTTGACCTCGTGCCTTCCGCCGCGTCGACTTCACCACCGAAACCTGGCAGAAAGGAAAGGACAACCAGCAGCGGTGGCGACAGCGCGCGTTTGGCCCTCGTGCGATGTGCTGCATGTGGAAGACGCTCCCGATGCGTGGCAAACAAGCTAAATGCTGACTTACATGTCAGGCATCCTTCCAGCTGCACCATTTCTATTCTGGAGCGTACGAGGACAAAGGCGTGGCAGGCCATACACAGAGCGGAGCGCATGCCGCTCGTGTTCTTTGGGACGCGATGTGCATCCTACGAAGCACAAACGTGGTCGCTTGGCCGGCCGAATGTGCTGCACCGCATGCCATCAATCTGGGTTTGAGCACAGAAGCATGTCGCTACACCTATCCTGTCGCCGGAGTAGCCATTCCTGGCCTATGCTTTGGCAAAATGATGCGTCTAGGCACAGGAACGATGTCGTCCGAAGCGAGAGAAGTGACCCAGACCGCACCTGACGACTATCCATCTATTCTACCACCAACCTTCCCCATGAGGCAGTCGGATCGCGAGCTTGGCGGCCCTATCGTTGCACAACATCTGCACTGCCTCTTCCTCGTCGTCAACAGACATCTTCACCTGGACGCTCGAACTTGGCTGAAAGTAGCACCAACGCCAGATCAGCACTCTCGGCGCATTCTGGGACCAAGAAACTTCGCAGAAAGTCATGAGCTACGTGACATGTCTATTATTGTTGACTATGTGATCATCTAGTATTGCCTCCTCAGGATCTGTATGATACTCTTGCAGTATGCCATCATACCACCCATAGTGATTGGTGACTGTGGCATCTCCCACGCGAATAGTCGCCTCCCGGACATCTTTGGACGCAGCACTTTTCTTCCAAAACGTTCTGGGCGGGATGTATTCGACTTCTTCAGGCGGAGGCGTGCTCGAAGCAAAAGACGCCGCCTCTTTCAAGGAGTGACATCTGACCAGAGCAGGCGTCCCGGTCCTCTGTGCCTTTGGAGCATGCAGAGGTAGGCCAAGACTATCACCGAATCGCTCCATACCAACATCCGGACTGCTTTGCCTGCGAACCATCTCCTCATGGATGACGTCCTCGTCAGCAAAGTGTGAATGCGGAGTGGAACTCTGCTTTGCAATATTCTCAAGCTCGAAATTGAACCCACTCGAATCGGTGGCTGCTGCCGAACGGTTGAAGTGCCCTCTGAGTTCAAGATTGAAGCCACTGGATTCTGTCTTAGCCGGAGAACTGCCGTATGACGTTGTGGGAAGCAACCCATCAGCTTCGTTGTCCTCATCTACGAACGCGAAGGGATTGCCTGGGTCGTGATACCATGTCCGGCGGACACGGCGCATTGTATGGCTACCAGAAATCTTCATGTACCGTTCATCATTCACTTTGCGAGGCCTTGAAGGTGAGCTACTCCTGCTTGAGCTATGGCTAACATCGTCTTCTTCTGCTTCTTCGCGATGATCGTCGTCGTCTTGCAGATCTTCAATTCCTTAGTCACAGTCAGCTCTCGAACGCACTCCCGAATGGTAAAGATGAAACAGACACAAATGAAACAAAAATGAAAACTTGATAGGGATTCTGAACAACAACAATACACCTTTTCCTTCCTCACCACCTCCAAGGCAAGTCCAGCTCACCATATCAGCAGCCCAATCAACACCCCGAAGGAACCATTACCCATACCCCCCCTCAAAAGAACCGCGCCGCCCCACCCTCAGAATCCACCATATCATAATGAAGCAACTTACCTTCCAATCTCCGCTGATAGCAAACCTCACACAACCCCTGTCTCAAACTCTCCACCGGAGCAGCATAAGGACACCCAAAACACCTCTGACGTCCCTGACTCGCATCGGCATCTACGAAACTCAGATCAGAATCCACAGAATCTCTTCTTTTGTTGTGAGACTTTGAGGGTTTTGAGGATTTGAAGGTGTGAGAAAAGAAATGAGCGATGTCCTCACCTTTTGTTGTGGTATGGGTTTTGGCTTTTGTCTGAGATTTTGGTGGTGGTGGTGGTGGAGGGTGTCGGGGAGCGAAATCTTGACGTGAGGTTTCTTTTTCTTTCTGCAAAGCTCTTTCCCTGTCTCTTCGAAGCTTAGCTGCGCGTTCAGCGGGTGTAGGTCGGAGGTCTTTGGGAGGAGGAGTTGGAGGGCAATCATCCTCTTCTTCTTTACTGCGTCGGAACTGACGCTCATATTGGGATTTTACTGACATTAGCCAGTCGTCGTCGCGATATTTCGGGCTGGTAGCTTCGGGTACGCGAGAGCGTTCCGAAGAACTGCGGCCGAAGAAGTCTCGTAAGAGACCTCGATGAGAGCCGCTGCTGTCGGGACGATCTAGAGGAGTTCGTGGTCTGGTTTGGTTGAGATTGTTGTTGAACGGTCCACGATATGGAGGCCAGAGACCAGGGCTTTCGGAATATGCTGGCGGTGGTGGACTAACAGGACGAGGAGCCTCGAAGGGTGTTTGCGATCTGCTGTCTATTCCGCCTGTGTGGTAGAAGCCCGAGGAGTCTCGATAGATGTATGGAATCCGAGGCGACTCATTGCTTGAAATTGTGCGAGCGTGGCTTGCAGGACGATACTGATACTGCTGCTGTTGCTGTTGAACATACTGTCGTTGCGGTTGTTGCTGCTGCTGCTGCTGTGGCTGCTCACGCTCATACTCATACCCCGAGAAATACCAATCCATATCGTTCCTCTCGTCGAGAGAATAAGGCGATGCTTTTGCTGGTGGTGGTGCTGCTGCTCCACGCTCCAGGCGCGAGGCAGGCTGATCGTTCAGAATCAGCTTTCCGGTCAAGTCGCAGCGTGCGAGTGATTCGTAGTTCATACTTACAATTAGGTTGGTGAAATTGTGTTAATGGAGAAAAGTTTGAGAAAGTGGCGTGGAGCGAAGAGAGTAGGTGAAATGGCACCGGAAACAGAAGAGTGCTAGTTTAGACAAAGGAGACAGGTGCCGATTGATGATGATACTGCTGCTGATGCTGTGAAAGGACATCTTTGCAGACAATGGGATTTTAATTCTTGGAGTCAAGTATGCTCAACGAAGTCAAAGAAGATTCTTTTGTCTGGGTCGTGAGTGTAGAGAAGCGTGAAAGGAAAGACATTGCATTGTCTGACTTACAATCGACTGCAACGAGACGAGACAGCGAGAGCCGAAGCATTCGTCATCGAGTAAGACGATACCGTAAAGATTCATGTCTTGTTGAACTGTTAACAAAAATACCATTTCTTGTCTCTGCTTTGCTATACTACCAACAAATGCTAAAATTTGGACCTTGTTGACTCTGGACCATTTGTGCCTGCTCGATCACCACGTACCCGAGTTCAACTCTTTCGAGTGCCAGCCACGCTCGACAACAAAAAGTAACGATGTGACATCCGGTGTCTCTCCAACCAAGCTCACATGTCCGCCCGTTTCAAGATGCATTAAAAAGTGGAGCGTCAACAGCCTGGAGAGATGTTAGTGTTTGAAGCAGTAGAAAGCGGATAATTGTGTAGACCTACCCATTACGCAGTTCCCAAATTCACCCAACTCATAGTGCGAAAGCCAAAGTGCCAATAACAATAGACAGCGCAGCGAAGCCAAAGTGGCCGTATGATGAGGCAGCACCCTGGTATGGTGGTGGTGTGGCGCCAGTCTCGCCAGCTGGAGGTGGCAGACCGCTGCTGCCGGTGGCGACGCACTCTGGTCCAGGGCATTTCACAGTCGTGCTAGGCGTTGGGTATGGTGCAGCAGTTGGTGCAGTGACGCCTGGGCCAGTTGGGACGTTGCCGCCTGGTGGTGGGTTGCCAGAGTCGTCTCCGCCGCTTGGCTTGGGAGGAGTGCTGCCGTTGTCGCCTCCGTTGTCGCCTCCTGGTGGAGGGTATTGGCCTGGAGGACCGGTTGGCGTGGGTCCTACAGAGGTGCCGCTGGTAGCCTCGCAATCGCATGGCTCGGTGACTGTCACCAGGACAGGCTTCGTTGGCATAGCGCCCTTGCAGGCCTGGCACTCCTTAACAGTAGTTGTGAATCCTGGTGGCACGTAGTCTGGACCGTGGGTCCATGTAGGCTCTGGACCGTCGCATGTCTCGGTGATGGTGTGTGTCACTGGAGCAAGTCCAGTCTCGCAAATAGATTGGTAGACCGTAGTGTAGACAGTCGTGTGCTTTGTCGGCGTGGGGACACCCGAAGACTCATCGTGGTGGCACTTTGGGCAGTATGTAGCAGTGACACCTTCGGTGACAGTGATCATCGTCTCGATCGATGCTGTTGGGCAGTCATTGTATGTGACTGTGGTATATGAGAGTGGCGATTCAGCTGGGTATCCTGCCTGCGCAGACACGCCGGCAACAGCCAACGCTGCGGCGGCAGCTTGTGATCGCACCTTCATCTTGAAGTGTGGAGGTTGACGATCAGTAGATTTGATGGATCCTTGACACGTATGTTGCGACCGGTAGAATCTGCTGAGCGAACGACTGTCGAGTTAGAGCGAGCGAATGTGGGAACCAGCAGTATGAATGCTTGGAAGATCAGAACGAGTGATGATCTACCGGAAGCAGTAATTAGTAGCTGACAGACGAAAGCGACCTGGTCGACCAAGAGGTATGCAGCCTTATACTACGGCAACCGTTCGCGGCGCGCGGTGTTGATACGGTTCACATTCCTGGGGAAATTGCTTGTGCCATTCCGCAGCTCGACGACAAACAGCCCAATGTGGCAAAGACTCACCACACGGCAAGCGAGATAGCATGCCACTGGAGTCTGCTCTCCCGCTCTATTGTAGCTGGACTGGCTCGAGACTGGTTCTCATCAAAGTCTTGTTTGCGTCCCTCTGCGATCTCAGTCTTGGGGCCTTGCTGTCTTGATCGTACTGGCGACTTCGAGACATCAGATCCTTGGGGCGCGATGGGTCTTGGTCCTTGATTAATGCCATAATTTAATGGCTACGCACGCGTCCGTGTTCAATTCGCAGGTCTTTCTGCTGCCTAACGACGGTCCTCGCGCGCAAGTAGCCCGTCTCGATCCTCGGGTGAGCACACGACGCCTTCGTCTTTTTTTGACACGAGATAATGCCCCTTCATCGCACGTGTTCGAGACCAAGAAGAGTATGCGCGAGCGTTCTCATTGGTATTCTGCGGCCGCTTCCCGGATCAGTGGACTGAGTCCAATGGGGCGGTCTCGTCACTGACTTTCCGCATATCTCTGCCAGCGTGGCATGTAACGAGCGACACGCGCATCGTACTGCGCCCATTCGCTCCCGTTTGGATCTTCATCTTGTTTGCGTTTCTGTTCGGCGCCCACCTAAAGATCAACGACAGTCCTCCCTGCAATCAATGATGATGCTGATGTGAGAACCATCCTCAGGTTCGAAGACACTGTGGCCTACCGAAGGCAGCACGCACAAAGCAGAATGAAGAAAGTCGCAATGATTCCCACGTCCAGACTCATGTTCAATGGCTCGCGTTCATGCGACCCGAACAGTACTTGCTTACCTGTCTACCTGACGTCAAATCCGAGACCGCGAACGCCAGCCAGCACACGTAGACAAAACGCCGGACAGCTCGCCATGATCTCATCAGCTCGGCTCTTGACGGTCTTGGTTGTTCGCCAGAGCTCGATGCCTAGGCATGCCGCAGCGACATCGCAAAGGTAGGCGATGAAGTAAGAGAAAGCTCTTTCGGGAGAACTCGGGGCATGCGCTCAATTGTCGATCGCCGGGTACGCTCGCGGGTTGGATGGCCAAGACATCGAGATGCTAGCGATGCATCAGAAGACTACTGTAGATGGAATGATGGTTTTGAAGGAGAAAGAACTAGAAGCGCGGAAACAGGATGAGCAAAACGAACGCCAAGGCTCGCTTTGTCACGAAAGTGACACGCCCGCTCCGCGTGTTGAAGTCCCACCGCAGAGGACGCCGGACGGTAGAAGGCACGCTTGAAACTTTGGCCGACTGGGAAGGAATGATTTTTGAATCTGGGTATATCATGACTTTCATTTCACTGGCTTTTTGCCCTTTGCTTTCGACTCTCATGCGTTTACTGAGGGTCAAGTCTTTTCGCTAAAACCAAACCGCTTAGATGTTGACCGCAGTGCGGAAGTTGTTGCCTGCGTAGACAGCATTGCTGCCCAGCTCCTCCTCGATACGCAGAATCTGGTTGAGCTTGGCGAGACGCTCGGAACGTGCTGGAGCACCGGTCTTGATCTGTCCAGCGCGAAGACCGACAGCGATGTCTGCAATCGTCACATCCTCGGTCTCACCAGATCTGTGGGAGACCATGACGCCCCACGTCGCGCCATAAGCATCCTTGGCGGCCTGAATGGCCTCAGTGATGGTACCAATCTGGTTGACCTTGAGGAGAAGAGCGTTGCAAGCCTTGGTCTCGATGGCCTTCTTGATGAAGGTTGGGTTGGTCACGGTCAAGTCATCGCCGACGAGCTGGAAGTCGGTGTTCTTGTAGAAGTAGCTCCAAGCCTCCCAGTCATCCTCGGCGAATGGATCCTCGATGGACACGATTGGGTACTTCTTGGCGAGGTTGCGGTATTGGTCTGCGAGTTGCTCGTATGTGACCCACTTGCTCTTGTCGCTGTCTGGGTTCTTGAAGTCCAAATCGTACTTCTTCTCCTCGGTCTTGTAGAATTCTGATGAAGCAACATCCATGGCAATCTTGATCTGGCCAGTGTAGCCAGCAGCCTCGATCGACTCGGTGATCAGGTCGAGAGCCTCCTCAGCGGTTTGAATATCTGGTGCGACACCTCCCTCGTCACCGACGTTGCCGGCAGACTGGCCATACTTCTTCTTGGCGAGGGTCTTGAGCTTCTGGTAGACTTCAGCGCCCTGGCGCATGGCCTCGGTGAAGGTAGGTGCTTCGCTGTTAGAACTAAGTCAGCTCGTGTAACTCAATCCTAGCCCTCACTGATCGGTTCACTTACGATGGGACGATCATGAACTCTTGGAAAGCGAGACGGCCACCGGCGTGCGAGCCACCGTTGAGCACGTTCATGAAAGGAACTGGCAAGACGTATGGCTTCTTGGTGCCAGCGAGATCGCTAATGTGGGCGTAGAGTGGGACACGCTTCTCAGCGGCGGCAGCCTTGGCCACGGCCATGGAAACACCGAGGATGGCATTTGCACCGAGAGTGGTCTTGTTCGGTGTACCGTCGAGCTTGTTGAGGAAAGCGTCAACGGCGGATTGGTCCTTGACATCCAGGTTCTCCTTGATGAGAGCTGGAGCGATCTTCTCGTTCACATTGGCGACAGCCTTGGTGACACCTGAGTGTGTATTCTTGTCAGAATCGCCTTCTTACTTGTCTCGACAAATCGCATAATCTTACCCTTGCCGTTCCACTTGCTCTTGTCCTCATCACGGAGCTCGCATGCCTCGTGTGATCCAGTGGAAGCACCAGAAGGAACGATGGCGCGGTGGAGACCAGTTTCAGTGACGATGTCAACCTCGACGGTTGGGTTACCGCGAGAGTCGTAGACGGAGCGTGCGTGGATCTTGGAGATACCCATGTTGGCGGCCGATTCCTGGAGTTGCAAGTCAGTCAAGTTTGCGGTTGTGATGCGTTCGGTAGCGAAGCAAAAGCAGCTTGAGGGTCTGAACGAGGTCTGCCCCTCACTGCCGAATGGCTTCACTGACAGCGTGTTTGGCACGAAGCAGAGAGGACTGAGGGTGCATACGTACTGTCACTGTGTAGAAGGGTTGTTTTGATCAGTGAGTTGGGGAGAGAAAGTGCGTGAGAAGAAGAAAGGTGATGCGAAGAAGTGACAACACAAAATGTTTCGAGATGCTCGCTGCTCAACGGACACCCCACCAAGCCCACCACGACGTGTGACAAGGATGAGCCATCGGCGGTGCACGGAATATACCCGAATGCAGGCCCGAACTCAAGCGATCCATTCTGCATGCCCACACGTGCTCTGCGCTTCTGCCTGCTTTCCTGCCTGACATCGCAACAGGAATGGCCATTCTCTGAATGCAGTCTAGCTGAACACGAGATGCGTATATGCCGTGCTGTACACGCGCTGGAGAGCCGGCCACGGTACGCATTGCATGGCATGCGAGATCAGATCCGCCCGCGCAAGCCAGGATTCCTCGCCTGGCGCCTTCTCCTAAGAGTGAGGCGGTGACTGATGATCTCTCGTCATGCAGATACGCCCAGACGGAGGTGAGAAAGCAGGACGCAAATGTTGGGGTTGGGATATCACAAATGTTTTCGATGCCTGAGGCCTTCTCGGCGCGGAAGCTGCCGCGCCGACGATGATGGAAGGTGCGCCGCGCGTGTTTGGAGCCTCACGGGCACTTGCTACTGAGCTCGCATGCACGAGCTCCATCACTCACATCGCATCGCATCTATCAACCTTTCACCACTCTCCCGTCGACTGCTGATCAGCTTGCGCGCTACTGTAAAGTAGCAGTCACTACGACCGATACCAACACACCCGCCACATCAGCACCATGTCGGACCCAGAGAGAGATCATGCGCTGGAGGAATACAAGAACAGACTTCTCGAATCGAGGGAGTGGGAGGCGAAGCTCAAGGCGCTACGATTAGAAATCAAAGGCCTACAACGAGATTTCGATGTATCGGAGGAGAACATCAAGGCACTGCAGAGTGTTGGTCAGATCATCGGCGAAGTGCTGAAACAGCTTGATGAGGAGCGCTTCATCGTCAAAGCATCATCAGGGCCTCGATATGTTGTCGGATGCAGATCAAAAGTCGACAAGGTGAAGTTGAAGCAGGGTACACGCGTTGCGCTGGACATGACCACTCTCACAATCATGCGCATGCTTCCCCGGGAGGTCGATCCGTTGGTGTACAACATGTCGCTCGAGGATCCAGGACAGGTATCATTTGCGGGTATCGGTGGGCTGAACGACCAGATCAGAGAGCTGCGAGAAGTCATCGAGCTACCACTGAAGAATCCGGAGCTCTTCTTGCGGGTTGGCATCAAGCCGCCGAAGGGCGTGCTGCTGTACGGTCCTCCCGGAACTGGCAAGACACTCCTCGCGCGTGCTGTTGCCAGCTCGCTCGAGACGAATTTCCTCAAAGGTATGCACTCCGCAACCTCGCATTGTCATTCACTGCTAACGTAACGCGTAGTCGTTTCGTCCGCCATCGTCGATAAATACATCGGAGAATCCGCCCGCCTCATTCGCGAAATGTTCGGTTATGCCAAAGAACACGAGCCCTGTATCATTTTCATGGACGAAATCGATGCTATTGGTGGGCGGCGATTCAGCGAGGGAACCAGTGCCGATCGTGAGATTCAGCGTACATTGATGGAGTTACTCAACCAGCTTGATGGATTCGACTATTTGGGAAAGACAAAGATCATCATGGCGACCAACAGGCCAGATACCCTCGATCCAGCGCTTCTACGTGCTGGTCGGTTGGACAGGAAGATTGAGATCCCACTGCCGAACGAGGCTGGACGATTGGAGGTGCTCAAAATTCATGCTTCAAGCGTGCAGAAGGAGGGAGAGATCGACTTCGAATCAGTGGTGAAGATGAGCGACGGGCTCAACGGAGCAGATTTGAGGAACGTGGTGACAGAGGCTGGGCTATTCGCCATTAAGGATTACAGGGAATCCGTGAACCAGGACGATTTCAACAAAGCAGTACGAAAGGTCGCCGAGAGCAAGAAGCTAGAAGGTAAGACACACTGGCGTCGCCGCTACTCTACGACCTCTTTGACTAGTGCTAACATGTTTGACAGGCAAGCTGGAGTACCAGAAGTTGTAAAGGCATTGAAGAACATAGTGATGACTCTGCATAATCTGTCATTGAGCATGGCGTTACGAGGACAAGGCCGAGCAATGATAGAGCGCTTCGCGAGACCACTGTACTATATCAAGGAGTAGTTGGAATGCTACCACCATTCACACAGCATTCTATACCCGCGCGGCGTATTTCACCCAACGAGATGTACCAGAGCAGGAGCAGTGCTACAAGACTGACGAAAATCAGTAGTGTCTCGGTTCGTCACACACCATCGCGCTGGATCGTAACGCCTTCCTCAGCTTTGAAGATGATTGACTGCAACCGAACCACAGCTGTATTAGCCTCTGGCAAAGAGACGGCACTAAGTCAGACTTCACCGTACAGGAAACAGCATGCACTCCAATAGGTAAATGCCGTTTTCCGTGTCGTGATTTAGCGCGACTGCTCAGACACGTGCATGTGTTGGTTATGGAGCATCATTCAGCTTTCCGGCCAGTCTCCGGTCGTAGCTGCTGCTTTTTCTCAGTACTTCAGCTGCATGATCGTGAACATAATGCCTACCACATGACATTTTTCGATCTCAACTGAACACACCGATCACTTGTGCAGAAAACACGAGCGGCACAGGTGAGGGATTCCGCCAAGGCTGATCGCCTGCCCTGACATCACTCTTCGTGCATTCTTGGACTTCCGGATCTCGTGGCTGGAGGACGGTAGGATCGAACAACTTGTTTCTGCTCTTTCACATCGACAAGTTCACCCAGAAATCTCAAATGCTCTGCAGAGCTTGACAGAGCTTCAGATGGGCATTGTGAGAGCGTTTTGACATCCAACACCAACGTCGTCTAGACCCCAGAAGCAGCCAGGATTGGAAACAGGAGCGGCGCCTGGGGCCCTAGCCGCCACAGCTTCCACCCATGGACTTCACCATCCTCAAAGACGATGGCTACGGCAAGAACCGAAGAGAGGGCTCGACGTCCTTTGATGCGATTCTAGGAGCTTTCATCCCGACTTTCGTCATCTCTGTCATCTACCTGATCATCTTCACATTCATCCGAAACTACTTCAGGAAGACTTTCGCGCCACGAACGTACTTGGGAACCATTCCGGAGAAAGACCGCACGCCAGCTTCTCATGCAGATGGCAAGTCATGGCTTCACGACTTTCGTCGGCTTACGGACAAATTCGTCTTGAAGCACAATTCGCTTGATGCGTACTTGTTTCTGCGATTCCTGAAGTTCATCATCGTGGTCTGTGTTGCAGGATCATGTTTGACATGGCCGATTTTGTTCCCGATCAACGCCACTGGAGGAGGGAATGCGAGTCAACTGGATCGGATCAGCTTCAGTAACATTGCGAAGAACTCACACCTTTGGGCACACACGGTTGTGGCATGGACCCTGTTCATCGGGATTTTTCTGGCAATTATCTACGAAAGACTGAGACTCATTGGAATCAGGCAGGCAGCCTACCTGAATGAACCTTACTCTTCAAGGCTGTCAGCAAAGACAGTGCTATTCCTGAATGTTCCACAGGACGCACTTTTGCAGGAAAATTTAAACGAATACTTTGGCGAGGAAGCTAAGCACTCTTGGCCTGTCAAAGACACTGGAGATCTGCCAAAATTGATCGAAGAACGAAGTGCTGCTGTAGAGGAGTTGGAAAGCGCGCAGTACGACTTCATTCTGAAGAACACGAAAGCTCAGAAGAGCGGTGCCAGGACTGCGCCACAGTCCGATTCATCTGTGGAGAATGGAAACGGCCACTCTCAGATGAAGCATCGCCCGACTACCAGAAAACCATTGGTGGTCGGCCAGAAGGTCGATCGTATTGAGTCCGCGAGGGAGAAGCTGCTTCACCTCGAAGGACGCATCAAGGCCGTTCGTGCTGCGCCGAGCAGGAATATTCCTGGCGAGGGTGCGGTCTTCGTATCATTCGCCAGCCAAGAGGCAGCACATCGAGCATTCCAGCAAATCCGCTTTCACAAGCAGTTGCCAATTCAAGACCGTTACCTGGCTGTGCAGCCGAAAGAGGTTCTGTGGCAGAATGTGCAACTGCCAGTCGCCAACCGCCTCAGCAAAGCATCTCTCGGTCTGGTGTTCGTAATTGTATTCACCATCTTCTTTGCCATTCCAATTGGTCTTGTGGGAACACTCAGCAACGTCAGAGAGCTTGCTGACAAGGTCAAATTCTTGAACTTTCTCAATGACTTGCCAGACTGGATTCTGGGACTCCTGGTCGGTTTCATTCCTCCTGCTGTGGTCAGTTGGTTTGTATCCTACGTTCCGAAGCTGTTCAGACACATCGCCAAGCTATCTGGCGAGCCCACTATACCACAGGCAGAGCTGAAGACTCAGGCTTGGTTCATGGTGTTCCAGGTGGTCCAGGTTTTCTTGGTGACTACATTCTCCTCAGGTGCTGCGGCAGTCGCGACCAAGATCGCAAAGGATCCACGATCAGCGCCTGACCTGCTTGCCTCAAGTCTTCCAAAAGCGTCCAACTTCTATTTGACGTACTTCATCCTGCAAGGCACCACAAGTGCCGCGAGCAACCTGCTGGATTACTCCGAACTTCTCGAGTACCTATTCTATGAGTACGTCTGGAACAAGACGCCACGAGAGAAGTTTCAGACTTATGCTCAGATGCGCGGCACACCTTGGGCGGCCTGGCTTCCCAAATTTACCAATTTCTTGATCATTGCAACGGCTTATGCGTGCATACAACCTCTTATCATTGGGTTTGCAGCAATCGGCGTAGCACTGTTCTACTTCAGCTACAAGTACAATTTGCTCTACGTGAGACAGACCAAGATTGATACGAAGGGCGAGGCATACAAACGAGCTCTGCAGCAGATGCCAACAGGTATATATCTGGCTGAATTGTCCTTGATCGGTCTCTTTGGTGCTAGAAAAGCTAGCGTTCAGACTGCATTAATGGTCGTGCTACTCGTCATCACAGCTGTGGCAAATCTGGCTCTCGACAGAGCACTTCGGCCTCTGGAGCTATACCTGGGCGTGGACAAGTGGCAGGAGATGGAAGTCCCACTTCTAGCAGAAGAAGACGGCATTGATCCCAATGACGAGGCTGCATTGCATGCTGCATCGCACGGTCGCCGCCTCGGGCTCAATAAATTGCCGGGTCCTTTGCCCAGGTGGTTGAGCGACTTCTTCGATTCGATTGTCGCATCATCTCGAGAGCAAATGCGTTCCTGGCTTCGAGAAGATGATGGGACAGAAGGCGAGTCATACGCATTGAGTGACGAGGATACCCAGAAGGCCTATACCGACCCTGCTTTCACGTCCAAGACACCGAAGCTCTGGATCCCGAGTGACAAGTATGGTATCTCGAAGCAAGAGATCGAGCATAACGAGAAAGAGGGAATTACGACGACGAATGAGGCTGCAGAGATCGATGAGGATGGACGACTGCATTGGGATCACAATTTCGAGAATGTTCCGATTCATTCGAAGCCGAAAGTGATATAGTGTGAGGGGGGACTATACGGCAGACAGGACGTGCTTTTAGAAAAGTTGTATGAGTGTACGATAGTATTCGGAATCGATCCGGTCTCTGACAGGGTCACTGTAACACAAGTTGCAGCTGCCGGCAATGCAGGCCGCTTTCATGTGCATGTTAGTGGTGTTGATCTACCGTAGATTAAGGATTTGGGCCGTATATACTGTATAACTAGAACTATATACCCATCAGTATACTTCCGCCGCTAAACCAACTAGAGATATCGAGCGCGGGTAATAGTTATCTTCTACCTTTGCGCCTGCGTAGTGCCCTGCAAACGCATAAGTATAGGGCAATTCGACTATAGAGATTAAAAGTATATATGTTCGCAGAAGCCGGGAATTAGAATCTTCGAACTCTCGCGATATTCTACCTCGCCGTCGCTGCGTCACTTACATTACATTTATAGTATATATAAGCTAGAGGGTCAAAACCGCAGTATATACGAATCTATATCGTATGTATTGCAGGACCCACCCTGTAGGCAACACCACTAGTGCATGTGCATGTCCTCCCCGTCCGACGGATGCTGTAACACATACCCGATGGAAGATCTGGCCATGAAGGCGGCTTCCATAGTCCAAAGTTGAGAGGAAATGCAATGCTTGGGTGATTTCGAGAAGCAGAAGGACATACAATCCCTCTGTGATCTGCTATCTGATCGATTGTTTCTGTTCGTCACCTGACGGTCGACAAACAAAGCTCATGCCAAGCATTGAACCTGACACAGATCGCGCCATGGCAACGAAGTTTAAGCGCAACCTTTTCACGTTGCCCCGGCCGTTGCTGCATGTGAATTGCAGGACAAACTTATTATTACTTGTCGTGACCATGTCAAGCAAGCACTGCTGCTGCTCCCCGCGATCTGGCCTCTTGCCTCGTTCACGGCGTGTCGCGTGGTCCTCTTTCCGATATCAATTACAATCACAAACGTCGTATTGGCAAGAACAACAGGAAATGCGAAGAACATCCTCGCTGCTGAAGACCCATACAGAAACCAGACTCCGTACTCCACTGCACGTGTCTCCGTCTTGTGAAGCGTAGTCAAAGCACTCTGTCTCGACAAGAGAGGCACCTACCGAAACAAGTTCACGAGAGCGATCCCAAAGTGCGCGTAGTTTCCTACTTGCCGTTCTGCCATCCGCGACTTCTCGCGACCTCTCGCCCACAGACCACAATCTTGACATCCATGTCACCAACCTGAAGTTCTGAACAACTCTTCCACATGGACGCACTGGACGAAAAAGAAAGCGCAATCACCACAGTCACTCCCCTTCTAGGCCAAACCCGCCGAAAACGTGCCATAATCTGGGCACAAAAACACAAGTGGATTTCCGGAGCAATCATCATGTCTCTTCTCCTCTTACCACTCCTCGCACTTCTCGCACTCCACAACAAGCCCTCTCACGCGAAATGGACGAGCGAAGTCGTCTATCCTTCACCTAAAGGCTACGGAGCTGGAGATTGGGCTGCAGCTTACGAGAAAGCTAGAGCGATGGTTGAGAAGATGAGTAAGAAGGATATGAATAATATTACGATCGGATTCGGGAATGCAGGGACCGGATGTGTGGGAGTTTCTGGCTCCGCGAAAAGTGTGGAATTTCCTGGGTTGTGTCTTCATGATGCTGGACAGGGAGTGAGAGATACAGATGGAGTCAATGCTTATGCTTCTGGGATTTCGGTCGGAGCTTCGTGGAATTCGACGCTGGCGTATGAGAGAGCTGTGTTTCTGGGTGCGGAGTTCAAGAAGAAGGGTGTTAATGTGGCGCTGGGGCCGGTGGTGGGACCTATTGGACGAGTGATGACTTCGGGACGAAATTGGGAGGGGTTTGCGAGTGATCCTTTTCTTGATGGCGTGCTTGGTGCTGAGACTATCAGAGGCATGCAGAGGAGTGTTATTGCTTGTGTGAAACATTTGGTTGGGAATGAGCAGGAGACGAACAGGAATCCGATTAATGATGATGATGGGACGATACCGAGCAGCAGCTCGAATATTGACGATCGCACGATGCACGAGCTGTATCTCTGGCCATTCCAGGATGCGGTCAAAGCTGGAGTTGGAAGCGTGATGTGTTCGTACAATCGAATCAATCAGAGCTACGGTTGCGAGAACTCGAAGATCATGAATGGACTTTTGAAGGGCGAGCTCAATTTTCAAGGGTAAGTGGACTTGCTGGAAGGCATTTGCAACTCGCGAATACTGACTGCTCTAAAGAATTGTTGTCTCCGATTGGGCTGCGCAGCACTCATCCCTGGACTCTGCCAACGCCGGTCTAGACATGGCGATGCCAAATAGCGATTACTGGGACGATGACAAGCTCGCTAATGCGCGTGATGGGTTCGACGAGGCTCGGCTCGTGGATATGGCGACTCGGATTCTGGCAACATGGCTCCAATTTGGCCAAGACGATCCGAATTTTCCTCCTCTCGGTGTTGGAATGCCAGACGATATTCTCCAGCCACATAAATATGTGGACGCAAAGGACCCAGCTGCAAAGAGGTCTCTCCTACGGCAAGCAATTGAAGGCCATGTCTTGGTCAGAAACGTCAACAATAGTCTTCCTCTGGTGAAGCCGCGAACGTTATCTGTCTTTGGCTACGACGCAATCGCTCAATCTCATTTCAATCCTGGCACGGGCGACTGGACGCAAAATCGAGAAGCAATTGACCTTTCTCAGCCGCAAGAACAGCAAATCATGCGCAATCAACCCATGTCAGATGCGCCATCGAAATTCATGGGCACTTTAATCGTCGGCGGTGGCAGTGGCAGCAATGTACCTGCATACATCAGCAGCCCATATGATGCTCTACAGGCCAGAGCGTACGATGATGATACGTCCATTTTCTACGACTTCACATCATACGACCCTAGAGTCATGCCCGAATCTGACGCATGCCTCGTCTTCATTAATGAATACGCCAGCGAAGCATGGGATCGTCCTGGTCTCGCAGATGAAGAGAGCGACGATCTGGTTCGCAGCGTAGCATCGCAATGCAACAACACCATCGTGACCATTCACAACGCAGGTCCGCGCTTAGTCGATGAATGGATCGAGAACGACAACGTGACGGCCGTCATCTTCGCACATCTACCCGGGCAAGATGCTGGTCGCGCAGTCGTCTCACTACTCTATGGAGACACCAGCCCTTCCGGTCGTCTACCCTACACCGTCGCGAAAAAGGTATCCGATTATGGAGACCTAGCTGGACCTTGCATCGATAAATCTCAAGACCCACAATGCGATTTTGAAGAGGGCGTAAATATCGACTATCGCAGCTTCCTAGCACGTTCAGTGACACCGCGATTTGAATTCGGATTTGGCCTGACTTACTCCTCTTTCGAATACTCCGGGTTGAGCATCAATATGAACGCCACCTCGACTGCTGATTCGACCAGCACGGCTCCAGTCTACATCAACGGAACGACAGACCAAAATTCCAATCGCGATGACATGGGAGTTGGTGGTTCGAACTCTCTTTTCGAAAACGTTGGAATGATTAGCGCAACGATCAAGAATACGGGCTCTGTCACCGCAGCTGAAGTCGCGCAGTTGTATATTCAAATTCCAGTCCCAAAGGACAGTCTGGGCAGTAATTCGAATACGAGAGTTTTGCGCGGTTTTCAGAAGGTTGAAATTGCAGCTGGAGATGAAGTGAAGGTTGAGTTCGCGTTGAGGAGGAAGGATATCTCGTATTGGAATTCGGTGAATCAGACTTGGGTTGTGCCGAGTGGGGAGTTTGAGGTTTTTGTTGGGAAGAGTGTGCTGGATACGCCTCTTGTGGACACTTTCAAATTGTAGAGACAGCGGAGCTGCCTAGATGCGCGCTATGGGTTTATGCCGATATGATATGGTATGATTTGGATTGCCTGATGAAGGATGGTTTCGTCTTGGCCATTGCAGCAATAGATGAATAATGTCGAAAACCTCTACAGAAGCGAGGTAAGCTTTTAGACGATGTTTCGATCCAGGTGCCAGCAATACGTGCCGTACGTGCAATCCGATGGTTTCTCGGTTTCGCAAGCTGTGGCCTCTCAGCTTGCTTCCAGAAGTCTCTTGACTTCGGATCCCACAGTCGCCATCGCCCGACAGTATTCGCTCGAAGTCACCTCGCACTCGGCCGAAATTTGATTATGTGCATCGACCATGGCAGGTATCATAAAGCACCGCTTTGGAAAGCCTTTCTCCTTCACTCTATCCTTCCCAAGAGTGATAAACTCCCTTATCGTCTCCGTCAACCCCTCCCGACCACCTTCGACTGACATGAGAACACGCTGCACTTGGTCTTCCTTGCGATAGAGCTCGTGAGAAATTGTGATGACGGCGCGTTCGGTCTCGTTGCGGAACATGATCCCAGGGGCGCCGAGGAGAGCGGTGAAAGGACTCAGGTCAGGATCAGCTCTCCAGACTTTGCATATCTCGCGCAGATGGCGACGTGCGAGGCGTGCGGCCATGCTGCGGCATATGTAGTATGCTGGTTCGCCGTCAAGGGTCGCGAAAACGCGGTGGAGAGCTGACATATATCGGCGATATGTGAAGAAGACGTAATCGTATTGGAAGGTTCTGAAATTGGGTGGGACGTCTTGATTTGTGCTTACGGGAGCGAAGGCCTGGATACAAATGGTTAGTCGTTGGTGTTCTCATGCTGTGGAGTCGATGCGAACACAGCCTTACCTTTGATAATGCGGTGCTGAGCTCCACGGTTTGTTCTACCATCACAGATCGCTGACCATTCAGGGCAGCTAAGATTTTGTGCCGGACGTATAGCGACTTGGTCAGCAAACGGCGTAGGCAAAGCTCATCAGGGACATCACTAGCGCCAAGGTTGTTTCCACTTGAATATGTTATTGCCTCCATGACGGTGCTCTCTGGCACAGCAGGTTCCATGCCAGCAGCAAGGCATGCGTACTGATCGATTTCGATGATCGTGTTCCACAGACACTCCTCAGCTGAGATGGCCGCAGACACAGAGTTCTGATCCTGCGCGCGCAAGTGCAAGCCCAAACTCATTGCACTTCGGACAGTATTGCCAGATCTGATGTACGCGGCGGTTACATCTGTGCTCACGACCTGTTCGGCAAGGCTGAGAAGTGCTGATGCTCGGACTGATTCGACAGTGGTTTCTCCAAACCACGACATCAATGCTAACAGGCCAGATGAGATGTCAAGCCACCGCTCCACTCGTTCGGCCGGAATACGTGCTTCATTCGACGCAAAAGTCGCGTTGGCCAATACCATGACCAGGGCGCACGTTATCTCAAAGGAAGCTGAAGCATTTTGCGGCTCCGTAATCGAGTCCTCGAAGGATTTGTCAAAGGCGCAACGATCAACCAGCGCGAGAACTGTGTGCCAGGTGTCGTAGTACCGCGTGATCAGTTCCAGGCAGACGTTGACCGGAGGCAAATCTGCGTAAAGCGATTGCGCCGTACCTGACATGACGCTCGCCATTCTGCTTTTACGTCGAGCGACAGTTGCATCCGCTTCGGTATCAGGATACGAAAGTGCTTCTGCTCCCATGTAGATCATAACCGGATCAAACACTCGTAGTACACCAGTTGAATGTGTACGACCGCGTGAGTTGCCAGGTGTTGGGTTCCAAGTATGAGGAGGATATTTCGACTCAGTCCACACTTGCAGCTTGTCGGCCTGAATGATACCATGAATATATTGTCTACTTGCCTCAGCCTGTTCCCTTTGAAGGTCCATAGCCGCATTCGATGGATCAGCAGGCCCTGCATCTTGATGGGCGGCGGCCGGCTCGGTTGCGTTGGTCTGAGTAGTTGTGGCTGGAGTTCTGGAGGGTTGCACGCCATCGTAGCGACACTCATCTGCGCAGCCATGCTTCTGGCACTGGAGGCACGGCAATGTCTTGGAACATTTGACCTTTCGTCTGTGGCAGATGGCGCAAGAAGATTGCGGCCGAGGCCTCTTGTGTGGTCGGCGCACTGGAGGGTCAGCCATCGGTCATGCGATGAGAGAGGGAAAGTGCTCGAGGCAAGAGTTGAGGCAACATTGTGTTGTTTAACAGCTCGGCGAAATGGTGTCGCTGGGTTTTCGCCGAGCGTCTTGGAGGAAGCTGACAGCAGATGAGAAAACCAACGCCAGAGCCGGTGACAGGCCAGTGCTCCGAGCGTCAGTTGCTGTTCTTGCGGACTCCGTCCATGGAGACAGCAGCTTCGTCTGCTTCCGCTCTGCTATCGGGCGTGGTGGTGTTGCAGGCAGTGGAGAGTGCGGACGATGCTTTCCGTGGTGAGAAGAGAGGGCCAAATCGGCAAGGGCGGAGACTTGGCCACTATGCACACTAGTTACGTGGCTTGACAAAATCCACAACACCACGCTCGGTGTTCTCCAAAAGTCACGCCACAACAGGTTCACTGTTCGAGGTCTTTGCAATCATCATGAAGCTCAATCGCCACGGATGCCAGAGATGAACGAACAGAAGGTTTGCAGCTTCGGGCTTCATGATTCCATTGCAATGTGTCCGGTCGCTCTAGCTGCATTACTGGTGCGCGATGATAACAGCGTAGTCCGGTTGCCGCATGCGTTGAGCCGAGTATCACAACTTCACCACTAAACCCATTGTCAGCAGTTTTTCCCTTTCACAGGAAATACATGTAGCCTGGAGTCCATTACGATGGCAGTCGCAGACGCGCTTGGTCAAGACTCACCGCTTGCCACTCTCGCACTGTACGCGTCTCTCATCACAGCCATATCTTACATCGCCTACAGAACATATTTCGATCCACTCTCACACGTCCCTGGACCACTCATATGTCGACTCACAAGTTTATGGGTTTGGATACACTCCTACTTGGGAGACGAATGTCGCCAAATCGACTCACTTCACGCAAAATACGGACCTGTGGTCAGAATAGCACCAAATGAGGTTGTGTTTTCTGAAGGAGAGGCGCTGGGCCCAATCTACTCCGAGAAGGGCGGGTTTCTCAAATCACCGGCGTACGCGAACTTCGACTTCGAGGGGCATCAGACTATCTTCAGCGCTCGCGATCCAGCCCATCGCGCCAAGAGGAGCAAGGCAGTCGTGCCCATGTTCAGCACGGCAGCCATACGATCGAATGTTGACACGATCGAGGGTTGCATTGACCAATTCGTGAAACGCCTTCAAAGTGAAGTCGCAAAAGCACGCTCGCGAGCGAAGGAGACCGGAAACTCGCATCCTGTCGATGTGCTCAACCTCACTCGTGGCCTGGCACTAGATGCTGTCACTTCGTACTTGTTCGGCAAGTCTTACGATGGCTGCAACGAGAAGACTTCAAGACTCTCCGCTTCCATGTTCGTTGACTCGGTCGTATCATTTGGACGCTTCTTCTACCTACCAAACTACCTCTTCGGCCACGTCTTCACCATCTGCCAAAAACTCTTCCCTCCATCCCCTGAAGAGAACGAAAGCATCGAAAAGGTCGACACCTTCACCAAACCCCTAACCCACAACCCCCCATTCGAAAACCTCTACCAAACCCGCCTCCTAAACTCCGGCATCACCCCCGAAGAAACCAACATCCAAATGCAAGACGTAATCTTCGCCGGCACAAACACAACAGGCACAAACCTCGCCCTCCTCCTCTGGAACCTCACAAACCACCCCTCCGTCCTCCAAAAACTCCACCAAGAACTCCACGAAGCCTCAACCACCGACCCCTCCACCCTCCCCTACCTCAACGCAACCATAAAAGAAACCCTCCGCCTCTCCATGGCAAACCCAACACGTTTCCCCCGCATCGTCCCACCTTCAGGCTGGACTTACACTTCCCCTTCCACATCCAAAACTTACCACCTCCCGAGTGGAACACAAGTCGGTCTACAACCTTGGACTCTACATTTCAATCCTTCTGTCTTTCCCGATCCGCATACTTTCAATCCTGATCGCTGGCTGGATCCTACGAAAGAAATGCTACGAGATTGGATTCCTTTTAATATTGGAGCGCGACAATGTATTGCGAGGAATTTGGCTATGACGGAATTACTTTTGACGGCGAGGGCGGCTGTGAAGGAGGGGGTTTTAAGAGGGGCGAGGGTGGTGAGGGGAAAGATTGAGGTGGTGGAGTGGTTTAATGCGAAGATTGTGGGGAAGAAGGTGGAGTTGGTTTGGGATTGAATGAGTGCAGAACTAGCACATACGGCTGATGTGCTTGAATGAACGTTGGTGATACCTTAGTGCAGTGACTTTGTGACTTTGCACAAAAATTTGTGCATTCCATACCTTTCTTAGGGTTACAGGCTCCTTAGGGTAGACTACCGCCGGCGACGACGTGATAGTCGAATCGGCCAAATGAACACTCTAATGGACTCATGCTAGCTCCATCATAACATCTAGCAAGTTATATCGTGTTTATGTAAGCACAGCATGCACAATTCGATCTCTTCTGAATTTGTCCCCAGATGAAATTCGCAGCTCGACCTTCCGGGAAACTGGCACACAGCCACACTTTCTTTGATACCCGGTCTCAAGAAGTCCGTAAGAACGATGAGCACGCACGACGATACTCTCCTCTACATTAGGAATCGAAGGCGACGCCTCTAAAATCCCACTCGCGTGCTGGTCTGGTTGCGGCCAGGAGAGACGAGAGTCAGCGCAGCATAAAAGCCATCACTACTCGCCCGGTTTCCCAAATTCCCAACGAAGAGCGAGGGGACCCGACGACAGAAACTCACAACCACCTGATGCGGGAAAAAGAGGAAGGCACACGAAGTTACAATGTTGAATATGTTTTCATTGAAACTCAATTAAGAGTCCAGAGAAGCTGAGGTGATGAATCTACTTGGTTGGCCTAGCAGTGCATCTCCGCCACATGCAACCTGCAACTTTCTCGGCCCATTTTCCTCTTCAACAGTGGATCGCCGTACCCAGCGGTAACGGCCCACAAAACGTGTACAACTCAGAGACAGACAACCCTCTTCATGCTCGAGGCCCAGAACGCGTTCATCCATCGCCCGGGCGAACCCCCCCACCACGTCCGTCCTCCTACTGCGCCATTGATGCAGGCAGACTTCGAGGGCTGTTCTGAGGCATACTCAACGCGCCCGGACTCTGCATTCCTCCATTATTGCCCACGGTATTGACGCTTCCCGACGAGCTCAGTCTCTGCATTTGTGGCGTGTTGGAACGCGATACTGGTCGCTGTCCGTTGGCGCCTGCCACCTGCGACATTTGATTGACATTCTGGTACGGCGACTGCCCCGGAGACGTCGCAGCCATGTGCGGACTGGCGTTGTTAGCGACGGGACTGCTGTACAATTGTGCGTGGTTCGCATTCGGGCTTTGCATCTGTCGCATCTGCGGCATTTGCAACTGCTGATTGCGCATGAGCTGTGCACGATAATCTTCCTGTGCTTGAGAGGAATTGGTGTTCCCTTGTGAGCTCATAGCCGCACCGGTTTGTTGCTGGGTATTTGCTGCTCCGTTCACCTGAGAGTACATTCCGTTCACGCCATTGGCAACGGGACGCTGCACGTATTGACCCTGCTTCTGCTGGTATGCCTGCGAGGGTACACCTGCCTGGCCCTGGTTGGCCATGCCCGAAGCGGCGTTCATGGCGTTCTGCCGGGCTTGATTGCTAGACTGCTGACCTGTCTGCTTGGAGAGCTGCTGTATCGCCAACGCTTGGATTTGCTCATCCGACAATGACGGATTTGCCGCTCGCAGCTGGTTTTGTATGGCGAAGATTTGGGGTGTATGGCCGGAGGAGAGCTTCTGTGGTGCAGTTTGCGGTGTTGGGGGAGGAGGCATGCTGGGGGAGCCATTCATCTGCTGATTTCCATTGTGAGTCGAGTTGCCTTGCTGCTGCTGCTGCTGCGATCGCTGGAAAGCCGCCAGAAGAGCCTGGTTTTCTTGAAGCTGTTGTTGCGTTGTCGTGTGAGCACTTACTTGTTGTGTCGGAACGGTATTGCCATTCGCTACCGGGTATTGCTGACCAGCGTATTGTGGGTTTCTCATCTGCTGAGGGTGTGGCTGTGCCTGCAAATTAGCGTGCTGTGCCATTTGAGGAGCTCGTGCCTGCATCTGTGCTTGCGGTATGCCCTGGCCGTTCACGTGCGGAGGGGCGAGGTGACCGTTCCTCTGCGCCATCTGCAAGTTCGCTCTGCCTTGCTGCGACGCCGCCATCTGTGCATTAACATTAGGGACTTGTTGTCCATTGACCTGCATCTGAGCTTGTTGCGCAGGCATGTTAGCGCCAGGCGGGCGTTGCTGTCCTGCAGCAGCTTGTGCTTGCGGGCCACCAGCCATCTGCATCTGCTGAGCTGCGCGTGCAGCCGCAAGCTGTTGTCTTTGAGCCTCAATGATCTTGGCACGGTGTTGCCGCGCTTGCTCAAGCATCGCCGCATCCCTCTCTGCACGCTTCTTGCTGAACTCCTGCGGCGTCATCTTCATCGAGCGGACTGGCGGGTTGGCGTCAGCTTGAGTCTTTCGTTGAGCGGCGGCACGAGCTGTTTCAGCTTGCTTCCAGGCCGCCTGCTCACGCTTCTTAGCCAGTTTACGGAAGCCTTCCACCATCCACAAGTATCGCGTTGAGCGTCGTTTCTCCACCCGCGTGGGCGTCGTCTTACGTCGCATGGGCACATGAGATGGCGCACCGTTCTGGGCAGCTTGCTGCTGAATGGCCTGCACCTGTTGCTGATAGCGTCGTTCCGAAGCCTGCTGCGCTTGTTCCAGCCTGGCATACCATGTCTTGAAGTACACCGTCTTGCGCATATCCGCAGGTAAGGATTCCAGGTCGACCCATCGTTCAAAGCATTCCCAAGGGGTGCGTCGCTCTGCAGAGCTCTTGTATCGCGTGCTCAAGCTCATTTCGTCGGCGATGAGTGACCAGTTGAACGAGTAGTCCTTTGCCAGCTTTCTAAGCTTTTGATCGTCCTCCCAAATCCATTGAGAACCGGCACGATATTCGTAAAATTGAGTGTTCGGCATCAAGAATTCAGATGGAGGTCTGAAAGCATTGTTCGAATGCAGCCGATCCCGAATAGGCTTGTTGACGGGATCGAAAAGAGCGCAATCAGACCCCTCGGGATCAGATCGAGCATTCTCGCGGAGTCTCTTGCTTTTCGGCTGGGCGTCAAGAAACTCATCCTCATCATCATACTCGTAGCGACTTCGTTTTAGAGACGGGCGGCTCACAGTCGGAAGCACTCGCCCTTCAACAAACTTGGAGACCGCTGTGTAGGATTGATTAGGATGCCTGCCCGCAAGATCCAGTAGACCAGCGTGAGGCAGTGTAGCAAGAGCCTTTGAAAGCTTTCCGGATTTATCAAGGCGGTCGATTGTGCCCTTCAGCTCTGGGGGAACCACTACGGTTGTGGGAATGGGTGAGCCTTCTCGTGGAGTGGGTGGATCAAGGTCGTCCTCGCGAGCGGACTCCCCGCCGTCAAGATCAGGAACAGATTCTGTGCCCTCATCTGTCTTCTTCACCTTTACTTGCATCTTGGTTCGCTCCTCCGCATCTGCATGGCACCAGTCCGCGCACCTCTGAGCTAACCAAGCACAGACACTTTTCTTCATTTGCCGCTCTGCCCGGAAGTCTTTTCGCATCCATCTCATTTCTTCCATCATGTGGTCGTGATGAGTGAATGGCTGCGGAGGCTCTTTCTGCTTCTCCATTTGTCGAAGCGACCATTTGTTTGCATTCTGAAGCTGGTAAATGCGTCTAAGCATGCGAAAGTCCAGTCGCTCATGCAGAGAAATGAAGTGATCATCGGTGGACAGCGCTTTCGGCACCATCTTGATGAGCTCAGGCAAAGTCCTAGTTCTCGAGTTTGGTGATTCGTGTGCCTGGATCCTGAAGAGAGGCTCCAGATAGTCCTTGTCGGGGTCATCTGCGGCACCTTTCAACCTCTCAAGTTGATCAATAGCTGAATCGATGTCGTCTGGCTGCCGATACTGTGCGAGTAGGCGCGGTGGACGAGTGCTTTGTGTCAGTGTTGAGTCCCGCCGTAATGTTCCACTGTTATCATGTTGGTGGCGCTGCGTGAGCGGTGAGACGGCCGCTGGAGAGTGCAGGTCTTTGCGAGAGGCCGGTGTGTTATCAGCAGACTGCGAGTGCGCTCGATCCTGGCCCAAGATTTCGGAAACCGACTTTTGTCGCATCGCCCCAGACGAGACTCTGGTAGTCATTCGAGGAGGAGCTGGGGTCACCGCGGGAGTCGATTCTTCCGGTTCGACAGGTGGATGCTGCTTGGCTGTGTCAACCGAGAGTTGAGGTCTATCGCGTGTGGAGACGGTAATGTTGTCCCCATCGTCTTGCATGTTGGTCCTGGAGGCTGCCTCTTCGTCAACATCTTCCAGAGCTGGTTTCGCATCCTTGACTGAAGGTCCCTCGACTGGCTCTTCAGGTTGATCCATTTCCACTTCACCAACCGCCTCTTCAGCCTCCGTCTGACGTGCGGAGTCCTTCACGTCAGGCTCTGGACCGCCGACATCCTCACGCGAAGCACGTTCCGTTGCTTCCCTTGCAGCTGCCGCACGTTCCTCCCATTTCAACTGATCATCAGGCGTTGATACATCGCCAAGCGCTTCTTGCCTCGCAATCTCTTTCTGTGCTTCCAATACGCGATCGTGTTCTTCCTTCTCTCGTATCTGCTCTGGCGTCGGCTGGAGATCTTTGGGCACTTCCACTGCAAGCTCCGAGTCTGGCGACGTATCTGGCGATTCCTGGGGAGCTTGGGGCGTAGCAGCAGAGTGAGCTCCTACCGTGGAGGACGGAGAGGAAGCAGCTTCTGCATTCGGAGCATGAAGACGCTGGGTGGACTTCACTTCGGGCTCCAACTTGCGTTGTGCTTCAGCCGCCTCGCGCTCCCGTAGGCCCTCTTCCTGGACCTCTTGCGGCGGAAGATGCACAGTCTTCGCAGGCGATGCCGGTCGCTGTTGGTCTAGGAGTTGCTTCGTCGATGCTGAGAGTTGAGCATCTTCCACGGGTAGTGGAGCAGCGACATCGACTGGCTGGGCGACCGCTGCTGTGGGAGACGCTTCCCGTGTGGCCTGGATTGACGGAGATGGGTAAGCACTGGCCTTGTTCAAAGCCGGGAGGGGTTCGTGTACTGTGGACGCGACCTCTGGAATGGAAATCGCGGTTTCATCTGCTTTCGCGGTTACAATGCCTTGTTTCGGCGCCGCGGCCGCGCTCGGAGTTCCATCGCGAGGCCCAGAGAATCCAGCGGGCGTACTTTCGAGTTTTGATACAGATATTGACGCGTCAGAAGGCTGTTGTTGTGGCGTAGAAGCAGGTGGAGGTCGAATGGCTAGCAATGTCGCGTCGAAAGTGCGGCCGCTTTCACATGTTAGCCAGTGGCGAGGGCACTATCAAGTGACACACACCTGGATAAGTCATGATCACGCAGAAAGACTGCTTCATCTTCGGTGACGCTGTCTGCACCGAATTTCGCGTTCACCAACGAGTTGAGGCTGGTGTTATCGTTGATGGTGTTGTAGACGGCCAGCAGCGCGCGTAGCTCCGCAGAATGCGACGATGCGAGCGACTTCTGTGCAGCAGGTTAGCATCACAACTCGACCACTTCGCATCGCAAATTCGCCAAACAAATTGCACCAGCGGTGCAAAATGTCGCGAAGAGCGTGCGGTGCGAAGATGGGCAATTGTGCTCACCAACTGGTCCTGTTTCGCCGTGAGTGCAGCATGGCGAAGCGACTCGACCGATGACATGAACTCGTCGCCTTCCAGTGCGCTGCATCTGTCATTCAGCAACGAACAACAGACGAGCGACGTGCTGCTGGGGGACGACGGGCGAGAATTGTGGGCGTCGGGTTCGGCGTGGTGGAGGATTATCTGTTCGTGAGACCGCGACGCTTCTGCTGGGTGGTGATGCGACGATGCTTGCTCTTGCGGCCTGCTTCCCCAGATGATAAACTGAACGTGCCTGAGGACTCCCGTCGGCCTTAGCTTGCCGCGTCCTGAACTTTTTTCTCGAGCGACGACACCACAAGCTTCCACGCAATTCCCAGAGTACAAATATGGCTGCGGTCAGTGGGAAGCGGAAGCGTGAAGAGGCGACTGGCAAGCAGAAGCCGGTGAAGAAGGCAGCGCTGTCGCCTCCACCCGCGACCAAAACTTCCGCAGCCAAATCTCAGAAAAGCAGCATCGAGAAAGCTCCTGCCGCGAACAAATCTAATAGCAGTAAAGAGAATCATACGGACGACTTGCACGTCCAAATCGTCACCGGATCGTACGAGCGCGTGCTCCACGGGCTCCAGGCGCGCATACCTCGAACAAGTCTCGGACCTGCGAAGCAAGACGAGAAAGTCACATTCTCAGACACTTTCCTTTTCGCAGCCCACGCCTCAGCCATTCGATGTCTGGCCATCTCGCCTTCAGAGGATGCGGATAAACGACTCTTAGCCACTGGCTCCTCGGACGAGCGCATTAATGTTTACAGCTTATCGACAGCACCTCCGCCACCTGGAGCAAAGCCAAATTTACCATCTCTGTCTGGAGTTGCAGCTGCTGAGAACCCTCGCAACAAAAACCTGGGAAGCTTGATTCACCATGACCGAGCAATTACACGCTTGCACTTTCCCATCAAGTCGAAGCTGTTCAGTGCTGCAGAAGATTCCACGATTGCGATATCACGGACACGCGACTGGACGATGCTGGGTTCTATGAAGGCACCGGTACCTAAACCTCAGGGACGGCCATCCGGAGACACGGCTGCGCCAGGCGAGATACCTGCTGGAGTCAACGACTTTGCGATACATCCGAGCCAGAAACTTATGTTGAGCGTAGGCAGGGGCGAGAAGTGTTTGCGGCTGTGGAATTTGACAACAGGAAAGAAAGCTGGTGTGCTGAACTTTGACATCGACCTTCTCAAGCAGGTCGGAGAAAGCAAATTCAGCAGTGGCGAGGGGAGGAGAATCTTATGGGACGAGGCAGGCGAAAACTACATTGTCGGATTTGAGCGTGGGGCGGCCGTCTTTGGAGTGGACTCAAAACCGAAAGCGATTATCAAGCCAGACCGGCCGACGAAGCTGCATCAGATGAGATTTGTGACCACGCAAGGCGGGAGCAATGTGCTGGCACTGTCCACAGAGGATGGGAGAATATTGCTCTACAACATCGCTTCTGCAGAAGACTCTGCAGAGGCAAGCAAATTGCCTCAACTCAAGTGCGTGGCTCAGCTAGGAGGGGAAGCAGCTGGCGTTTCTGGGCGGATCAAGGACTTCGAAGCACTCAACCTTCCTGGGACGAATGCGCCCATTTTGTTCGTTACTGCTGGCAGCGACGGTGCTATACGTCTATGGACAGCGAGCGCGGACGAAATCTCAAGTGAGGCCAAGGGTGCAACGAAGCAAGTTGGACGATTGGTGGCTACCCACGAGACTGGTGATCGCATGACTTGTTTAGGCGCGTTTGTGTTGGACGGGAAAGCGAGTGACGGAGTGGACGATGCAACAGAAGATATGGCGGATGCTGGCCTGGGTGCTGATGCTGAGGGCGATTCGGACGAAGATAGCGACTAGATGTAACTTCTCACAGATCGAAGAGAGGACTAGCTCGGCTTTGAGCATGACTTTCGCGATTCCCTGTACCACTTATGTGTTCAAGACTCTAATCGTAGCAGCTATTTGGGTGGCTTTTCGCCATGTATAGACGCTGCCTGATATCACGTCTGACAACAGGTGATGAATGTTCCTGACACGTATGACCACTCAATCTGCCGCCTGCGATGTCTCTCGGACGGTCTTCACGCAGCGTCGTCATCAGCAGAGGCGATGCTGTAACTCATCGTTCGGCGGCCTGCAGCACTTCATCTCGTACTGCAGGCAACGAGTAACGCCCGCCCGCGTGGCGCTGCCTCGAGGCATTACTATTCTTGTCGTGTTGTCGATGGTCACATGTCTGCGACAAGTGTGAGTAATGCTTTTCGCGTGAGTTGGCGAGTCTGTTGAGAGCCGGCGTGTTGCATATGGAGAGGTTGGCGACGGTGTCACAACGCGTGGGAAGCACTTCGGGATAGCGGCGCAGCAGGCAATCAAGAGCTGCGGATCTCCTGGCCTGGTGAAATTGCGATCGCAAACGTGGGCATAGATCCGCGCGCTGGCCGTGCGTGGCCAACGTCGATGACCCCTCTAGACGCTGTCGCTGGTGCGGACGTCGTCTTGTTATTTTCGCCATATTCACCTGGTCCTTGACCACAGCAATACCAACGACGACAGCAAAAAGAGTGGTGGTTCCTGGAGGCCCACCGGAGTCACATTGGCACACGCAACCACGCTAGCCTCCTGCCTCCATCCCACAAGATCGAGCGGCAGACCCTGACGACGACCTGCATGACCTGTGCATCTCTTGTCTCGTATCTGCCGCGCTGCACACGCCCCCGACTCTGCTCTCGAACGACTACTCCTGCTGTCCGCGACCCTCGACCAGCCATTGCAACCAGTTTCCCATATCCAGCATCTCCCCGCGACCACGGCCCCCACATTGCGCCGCCCACGTTGTGAGGCTCGAGAGCCTCCCCAGCCCGCCGGCTGACCACGATGGGCAACATCTCCAGCAGCCCGTACGATGGCGCCTCGATCTGTCTGAGCGATCAGACGCGCTTCTCAGTCGCCAGCGTCCACGTCACCAACTCGCGCGGCCAGACATTGTTTCGAGCATCTCCCAATGCATTTCCAGCGACGCGATTCAGCGCGCATAAAGACGTCGGCGATGACACTCCGGTGGACTATGTTCAGGACCCGGAAAGTCTTTTGAACGGCATGCCACCTTCATTCCTGTTGCGGTTATCGAACGGCGACGATCTCAACTTCCATTTCACATTCATCATCCGACAGCAGGCGAAGTCTGGCGCAGTGGGAACGGCGAATTCAAACAGCACATCACCGACAGCAACGGCATTCGATACTTCAATATCAGGTCTGACATATGTTTTTGCATCAACGCCCAAAGAGGTCGAGCACTTGGTAGTGCGAGAGTTCCACACAGATCCAAATCTGCACAAGAACCCCAATGTGCAGCTCGTGGGGGATTATTCGACGGGAGGTAGCCCGAGCGCACAGTTTAGCTGGTCATGGAAATGGCGGCCCCCGAAGCCGTCGGAAGATCGAGGGGGAGGATGGAGGAATAGTTGCAGTTTTGTTGAGTACAATCAGAGGTCGCACAAGCTGGAAACACTCGCAAGCTTCAGCTTCTGGGTTCAAAATACTCAGCGATTCTTCAGTGCCGCTCCACGGTCGCCGATGCTCGATCCCAATCAGATCACTATGCCGACCAGACTGCGAGTACCTTCCACACAATCGATCGAGTCGAGAGTCAGCAACGTGAGCGATTCTGAAGGAGAAGGCAGCTATCAGGACTTCAAAGACAAGGATATGCCCCAATCGCCAACCTTCGAACCTATTCCGGAAGATGGTCTGAGCCAGATTCCGACTATGAGCACGCAGTCAATGGCAGGACCAGTGAAGGTGGATCTGGCGACATGCAAGCCTGGGGAGGATCCATCGCTTAATGAGGATGGACCACTTTTCCGAGCCACAATGCGTTCGCTGGAGCAGAAGACGAGCAGCATGAGGCAGCGAATGAAGAAAGTGTTGAAGACGGCCGAGGCGGCGGAATCTGCCCAACAAGCATGCAACCAAGCCGTTGCGGACTTCATGAACGCACTACGAGATGCCGCGACATCGAATGCGAACGCCGTCCAACCCGCGCTCGATCACTATTTCGAGAAGATCGCGAAAGAGATATTACATTACGAGAAGCAGAACACAGTCAATCTACAGAAGCTCATCATTGAACCGATTAGCAAGCTCTACAATTTTGAGATCAAACAAGCAGACAACAAGAAAAGGGAGTTCGACGAGGAGAGCAAGGAATACTATGCTTTTGTGGGCAAGTATCTTGGCCAAAGAACTGAGTCGCTCAAAGAAAAGAAGGTCGTACGAAGTGACGAGAAGTATCAAGCCAAGCGGAGGACTTTCGAGCTCAAGCGATTCGATTATTCGAGCTTCATGCACGATCTCCATGGCGGGCGCAAAGATCAAGAAGTGTTGTCGCATTTAACAAAGTATGCTGATGCACAGGCAAAAAGCTACCTCGCGACTGCGAAGAAAGTGGAAGACATGATTCCGCAGCTGGATGCCCTCGTTGCGGAGGTCCGACTGGCCGATCAGGATTTCAAGCTGCTGCGCCAGGAACGAGAAGAGAAACGTCGCGCTTTGGAGACAAGCACGAAACTTACAAACGAAGACGGCAACATTGCTCCGGCTGGTGGTCTCTCGCACTCGACGTCAGTCAGAGAACAAGCTCGAGGCGAGGGCGTGCCTATGAGGACAACCAGCTTGAGTGGCGGCGCGGCGCTTTCGCAGTCTCCTCCCTCTGCAAGCCATATGAATGGGCAAACCATCGCGAATGGCATGCTCAACACACCCACCAGCTCAGTTGCCGCCAATTCCACAAGTCCCGCGAGCAAGTTCAAGGGTATTCGTGATCTGGAAGACAATTCGAGCACAACCCTCAATAATGGCGCAACTATGCGAAAAGAAGGACTCTTGTGGGCCTTGAGCAGACCCGGCAGCCACGTTGATCCGAAGGGCATCACCAAACCTGGTTGGCACAAATTCTGGATCGTGCTAGACCAAGGCAAGCTTTCGGAGTACGTGAACTGGAAGGACAAGCTTGATCTGCACATGGACCCGATTGATCTCAGGATGGCATCTGTTCGCGAAGCACGGAATGCTGATCGTCGATTCTGCTTCGAGGTTATCACGCCGCAGTTCACGCGCGTATATCAGGCCCCATCTGAGGACGATCTACGCGCCTGGATCGGCGCCATCAACAACGCCTTGCAGAGCGCGTTCGAGAATAAGACCCAGCCGCTCCCAGCAACGCCCTCGCCCGCCAACTCGCATCGCAAAGACATTGCTGCAGTCTTGACGGGAAAGAGCTCTTCCTTCTCAGGGCACAGGCAGACATCGAATCCTAACAGGATCTCTGCTTCAGGCGCTGTGAGCAGACATGCGACGACGGGCGACAAGCCTGCATACAAGCGGATGGAAAGTGAACCTGAGCCTTCCGCACTTCTTCAACGCATCAAAAACGCCGACGAGGGCAACAAAGTCTGTGCTGATTGTGGATCCGACGCGAAGGTTGATTGGTGTTCTATCAACCTTGGTGTGCTACTTTGCATCGAGTGTAGTGGTATCCATCGTTCATTAGGCACACACATCTCCAAGGTTCGGGGATTGACTCTCGATACCTCGTTCGCGACACAAGATATTGTCGAGGCCCTACTCCTGATCGGTAATCGCGTTAGTAACATGATCTGGGAGGCTAAGCTCGACCGCTTCCTCAAGCCTTCGCCACATTCGACGAGAGATCAAAGGCTGCATTTCATCACCGCAAAATACAGCGACCGCACATATGTACAGCAACCAGCGGCGCCGAATACGCCTGATGACCTCCTTTTGACGAGCATTAAGAAGAATGACATTCAGGGCGTCCTCCACGCACTCGCGCTGCGAGCCAATCCGAATGCCCACGATCGCGTACGAGCGACGCATGCCGTATATCTGGCATTGGCAGCCGCCGATCCAGCTGCACCCGCCAGTGCAGCAGCTTCAAGCATCAGGCACGCTTCTGGCTCCTCGCTCTCGGGTGCCCCACGACCATCAAGTCCGCTCCCACGAAAGCCATTTCCCGTGGCGGAACTCTTGCTACAGAACGGCGCCGACATCCCAACAGAGCCTTCGCCATTCCCACTCTCCGACCATGCGAGAATGTATCTTGAGCTCAAGCGAGAGCAAAGATTAGGCAAGACCGAGACCAGCGCCGGCATGGAAGCCAATGGCGATAACCTGGCTCCATTACCGAACTCCGGCATGGGCTCATCCCCTGGCAGCCTCTCCCGCGATCGAGAAAAACTTCTACACCGCAACAGCAGCGGTCGACCCAAGAGCCGAGCATCAGACGCCATCGAAGGCTTTGTGAAGAAGTAGCATTTCATTACTCCCGCTGGCCTCGAGTCACATTGTTTCGATACAACGCTGATGGCTGCTAGTAGAAGCAGCAGTACTCTAAAACTCAGCGGCTCACCTGAACGTGCTATACGTCGCGCTAAATCGCTGAAGGCGAGAGTGAGCGCTCATTATATGGGCTTGGACGGCGCGACGGAAATCCTCGCTGGACGAGGAAAGACTTCTGCGCCTGTTAGCCCTTTTAAGCTCATGACGAGGACGCCGATTATGATGGGTATTAGGGAGAGGATTTCGAATTTGAGGAGGAGAGCGCAGTCTGATCCGGCGAGGCTGGAGTCTGGTCATGATGTGGTCGCGGAACGAAAGCTGAGTCTCATGTGAGATGATGATGGAGCTCATGAGGACATATGAGACGTCGACGAAGTGGAGAGGTCTGAGCCGCGGATAGTTTTGCGAGCCAGTGGCTGTTGTGTTTTTGGCGAGATACCCAACGGGAGAGGAAGAGAGAGAGTCTTGTCTCACTGTGTTTTACTTCTTCTGTTTTTTGCATTTCTCTCAGAGGAGGACGAGCAGCAATGGGATGGGTGCATGATAATGCATAATGGATAATGAAGATGCACGGGATTAACACTGTAGTGAATACAAAGATCGGAACGAAGATGAAGATACATTGAAAGAAATACATTTTGCACATCCCACATGATTACATACTTTCTTTCTCTCCCCATCCTCCCATCCAGATGCATTTTGATCACCCCCTCAATGGCAATACATGCTGCACTAAAGCCCCTTGTCTACAAAGCGGACACATAGGCTGCTCTCTCAACCAATCCGTCACACAACTCCAACAAAATACATGTCCGCACGTCGTCACGCTGGGGTCTTTCATCGGTTCCAAACATAGCGTACATTTCCTTGTCTGATCGCCTGAGATCCATTGCATTGTCGCTTCGTCCTTCAAATCATAACGCGGCCCTTTTGTGACAGGTGTATGAGTCGTTTGCGCTATACGTTTCGAAATCGCCTCGGGAGAACTTCCAGTGTGTTGTGTTTCGAAGAGGAGAGGAGTGTTGAAAGGGTTGGAATCTTCTTCTTCGAAAATTTCTCCTTCGATGGAGATTGCGTCGGAGAGTTCGCCGTTGGGGTCCAGGTTGGAGGAGTTGCTTCTTTGGAGTAAGGAAGTGCTGGTGTTGCTGGAAGGTTGGGTTTGGATGTTTGAGTATGTTGTCTTCATGTGCAGATAGCCTTGAACGACCATTTGGACTACGAGGAGGACTCCAAGAACTTCGTAGCCGGCGCGTTGGTCGTCTTCGGTGAGTTTGCGGGTGAAGACGTAGCGGAGGCCGAAGATGCGTTTGGAGAGTTGGTAGTAGGCGCCTGTGAAGTAGAAGATTGCGAGACTGACGGCGTAGATTGGAGCTGGAGATGTGATGGAGTCCAAGTGCTTGAGCACATATTCTTGGAATTGGTTGACCTTTTTTGGAGGGTTCTTGATTTGGGTGGAGTCGGATACTCGTCGGTGGTGGGCTTTCTTGAGTGTCTTCTCTAATTTGGCTCGGAGGCGTTTGCGGAAGGCCGGGAGGAAGCGTGTTAGGATGTAAGGAAGTAGTACGCTGGATAAGATGTAGCCTCCGCGTCTGCTGACGGATGGGAGGCGATTTGTATCATCTTCGACTTGTACAATGTCGCAGTATTCCTCGCCCAAGGTCCGATTGCCGATGAACGTGGTCAGGCCCAGATAGAGAAGCTCTGTGAATACTGAAGCTTCGTTGGACCATTTGTGCTCTGAACGCGTGCCATAAAGAGACCGTATCACTGCCGAGAGTTGTGTCAGAAGCACGGATTGGAAGTAGGCATCCTTTTGGTTGGATCGGATGATGTCTGGCGCCGCTGCCCAAGGGTAATTGAAGTTTCGCGTTGGGTCCTCGGATACAGGTTTACTGCTATCACGAACGTGATCCGACATCTTGAGGCGCGTTTCTTTGATCGGGAAGGCTTCGACTTGAAGTCGCGTTCACGAATGTGCAGACACGTCGTCGGCAGGAGCCTCGGCTCAGCGGATATGGCCGAATCTGCTTGCCAAGACTACATGGGTAAGGAAATGAGACACTTTATCGGACAACGACAGCTCGTAGCCAACATACATCTGCATCTAATAATTGTACAATACTGGAAACTGCTCTTCTCACTGTCTTGGTTCGTTCATACGTTGAAATACCTGCTGATTCGTCCAAACCACATGGAGAAGCCTCGCGCTTAGAGTAACGATGGCAGCTACCCAGCATCATAGTTTGACAGCTCCCGGGGCAGTAACGGCGACTCGTTGTACCTGCGCGTTCGTCCTTCTCCTAGTTCGAGACATGAGGCACTTCTTTGTCAGCTTGCACTATAGGCTACCGACCACGCTCTCTGCTGCGATGGTCCTGTCTGGTACCAGTGGAGCTGCACGAACCACAGAGGCATACGAAACCGAGCGTCAGTAACAACAAGAAGAGTACACGGGACTGCTCCTCGAAGCTGAGATCGGGCCTGAAATCGCCTCACCCGACTGAACGCTTCGACTGATGTACGCGTTGTTGAGATCAATCACATGCTGCCACCCCTGCTCCAATGTCCCGAGAAGATTTATCTGAATCCGGAGGACTCTGAATCCTCTTCATACAGTTTCAAGATAGGATCCGGCAATGATTCGCAGTTCCCTGATTGAACGCACACAGCCGCTGGTGTGTTCGGAACTTTTGCAGACTCGTTTCTGTGCCATTGGCCGGCGGAATCGTACTCGCATCTTTGAATACTTCGATGGACGATTGTCTATTTTCCAGTCATCTACATCGACTTTCCTCTCACTGGCAATATTTCCCGTACTCTCCTTTGATGCGATACCTGGGACCTACTCGTGCTTGAGAGGGTGTCGCTGTCCATTATGGCTTTGCAAGCATCGGGCATACTCTGGACGTGTAGTATGTCTTCGCAAACTTCCTAGCGGCCCATGAACTTGCCTTGACTATAGCAGGATTAAGCAGAGGAATTGAAAGCTGGATCCCTGTTCGGAACAGAGCTCAAGACGGAGTTTGTCGTTCTGCGGAAGTTCTGCCGTTCTTTATGATGATTTTTTGGGCATTGATGAGTGTACTTCTGGCGCTGGGAGTGGCTAGACAGAGCCTTAGACTCAGCTGATCGAACCTTGAAGTCATGACTCGCGAGTCGGTACAACACTTCAGCTGAGGCTGCTTGTGAGCTGGTCTGCAACAATTCAGGAGCATCAAGCCTTCTGCTTCACTTCTTCTGCCTGCATATGCAGTGATGAGGGAGTGCTGAAGTCCTGAAGACGGGACACTCAAAGTCAAACACAAGGCCGGAAAGTCCGTCTTGGCGTCTGCACAGGCTATGTGGTCATAGCTGGACAGGGGCGCGGCCAGGATGTTCACGACATCAGCTTACCCAGCTGCAACATCCACTCTTCGCCGCCACCGTCAGATGCCATAAGCATGTGTGCAGAAATCGACGTACAGCAAGTCGACCCGAACGCGAACGCCTTGCACAAAAGCATGACCCGTAACTGGTACCTGGGCACAGCATGCGTGGCTGTTGGAAGGCCAAGACGGCGGGACGCGTGCAATCCGGCCGTTAGTTCGTCGCCGTGCCAATCCGCGTTTGAACTCCTCCGCAAACCTCGCGCCAGAGGCGTAAGAGGCACGAGGCGGTGCAATTTCGCAAAAGGGCCAGAAACAGGTCTCACGCTGGAACCAGCTTTTTGCAAGCCATAGCGCATCTCCCCAAGCCTTGACATCATAAGAAGGCATTGCCAATTGCAGTTAGAACGGAGATCACATCACCTGAGGAAGCGGGATCGTCGTTTAAACACAAGGCTGCATCCTCAGCCCCCTTCATCTGTTGTTTGTCCTTGCTGCGCCCAAAACCAACCTCCACACCCGTTTCTATTTTTCGTGAAGGATTTGCCATTGCACAGCTGCAGAACGCGTAAGTACTGTGTTGTCACTCTTGGTATATAGCTTCAGTTTCTGATACTCATTGCCAATACCTTCAGACATTCGCTCACTACCAGCATCAACGTAAACAAGAAACTCTAAGCTCTCCAAAACCACCGGCATCATGCAGTTGAAGAAGCTCCTCATCTTGGCTCCAATCGTCCTCGTCGCTGCTCAGGAGGACGACAACATTGGCGACGATATCGCTGGTGCCGTCACTTCGATTGCTGGCGACATCACTGAGGCCGGCGCCTCGATCGCGACCAACATCGCTACCAACGCCCAGAGCATCTTCTCTGAGGTATGTTTGCACTAGCCGTCTGAGTACTTGCAGCATACTGACATATCCCCAGGCCACTGATGGCGCAGATGATGCTCTCGAAACCATCACCTCTGCACTTGACGGCGCTATCGACACCGCCACTTCCGTTCTTGCTGGCGTGGTCACCACAATTACCTCCGATGGCCAGGAGATTCTGAGCACGATTACTTCTGCTGCCGGCGACGGAGCTAATGCTGCCAGCTCCGTCATCGACAGCGCGATATCAGGCGCTTCTAGCGTCGTCAACAGTGCGATTTCTGAGGCATCCGGCGCTGTCAACAGCGCCACTTCGGAGGCTGGTGCCTATGAGACCAACGCGCCAAAGGTCGCTGCTGGTCTGTTGGCTATGGGTCTGGGTGCTGTTGCTATGTTGTAAGCCGCCTAGTTGCGGACAGCAGATCGGAAGCTCGGGAGCATGCACATTCTGTGGTCTATCGGCGCGACCTTGATTTCGAGACAGCGCTTTGGGAAGGTCCAGAAATGCGGAGTCATTGAGCAATTGATGTGGCACAGTGCGCCACCAGTCATGATTGATGTCACGATACAGTGTGTAATCTAAATAATTCACCCATGATACTCGTCTCTCCCAGCCATTATCCTGCCCGCGCTACACCTGTGCCCCTCTCTGGCTCACCCTGATCAGTTCCACCGAGCCTGAGCAAAGGTCGCGATTGACTGCCTGCTAAAGAATTGTGGATGGCCGGCCTATGCGCCCTGCTCAGTCACCCACCATCTCTCGACCTTGAGATACTGACTGAATTCGATCCAGCGTGGCTGGACGCCTGTATGGCAGGCATTGCAGGAAATGGGTGTACTTCTCCAAAGCTCCTCGACACTGCTGTAGTAGACGACGGACAGCTTCTTGCAACTTGGACAACGGAACTTGGGGTGTCTGGTGCAGCTGGGAAAGCTTCGCAACAGCAACTTCTGCACGTCAAAAAGGAAATCTGGAGCTGCTGTGAGGACGTACTTGAGGCAGTCGACGTGCAGCTCTGTGATGCGCCGGTTTCCTGGCACAACCCAGGCCGTTGCGAGTAGGTCTTTGAGTCCTCGATCCGACTCTGGTAGCTCTGTCTCCAGGTACACAGCAGCAATAGCAGCTCCCATGACCTTGGTCGAATCCATATTCTTCGCAAGCTCTGCGCGGAACTTGTCCTGAGCGGCTTTCTTCACGTCCGGGGCTTCGTACTGCAGAGCATGAGCTGAATATCAATCGGACCTTGCAAGTAGCAGACGAACCTTGTCTGCTATCGCGTAAACCTGAGCGTGCAGCTGAATTGGAAGCTCGGTGATGCTGGCAGCAATCACGTCCACAATGGTCCCGCTGGAGACAACGCTTGGCGGACTCTGATGATCCTGGTCGACTCCCGACACATCGTCGCTGTAATCGAATCTATAGAAATACTCGACCCTGTGCAGACTTATCAGCATGAGTGAGCATGTTTCTCCACTAGATGACTGACATTTTTTCGAGCGCCAGTGGATCGTCCTCACGAAGGACAGCTCGACGTTCCTGTCCTTCAATGAAGTCCTCTCTTGAGCAGCAACGGTCGAACCATTTGGACTGTGAGGACAAAATGGACCTGTGGGTCTTGTATTCTCTGCCTGTAGCGCCACAGACAATTGTAAAGTCGGAAAACTTGCCGTTGTCGAGGAGTTTGGTGGTGGAAAACTTGTAGTGGTCCATAGTGTGCATTTTTGAGAGATCGAGCACGAGAGACGGGAGACAAGCGTAAGCTGAGTGCGATGCGCCACTGGAGATTCGTTTGAAGTGCAGGCGATGTATGATTGCTGCCTTGGCGACGCGTCGCGTCGCTCCTGCCTGTGTACTCCCGCACCACTTTGGAAATGGACCATCACTTTTTCGCGTAAGTTGGCGTCGTGGCAGAGTCCTCACAGGCAAGCAACCCCCCTAACAGCTTCAGTAACGGCCGAAAATGACCTATGTTCATCAAAGCACCTTTTAAATAAGCGTTCCATTCCCCTGCTAAACGCATCTCAACCCTGAAGCTCTCTATCATAATTTTCGTGGGCGAAAAAGTCAGCCCTTCCGTAACGCCAGACACCTACGCTGAATCTCAAACTTGTGTGAAGTACGCAGCCTGTCATGAAACGTCTACTCGGCCGCACGCTACCCGCGTCCCTCCTTAGAATCTCTCCTTCATCCTGGCACTGACTGTCCTCAGATTGCCATACACCTTCCCTGGAGGACTACCCAAGATCAAACTGACGATAGCCTCCCTCGCCACATGAATGTTCTTGAAGCCTCCCAAGATGTGCACCTTGCTCCCTGCAAGCACAACTCTCGTCCGGCTTGCGTTCTCAATCGCGAACTTGGTCTTGCCGTCCTTGCCTGCTATTCGCCCAATAGCTCTGCTCATGTGCTCTCCCTCCAAATTCTTCACATCCTTGATCTCGAAACTCTGCATGTACAAATCATCGAGACGAAGTAAGGCGATCGCATCATCGAGATCGAAACCTAAGCAGAAAGCCTCAATGAAATCTGCGCCCTTCTGTATCGCCCCCGTGTCGGTCGTCTCTTTCGATGTGCGAAGTTCGACAGCCTTCTTATGTGTGTTGACGCGGACTTGAAGTTTGAGGTGTTCGACGAGTGGAGGGTAGATCTTCGGCCAGGATGTCTTGAGAGGGGACATCCGGTGGGGTGGGATTCGGACTTTGCGTTCTTCGACTCGGTGGCGGCGTTTTGAGGGTGTCTCTGGGGAGAAGAGGGAGGTGGATTCGCCATCGACTTCCATGATGATGTCTTCGCCAGGCTGCTCGGTCGGCACTATCGTGGATGTGATCACTTCTTCGTCTACGGCGGTCTCTGGAGCATCGTGCACGATTTCGTCCTCGATGTGCTCGGGCGCTCTTTGGAGAGCGGTCGGGGCTGGCATCTTGGCGGATTGTTGTGGTCCTGATTCGAAGTCTTTCCACACCAGTCAAAGTCAGTGTAGAGAGCGGTCGGTCTAGCACACGGTGACTGGTCGAGAGTGCGGAGTATCTGCTCAAGGAATTTCGACGTCGGGTCGAACTTTTGGCAAGCCGCGCTAAGATTTGCAGGGGTCAGAGGCTGGGCACGGACGCAGCTTCCCTCCGCGTCACGCCTCAGTGCCTGAAGCTCCAGTCGTGTTGCAAGCTACAGTTCATCACCAAACAATCTACCACCACTCCATCGCCCGTCGCGCCCATTCGAACGACTCCCGAACCACCAGTCAACCAATCCGCTCCGCCGTCAACCATCATTCCGCCCATCATGGCGGCCATGGGTTACGCACCGATGCTTTCAGAACAGCCAGGCTACTCATTCGCACAAGCTCCCACATCATCACGCTCGCAACCCAAGCAGCACGGCTTCTACCCGTATGTTCACTGACGACTGTGCCTTGACGAACTCCGCTAATTGCCATTAGATACACCGATAACGGTGGCTCAACTCTCGGCATCAGTGGACAAGACTTCACTATTCTTGCAGGCGACACACGTTCCACATCGGGCTACAACATCAACACGCGATACGAACCGAAACTCTTCAAGATCGGTGGCAATGGACCGGATAACGAGGGCTCGAAGATCGTGCTCTCCGTGGTCGGATTCGCAGCAGATGGACATGCCCTCAAAGAGCGACTCGATACCATCGTGAAGATGTACAAATACCAACACGGCAAGGACATCTCCATCGGCGCTTGTGCGCAACGCCTCTCACACATTCTATACGGAAAGCGCTTCTTCCCGTACTATGTTCATGCGATTCTGGGAGGAATTGACGAGGAGGGCAAGGGAGCACTGTACAGCTACGATCCAGTTGGAAGTTACGAGAGGGAGCAATGTCGCGCCGCAGGTGCCGCAAGCAGTTTGATCATGCCATTCTTGGATAACCAGGTCAACCTGAAGAACCAGTACGACCCCGTGCAGCCGCAGGGGTTCGGCAAAGAGCCTTTGGTGCCAAAGCCGCTGGATCGCAAGCACGTGGAGGAGCTGGTCAAGGATGCTTTCACAAGCGCTGTGGAGAGACATATCGAGGTCGGTGATGGGCTGCAAACGATGATCATCACGAAAGATGGTATTCTAGAGACGTATGCGGAGCTGAAGAAGGATTAGATGGAACGAGTCACGATGGAAGATGTACGATACTCTGCAACCATACCACGATGCTTATGCATAGCACGGTGCGAGGAGTCAGGCTACATGGACTGCCACAATACAGAGCCCTGCGACGATCAGGCATTGCATTCAGCCAGTCCACTGCTTCTCGTTCAGCTCATTGCCCTTTCAAAGCCTGCATGCGGCGTCTCGCGGAGAAAAGGAGAAAAGAAGATGGTGCATTGTATCCGAAGAAATACAGTCTGTACTTACCCGATGCATAGCTTCCTCTCAACCTGCGCTACTACTGCTTAAGACATCAAGCACGGTCTTGAAATTCGGCGCCCAATAGAACGCTTCCTTCTTACCATCCAGATCTTTTAGTGAACTCAGAGGAGGCGGCACATACTTCAGCGGCGAGAAGACTTTCCGACTGGCCTCCTCATACTGATCCTCTGGCACATCGTACAACCAAATACCTAAATCTGCTTCCCATAAGCAGTCAAAGTCGGTGGAGGAGTCCCCGATATAGACTGTGAAGACATGCGGAGAGCGAGCAGTCTTCCTCAGCCGATTAATTTTGTCGATATTCGTGCGGAGGTCTGAGCCATCTGGGTTGACGATGATGCCCGTGCTTCCATCTGGCGAATCGATGCCTTGAATCTGGTTTGCATAGACTGGAATGCGTCCAATGAGAGCCTGTAGGGGAGAATCATTGGTATCTGCAAGAAGGCCATGTCGAATTGCTGTACGGCTCCAATTCACGCTCAAGATCTCAAGTGAAGATTCGTTGCCTGCTTCTGTTGTCGCTTCAGGAAGGTAGAGCTTGAAAAGATCGTCCCAGCCTTTGTGAAGTTCTAGTTGGCCACTCGCGAGAGCTTTGCGAACAGCCTTTTCAACATCGTCCTCGGTCACGCCTTTGAAGAAGCCACAGTCTTGCACTCTTTGCGCGCTTTTTAGCTCCACCCACCCGCGAGTTGCTAACCAGGCACTGTACTCTGACGCGTCGTAGTTCTTCCAGTCAAATTTCTCATTTTGCCATTTCGTGTAGTCTTTCACGTATGCGTCTACAATTTCTTGCCAGGACAACTTTGTAGACTGTTTTGGCAAATTGCCAAGGAGAAACATGGTATCTTGCTTCGTAATCGTGCCATCGTAGTCCAGAACCAGTCTGGTAGGTCGCTTCAGCTTCCTTGAGGTCATCGTGCTTAGTCGATGACAATCTACTACTGGAGCTGGAGCTCGAGTATGGCAGTGTCTAGATGCTGTCACGTGGAGGCCATATAGCGTTCGATATGCGGGTGGTAGATGCTGCTTCACAATCGAAGCTGTCATCGACTTGAGCAAGACCCTTGGAATATGCTACACCAGTCCATCGATGGCAATGCCTGCGAGCGTCTCGGTGGCAACTACTATTTTCCGCCTAGATTGTGCCAGCAATGTCGGCGAATATGGTGGAGAACAGTATGGCACAATATGCGGTGGCATGTGAAGATGGCAGCCGCCGTAATCTCCCGAGGTCTCAGAGCAAAGCTAATTGCCGAGCATCTGGTGTATTTCCCAGCACGCGTTGCCACCGTCCCGATTTCGCTTCCTATGGACCAATCACTTGCCACCTTTCGTCGCTGACTTGCCGAACTGACATCGTCGACTTTGTCCTCCGCCTCGCCATCGCACTTGTCTGCCAGACGACACCTCTCCACTCTCACACCACACGATCACAATGGCATTGCGACTAGCGACACGGCGCTTTGCGCCCCAGCTCGTGGCGCGCCGCGGCATGGCCAGCGTTGTCGACACGGCCAAGAACGCAACGAACGCCCCGGGAATCGTTTCAGAGGCCACTTCGCGTTCGACAGCACCAAAGCCCGCGAGCGAGACGAGCACGATACAGGATCCGACCGCAGATAAGAATGCCAAGATCAAGACATTCCAGATCTACAGGTGGAACCCAGACACGCCAGAGGAGAAGCCAAAGATGCAATCATACACATTGGATCTGAACAAGACGGGACCTATGATGTTGGATGCTCTGATTAGAATCAAGAACGAGGTGGACCCAACTCTCACATTCCGAAGAAGTTGCAGAGAGGGTATCTGCGGTAGCTGCGCCATGAACATTGATGGCGTGAACACATTGGCTTGCCTTTGTAAGTTTCAGTGGCAGAAGAGCACGCGACCTGGGCAAAAACTGATAGTAAATACAGGCCGAATCCCCACAAATACCGCAAAGGAGTCGAGGATATATCCTTTGCCACACACATACGTGGTCAAGGACTTGGTGCCAGATTTGACCCAGTTCTACAAGCAGTACAAGTCAATCAAGCCATACCTCCAGCGTGACGCTCCTCCAGAAGACGTAAGCACATCGCTTTAGACTCTCTTAGACCATTACTAACACACTTCCGCAGGGCAAGGAAGTTCGTCAATCTAAGGAGGACCGCCGCAAGCTCGACGGTCTCTACGAATGCATTCTCTGCGCCTGCTGCAGCACATCCTGCCCATCATACTGGTGGAACAGCGAAGAATACCTCGGCCCAGCAGTCCTCATGCAATCATACCGATGGATCGCCGACTCTCGTGACCAACGCGCCGAACAACGCAAGGACGCCCTGAACAACAGCATGTCTCTCTACCGATGCCACACCATCTTGAACTGCAGCAGGACATGTCCCAAGGGCCTTAACCCAGCTTTGGCCATCGCCGAGATTAAGAAGGCTATGGCGTTCTCATAGACGACGCGTGCGATGGGTAGTTTTTCTGTGCGTCTGTGTAACAACTGCTTTAGACATGCGAGAAGATTAGGGCAAATGTATCAGCAGAGGCGCTACATGGATGAGAGAGGCCAAGTGGGTACTACTACTATACCAGCAAGAAGAAACACACTTTGTACATAAGCCTTCCCCTTTCAAAATGTTCAAGTCAAAAATTTCAGCGATTGGCGTCCTTTCCCAAAGATCGCCCGTCGTCTGTGGTCATGCGATTTCCGCGTAATGTCTTTCCCGGTTGAATTCCTGTACAGTCGCATCCAGGACACGCAAAAATGGTCGAGCCACAAATCGAAGGGAAAAAGTCATGACTTCATGTAGAGATCAAGCGCAGAACTTTGCCAGCACTAAGTACTTCTGTACATTACCAGCTAACTGGAATTCACGGTCTCATCAATAAATGTATATCTAATGTAAACCGGTGATACACGTCTCGTGTCTGCCAACGTACTGTCCTGTTCCACCATCGCTGGTTGGTCGTCAAGGAGTTGAAAAGCTGTCCTTTTTCCCTTCCTTCCAAAGTGTACCCATGTTAATACAAGACTCCGATCCATGTATCTGTCCCCTTGAACGCCTCGCTTTCCCAAGAATAAATTTTCGACTGACAATGTACATTTCCCCGTGAGAGGACGAATAAACGCAAAGAGTCGTCTGTGCAGTTCCGTCTCTTCGTACACTGATCCGGGCATAGGATCAGTAGTGCTGGATCAAGCCAGTTGGCCCGCTAGCCCGATGAACAGTGCCTGTGCGGCTACTTGGGCAGCCCAAAGTCCGACCTTCTTCATACGCCGTTGCCGAGCTTTGCGGTCTGAGATGTCGCGCACGAACGCATCATACGTCTCTTTGCTCAAATCTGCGAGCAGCCCGGAGTCGAAGATGGTCCATGAGCCATCGAATTCGCTTTGTCTTTTGACGATGCGACAATTGATGGGAATGAAGTTGCTCCCGCTTCGTGAGTGAGAGTTGATGTAGGCGACGATGGGTCGCACCACAGCGTTGTTGACATATGATATGTCGCGTGTGAAGATCGGTACACTGGCACGCACATCGTTGAGGTGGATTTGGATGTCCATGACCAGGAAGCGTTTGTCGTCCTCGTCTTCTTGAGCTTGCTGCATGCGGCTCAGTGTCGACTCCTGGTTATCGATGTTGGCAGCATCAACATGTGAGGTAGTTCCGTGCCCGTTATGCGCTATCTGATTCGTGACTGTCGCTTCCATGCGATCATAAAAGTCACTCATCACTTTGGCAATGCTGCCATCAGCATCGTTTGGAATCATGATGTCAGAGACAATGTCAACGTTGCCGTCCACGATCCAAGAGAATGGCCCTTCGACGCCACGATTGAGGTGATCGATCTTCAGACCATCGATGCGGATTCGACTGTGCTTCTTCCATTGCGAAGCGAACTCCTCTTGTCCGTTCACAAGCAAAGCGCCGCTTGTGCTATGCACCTGCCTAGGGTGGATTGTGAAAAGCGAGCCATCAAAGCTGCCGCTCATATTGTTGGCGCACAAGAAATCGTAAAACAACCACTGCTTGCGCAGTCGCGGCAGTTCGCAGTTGTAAACACTGACAGTGAATGGTCGAAAGTTGTTCGGCTGATAGACGGTGATCAACACATCTTCCATCTTGAAGTGCTCGATCTCGAAGTCGCCCACGTTGTGTTCGTGTCGATAACTCTTTGGATCGCGACCCTCGTCTTCCGGTCGAGGTCTGACGTGTGTGCGATCTACGACACCTCGCACGCCGCGCACGCCGACGTCTTGCAGCAAGCCCTTTCCATTGAACCATTTTCGAAATGACAACGTGAGATCAACATTTTCGATCGTGACATCGAATTGTGAATAGTTGCCGTCATCCTCTGGATTCGAGCCATGCTCCACCGGGAGCGAAGTATGTTCGCGACCGGCTTGTGCATGCGCCGCTGCTGCAGCTGCAGCGACAACTGAAGAGCCCTTCGTGACAGTCCTCTGATTCTTGTCCGCAGCTGGTCGTCGGCTAACGAACACTTTGTTCAGTCTGATGGTGCCCTCGCCCCATTTTGGCACAATGGCGCTCTCAAAAACCACCTGAATGCCTGTGCTTCGCGTCAAGTAGTTGCCTACCCAACTCGCCAGGGTCTCCTGGGCAAACACAGTGTTGATACCCCAGATAGCCAAGCTGACGAAGGTAGTGGTACCAATGACCAGCCAGAGCAGGTGGCCCCAGAAGATCCAACTTAGAAAAGCAAATATCTCTTCATGGTTGAACGGCCGGACGCTTCGAATCGAGAACCACTTGAAGCGAATCTGTAGTCGATGCCAGAATCCATTCGCGGCGGCCAAAAGCTCGTCCTTCGTGGGACGATGGAAGTGCGGCAAATGATCGTATATGTATTTGCCCGCGCCTGCTGTACTCGTTGCTTGCGCGTGGTCATCTTTGGACTCTTTTGCAGAGATTTGCTTTTGCTCATCTCGCGCGACTGTACTGTTTTCTGATGGCTTTTTGTTCTCGCTGTTCCACCGTCTTTGCAATGCCCATCTTGCGATTTGCGACACAGGTTCATGCCGCCCTCGTAATGACGTCCATGATGGTCGAAGTCCAACGATGCCAACGTCTATCGTTACCGCCGGCCGGAACTCCCGTGTATTCGTGGTTGCAGCATGATATTCTCTCCTTCCAGCGCTGGATACTCGTATTAAAGATCTTGGGCGTATTATGTTACGTTCGATACAAGGCGTGAGAAGTCGTCTCGTCGTGAGCGGAGATAAAGCGGCGCTGAAAAAGGCGCTGGATCGTGGCAGTCCGCGTCGACTACCCACCATCACATTGCGACTCATATTAGCTGCGCATGCTGGACTGTTGCACCTCACTGTTGAAGCGGGCGGGCGAGTGGGCGGAGATGGTTGACGCAAACCAAAAATGGCTGGCGGAAATCCAGAATCAAGCTCGATGACCAGCGATGGCGCCAGCGACTAAAGCGGCAAAGCGCGTGCTTGTGAAAGTGTCGTATCGGCAGCCTCAGGCAGAAAATGCTTGGCAAAAAGAAATCCACCGCACACGCACTAGCGCACTGCCGCTCTTCTCGCTGTTTGTCTGTTCCGCAGAGATTGAACATCTCGACATCGCCCAACGACAACAGATCCGCCCACGATGGTTCAAGTCAAGCAGAGGTCCGGCATCGCCGTCGGCATCAATGCTGGCCACGTACGTCTCGCACCACCACCCACCGCCCCGCTGCGCCGACCGAGAGATATCGAGAGTGATGGAAATGGAGTTGCAACACAGGACTAACGATCCCTTTCCACACAGAAAGTCACCCCTCGCCAGCCAAAGCCTCGTGTTTCGCGCATGAAGGGTCACCTCAGCAAGAGAACTGCTTTCGTCCGGGACATCGTCAAGGAGGTTGCTGGGTACGTGTGCCCTTGAGGAACAGAATGGAAGGAACAGTAGGACAGGAACTGACATCACCACCAACAGTCTCGCACCATATGAGCGCCGCGTTATCGAACTTCTCCGCAACTCCAAGGACAAGCGCGCCCGTAAGCTCGCAAAGAAGAGACTCGGAACTTTCGGCCGTGCGAAGAGAAAGGTGGACGAGATGACCAAGGTCATCGCTGAGAGCAGGAGAGCCGGTCACTAAGCGGGTGCTTTGTCTGTGCTGCTATGAGATGACGCGGAATTTCGAAATGCAGAGGCATGAAGGCGCAACAAAGCCATGGGTTTGACATGAAATGCCGCCGCTGTGCTTGGGCCGTCGCGTCCGGCGTAGAAGCCCCATACACACCAGAGGCCAGCGGCTACCGGTAGAAAGGCGCTCATACTGAATGAAAATGCATTGAAAGTCCAGTTCTCTTCGACTCAAGTTCACGCTCTGCATCACTTGGGAACAAAAAGTCGCATTGACGACTTTACTTACCTCTTCAGGTACATCCTTACCTTCCCGAGCTTGGACTCGAGCACAACACGCAAGCCAAATGTTCGGCAAGCGACGCTCGGCAAGTCTCAGCCCTCGCAGCAGTATCTAAGCACAAGAAAAGACCCCAAACTGCAAGCTCGAACGAACACGACTCTTCAACAGTGACTTAATGCATTTGATCTAGCTGATCTTCTTGACTACCACGAGCCGCAAAACCCTCCTCGCTATATATGACCTGCCCGATCTTGCCCTTCCTACCCCAATCAAAATATCTGACTCCCAATCTTCTTACAGAATTGCAGATTCCGTGGAAGATGACCACGTCAAGGGTCAGCGAGAGTGCCAGAGAAAGACCTATGCGGCTCATGTACTGCCCCAGTCCAGAACCACCTCTAGTCAGAGGACCGCCACCGAAAGGAGCGTACAACCTAGATGCGGACATGAGACCAGCGACAGTCTTTTCGTTAGGCGAGGCCAGAAAATTGGCGGCTATTGTTCGCATCATCAGCGCTTCGAATGGGAGATTGATGATTCGGCATAGCACGCCATCAATAGCATCGGCCACGAACTGGACTGGTAGTTGCGCCATGATCGTCGAGCGATGGACTGGAGTGACTTTTCCAGCAGAAACAGGCCGGATATTTGCTTCATCAGTGTCACGCAGTGCCCGGTTCTCATTGCGTTTGATAACGGACCAGCCGCTGCGCTGTAGGAAACGGCAACGCAGAGAGTAGCACTGATAAAGAACCCAGCCCACGGGATCACGCTGGAAGCCAGGCCTCGCAACCTTTGTGGGATCGTCGTTGACATCCGGAAACTTGAAGTCTGTAATGAGATGAAAGACCGGAAAGACGCTGTCTGTGGCATCGTAGAACAGCATTCGGTAGATGAAGAGGAATGCTCCTGGTGATGTGATGAGTCCTACGATACGAGATCCAGGTCGGCCATTCCAGATCTGCCGATGAAAGCTTCCAGCATATTTCGCTGGGAAGAATGATCGAAAGTCAGGTAGTACGGATAGAGCAGGAGCCAGTCCTAGTCTCTGAGCGGCAGCGTAGTACTCCAGCGGCATCAAGACGATGCAGATACCTGCTATAAGGCCTTGTAGCACGTGTTCCAAGCCCTTGTGCAATTTCTCCCTCGTCTTTCGACTCAACTTGCTCCTCATAATCCAATCTTGAAGCTCACCCACGACGTACTCTGCGCCCACCATAAGCCCCACCCTCGTCAACGCATGCACGACTGATGCCACGCCTCCTGGAAACCGCTTTGCCAGCGACCACCGCATCCCGCCACGATACATCTCAGCCCATTCTGTTGACAGAATTTCTGCAACGGAACGACTAGATTCATACAGTCCAATTTGAACCCGCTGGATGAAAGCATCCGGCCAGAGATGGAACAGGAAATTGACAGCATAGACAGCATACTCGAGCACTTCGCCGCGATCCTGCTCATCTCTGAGAAGATCCCGACGCGCCTCTTGGATCGCTCTGTACCGAAGGCCGCTACTTTGCTCAATTTCTTCTTTCTTTTCCACGATGCCGACTAAGGCGAGGACAGCATTTTGGGCTTTTCGTTGCTCGGCGTTGAATTCCTCGATAGCTGGATTGATGGGTCGGCCTTGGGAGTCGTATTGCTGTTCATATTCGTGTCCAGTCACCTCTTGACTCGGGTATGCGTTTGACGAGCCAGCATTTCTTCGCGGCTGCTCTGCTTCATCTTGATATGCGGATCGGCCAAGTGCGAGGCGTTCTAGGTACTGCCTCCTTCCCATCTTTGATTGAGATGCGGGAATACGGGGAGGCTCATATTGATTCGCAGGTGCTGGAGCAATAGCGTTCCATCTTTCAAAATTGTCAGCTACGCACTTTCGTAGTTTTGTATGCCAGGCGAACAGGCTGAAGTGGACAGGATATGTGGCTATGTGGCTGAACCCGCCAAGACAAGACTGGCTCGGACCCTTTGTGGCTAAAGCGAACCATGCGAGGCAAGAAGCAAGTCCGTCTCCAAAAAGTTCTCGACGCCAGTCGCACACCACACACCCCACGCCCACCGCCGCCATGGGTCTCGCCGGGAACAAGAAGAAGTATGCACCTATCCAGGCCATACTATCATGCCCCCAGACTAACATCCTCCCAGAACCAAACTCTCCGCCGACCCCAACAACACCGCCTGGGCCAAATCCACCACATCCTTCGGCCACAAAATCCTCTCCAAACAAGGCTGGAAGCCTGGCGATTATCTCGGCGCAGAAAATGCCTCGCATTCAGATCACTATACCGCCGCCAATGCCTCCCACATCCGTGTAATGCTTCGCGAAGACAATCTCGGACTCGGCGCGAAAATCGGAACACAGAATGCCGAGACTTTCGGGTTGAGCATGTTCTCTGGACTTCTGGGGCGATTGAACGGGAAAGAGGAAGACCAAGTCGCGTTGAAAAAGAAAGAGGAGACGCTACGGGATGTGCAGTTGAAGCTGAAATACGGGAACCTGAACTTCGTGAGAGGAGGACTCCTAGTAGGCGATAAGATGTGCGAAGTCAAGACCGATTTGGGACACTTAAAGGAAGGCGGGAAGAAGCGTAAAGCCAGCGACGCCGAAAACGACGAGGATGAGGAGGCAGAAGACAGCAAAGCCGCAAAGAAACGACGAAAACAGAAAAAAAGACAAAAAGCCACCAACGGAACCGCAGCCGCAATTAAAGAAATGAAACGTCAACGAAGAATGGAAGCCGGAGCAGAAGATATCCCCAGCACCACCGACGTTCCCTCGCGAGAAGCAGAATCCACATCAGACTCCACGAGCTCCAGCGAAGACGAAAAGCCCTCTTCCTCATCAAAACGCAGCAAAAAGTCCTCGCGCAAAGAATCCAAACGCTCATCAGAAGACAGCAATCCCATCGATAAAGACGAGAAAGCTCGCCTCAAGGCAGAGAAGCGCCAACGGAAAGAAGAGCGCCGGAAACGCAAAGAGGAGAAACGAGCAAAGCGAGCCGCGAAAGAGGCGAAGAAGGACTCAAAATCTAGTTCTGCTGTTGCCAGCGAGTCAGAAGCCGCGACGACAGCATCAGGGACGTCTACGCCAACGTTCCTGGGCGGGAGACAGGCTGTGCGACATCGATATATCATGCAAAAGAGGATGGCAGCGGGAAGTGCACAGGCGTTGAAGGAGATTTTCATGATGAAGCCGCAGGTCGCTTCATGAGACGAGATGACACGGTAGCGATAGATTCTCAGCATGTATGCATCAAAAGTAATGGAACCACGTGCTCGGTTATCACGAATCGTGCCGTTCAACAGAATGCAGTAATCAACATGTGCATGCACAAGTTCACTGAGATTGAATATCGAGGGCAACAGTGGTAGGGATATCAATACGATTCTATTTTTCAGGGTATTTTGATCATCTAATTAGGTCAAGAGCTTTGCGCTCTCTCCACCGCACACTGTACAATTGAACAAGGTAGAACTTTTGCCTCCAGAGCCCTCTCGCTGCAGGCGAACAACTCTGTCAGGAACTCTTAGGATGCGCTCACGATAGCCACATGCGCCTTGCTTGCGAGGCCAGTTGCCACTCGGAAGACTTTCTCAGTCAGGTAGCCTGTCGCTGGAGGAGCAAGCTACTGCGACTCCATGCCGAATTTGCTCGCATCGTGGTAGAGGTCTACTATGCAACTAGCTGACCAAGCTTGAGTAGGGCACTGTGTCACAGTTAGTAACATCTCTTGTTGAAGAAGTTGGGAAAGTGTAGACTCACCGAATCGCCGCAGAAAGAGCCATTGCGATTGGTAAGCTCAGTGAGACCTCTCCACGGGCTGTTGTTGATCATCTCCTTCATGCCCTTCAGACGCTGAGTGACTTGTTGGAAGGATTCGACGCGTCCTTCTTTCGTAGTGCGACGCTTCAGATCGAAGTACAGCAGAGCGCGAAGGAAGAACCCAGTAGGCCACAACCATTCAGGCCCTTGGTGGTAGTTGCGTCCATGTGCGGTCTGATAGTTGTCACTGTCATCCGAGTTGATGTAGTCGGGATGGTACTCCATGTCGGCTGGGTCGAGAGTTGCCATTCCAGTAGGGCCACGAAGGTTCTTGTCGGCAATCTCGAGCGCGCCCAGAGCGTGAGCAGGGTCGAAAAGTTCGGGTGCAACAACCATGGCGATGGGGAAGTTGGGCCGAAGCTGGTATTGCCGATATTCTTTGGTTCCACGATGAACGTCCTTGTAGATTCCCTTGCGATTGACGATCTTGGGGTTGATGTCGTAGTTCTCCCATTCGGACGGGTCGAAAGGAATATAGTAAGCATGCTCAAAGTTCTTCTGGATGAGCGCAGCCCATTCTCCGTGGCTGATCAGCGTACCATCTGCCTTCTTCACACCATCGAACTTGAACTTGCCGGCCTTGTGCAACCCATCGACCCAGCGAAGTGCACTGTACAGTAGACCGGTTATCTCCACTGGTGCACCGTCACGAGAAGAACCAGGATGGCCTTTGTTGCCAGCCTTGGTAGACTCGCCCATCTTGTCCATCCAGGTACCGCAATTCCACTCGTTACCGCCGTAGATGATACCATTTGACCAGTCTGGTTCAATGTCGATGTTGAAACCTTCCGACTTCATCTGACTGTCCAAGTCCGAGCCGGCGTTGTACTCCCGGAAATGCATGCCTGAAGCATGACGTTGAAGAATTTCTTGAATGATCTCCTCGAATGTGCTGTTCTTGGAGTACGCCCGTGGGTCGTTCCAAGGGAAGAAAGTGTCATCGTAAGGCAAGAAACGACGACGTACGCTTTCTTGGAGGAGACTATCACCTTCAGGTGCCATGGCAATGTAGTCCTGAATGTTTTGTAGGAAGAACCAGACCGAGTCTCGACTGTTGTACCGCGGGAGGGTGCCAGAGTTGTGCAAATTGGGAATCATGCCGTGCTTGACCAAGCTGCCGAAAGAGTACAAGTGCTCTTTCGCCTCTGCATAACGACTAGTACAGGTGAGCAGACCACGCATCGCAATCATGGTGTCTCGTCCCCAAACACGAGCCCAGTCTTGAGCAAAGTGAGGGAGACCGGCGGCCATCGCCGGGTCGAGCTTGTCAGGCCACAGCTTCGCATTGTCCATGTAGCCCTGAACTTGGCAGGATACCATGGCCAGAGACTTGAGGAAGCGCTGACCGTGCTGGATGTTCGGATGCATCTGTTCAATCGCGCGCTCGTGTGCTGCTTTCTTCGCAGTGCGGATGACCAGCGCGAAGCAGCGTGGGAGCAGAAAGCTTGGGACGTTGCGGATGGCATCGAAACGTGACTTGAGCCAATCGGCGACAGGAGTGACGCCCTTGTAGATGCCATCTTTGCGCTGCGCAAGCTTTTCCAAACGGTTGACGAGGTAGTCCAGCGCCCATTGACCTTCACGAAGGTGATTGCAGATAGGATGGCCGAGGTCGTTGTTGGCAATCACATCCCGAAGAATCGAATACCAGCCTTGCAGACCGCAGTACACCAAACTGCCGTGACCGGGGATAGCGTACACGCCGTCAGCGCCCTTGGACATAGTACGCTCCTCAGAGTCGCAGCGGTACAGGATGGCGTTGATGTCGTTGAGGTTGACATTTGCAAAGGCTTGTCGAGCGCCAGATGTCAGGTACTTGTCGAGTCCTTCGCTGTGCTCTGCTCCAGGAATCCATGTCTCAAACACCGCAATTGAGCCTGGTGGGAAGTCGCCGGGGACAGCGATGACAGTATCGTCGCCGCGAGATTCGACGTTGACACCCCTGAGGTCTTTGGTCTTGCTGGGAATACCACGCAGGACCTTGTCGTTGAGTGCCGCTTGTTTAGCATCGTGACTTTGGTCGACCTCGAGTTTCCATGCGCCAAGCAGTCTCGCCTTCGTCCCAGTAAGAGTTTGCGGTCCAAAGCCAGCATTGCCGTTGCCGTAGCCAGGGAACGCTGTGTGTGCAATCAAATAGTAACCTTTGCGAGACTTGGGGTGAATGCGGTGAACTGTGATGTACTCGCCGTCGTGGTGGATGAAAGTCTCATCGTACCCGTCCTTGCCCATGATGACATGCAATTGGTTCATGAGACGTTTGATGCCACCAGTACCTTCGCTTGGCCCGATCTTCATGTTTTGACCTTCTTGCAGGTTGCTGTAGGGAGACGTGTACTGTCGCTTCTCATGCACAAGCTCGATCAAGGCTGGGTACAGTTCGTCCATGCCAAAGACAGATCCAGACGCGGAGGCGCACATGGCTACGAGGGCAGAGTTCGGTAGAGTATCGCGGCCGTCCCGTCGTTGGACTGGGGTCTCGTTGTCATGGGTGCAGTCCATGAGCAAGGCGTGGATCTTGGACGGGATGATCTTGTGAATGATCGTCTTGCCTTGTGGTGCACTGCCATTCGTCGCACTTCCATCTGAAGATGATGGACGATCTGCACTAGAAATGTCATCAACCTCGAAGGATCCAATAGGTCGACCACAGTTGATGTGCACAAGGCGAGACATTTCGGCCGTGGACCAGACTTGCATTGCTTCTCGGATGAGAAAACTGATGCCGAGTTTCTTGCAGTAGAGAAAGTCCATTCGTTCATCGCCACTGAACAGCTCCGCAGCAACGACCAGATTTGGTTGGACCTGTCGACCAGCATCCAGCATGGCAGATGCGACATGAAGAGGAGTTGAATGGCAATTGTCGATACGGAAGCCGTGGAAGTGCTTGGCCATGAGTTGGGTGTACTCTGTCATGAACTTCCAAAGGAAAGGGCTGTCGCTTGGGCCAGCTCCCCAGCGCAGCTTGACACAATCGCCCCAGACAATTAGCTCTCGGCGAAGGTAGACCTTGGACTTGGGCCCAGCATTGTCACGCATGACATCTGCAGCCCATACCCATCCATTGTTGGCCAGCGCGAGCGAGTCTGGATCGTGCTGTTTCGTAGTCTCGTTCCATGGCAGACGAGTAAAGTAGGACTCGATGAGCGGATGCTCAATTGTGATGTCGCCAATCTTTGGCCCATTCGGATCAAGCCTCATATACTTGGTCCGGTTGAAGATTTGCTCCAGCTGTGCCGCCTTGTCGTTGTCGTGCTCCTTGTACCAATCGACATTGAGGCCGTGCAGAAGGCTGATTATGGCGGCGTATGCAGTGCGCTCATCGACCGCGCTGTTCTGGTGCTGATCGAACTTGCCATAAAGAGCCTGAAGGAAAGCAGCACCTTTTCCAGGAGCGACGTTGCGGCGGAATCGCTCTCCCATACGGTCAATGCCAGGGCAAGCGTGCTTGCGAAGCCATTCGACCTTGTCTCCAAGCGACCACGATCGAGCATCCTCTGGCACGTTGACACTGGTGTCGATCTGGCCTTCCATCCACGCAGAAGTGATTGCCTGAGCATTCTTCTCCGCGTCACAGACGTAAAACTCCCACAGTTTGAGTGAGCCAAATACGTGAGTCTTGATACCCTCCATCACCTTGACCAGATCAGCCTCGCCGGTCAAATGCGTGGGCAAGCCAAGGGATGCCAGTTTTGAGGAGTAGTCCAACAGAGCGCTGTCCAGCTCGTAGGCAGCCCGAAGATGCGGTGCTGTATTGATATTGTAGCCCGACTCCGGATGCTCTTCCAGCCATTTGCTGTTGTTGGCGGTGTGATTCCACACAACGTCCGTCAGACTAAGAAGGCCGTAATCCTGCTCCATCTTCTCGACCATCTCCGCGATGTCTGCCTCGCCTCGAGGGAAGATAGCCTTGTCGAAGGTGTGCTGATCGTAGATGGAGTATGGCGAATTGCTCTCTCCACGCTCCATGAGAGGTGTGAAATGCACCATATTGTAGCCTCTTTCGCTGATACCGCGCAGATGTCGGTGGAAATCATGCGGGTACTTGCCCATGAACTTGGACAGCACCGAAATGATGGAGATGGCATCGAGCGGAAGAGGTGCCTTGTCGACTTCGAGGTGTGGTGAGACATCGATGAAGTGCGTTTCTGTCCGCGTTGGTTTGGGGGTGTCAACTTTGCCGGTCGAGAATGGTGGCAGAGGTGTGTACGAGCAGTAGAATTCGAATGCGCCAGCTGTGTGGACGGGGACATCGATCTGGATGGACTCGGTGAAGCTTGGATTCAGCCTTCGTCCCTCTGTTAGCATTGACCACTGAAAGCAGGTCTTCAGCAATGCTCACTTGTACTCATGGAACTTGTTCCGATCAAAAGGCTGTCCCTTGGCAGGAATGTTGACCCAAAGGCTTCCTTCTCTGCATATTGAGCTCGTTCCTTCGATCTGAAAGCGAATGCTGTAGGCCGGCTTCGTGGGTGGCGCGAGGTATATATATGGCTGCGAGCCAGGCAGGTCTGGAGATCCATCGTCTTTAAGAGGGAGCAGGTACACGGTGTGGTTGCTGATCTGCTGGGGTGACATGCTGGGCAAAACTTTTTTGGGTCGTCCCAATCAGAACGACGTGCCCAGGCGATGGGTGCTGTCCTGGTCAATGTTGTATGTCGTTGTCGGAGAGATCAATGGGCAGTGTGTATGGGTGGAGAGTGCTATAGATGAGACGGACGCGCAAATGAGCGACAATGGGCGAAGATGCTGGGTTCAATGCTCCGCGGCGGCGCGTGGAGTGGTACACGAGTAGATGGCGGGGGTGAGATGTCGAGAGAGAGGAGAGGAGAGGAGGGCGATGGGCGGAGAGGAAGGGGGGGAGGAGAGGCAACAGCAGGACCGACGTGTTGACCGACTTCCTGGCTGCGTCGCGGCGGAGAGGGAAGCGGCGGCAGCGACATTGTGGGCAGCTGCATCAATGCTCTGCTCTGTCCTGCACTGTGCGCTCGTCTGCGTGCAGCGTGCGTTGAGGCTCTGGGTCCCGCCGGAAGTATCCATCGCCGATCTTGCCTTGCATTGCCATCCACGCACGCTCTTTCGGCCTCGCGTGAGCACATGATGATGGCTGCAACAGCGCGCCGACACGAGGCGGTGTGTTTTCTGCATCGTTGGCGGTCGCTTGCCGCGCTCGTTGCACGCCCCAATGCCAATTGCAGTCTGCCAGCCGGAAACTCAACCACTTCGTTAGTTCAGCCAAGTCTCGCATGGCCCAAGCTCCTCCCACGGTCGCGCCTGTCATCATCGCGTGTTCCTCCACAAACGCGATAAGATAGCAAGCGGACCTGAGCCCGGCCCCCGGGATGCAGAAATTCACCACCAATGCAACCATCCGTCGCTAAAAATGTCACGACCCTCGCCCTTTCTCTATGCCACGCCCAGAGCGGAGGTGGACTCGCTCGCGATATTACATCTCAAACGCGACAGCCTGATTCCCCTCACACTCGCCGAGAGCTCCGATGAAGGGTATGCCGAAGGGGCAGTCGCCAACACCCGCTTCGGCAGCTTCCCGCACAAGACATTGATCGGGCTCGACTGGGGCAGTCAGGTGCGCGCGAGCAAGGTTGACACAGGGAGCCGAGGACGCAAGGGCAAGAACAAGAAGCCAGAGGACACCGCCTCAGCACCAGCAGAAAATGGCTCTGCGGAAGAGAAAGGCAGCAGGAAGCGAAAGTCGGATGGGCAGGAAACAGAACTCGCATCATCACCTACAAAGAAGCGGAAACAGGAAGCAAACGGCGATGCTCCAGCAGTGAAACCAGTCGAGGCGGGCTCAGGCTTCATACACGTCTTGCCCCCAACTCCTGAGTCCTGGACATCTTCGCTGGATCATCGAACACAGGTCGTGTACACGCCCGACTATAGCTACATCCTGCAACGACTACGAGTGCGACCTGGTAGCACCATCATCGAAGCCGGTGCAGGGAGCGGCAGCTTCACGCACGCTGCAACGAGAGCCGTCTTCAATGGTTACCCTTCAGAAAGTAAGCGACGAAAAGTAGGCAGGGTGTACAGCTACGAATACCATGAGCCGCGAGTCGAGACACTTCGCCGGGAGATCACAGAACACGGTCTTGATGGCATTGTCCATCTCACACATCGTGACGTCTGTAACGACGGCTTTCTTCTCGACGACGGCAGCTCACCCAAGACCGATGCCATCTTCCTTGATCTTCCAGCGCCTTGGACTGCCCTGCAGAACTTGACGCGAGACGGACCTGATTCTCCGCTCAATCCTGAAAACCCCATCCAGCTCTGCACTTTCTCGCCTTGTATCGAACAAGTAATAGCAACGTGCGCCGCATTACGGAAGCTGGGCTGGGCCGATATCAGCATGGTGGAAATCCAGAACCAGCGAATAGACGTGCGCCGAGAGCGCGTGGGCTTGAAAGAGGAAGGTCTAAGAGGCGTCAATGCGACAGCTGCCAATGTGAATGAGGCATTAGAGCGATTACGGTAGGTCAACGCTACAATTCATGGATATTTTTCTTTGTCAGACTGACCGGAATCTAGACAGGACATCATCCCACAGGAGAGGAAGCGAGAGCAAGGCGGTGTGCTGACCAAGGCAGAAAGACTGGAGCAGATCAAGCGAGAAGCAGAGGAGCGAAAGCTTTACAAGGAAGGCAGACTCGTGCATCGAACTGAACCCGAAGTCAGGACACATACAAGTTATCTTGTATTCGCTGTGCTACCACGCGCGTGGTCCGAAGAAGACGAGAGGAAGGCAGAGGAGGAGTTTCCTTTGGGAGACGTGATGAAAGGAAGTCCCGCAAAGGAGAAGGTGACGCCGACCAAGGTTGATGGGGCGGCGAAGTAGAAAGGAGTCGCTGCAGTTGATCTGCCCGGCCGTAACAAGAGCTTGGCTTGATCGCACGAAGGTGCTTTCGGCCCAGACGAGCGCATTGGCTCTCTTGATCTTACGTCGCACAGAACGAGCTGTGACCGGAGCAAGAACTGATCCAGCTCATTGGATTCGGCCCATCACCTTGGTTCTGCAGACCACCAACAAAGACCTTGAGGACTGCCGGACTTTCTGAGCAACCCTGAGCCCAAGCTCCTCATCCTCACTGGCTCAACGCGTCGCACAGCGAGCAGACGACCCTCAATTGCCGAACAGCAAGCATGTCGTACAAATCCATATCTCGATCTGAAAATGGAAAGCCAGAACCCATCTCATCTAGCGTGGCCTTGGCGTCTTTAGCAACTTTTCAGTCCAACATCAACCCCATACACATCGGCCCCATTGATCAACCTAACCAGTTCTCCAAATCAAGCTTCCCCCTCCAACCCCTCATAAACATCCCTCCGATCCAGCACCTTCGCCCTCGCACTCCCCGGCCATTCCACCGGTAACTCCGTCCCCCAAACCTCCTCCCTCCCCTCCCCCCTCAACGCAACCTGCAAAACTCCCTCCCCTAACCAAATCCCCATCCCCTCCAACTTCTCCCTACAATCCCTCAATTTCTCAATTCTCCCAATATTATTTCTCGTTTTCGCTTCGAAATCTACTCGGCGGATATTTTTAATGTATCCGTGGTGAGAGGTTGGGAGTCGTTGAAGCCAATTGTAGAGACTTGCGATTCGGACATCGGTGTAGAATGTTGTAAGGTTGTAGAAAGGTTTGGAGGCTTCGAGGCGGAGTTGGTGGTTGACGCGGAGGAGACCGATGTTACGGGGTCGGGTGGGGAGGGAGAGATGGACGATGTTGGAGGTGAAGAGGTGGGAGTAGATTAGGTCGCGGATTTCGCGGGGGAGGGTGAGGAAGATTGGGGTTGTTGGATGTTGGGTTGTTGAGGAGGGCATTGTGGTTTCGATGTTTGATTGGGATTCCTTTTGTTCAGAATGGGCTATTTTTCTGAAGAGACGAATCGAGAAGTCACTACTCTTCGATGACAGGAACGAATGCTTATACATACACAGACCGCATCCGTCAGTACCACAAACATCACACCATCACCAACCATAATATGTACATGCACTCGCACGCCCTCAACTCCGACCCAATCCTTTCCCCAAATCCTACACATAACCAGCGAGAACCAGGCAACCAGACGTGGTTCGCAACGGTTTCATTGACATTGCTTTGACTCAGTTCCATGCACTCCGCCCTGATCATGACACATAAGTTCCTCGCGTGACGACCTCAGTCTGCGAACCTGCCGAGCACATAGCTATAAGGTGCATCACATGACACCCGCGGAGCTGGTCCGGCTGACGAAAAGGGTAGCTCCGAGCATCGGTCTGGAGGATGTTTGACGTAAGAGTTTCATGGAATTTGCTTGGTATTTGGTAAGAAATACCATGGTTGTTTACGGGGTAAGCGGGAGGAATTGCGTTTGCTTTCGTTGTGGGAGGTGAGGATGGACAGCGGCTTGTGGCTCGAGAATTGCCCGATTTCGGTGTTGGACTTTGCTGTTTCTTGCGGTACTTGTACATGGCTTGTAAAGTTGGCCTTTTTGTATGCTGGGATTCTGGGAGATGTATTGATCGGACTTGTCACGCGATGTTGTTTTCTGTAAACAAGTGTTCGTCATGATGAGATGAGATGGTGCAGCATCCTTCTCGGCGACTCCAGTCCCCCACAGCACTAGCCCCATATTATGTACAAGCTTTGAGGAGCACCAACAGATTTGTGTACTGTGCTGTAGGTCCTCGCAAGTAATGTTCCAGCCAAGAGCCTTGAGCATTGCTCATCTTGATGATGTACGTATTGTACTGCATATCCGCTGTACAACTACGACGGCTTCCATGTCCTAATCACCTGCGAAGAGAGTTTACTGTTATCATGTTGACTAAACTTCGCCAGCTGAGATGTTGTTGCAGTCACTGCCTTCGCTCCGTTCGAGATGTGATTGTGGTTTGAGCACGGTCGCATTGTTCCGCGGATGTCTCACGTCTGCGCACGGAAGCCGGGATGATCTGCCTCCATGCCGACTGGGTCGTACCAGATCGTTCACCGCTGTTACAACGTGACGAAGTTGATCCTCACTCTCGATTCGGATGAGATGCAGGTATCTGCGAGCTTGACTGAGAGCGGCTCTATAGCAACGGATCGACTGATGAGCCCGGACGCTCCATACCCTCCAAGGCTTGCGTCTTTCTTCTCTTCTGTGCTGGTCCATCGACTGCAGCGTCATGCAACGGTTCTTCCTAAGCTTGCATTGGCATGAAGCTGTCCATATGATCCGGAGTGAATTCCGCATCTTGATCTGTGGCGTCATGAGTGCCGTTGGCGATGTCGTCCACCCAGCCGTGCTTGATACGCAGGCTCCAAAACGTCGTAATCAATCGATTGACGACATCGACGCCGATCTGGTTGCGCTTCAAGACATGGACGAAGGCATGGGGTGACCAATTTCGTTCAATGGTATCGCCGAGTGGAGCAATCGCCAGAGCCAACATGCACAACTCAGCAAGATCTGGCTGTTCTTGCACCCAGAAATTCTGCCACCACTGGATCGGCGTCATCTGATTGCTAGCCATCCACACCATGTCGTTGGCAAATGGACCCTGCTTGACTCGCAGCAGAGACAGCATGCCGAGCAATGCGGAGGCCTTCATGGTGTTGCCGTTGCAGTACTTGAGGAGAAATGCCTGCAAAGAGCGCGATTGTGTTTCCTCATTACTGTCCAGAATGGCAGGCCGACGATGACGCTCTTGCGGATCTGCAATGAAGGCGATGAACATGAGTGGCGCGTCGAGGAGCGCATGGGTCAATTGGTGCCTTGATGGGATTTTGAAAGCTGGACGCAGTGTGCGAAGAAAGGCACGAAATGCTGGATGTTCAGTCACTGACGGGTCGAGACCTGAAGCGTGAATCCATTGGGCACAAGCAGTGGTGGCTAACTCTTGCTCTGTATTCGACATGGACGCGATGCCGCGGGTGCGAGCACGCTGTTGCTGCTGGAGCTCAGCAGCAGACGGGAGGGTAGGGTCCAGACGATGCGGCTGGTACGTCCGCCATAGTGGCTCGGGCAGTTCCATGCATCGCTGGAGATGCTCAATCACTCGCGCCTTTTCGTTGGACGTCCATTCGAGGTGGCAGTGCTTGCAGGTGACGCGGGGATGGCGCTTGCCGGAGTCTTCGTCCAAGGCGCGGTCGACTTCCTGCCAACATTCATCGCGGCCTCGCGGCATCGTGCGGTATCACGTGCGACGCGTCGATGCAGTGAAGAAAGCGGTATAGCAGCTGTGGAGGGCGGCGTGGACGACGTGGATGTGGCTCGCAGTGCAAAACACAGTGGGTGGTGGAGCTGCAGAAAGTGGATGACGGAGCGTGGTGGATTGCTGAGCACGTACCATTTCTTGGCATCAAACATCACTTCGCAAGTTCTTCTCCAACGCTTGCACAGTCAACAACAGAGAAAGCAATGCTATCCTGTGGCATGATGTCCGAGTCGCAGACGACAAATTCCTCTGGAGAAGCCCCGCGATCACATCGTCGAGGATATGTGGTCGTTGTGCAGACTTCTGAGAACGATGTCCGTACGCTACCCTGACGGTGGTCTCGCCTCTGGGCATCTTGCGAATGGTCCGTCAAGTCACCAAATGACCGAGATACAGCCAACCAAGCGTGTGGATGCCTTACGATGACATTCATCTCGCCTGGCAGCTTGTGTTGGGCCACCGCTGGTGGATCGCGGCGTGGAAGTTGTCCACTTGCAAAGTCCCACTGCACCCTTCAATGAGTCGCGTACCAGGATGACGTTATCCGCTCAGCCAGGCCGGAGACCCTTCGGCCATACTGGACTCTCTGAAATTGAGAGCGCATGCGCACCCTGCACAAAGCTGATGAGATGCATTCGAATGTTGCAAATCGCATTATTATCAAGCTGTTGGCAGGCCGCCAGGTCAAGCTCAAGCGCCTCGGCCTTTCCAGCGGCACATCCCGGCTTACTTTTTCTCCCCCATCTCACGTGCGAACCTCGTATCTTACGTCCGTGCGCTCGTATTGCCGATCACCACGCTACTTCACTTTGGAGATGCATCAGATTTCTCTTCTCCCTAGGCGAATCCTGGCCATTCGTGCCTGAGAGATGCTTGTTTGGAGCACTAAGTTGCGAGCTGAGCGAGGCAGGCCGCTCAAACGACGATGCCTCTCCTTGTCCCCATAAGTTTACAGCCACTCTAGTGCAGTCGTGGCTGAAAAGGTATTCTTCTCACGTCCTCGGATCTGTCTTGGATAGGGCAACTCGTTCCGTCTGATATGCGACTCACATATCGCGTGCCAAATTCACTACTGTCGCTATGTAGCGAATTCCCGATCGCGCGCAGACTTGCATGGGGCATTGCCGGGACACCATGCTCGCAATGCCACTGCCTTAGCTTTATCCTAGGGGCTGTCGGCATAGTATGCCATAATGGTAAATGCAGTCTCACTTGAAACATGGCCAAGCACAACAACCAGGATGATCAGGAGTATGAGAGATCGCAGACGAGCAACGCACATTTCAGGACCGCATATGGCAGTCTCATTGCCCTGTAAAGCTCTGTCTGACGTGCGTGAATTCAACTTCCATATGCAGAACGATCGGCATCTAGTCCAGGCCAACCCGCCCCTAGCCCGCCGGCCCACGCAAATCACAGATCTTATCTTATACCTCGCTTGGAAAAGACTACTGATGATCAAGGTGGCGTCTTAGGTGGGTGCACTTCACAAATCACCTCGGCGACTCAGCCCGTAAAGAAAAGAACCATATGTATATGTCTCCCATGCTCGACTACGCTCTTCCCACGATCTAAGCTTCCATTGTTCGAACGATCATCCCCGAACATCTTACACGATGCTCTTGTCTTTGGCAGTCGCCAGCCTGGTGGCGCTGGCTAATGCAGTACCTACTGCTGATACTCTAAAAGTATGCGACTACCTATACAACACCTACCCTCGATACATGGCCTACGATCCACTCAGCATCAATGCTCTGAGAACCGCTGCGAATGCCTCACGATGGATCGACACGAACCGAGTATACTGGAACAACCAAAACTCATACGACTATCGATCAGCATGCACATTCTTCCCTGCCAACGCACAGCAAGTATCGAACCTCGTCAAGAAGCTGAATGAGTTCCCATCTGTCAAGTTCGCCATCAAAGGCGGAGGACACAACCCTGCTCCTGGGTTCTCTTCCACAGATGAAGGAATTCTGATGGCTTTCGAAGTCAACCTTGGGTCTGCTACCCGCACAGAGGACGGAAACCACTTCATCGTTGGTCCGGGTGGAAGATGGGGTGATATCTACAAGATTACCGGACAAACGAATCAGATCGTCGTCGGTGGTCGACTGGCACATATCGGTGTTGGTGGCTTCGCCCTGGGCGGAGGTCTATCTTACTACTCTGCTCAATACGTGAGTGCTTGGTTCACCATACTTTTAGACCCAACTAACATCTACCTAGGGTCTCACCTGCGACAACGTCGACCAATGGGAAGTCGTACTGGCAGACGGCACAGCAGTCAATGCAACACGAACAGAGAACACCGAGCTCTGGTGGGCCCTCCGAGGCGGCGGAAACCAGTTCGGCATCGTAACTCGCATGTGGATGCAAGCCCATCCCGAAGGCGTCAACGGACAAGTCTGGGGAGGTCTCCGCGCCTACACCCCCGACAAACGTGAAGCCCTCTTCCGCGCTGTCACAAGATTCATCCGCGACTACCCCGACGCCAAAGCCGCCGTCATCCCCGTCTTCCAATTCGGCCTCCCACTCAATCTCCTCAACGCCATCACCGGCCCCATAATGTTCATGTTCTACGATGGCCCTACACCACCACCAGGCCTGTTCGACGAATTCGACGCCATCCCTTCCCTATTCTCCGAAACCGGCACAAAACGCTACGCAGAAGTCGCAGAATCAGCAGGAGGTGCTGCGATCGTCGGCTTTGGGAACTCTTTCCGTGTCATCACATACCCCAATCTCCCAGAAGACCAACAAGTCGAATTCTTCTCCCACTACTACGATGCAACCTACAACAAAACCTTCATCGACGGCCTCGAATCCGGTCTCGACATCCAAATCACAGGTTTCGATCCCCAACCCGTCTCCGTCCGCATCGCGGAAGCTTCGCAACGACAAGGCGGTAACGCTTTAGACCTCCGTCCAGAATACGGCGATCGGATCTGGTTCGAAAACAATTTCCTCTGGGCGAATCCTCTCTGTCAAGACCGTTGTCCAAAGTACTCTGAGGAGCTTTCGGAGTCTCTGTTGGCGTATCATAAGGAGAATTATGCTGGTATCGCTCCGACGAATTATCAGTCCGGTGATGTGGAGACTGTTAGTTATAGTCCGCTGTTTATGAATGATGCGGCGCCGAATCAGGATGTGTATTCGAGTTATGGAGCGGAGAGTTTGGCGAGGCTGCAGGCGGCTAAGCGACAGTATGATCCGAATGGGTTCTTTACGAATAGGCAGGGTGGGTTTAAGTTGCCTGCGTAGAGACCTTAAAAAACATAAGATAATGAAGATATGTATTGATGACCTGTATCTGTTCAAAACGAACGTGAACTCTCGTTCCTTTATCGGTCTCTGATTTGCGTTGGATTGTTGTGACTTTCGAGTCATCTTTTGTGCTGCATGCATCGAGTCAAAACCTGTGAAGCCCATCGTTTAGATCCCAGAATCTTCCTGCTCGAACTTCAAATTCATCCTCTCCCAACCAGCACATGTATCGCGTGTAGCGTCAAGGGAGCCAATGCTTCCCACAATTTCGTCTTGGCGCTCGATGATGTTGAGTGCAAGACCACTCGAAGCATGCCATGCAATGTGGCAGTGTCTGCGGGCGAGATCAGTCTCATTCCAGTACCAGCGGTAACATGTTACTTACACGAGCCAGATTCCAGGATTATCAAGCTTAAAAGCCAAAGCAAGATAGCCACCAGCATAAAGCAACGCTGTATCGCGACGAGTAGGATTATCGGTATTCATCGCTGGGACAGTCCCGTCCCACTGTCGATCGATTTGAGCGAGGATGACGAAGTCGTGGCCGTGGCTGTGTGGCTGTTATTGACTTGAAAAGTCCTTTCGTCAGATGTCACTTACAGATGAATGGGGTGCGCAGCAGGCACTCCTCTCTTTCCCGGTATGTTGAGAACATTTCCAGCTGTGATGACAAGATAGACGAATCCGTCGTTCCAAGCATGATTCGTGTAATTGACCGCAGCGACATTAGGATCCGCGAAGAAACTCGCATCGTTGACGTTCAAAATGCTGGGGTCAGAATAATTGAGAAACAAGGGTTTCTCGGAAAGCTCCCATCTGAATGCACCATGATTTGTGACGTTGTCGAAAGCAGCATCAAAGGTGTAATTGTCTCGATTATTGCGCAGGTCGGCAGCGTTCCATCGCACGACAGGCCGCAGCTTGTCGACCGGTTCGTCTTGGCAGGCTTCTCGATCGTTGCCAGAAATGGTCTCTGGGTTGCCGGATCTGTTTGGAGAGTATTGAATAATCCCTGTCTCTTCGTTATCTTGAGCGACGGTGCCGCAGCCAGAAGCAATTCGAGTTCGGATCCAGTAATTACAACTCCTCACATCTTGCACGCAGAGTCTTGACTTCTTCTTCGGTTTGGCCGTGACTATGACTTGATATCGTTGTCCAATAGCAACAAAGACTGAGTCGGTGGTGTAAGGGACGATAGGGACCAAATCGGCTTGGATAACCTGGAGATCATGATCATCGATGGCGAAGATGAACATGGACTCCGAGGAGGCATTAATCAGTTGGAGCAAGTACCGCTTGCCTTCTTCGAAAGTTTTGTTGAATCTGCCGCCACCTTGGATAGTTTTCACTCCATTGACAGTCTTGAAGCATCCTGGATCGGGAGTACAACAGAATTCCGGATTCTCGCCCTCATTGATATTGCAGGTCGCCCGGTTGCAACCGACACAGCATTTCGGGTCCAAGCTGGAGCATTTGAACTGGTTGACGCCTCCAAGGAGCAGACTATCTGCGATTGGTATAGCTTGGGCAAGCTCTTGCTTGAACGCGACGGAAGTGTTCTCGTGAACCCAGTCTTGCATCATGACCGGCGTGAAGGTTTCGTCCCAATCATCGCTGCTTGGTCCGTAGATGGTGAGTGGTCCAGCAACGCCGTCGGAGTACTGAGTCTGATAGTGGCTGTGGTACCACGTATGTCCATACTGCTGAGCGTGGAAACGGTACGTGTATGTTTCGTTGTAGGCAATCGGGCACTGAGTTACACCATTGACACCGTCTTGCTGATTCTATTGACATCTTAGCATGAAGTCCATAGCTGGGACTTGACACTCACTGTATGCAATTGGCGAATGCCATGCCAGTGAATCGTCGTGCCTAGGTTTGGGATCTTGTTCGTAACGTGGACAACAAAGGTGTCACCCCAACAGCCTTCAAGATGAGGTCCTGGATATGTGCCATTGAACACTTGGCCGAGGCTTTTCAAGTACCCATCAGGAGCGATTGGCTGGAGATCGACATCGAGCCAGTACTACACACAGTCAGCACATCGGCTACGACATTCCTTGAGTTGGACGGGATCTTCAACACACTTCCCGAATGACTCCAGTCGGCGTAAAGTTATCACCTGGAGTGTCGTACTCAGTATGAATGTCGTAGGTGATGTTCTTCGCATCGCTAGATCTAAGCCAGCAGTCCCGGCCTTTAGCACTATTGCATGATCGATAGCCATTCATTCGAGGATAGTTGCAAACGAAGTTAGTTCCAGCGACCTTGAACGATGGCCCTGCCAGTGGGGCGAGCTCATTGTTGTCGTGTGCATTCTGAGGAACAACAAAAGGCTGCTGCGAAGTGTAGCTACTCGAATCGAGAAGAGGCGAGTATGTTGCGATTTTGAGAAGTACTTCCCAGCAGTACTCGAAGAACATGGCAACCAGTGCGTCACTGAAAAGCAGTCTGAGCAAAATTGAGCGTGATTGAGGGAGATGCAGAAATGCTTATTTCATCCAGGGTCGAGGCTTCAGATATGCATCTCGATACCTCAACACCTACCGTGCCGCTCTTCCTCTGCTCTTCCCTGACGCTGAATTCTCCAATCCGCCATGATGCGCAGGAGATGCACTCGTACGGAGTCCTCGGCCAGTGAGGAGTCAGAAGTGCCACGCTTCCCACGCTCAGAGGATTTACGATATATGAGCGTGCAGGCGGTACATCTTGATAAGGTCCACATAGTAAGCACGAGAATGCACTCTTTGGGTGTAGCCGAGCTGAAAAGCTTCCGGTCTGCGCAGCAGATGTCGATGTAAGCGGCGTGACATACTGGGATTACCCCATTGCGATAATACAAGAGCCGAATTCGCAACGCGAAGCCGCTCCTCATGCGGGCAGACATGTCAGCCTACGTAAATACTTTATTGGTGGTTGTCAAATTCCCATCTTGAGAGGTAAGGCTTCCGGCTCCGGCGTTCAACAAAAAAGCTGTCGACGTTTCCGCAGCGTACGATTTGTATGCTCTTGAGATGGTCCTCGAATCCGAATGCGTACCGGTATGCATGGCATCTCCATCTTATGCTCTGTAAACGAGCTGAAGCTTTTGCTTGTCCCCAGCGATCGACTGTGCAGGCTTACGACGCAACTTGTCGGCATTGAGGCTGAGAGCTGAACAGCTGAGCCGTGAGATTGTCACACGACATGTCAGCAATCGAAAGCAACTCCGGTTGCGATGCGCTCGAGTCCGTGTTGGAATAAATCACATTCTTGGAGGTTGTAGAGGTGATGTGCGAGTCGGGGAGAGGACAAGAGAAGCAGAACAGAGCAAGAAGGGAGAAATGAGCGGGCGCGGGCGTCGGACCTCCGCCGTCCCGTGCAAGCTGTCAACGAATCAATGCTTACGGTTCCAGCCGGAGCTAGCTCATGTCTGGTTACACAGAACGGGCACGGACGCTGCTGCACTGCTGACCTCCGCCTCGGACCTGACCTGAACTTGCATTCCCCACTGCTCTCCGCTCTCCCGCAACACAAGATTGCCCATCCATGAAGCTTCTCTAGGCGTTTCCAAGATACTTGGTTTGATAGCATAAGCTCGCTTTCGAACGCTCCGCTCCGTACAATCGGCTGCGACGAAATTCAGTGTCTGCGTGACCACTGCAATCGATCTCGGGTTGGAGCAAACTTGCCGCCAAGCAATCGTGCAAGAAATGACGAAGAGGAACGTTCCCTCCCGCGGTCAATGGGAACTGATTGAAAAATCTATTGTTTCCACTCAGCCATTCAATGCAATCCGAAATATCTAAGATCAGCCTCAACAACTCGTCCCATAACACGTCCGATCATAGAACGTTGCATCCGACGGCGCAGTAGTGCTCGTTCCTTTCAAGCTCATCTGCACAGACGAGAGCGAGTACCGTGTGCACAGATTCGTGCTGGGACTCCAGCTAAAGCTCATGCAAGTGGCTTGCGGTATGCAATAATCAGCGCACTGCTGAAGAGATTTCCACATTCCTTTGGTGGGTTTGCCGACGAGGAAGTTGCTGTAGGCGGTGCCGGTCTTCTTACCGCATATGAAGGCTGGGTTGGGGTTGGACTTCAGGACTGCTTTGCCGGATGTGCAAGTTGGCGCGTTGGAAGTTGTCAACGAGGCTTTCTTGGTAGTGGTTGTTGACCGTTTGGTTGTTACTGCTGCAACTTTCTTGGTTGTGGTGGCGGCTTTCTTCGTCGTTGCTCCGGCCTTTTTGGTAGTAGCTTTCTTGGTTGTTTGAGCAGCTTTCTTCGTTGTGGTCACCACCTTCGTCGTGGTTGTGATCTTCTTTGTAGTAGTAGTCATCGTTGTAGTCCTCTTTGTCGTATTGCTCGCGGCTTTGGTTGTGGTAGCAGCGACCCCCTTGCCTCCTGCACTGGTCGTTGTTGATTGAGCGAGATCGTCGTCGTCGATCTCTCCTACACCGCTGTCCCCGTCATCGCCAATTTCGCTGTCTCCGCCAGACATACCATTGCCTTCGGAGTCATTCATGCCGTTGCCAGTCATGCCGCTGTCCGCCCCAGAGCCTTCTGGGTCACCATCTGCAATACTGTTGTCTGTACCAGTCTTGACATACCCAATGCAGCCTTCTGCAATTGGCGCACTCTTGTAAGGATCCACGAGCGGGGTCTCATAATTGTCGAAACCTGTAGCTGTAAGACGGAAGTCGATGTCATTCTGGAAGAAGACGTTCCACGCGATACCATAGCATCCTCCATTGATATCATGCTCGATTGTGCCGTTGTCGAGCACCGAAGCAGAGATCTCAAACGTTCCTTCGAAATTGATAGATGGTGTGTCCACAATGCCAGCCTACAGAAGAAGTTAGCCATTCAGCCAGTTGGTCAAGTATAATGTTGCAATCGCTCTCAGCTTACCGTGGCCTCAAAGGCATACCCTCCAATGAGCTTCAAACCGATGCCCAATTCGACCGGCAAGCCCAGGCCTGCTGTGATCTCAAGCTCGCCTTGCGCCTCTGCTTTGTGAAGAAAATTAGGCGCCAAACCAGTGGCACTACTATCACTTGGATTCTTGAGATCGAGTGTAATGTCGATGTTCGGCCATTCAGCACCAGCGCCGACCAAGAGCTGGCCGCTGGCTTCGACTCCAAAAGAGGCTTGCAATTGTACGCCGATGAAAGGTCCAACAGTTGCTAAGCCCTCAATACCCCACTCGACAAGATAGAATTTCTTCTGATCCGAAGTCCATTTGTTCTCGTAGGTGACAAACGCATTGAGGCCCAGATATAGTCCTGTCGAAGTAATTAGGAATGGTCACGGCTCCACTTTGAATCACTTACCAAGCTCCATGTGTCCATTTAGACCAATCTTTGCTTCCACAACAGTAAAGTATGAAGTTCGTATAAAGCCCCACGCCGTAAGTGAGCCGCCAAAGCCACATTCAACGCAGTATAGCCCGACGCCATAATCAAAATTCTTTTCTGACTCGCCGCGTGTCATGAGCGACGTCTCGTTTGATCGTTTGTGATGGCCTGTCGCGCTGGCAACTTCTCCCTTCTTGTACGAGTCGTCAGGCTTTGCACCGTTCTCGCTCTTGCTCCACGAGAAAAGCTTTGCGGCATTATCCCAGGGCGCGTTCTCATCGGTGCCTAGATACTCGTCGTTGTTGAGATACTTGCTCCACTCGATGGTGCTCGAGACAGGGCCCCAATCAATGCGCCTCTGTAGTCCATGCGGTATAAACAACTACACATGTCACCAAGATTAGTGGTAGTCCGCTAGTCGGTCGTGACGGAACAACTTACTGCTCTCTTCGTGAGTGAACGTCTCAAATTGTGAGTGCCAATGTCGCCCCACTGAAGGACCATAGAGATCGTCACATCTGTAATGTTGACAGCTGGTATTCCTGGAGCTGTGAATGAGAGACCAGGATCCGCGAACGATAGCGAAGTAGCGTGAAAGTAGACATTGGCATTGTCTGGGCCACAAGTGTCCGCAGCGGTGATGAAAACGAGGTCGCTGTGCGTGGGCCCTGGAGTCACGATACGTGATCAGTCTTATGACACTGCCCGTTGTGAGAAGAATGTGAACTTACACTTCTTCTTAGCATAGCTGTATGCCTGGCTGGTCAGAGTACCCGTGAGTACGCCATTTGAGCATGAAACACCAGACACGTAGGCAGAGTGATCCAAAGTGATTGCTGGCCATCTGTGACGAAGGTTACAACTGTCAGCCATAGTGCATCAATCATGGGTGGTAGTCCCTATACACAATGCTTACTTGAACCCCAGATCAGCGGTCGCGAGAAGAGCTCCATCGCGCTTCATGACACGCTTCTGCGTAGATCCAGGGGTGGAATCGGCGCCAGCCCCTGCCCATGCTAACGAAACCGACGTAGTGGGGGCTAGATTGAGCAGCACGGAATCATCGACTTGTGGAGGAATGACGGGTTCGAGAAAAGTTGTCCCGTTTGACGTATTGCTACCAGCTGTCGAGGAGGTCCCGTTGGAGTTTGTTGTGTCGCGCTCATATCTATCACGGTGGTAGAATTGCGCATTGCTTGAAGCCTGAGGTGCGGCGGATGAAGTGGTGCAAAGTAGAAGTATAGCCGCCGCAAGAGTGATTCGCTGGAGAGAGAACGCCATGAATGCAGCGTGTCAAGCGCTGGGGAAGTAACAACGACAACTCACTCAATGACATTGATCAAAGTAGCAACAAGAGATGAACAGCCTGGAGGAAAGCGACGTGGCATGGAAGAACATAGTCTGAGCGGGCGTCGGTCTGGAGTCCAGGGGGACTTTATCCCGAACTTGTGCTGTACGGAGTAAGTCATGGCACAACTGCTGTATCGATGGCTCTTCTCAGTATCTGACCGGTTGTGGCTGGGCCAGATCAGTTGGAAAGGGCAATGATGGTGAGCCAGCGTCTCGACTCTCTGCGATCATTGCGGTGAGAAACGCCTCATCAAGACGGAGTCGCCATGGTCGTCAACGTCTAGGCCCAACCAGTACGTCGCATGAGTATACGTACGAGTCCAGCAGGTCTGGTGTACACGCCCTCGCTACCAGTCATACCGCCTTGGGTAGTCGGGTCCGAATATAATGCCGGGGACGAGCTGCATCCGTATAGTGCATCGCGTACTCCGTGCTAATAGTTGAGTTGTATTACAGGCGTAGACGCCGTGGCCGGAAGGTTCATATGTTGCTAGTCTGATCTCCAGCGTCCCAGTTAAGCGACAGCATGTACCATTCGTCAGGACTTGGACCACGCACGTGGGCTCACATGGCTGAAGCGTGCATTGCCGGCAGTGCGCGAATCGTACGCGACCGAGGGCGGCTTGCTTCTCTAGGGTCAGTCCCCAGCCAAGGGATTGTGGGCTATACTCAGGGCATGCACGTTTGGTCTAGTTTCTGCCTTCTGGAGATGGCTAAGATGGCCGGCCGTCGAATTCGAGGCAGCTCACAGCCTTGCAAGAGCTGGACAGGCGCCAGAGAGGATGCCGCGGGACCGGGAGGGCCACGCATCTGGCCGCTGGGAGAAGAAGACTTGAGGGCGCGAACAGTCAGTGTGGCTTGTCGACAACGTGGTGAACACGAGATGGCGTTCGGGGCGTTCATGAACAAGCTTCCGACAAGACTCACAAGAGCCACGCTTCTGCAGCGAAGCTTCTCCCGAAATTGCTTGGCGTTCAGCCAAGCGCCACTTCGACAGCCCAATGCGGACTCCTGGCTTGCGCGCGCGTCCAGAAACGCTTGCAATGCCACGTGCCGGGTGAAGACTGCGGAGATGCAGTTGAAAGTCTGAACTTAGCCTCACCACGCCTGGTTTCAACCGGCCCAACAACGACGACGCTGCCGGCAAGAACTGCCTTCATGTCCAAGTCAATTTCCACCTCGTGAGCGGATTGTGAGCGGTCGCATCTCTCAGGTGCCCACCCAGAGAGGATGACGCGGCACCGAAAGGGGAAATGTTGTCTATGGCCATTTCAAAGCAAACGAGCGAGAAGCAAGACCAAGTTGAACGCAGTACGGCGAGAACGGCAGCGCCTGTTCGCCTACAATTGGGGTGATTGGCAGCCTGGACCTGCAGAAAGTCGGCAGCAGCAGCATCGCCAACTGGTCGTGTGTGTTGTGTGGACACAGTCAAGCCTCGTCAAGCAATCAGATCATGCTTAGCCGATGAGCTTGTCAGCTTTTGGCCTGGACGGCCGGAGTCGCCGTTGGCTTTCCCCTGTCTGCACTACACATGGGAGCGAGAAGCGTTTCGAGCCTGCCGCTGGTAAGGCTGAAGCCTCAATCCCCTTTGGGGTCCGGCCGTAGGCTGCTATTGCCCCATTGGTGATAGTCGCAGCTTCGTATGGCTTGCTCCGATATGCTCGCTACACACCGCGACCACGACTGCTACTCAGCGCCTCCGGCCATGCTGTGCCTCTGTTGCGTTGCGAACGCCACGATATCAAACTTCAATCGATAGAGCTGAGTCTGGAGTCTGGACAAGACATTGGCGGTGCCTGCGATGAAGAAGCGGCTTTCGGATCCGAGGCGGGCAAATTGTCGTCGAGCAGAAAGAGATGTTGTATATATTCACGCACCCTTGGTAAGGGGATCTCATACCTCTCCCATCGCTTCAATCTTGCGCAGAATTTGGTCCAATCACTTGTTTCTCCACACTATGAAGACCTTTTCGCACATCGTCGCGGCCTTATCGCTCTTGTTAGGCTCGGCATTGGGAGACCATGTTGACTGTCGTACAACTCTGGGCACCAAGTCCGTGAAAGTCGTACCGAGGACAACTATTACTTCCACTTCGTCAGCTCGGCCTACACAGGTCCTTGTCGTGCAGTCGACAATTACAAGCTACAAGGGCATCAAGTCTACATCTGTCATCTTGAGCACATCGACGGAAACTGTGACAGATACCACACGTAAGTCTGGTGGTTTTCTCCTCCTTGGTCCAAACACTAACATTGAGTCCCTCCAGCCACCGAGACTGCCACCAGCACTACCGTTTCGTTCGATGTCGCGACGTTCAGTGCCACCATCACAAATACTGTCTCGACTACAACTACTCAAACGGTTCAGTCCACTTCGACCACCATTATTCCCACAGTCGCGGGTTTCCAGCCTATCGACAACACCGTCAACCAGGGACCTCTGCAACGCCGCAAAGTGCAACATCCCCGCGCTCCTGCTGGCGTTGCGCCCAAGAACAAGAAAGCCGGCGTTGCTGCTGCAACCCACCCCCAGAACGTGAAATGTACGTCACAATCAAAGGACTTGAATCGCATTCGCCCATACTAAAATCCTCCCAAGGCACCCGCTACGTCTCAAACACCCACACATTCACAACCTACACGACCCTCACCCCCCTAACCAACACCATGACCTACTTCTCCAAAACCGTCCGCTCGACATCCGTCATCACAGACACCTCAACATCCTTCCCCGCCGAAGTCACAGAAACAGTAACATCCACCTCCGTCTCCGACGTTCAAACAACCACAACCTTCTTCCAAACTTCCACAACCACACTAGGAGCCGTGGCAACCCAAGTCATCAACGGTCCCACCCATTACGACGCCTGCACAAACGCAAATAACTTCTTCGGACCAAATTTCTCCAATGGCGGAACTTCGTACGAAATCGTAAACGCTCAAAACAACGGACCCAACGTCGGAAACACGTATCAGATTGTGAATCTCAATGGGATTAATACTCAAGAAGAATGCTGTTCAAAATGTCAAGCTTCGGCAATTTGTGAGACGTTTTTGTATCGTCCTGGTAAGTTAACCTCCTACCTCACCTCACCACGCCTCCCCTCCTTCCTCTTTCTTAGTAGTACCACCCAACTAACAACTACGTTACAGGCAACGCCGGCTGCTTCCTACTCGCTCACACCGATAATACATGTTCAGCGCAAACCAATCACGCCAATTTCTTCTTGTCCAAGGCTGGGACTGCTACGGGAACGGATGTAAGTATAAAAACAACATGATCCCAAAGATCACTGTGACTACTACGGCTGCTAACGAGGATTCTGTTCATAGGCTTATATCGTTGGCAATGGAAAGTGTGGCTACGCTTATAGCGCGAACAGTGATGGGTCGGTTTTCCAGGCTAGTTAGATTGATGTAAAGATTGTTATTTGTTGCAGATAGAAAGAAGTTTATGAATTGTTTGAGAGAATAGTGTCGTTCGGGTTTTTTTTCTTTAATCTGATTTGTTATCGCTTTCGTCTGATTTGTTATCGCTCGAGCAGTATGTTACGGGTGCGTGCTTGGGACCATTCAATCTATGGCCATTTCCCCCAAGACTTCAGTCCCGGGGGCGATGGTATGTAGTTGGTACCATAGAAGTGTATATGAGGCGCAGCTGTATGCTCGCATGAAGAAAGTCTATTCTGGAAGTAAAGTAGATAGGACTGATGTGAGGCCCGCTGAGCCAACATTCCACAGATTTGGAGTTCTCTACTGACTCTCATTCCAGAGAGATGGTTGGTTCTATTTTTGGTGTCATGGAAATTCAATGCAGCGATGGTACAAGAATACTGAGAAAGCACTCAGCGAAGAGAAATTCGCATGCTAGAAGAAAAAAGCACGACCTAGCGCCAAGGAAGCGAATTCATCACAATGTCTTCCGAAAGTGACACTGTACAGAACGAATCAGCTTGTCTTCTCAGCCTGCCAACGGAGCTGCGATTACAGATATATAACTATATCCTTCCACCACAACGACAACGTTATGAAATCATCGTCAGTCACACTTACCACCTCGCTTTTCCCCCTTCGCCATTCATGCTAATCATCCCGTAGTATCGCAGCCCCTCCCGAACTCACCATGGCCTCCCAAAGGCACCTCCGCATCTACCACTCCTCAGCATCTGCCACCTAATACGGCAAGAAGTGCTCGACGCAGCATGTGCAAACGAGATTTTCATCATTGAAGCATCGCTGTATTCGAAATCCTTTGGAGGTTTATCGCCTTTGGGAGAATGTACTTTGTCGAGTATCTGGCTGAGACAGATCAAGAAGGTTGTTTTGTTCAGTATGTTGGATGTAAGGAGTGAAGGGGTGACAAGGTTTGGCGATTTAAGGGTTTTGCAGGGGATGACGGGATTGAAGGAGTTGAGGGTTGTGGTCGGCGGGATGAAAGAGGACGGGAAGGGGAGTAGGAAGAGGGGGGGCATGAAGGAGAATGCGCGTGGGTTTGTGAAAGCGGTTCTGGAGTCTATACCTGCAGAGTGCGAAGTTTCTATTGGGGCGAGTGAGGATGAGAAAGAGGGGTTTTTTTGAAGGGCATTGGACGTGGGTTGGAGTATGCATTTCGAAAGAGGACGAATAGGTTGTTGGAGAAGGCTCTTTTGCTTTTGCATGGTGCCAGGAGAGGAATTTTTTCTGGGTGTGTTATGGATCATAGCGGTTGTGGGCGTGGCAATTGCTGCACCGGACAAGCTTGTGTGAACAGTTATCTGGGCGGTGTTGTTTTCAGCATAGACTCTTGGGAGCCGGACCTGTCATTCTTGCAGGCGTCTGAGGTGGATGGCGGATACTGTTGATACAGCAGATGTTCTTCTTTCTCAATCAGTACTAGCAACCCAAATGAATCCGACCTATCCTGAAATGACTTTTGCTGCCAGTGCGATCCGTCGTGTCCATGGTATCGCTCTTGCATTTGTGGGAAGATGTCCACTTCATGGAGGTGCTTTCCGCATTCTGACGCCGCGGCGGCGTCTAGACCTCAGACTGTCTGACTGTGTCGGCCATACTCGGTGTACCGTTGCACAGCTTCGATCCCGTTGCACGCACGCTGCATCACACTTCCCGCGTGATGGTGGAGGTGGAGGTGGAGGATTCACATCAGACGACGCGACGCGTGGGCGAAATCGGTGGACAGCTCGCGTTAAGCTTTTCGAGATCGCCGCCTGTGGCTGATGACAGTCCAGCCAATCAGATGTCGCAACCGCTCGGCCAAAACTTGCCGTATCTGCGGCCGAGGTGCGAAATCGTCGTCCCGAGCAAGGATGCCTGCGCAATTCATGAAATTCACCAGGATTTGCCCGAAGGCTCAGCGCATGGCTGACATGGTCTGGACAACCTCACGCGGTGACTTGGGCGAATGGATTGCAAAGAAGGCGTTCTTGTAATCGTCGTCGAAGGCTACCCACAACAATGGTACGTTGTGGCGCGGCGAGCTCCTACTGCCGGTCAATCAAATCACCCATCAAACGTGGCTTCGAAAATTGATCCCCGCGTGCAGTCGCTTTACATCAGTCGGTACGGGGATATGACGACTGCATTTTACGCAAGTCCCTCGAGCTACTGCAGAAGAGCTTTCGCCTCTTGTACGCCAGTATGAAGCAAGCAGCCGCTGGTTTGCCTACTCTCACCTATCCGGAGCTGACACTGGCTAATGATGGATGAGGAAATACGTCCAGTGCTGGTCCGGGTTTCCTCCAGCATCAATGGCGATGGTGACGCTCAGCTTGCCGGTGAACGACGATGACGCTCACATTGTTTTGCTGAGACAAAGATAGCTGCAACTAAGACTCATCATCAGCGATGACTGCGGTCAGGCTTATTGTGTCGCCTGGGGCGGAGGAATGCGAATTGCTGTCGGCTATCGGCACAGCTACCCAAGATGGTCTGGATGCAGCCTCTTTTCCGCCGGCCGAGCAACAATACGGCGAATACGCTGCTACACTGCTGCTCAGCTATTAGACAACCACTCACGCCTGCTCACGTCGCTCGGGCATTCTCTTGCAGAGCCGTAAGTGGGGAGAGGAAGACTCCCTCGTGACTCTTTACGTCCGAATCGCTGGCAGCGACACCTAATCGTCCACAAACTATGACGGACTTTAGGGCTGCATCTCCGCTGCCGTCTGCGCAGGTCCCCACACCGTGTGCCACAAACAGCAGCGCAAAAGGTTATCTTTTCTGATTACAATACCTGGTTGTGTATTTCGGCTGTCGTGTTGCAGAGAGCCTCGACAAGCTTCTTTCCATGCCTTTTACGCACCGCCAGCCGCACCAATCACTATCACCTGCTTAGCAACGATGCGACGCCACAGTCGGGGTTGAGGTCCACTCTACTTCCGATCATGAGCTCAGTGTCTTTATGTACTTGCGCCTTCCTCTTCTGGTTTGTTCACGTCTGTTTGCCTCACAACGACTCATCTTCTCTAGGCACTTGATCACGCACACGGTCCACAAAGACCATGTCGGGATCAGATGCTGAGAAGGCATTGGCCGAAAACACAGTCGAAGCCCCAGGGCCACAAGAACCCAGGCACCCGGAACCTTTGACTGAAGAACCATCGGATCGAGAAGGGTCCAATTCCGAACTCAACGATGAGAAGAACCTCGAATACGAAGCTGCTGAGATCAGCTCCCAGGACGGCAGCGATATCGAGAAGCAACGCAGACCGCAGGTGACGCGGGAGCAGAGCAATTGGACCACAGCCACCGAGACCAGTGTGGCGACTGAAATCGAACAACCCGCGGTAGCACCTCGAAAACGAAAATGGAGCGAAAAGATCAATCCGCTCAAAAGCAGGAATCCACCTCCCATCCCTAGAGAACGCGAACCTTCAAGAGAGCACAACGCGGGCTTTTTCAGCACATTAACATTTCAATGGATCTCACCACTGATGTCGGTGGGGTACCAACGATCACTAGAGCTCAACGACATCTGGCAAGTCAATCCCGAACGAAGTGTCGATGTCATGCGAACGAAATTGCTCGAATCACTGGAGTATCGCCAAACTCGAAAAGACTGGTTCGCGCCTCTACCAATGGCACTGTATGATACATACAAGAGGGAGTTCTGGATTGGCGGCATTTGCAATTTGATCTCAGCGTGCCTGCAAGTTCTATCACCATTTACAATGAAGTACCTCATCGCTTTCGCGGGCAGAGCTTATGCTGCGCAAGTTTCAAATGGCCCGGCACCTGCTATCGGCGAAGGCATTGGTCTGGTGCTTGGAATCACTGGAATGCAAATCATTCAGTCGAATTGTATCAACCACTTCATATATCGCGGTATGATGGTAGGTGGGCAAGCGCGATCAACGCTGATCAGTGTCATCTTTGCGAAAGCGATGAGACTTTCGGGACGCGCCAAAGCTGGGGGAGCGGCATTGGGAATGGAGCAAGAAAAGCCAACATTTGAACCTGGGAGCAAGGAAGAAAAGGCTTACTTCAAGAAGCAGCTGAAAGAGGAGAAGAAAAACAAAGGCAGGAAAGGCGTCTCTGGCGATGGGCAAGGCTGGGGCAATGGCAGAATCGTCAACCTGATGTCCGTCGACACTTACCGTATTGACCAGGCCTGCGGTATGGGTCACATGGTCTGGACGGCGCCCATTCAGGTCTTGCTCACTTTGGCACTTCTGTGCATCAACTTGACTTACAGCGCCTTGGCCGGTTTTGCCTTCATCTGCGTGATGATGCCACTGCTTGGACGCGCGATCAAGAGTCTGATGGCTCGCCGCAAGGTCATCAACAAAATCACCGACCAACGTGTCAGCTTGACGCAAGAGATCATCTCTTCAGTACGTTTCGTCAAATTCTTTGGCTGGGAAACGAGCTTCATCAGCAGATTAGGCGAGATTCGAGATCGCGAGATCAGCAAAATCTCCTTCTTGCTATCGATTCGAAATGGTATCATGGCAGTGTCTATGTCGATTCCGATCTTTGCAAGTATGCTGGCTTTCATCACATATTCGCAAACACACGGCAGTGAACTGAATCCGGCACCGATCTTCTCATCACTGGCATTGTTCAACGCACTACGCATTCCGCTCAATTTGCTTCCGATGGTCCTGGGACAAGTCGTGGATGCGAACGCATCTTTGAAGCGAATTCAAGAATTCTTGGCTGCGGAAGAAGTCAACGATGATTCGCACTGGGACGACCAGGCGAAGAACGCCATTGAGATTCGAAACAGCGACTTCACTTGGGAACGGAACACCAACAAGGACAGCAAGGATGCTCCTGGCCAAAATCCGAAGGGACGAAAGCAGATTGCGCAGGACAAAAAGGATGCAAAGGCCAAAGCGAAGGAAGACAAACGGCAGTCGAAACTTCGCCAGAAGGAGGGTTTGAGCGCTCCACCGACTCCGGTCAGCCCTGCAGACAGTGTTATGGACGAGGAGACACCGCCATTCCAGATCAGAAATATCGATCTCACAGTGAAACGAGATGAGCTCATCGCAGTCATTGGTTCTGTGGGCAGTGGCAAAAGTTCGCTCCTTGCAGCTCTTGCGGGTGATATGCGGAAGACTACTGGCGAGGTGACATTTGGAGCGAACAGAGCTTTCTGTCCTCAATATGCTTGGATCCAGAACGCCACTGTGAAGGAGAACATCATCTTCGGAAGAGGCTACGATCGAAAGTGGTACAATGAAGTGATCGATGCTTGTGCACTTAGACCTGATCTCGAGATGCTGCCGGCAGGCGATTTGACAGAGATCGGAGAGCGTGGAATAACAGTGTCAGGTGGTCAGAAGCAGCGACTCAACATCGCTCGCGCGATCTACTTTGACGCAGATATCGTGCTCATGGACGATCCGTTATCGGCTGTCGATGCACACGTCGGTAAGCACATCTTCGAGAATGCGATTTGTGGTTTGTTGAAGGGCAAGGCTCGTGTCCTTGCAACACATCAACTCCACGTACTGCATCGCGTCGATCGCATTGTGTGGATGAAAGATGGCCTGATACACAAAATCGCCACATTTCCCGAGCTCATGGAGAGCGATACGGAATTCCAGAAACTCATGGAGACTACCGCGCAAGAAGAGAAGAAAGAGGTCGAGGAAGAAGTGAACGAGGATGAGATCGAAGAGGAGAAGAAAGACGCGAAAAAGACGAAGAAGAGCAAGAAATCCGCCGCTCTCATGCAGCAGGAAGAACGTGCTGTCGACAGCGTGGGCTGGGGTGTCTACGCTGCATACATCCGGGCTTCTGGTGGTATGTGGGTGGCACCATTTGTGATTTTCCTCCTCGTCATCTCACAGGGAGCCAATATCATGACTAGCTTATGGCTGTCATACTGGACGTCTCGCAAATGGAACTTGGGAGATGGAATCTACATCGGAGCATACGCGGCGCTCGGTGTGGCGCAGGCCTTGCTTATGTTCGCCTTTTCAGTGGTCCTGACAGTTTACGGAACGAAGTCGAGTAAAGTCATGCTCAACCGAGCTGTGACACGAGTCCTTCGAGCACCAATGTCGTTCTTCGACACGACGCCTCTTGGTCGTATCACAAACCGCTTCTCCAAGGATGTGGACACGATGGACAACACTCTCACCGATGCAATCCGCATGTTCTTCTTGACCATGTGCATGATCTTGTCGGTCTTCATCCTCATCATCGCATATTATTACTACTTCGTCATCGCCCTGGTGCCGCTGACGGCCATGTTTCTCTGGTCTGCTGGATACTACCGAGCTTCTGCACGCGAACTGAAGCGACACGAAGCAGTGCTACGAAGTGTTGTCTTTGCTCGCTTCAGTGAGGCTGTCAATGGCATCTCCACTATTCGAGCGTACGGTGTCCAGAAGCAATTCGCAAACCACGTCGATGAGAGTGTCGACTCCATGGACGGCGCATATTTCCTGACTTTTGCCAACCAGCGTTGGCTTTCAACAAGACTGGACGCTTTGGGCAATATGCTGGTCTTCACAGTGGGCATCCTAGTCGTCACATCTCGATTCTCCATCAACCCTTCCACGGGCGGCCTGGTTCTCTCATACATCCTCTCCATTGTCCAAATGATTCAATTCACCGTGCGACAACTGGCCGAAGTAGAGAACAACATGAACAGCACAGAACGTATCCACTACTACGGCACCGAACTCGAAGAAGAAGCCCCACTCCGCCTCGGCGAAGTTCCATCATCCTGGCCCTCTCAAGGCGCAATCGAATTCTCCAACGTCCAAATGCGCTACCGCGCCGGCCTCCCCCTCGTCCTCAAAGGCCTAACAATGTCCGTACGCCCAGGCGAACGCATCGGAGTCGTCGGCCGCACCGGAGCCGGAAAATCCACCATCATGTCCACTCTCTTCCGCCTCGTCGAACTCTCAGGCGGAAGCATCAAAATCGACGACATTGATATTTCCAAGATCGGCCTTCATGACCTGAGATCAAAACTCGCCATTATCCCTCAAGATCCCACGCTTTTCCGCGGAACAATCAGAAGTAACCTGGATCCTTTCAATGAACACACCGACCTCGAACTCTGGAACGCTCTCCGCCAAGCTGACCTCGTCGGCGCTTCCCAAACAATCGAAGATGAATCCGGCCGCATCCATCTCGACACCGCCGTCGAAGACGAAGGCCTCAATTTCTCTCTCGGTCAACGACAACTCCTCGCCTTAGCCCGCGCTCTCGTCCGAAACTCCCAAATCATCGTCTGCGACGAAGCTACATCTTCCGTTGACTTTGAAACTGATCAAAAAATCCAACGAACTATTGTACGAGGTTTTAAAGGAAAGACATTACTTTGCATTGCACATCGATTGAAGACTATTATTGGGTATGATAGGATTTTGGTCATGGATCAGGGGAATGTGGCGGAGTTGGATCGTCCGATACATTTGTATGATCAACTTGGGGGGATCTTTAGGAGTATGTGTGATCGGTCGGGGATTCGACGGGAGGATTTTTTTGAGAGTGAGGAGGCGAGGTTTAGTGCGGAGAGTCCCGAGTTGGAGAGGACGCAGAGTGCGGTTATGATGGGGAGAAATTGAAAGAGAGGTTCTCTTGAATAAAAAGTGAGTTTTATGATGATGGGATGATCGATACCCAGACAGAAGATTTTCATATGGGATAGAATGAATGATATATGCATTGATGATGATGATGACGAGAAAAATTCTCTGTTGAATCTACCTCAAGAAACCAACTCCCGCCCCCATTCCTCCATTGCTTCAACTTTGCTTAACAAGGCACCCCATAATAATAATCCCCCTCAACACCATCCTTCCAATAATGTTTCTTCACCGTACTACAGCAATCCGCATCGACGCAGTCTGCTCGGATGAAACTCGAGCAACCGTCTTCGTGGTGGTGACGAAGCTGCATGTACGACCCAACTCCGACGTAATAATCGTAATCTACTTCTGTGCCGGAACAGCAGTTGTTGGATGGGGTGCAGTCGGCTGTCTGTGCGTTGGAGAGAAAGACGATTAGTGTGGTGGGCTTTGGGTCGAGGGAGGGGGTTTTCGTACGACTTGGAGTGCGAGGGTGAAGAATGCAAGGCTTGCTAGGAGTTTGGACATTGTGAGCATTTTTGTGTGTATGAGATGAAGCTTTGGAGCGAGGAAGTTGATGATAGAAGCAGAATTGGATGCGTTCGTTCGAAATAATGTTTGAGCAGCTTTTGTATTTATCTTCTATCTATTGTGTTGCAGCAGTTGCCGAACTAGTGAGACATTTTATGGCAGGTTGTGTTAGTCGTGATAGGGCTGGGACTTAGTCTAGTCTGTGCTCATACCATGCAGTCTCGATATGCTATGCTTTGCTACTTTACCCCTGCTGTTTCAGTAACGATAGCTCTAGAGCTAATGAGCGGGAAAGCTTGAAGGAGGAGAATGTGAAGCTTGGCAGCGCTTCTTTCTGTAGATGACAGGCTAGACACATACGCCTGGACTGGACTCCGCACAAGGTGAGTCTTGTTAATAGCAATTCCACTAGGACTTGCGGTTGTTGTTCTCGGAATACTGCATCAGGCAATAAAAATCGACACTACCGAAATTGACGCCGTGGATAATAGCCGGGCGTAGAAGTAGTTCGCAAGACCGTTGATTCACTGAATACGAGAGCAGCAGACAATGGCATGAGACTTCCAAGCAGACCTTGATCGATTGAAGTTATACATTTTACATTACCACCTCACTACGAAAGCTTACGAAGTTTCGCCACTCCATCCATTCTGTACACACTCTGCTTTATGTTTTCTTTTCCCTCAACGCCTCCAAATCCATCTCTGAATCGATCATGTGCGGCAGAGCTCACGCCTTCTCGCTAAAACATGTCAACATTCTCACTTCCTCTTCTGCAAAAAGATCGGTACATCCGTAAGGTCAAGCCCCCATTCCTGACTCATTTTCACTCCCAGCTTCTTATTTCCACTCTCATTGAAATTCTGCGTTCCGGCACTTCCTCGAATGCCCGACTCGGGAGTCCAATTATAGCTCAAACCTCCAGAGTACCGATCGATCGCTTCTTTCGCAGCACCAGATTTCGGCAAGCTCGGACGTCGCTCTATTGGCTTTGGAGCTGGTGTCTTCAACGATGTTTTTAGATTCTCGATTTCCCATGCTTTGATCTGACATGATCGGCGAGCCATGTTCAGTGCGCGGGAGCGTTCTGCGTGGACAGAGTCTGCGGGTCGGTATGGGAGGTATTTGGCATTGGTGTCCGTTGAGGTTGCGAAACTGGCTGTGCTGCCATTGTTGCTTGTGTAGGATGAGGCAGTGGCTGTGCTTGTTCGGTGGGAGGTTTCGCTGCTGTTTGTTGTTGGGTTGGAGGATGATGTTGTGTTGTATGTGCCGGAGGAGATGATACTGGATGAGCGGCGCACGTGGTTGCTGTTGTTGTCGTTGTTGCTCTCTTTGTCGCTCTCGCTGGAAAGGCGGCCGGAATGATGCACGGTTGAACGACGCTTCCGGTCTGCGCTGTTGCGCTTTGCTGTGTCGTCTGAGCTGAGTGGCGCAGAGTTTGAGATGACAATGGAGGGCGACGACGGGATCTGCGTGGCGTTGGTCGTCTCGCTTTCGACAGGCGCCTTTCCTGGAAGATTGTCCTCCGCTGCACTCTCTGGAATGGTATTATGCTGTCTCCACTTAGTCGAATGCTGCTCCCACAACGGCCGGAGCTGAGCGTCACTTGTCATGGCCTCAGCCTTTGCTTCAGGTCTAGCCTCTGCCGCGTTGCTCGCAAGCTCAGCGCTGGACTGTCGTCGATGAATAGGCTTGCTATCTGCCTCGACCGGAATTTCATTATCGCCTGGCGCTTCTGCGAACGGCGGCTCACCAACAACGGTCTGCGAGAATAACATGTTCTTGAGCTCATCCTCAGTGAAGATTTGCTGTGCATTCTGATCCTCTGATTTCTTCCTGCCTGAGTCAACACTGTTCCTAGCAGAAGCCCTTGGAGACATCTTTGGGCTATTTCTCAATTTCTTCGTTATCATAAGGTCTGCCTTGCATATTATCGCGTCGATATCAGCTGGCAGTTCAGGAATCGGAGGAATGGCATCGGCTCTAGACGACTTGTACGAGATGGCTGGGGGAAGCGCATTGGCTATCTGCGCTTCGAGCGCTGCAGGTGATGATGCTTCTGATGCGGGCTTGCCTTGCCACTCTGGGTAGAAGTCTTCCACGGATTTCTGAGCACGACAAGACGCTGGCCGCTCAGCAGACGGAGTGGTTGCGTCGTTCGTCACGGACTTTGCCATTGTCTCTCGACTCTTCTTGCTGCGCAGACTCGCTTTGCGCACTGCCTTTGGCACTGACGCTGTTGCACTGCTCAGTTCGTTCTGCTGAGGAACAGCGTCCGGGGTCCTCGCGAAGGGCTGCGCTTCAGACGCTATGAGCAACTTTGGTTTCGCGTTGTTCCCACTGCTGCGCATGCAGCTAGCGTATGATGTTGGCTCCGGGCCCCAACGCTTAGCCATAGGCGTTCCAGGTCCTGCTAGACTCTTGCTTCGGCGTCTTTCTGCAGTGTTCGAAGTAGGTGGCAGCGGAGTCGCTACAGTCTGTTGCTCTTCAGCTAGCTCGTGGAGTGTCGTACTTGGATCAGCACTCTTTCTCCTTCGAGCCCACAAGCTTGTCCCGGTCTTGGTAGGCGCAGGTTCTTCATCAGATGCTTTCTTACCCGGTGAGGCTGACTTTACATCGTTGGTGAGTGACAGTGGGGACATGATTTCCGGGCTCTGTTTGGCAGGTACAACTGGCACATTCACAGCTGTTGTGCTTCCACTCTGTCGCGTAGAATGCAAAGAGCTTCGTGGCTTATCCCAACCTGATTTCTTCGCGTTGTGCTCAGGCATTCTTTTCTGCAGCGTTCGTGGAGATGCTTTCGTGGGGCTAGGACTGCCTTGCACGCTTTGCGGAGGGGACGCTGTCACAACACTGGGTGGACTGTCGATGGTGCTTTTCCTCTTCTCTGCACGGTTGCGTGACCGGAAGATGGACAAAGGAGAAAGTCGTTTCTTCTTGGTAATCACTGTAGGGGGCTCTGGCGTCTTCAGCAAAGCGCCAGAGTCTCGCACCTTTTCTTTGGGCATTTGTCGATCCTCCGCAGCATCGACAGGGGATTTGACAGTAGTGACGTCGCCAGAAGCACTCTTTGTTGCAGTTTCTGCAGTGGCCGTCGGAGGTGGTGCGGGCGATGAAGGCTGACTCGTAGCAGCAACCTTGGTATATCGTGGTGATGCACTTGAGACATCTGAGCCGTAGCCGCTGTCCTGTTTCTGCACAATCTTTGGTCGCGGTAATTCATCGAACGAGAATTTAGGCGGCGCATTGGAGTTTGTGTCGTCCATAGCTGCCGAGATTCCTTCGACGTCGTGGGCCAGCGGTTGCTCCTGCTCGACCGCATCTGCGACGGGCGCCTCGAGCTGCTTCAGTGCTTGCGAAGGGCCTTCAGCAGCTTTGGTTCCGTTCTCGAGATCGTCGGACTGGACAGGATGCAAACGCTCGGGACTTGCTGATAGTTCATGAGACCGTTCGTGTCGCAGATTGGGCACTGGCTGCACAACCAAATGGCTGCTTCTCTGCTTCCATCTCTGTTCAAATCGAGGACTTCCGATCAATGCACGATATTCACTTGCAGCGTTGTTGGCAGACTGGACCTCACCAACAGCTTCTTGTTGCTGCGCAGGCTTTACTTCTACCTCTTCAGGTTTCTGCGCATCTGGTCGCACAACGCTCGCCAGATCCCGAATTGGCTGAGAAGTACGCAGTCCCCATTGCTGCTGTCGACGTTGCATGAGGGGAGAGCACGTCGGTGAACCAGTCGAATTCTGGCTGTGGCGGCGAGCAATATCAAGACGAAGTCGTGTCTCCGCTGCCGGCATAGGCGCTTCTTCTGAGCGTCTTCCCGGTTTCGTTCGTGGCGGACTTTCATCATGCGTGATTGTAGGATTCGACACCGACCGGGTATTAGATCTGGAAGCCGGCTCTGGTGATGCGCATCCGCCATTGATGATTCGCAAAGTGCCGAGGCCAAAAGCACCACTGGTCCGATTGTAGGCGGATTCTGGTGCAGTGCCTGTGCTCGTCATTGACATAGTTCGCGCGTGAACTGCGGACATGGTCTCTTGAAACCAGGCTCCGTGCTGCTCCTTGGATTCCTTTTGCTTGAGCGTTTTCGCTGCTTCCTCTTCCTGTGATCTGAGTGGATCTTCAAGGAAACTGCCACGAGTGGCCAGTCCTGGAGGGCGCATCGATCGTGGTCGGCCTGAGTAAGAGGAGTATGCGGAGTGCTCATCGATTGAGGACAGCGGAGGCTGCTGTACCGACGAGACCTCTTTGGTGGGAAGAAGAGCTTTGTGCAACGATACGAGTTCTTCTGGCGAAGCGGATTTCCTCAATTCTTGCAGGAGATGAATGGCCTGTTCGACGTCGATCTTGTTCATGCTTTCTGCCAGGCCTGGCGATCTTGGAGACTGTAGACATGCCTCGTTTCCAGCCTTTTTGGTATCAACACTGTTCACAGTCGTAGTGGAAGGGCTCTTCGTTGCATCCATGTTCAATGTGGAAGCAGAGGCTCTCTTCGGCAAGCGATACTTGTGGATCGATGGCGAGAACGGTGCTGGGTTTGTGTCCTCTGGCAAAGTCAATGACCTTGGCAGTGTCGGGTGGCCTCCGTTCTTCGATTCGGCAAAAGAGCGGCGGGATGGGTTGCTGCCGAAGTAGGCATCGAAGCTGTCAGACACTGGTGTGTTCTCACTGCTCCGTGTCTTGGTCAACTTGGGCCTGCTCTGCTTCGCAAAAGGCATGTTCGTGGTGGGTCAAACGAGTGTCTACGATTGAGTTGTCAGCAGTTGAACCGTTCACCAGGATCAGAGCGCACTTCACACTCACGGGAGATAGGAATGTCCTGGTCAGGTGTATGTGTGCTATTCAAAGCATCTCAACATAGGAAGCTTTAGCCCAGCTCAGCGAGTCTGAGACAGATCTCTGCTCAGAAATTCGCACCAGATCCCGCCTGCAGACAGCAGAAGCAGTGGTACTGCTCCAGGCCCGGTGTTAGGTTTCTCGCTCAAGGGCGAAATTCCGTGGCCGGTCGGTCTCTCGTTCAATGTTCCACGATTGCTGCTGTTTCGGAGCCACGCGGGACGATCGGCGTGTGGAGCAGTTCTTCGTTTGTGTGACGATGCAGAAAGATACCAGTTACTCAACGAGGCAAATGCAAGGTCGGGACAGTTGAATGAGAAGGAAAGGATACAGCGCGGAACTTCGCTCGAAAATGCGTGCATAGCGGGATGCCACCGATACTAATCTATCGGAGGAGATGAGGCCATAGCAGACGCGTGTGGGAAACTTGGATGGGCCTGCATCAACATGGAAGTGGAGAAGAGGCCGCGTTTCAGGCTTTGCAGGCCCATTTCTAGCCACAATCATACTTTGATGTCGTGCACCGGCTCGGGCCTCTTGATCGTGCTCCAGGATGCGTGCATCTACCGGCCACTCATGTCGCCTGCTCGCGCTCTATTTTCGCCCTGTTCGCGGGAAGCGGTGGAGAGTCGTGATGAGCTGTGGCTGGGATGCCGCCAGCTTGGCCGCGGAGCACCGGCGGATGGGGAAGCGATGTTGTGCTGCGTACCGTCCGGATCGTGCAGGGCAGGCCTTTGCTGATGAACGTGTTGAACATTTTCGTGACTTTTCGTGTGCTGGCCAATATCTCGTGTTCTTCGTAGACGTGATCGTGATGTTGACGCGGAGACGCGAAATCCACAGCTGCTCCTGCCAAGACGCGCCATTGCCAGAGCCTGATCGCAGCCGGTATTCATTGAGAATGACGACGAGAATACATCAAACCTGTTCTCCTCTTTCGCGCTGCTACCTCCGGCAAGAACCTCACCCAAGGCCCAAGACATGTTGGCGTCGCCTCCTCCAATCACTCCGGTGCCCCATTCGCATCTCCACCGCTACGCCACGAGCCACGATCGGCATCACTTACCGCCAGCCCTTCCAAAATCACCGCTCCGTCAGTTATAGGCACCAATTTCGCAACACATCGCACCCAAGCCCACGCATGTCAAGTGTCACTTCGATGCCCGCGAACGGTGGCGAACCACCGCCATCGGCTAATGCTCACTGACCAACGCCTGACCAACGCCAACAGTGGCGGATGAGACGAAGGTTGTTGTAACGCAGCACTTCCCTGCCGAATGCCACGTGTGAAATGACCCTTCAATACCTCTGCCAGACCTTTGTCAGCACCGCCGCGACGAAGCACCGGATAGCGCAGCAAGTCCAAGAGTATTCGCAGTCTCCGACGGTCCAACACACTTCGGACTGAACTCCAGGCTGCGATACCTCCAGGAAAATCGCATGAGCCCGTCGTTCGTCGGTACTCAGCAGCAGAGAAGGTTCAACGGTCACTGCAAGCTGCACGTCACGCCGAACAAGAAACAAGAAAGAAAAAGAGAGAAATAGTTGATAGGCTTTTTATGTGCAAACGTCTAGAATGCCGAAGCTTTGATCAAGGATGCGGATGAACCGGTTCACAACACATAAGTTCCCGTCAGCGTCACTTCCTAACGGCCAACAAGTGCTGCAAGATTCAACGGAGAAGCACAAAGTCATCATTCAACGACAAACTCAAGTGGAGTATGTGTTTGCAAGGAAACCTCGCCGCCCGATAGTCAAGATTTACTTCGAGCATAACGCCTCGGAAACAGGAGCCACCAGGCTAGAATCGACCAAGCATCTACACATCACCTTCATACAGATTCGCAATCCGCACACGTACGCAGCGAAAAAAAATATAATGACCATGATGAAGATCTTCTCCGCCCAGATTGCGCGATACAAGGACATCCTCGCATGAACAAGATCTTCACCTGGATTTCTCGTTGCAAGGAAGACCTCGCCTTCCAAGATCTTTCTTCCAGATCTTCTTGGGAGAAATACAAAGCTCACCCGGGTATGTTCATCCAAGACATTGTCACATGGTGATCACAACCCGGACAAGTAGTAGGTAGACCTACGCACAGCGGCACACTACACACTGCACAGGCGGCTAGACCTAAGCGTTGAGATAAAAAGCTTGCTCCGAAGCAAGGCAGCCACAGGTGACCCGCCGTGCACCGCCCCAAGCTCGTGCCAGAATTAGATCCCAGAGTGCAGAGTCCGCCACGTCTGGCTGGTGTCAGCTGTTGAAGAAGTCGGGGAGCACTATATGCCGCCAGCTTCGTAACAAGAACTTCGAAAGCGAAGACATGAACACAGGAGGGCAGGTCGAAGACACGGGAAGTCGGAGAGGACTCCCTAACTACTGCCAGCTTCGTAACAAGCATCTCGAAAGCGAGAAAGGCCTAGTCCGTCGAGAAGCAGCTCGAGGGCAGACTCTTGCCAACAATGAGGCGCGAAAGGCTCAGAGGAGTATATGGACCCGCATGTGTGAACAACTCTGAAAAGTATGACGATAAAGGACCGGAGATGCTACATGAAAATGAATAAATGCCACGCGGGTATCAATTCGCCAAAAGAAACAAGAAGCGCAGCCGCATGCACCTCCCTTCGCCATGCCAACGAAAACACCTTCGCTTCCGCATGAGAAGTGAAAACTCCCACCTTCGGAGTCCGAAAAGCTCACAATAACAGCTCACGATTCTCACTTCTTCGCCACATCCCCACCACTCGTCGCCGGCCGACTAGCGCTCTGCAACGCCTCATCATTATCCACTCCTCCTCCTTGCTGCCCAGCCTTCTCCTTCTTCTCTGGAATATAATCCCTCCTTAGCTTCTCCAACCTCGTCTTATTCCTTAACTTCGCATCCTTCACAGCCGTAGAATAAGGCCCATGTTCCCTCGCAACCGCGTCTTCATCCTCCATATCCGCTTCCATACGATCCAGGTCCTCAATATCCGAAGAAGAAATACTCGAGCTTCGCGATCCTTGCCTGTAGATGATCTGATTGCCTTCCCGTTTCTTTCTCTCGCGTTGTTCTTTCTTCATGCGTTGTTGCCTTTCGGCGTCTTTGTTGCAGTCGAGAGTTAGGATGTGTAATCCGGGGAGCTGTTTCACTAGGAATTTCTTGAGGAGAGGTAATAGATCTGCATTGGGACGATATGTTCCTGAGTCATTGTCAATCACGAGCTGGTAGTACTTTGGATCCTTTGGCGGCTCGTCCTCAGGCGGTCCTCCTGAGAAATCATTTGGCGGGTGTTCGGGGTTATCGCCATGGCTCGGAGCAGAGGATTGACTGCTCCCCTCGACAGGATCTGGCGGAGGAGGACGATCCGGGTGTTTCAGTCTTCGCACAAAGAATTCTCCTGAAAATGCGATGTAAATGGAAACGTCCGAGTGCATGGTATGTTTGCTCAACATGTCAATGCTGAATTCCTTGCCAGTCTCTGTGAATCGCCATAAAGCGTCCAGAGTGATGACATAGGTGAAAATACGGCCTCCTTCATCATAATGCACCAGGTCCAGGAACTTCTGAGTCATCTCCGGGCCAGGTCCTTCTGGGAATTCTCCGGTGACAGTAGAGCGAGAAAAGTTGTAAACACGTGCATGTTGGTGGTGAAGCGCTTTTCCCATTAAAACGCCAGAAAGTCCAGACGAGGTGAACATGCGAGACACCCAAGGCTTAAATTCAACGTAGCGGTGATAAAGCTGTGCGGGGACTGGTCCCTGAAGCTGGACCTGGTTGGCTTGGAAATTATACTTCTGCACTTGTTTCTTGGTCTTGTCCTTTCCATTCTGTTGCGAGTTGCTGCTGACCTCATCCGGCTCCTTGATATTAGCAAGTCGCCCGAGCATCGGCGAGTGGTGTCTGAACCATCGACATGGGCCAATTGTGTATAGCCTCCCATCTTGCCCGTCTTCTGCTGTCCTGCCGACCATTTCTGCGCTGACGAACAGGCTGCCGCGGAAACGCTTAGTTCGCCGCATACACCACGTCACGCCTTGAAGCGCATATGCTCGGATACTGCCATCGTGTGCGAGTAATTTGTACTCCTCGCTCTTGATGCCTTGCCATGTTTCGTCCAGATGCGGGACTGAGATGTGCACTTTCCCCAGCAGATCGTCTCTGTCGGCTGGATCCTCGTCGTAGATCCGGATCTTCAGCTTGAAACCTGACGCGGGGACATTCGCAACGATCCAGCACTCCTCCCACGTCGGCTCAGTGTTCTTGCGAACGGTCGTTGTCCGCCAGCGAAGATTGGGGTCTTCCTTGTGACGCATCGGCGTATCGGTATTGAGCTGCGAGAGGCAGTATGGGTCGGAGGAGAAGCCATTGATATCTGCTATGGGCAGGTTCTCGGCTCGATGTATGGTGAACTTGATCGTGTAGCCATTTGGTCGTTTGGGTATGGGTATGCTATCGAAGCCACCTGAGGGGCCCGGCTTCGACTCTGCTGTCTGCGTTCGTTGCGCGCCAGCATCCTCCTCTTGTTTCACTCCGTCGTGGTCGTCCGCGTTCAGCCGGCCATTGGTGATAGCGACATCATTGTGGATGTCTTGCGGATCGAGGTCACCGTGCACCGCCGCCTTCTCGTCGAGCTGTTTGGGCGTCGAACCGGGAATGTTGTGCTTGACGCCGTCCTCGATGTCGCTGGGGCGCGACATCTTGGTGGTGATCGCGGTGTTCCCCGCTTGTTCCTCGGCCCGCCGCTGCTGCTGATCGCGCTGCTGGTCGTGGATGAGGCTCAACTGGTGCGGCAACGAGTATATCAACACATCGGTGCAGGGGAGGAAGGCGGGCGTCATGTCCACAGGCTGCAAACCGCCAAATCGAAAGCGCCGGCGGGAGTTCTGTACTAAGCAGATGCAAGGCGCAGGCTGGATGCTCTCCACCATGCTGGCGTGATCAGCCACACCAATTCCAGACAAGCTTGGCCAAGCAACGTCAAGCTCCGCTCTTTCCCTGTCTCTCATCCCTGCGAAACGCTGTTTGTGCTCGGTCTGAACATCCGATGAGGCGGTGATTCGTGGCTGAACGAGTCTACTCCACCGAACAATCAATTGTCTACAATATCACTCCGATATACCCGCAGATATGTACTGCTTGACGACAGTGCTTGAAGGAGCCAAGAGACGATCTGTGAACTCTCTTATCTCAGCTGACGAAGCCTACACTCAAATCGGGCTCTTCCAAGCGAGCTTCCCGTCCTCCCGCACCACCAGCCTCTCCTCAGCTGACGACTACTTCGCCGTATACACAAGTGTACCGTTGTCCTTGTCACTTCAGCTCGTACGCAGCCGGGTTGATGACTGTGCGCTTTCCTGCATTCAATCGAGCAACAGAGCCGCCATCCTGCACATCGAGCTTGCCAATCAGATTGGGAAGATCTTGACCTTTGCTCTGCTCAAAAGCGCCACCCGCCAGTAGTCCCGTCAGACCCTGTGGCGGTCTGTGAAGAGCCCCTGGGCTGGAGAAAGGTGGCTTTGAGATTGCAGGCATTGGCAAAGGGCCTACAGTGTCGAATGATTTCGTCTGCTGATGCACAGCATTTTCTTCAGACTCATTTCGAATCTCCTTCCGCAGCACATCTGCCTGCTGCTTGAAGGCTCGCCAGAGCTCATACTTGTCGAGGTCCTTGTCATGCTTTTCATCGCTCGTTACGTCAGCTTTGTGTACCAGCGACAGCATGCTCCCGACGAAGCACTCCTGTAAGAATGCGAAGCTGAAACCCTCAGTGATGGATGCCATTGCCGGACAGAGCAGCTCGGGGAAATCGACTGTGTCATTATGGGCCAGCTTCTTCCTCCAAAACTGACAGTAGAGCGTCCTCTCGTGCTCGTTCGGGAGTGGAAAGAGATACTTCCTGTCGAAACGGCTTGGCCTGCTGGTGAGTCCTGGATCCAGCTTCTCTAGATAGTTTGTGGAGCCAACGACAAACAGACCGCTGTTGTCTTCAATGCCGTCCATTTCGTTGAAGAAGTACGACCGAGTTGCCGGTGTGACAATGGTTTCGATATCCTCCAAGATCAACATGCATGGCGCTAATGATCGGGCTTGCCCAAATACTTGTTGGATATTGTAAGTCATGGGTGCGGATTTGACATATAGCGTCGGGATTGGCTCCTTTCGATTGAGCAGCGTGTGCATTAGAGCTTTGATGGATATCGTCTTGCCGTTGCCTGGTGGTCCGTGGAAGAGTAGACCTCGCTTCCTGGGAGACGTTAGCAGAGGCATTGCTGAGATGCTTGTTACCGAGAGCTCACCATGGCACACCAAGGTCATCATAAACGTCCCTACTGCTGAAGAACTTCTCTGAGACTTCAGTCAGCTCCGTCTTCATGTTCTCATCCAGGATGACTTTATCCCAAGTCGCCTTCTGCACCTGCTGGAAAAGCTTCTTGTCCTGATACCAGTATCCATCGTATACCCAGACAACCTAATCAAGCACACATTAGTACAACCAAAAGACCACGAAAAGGGAAGTCTCAACTCACCCCATCCAACAACCACCCACCCACAGCCCTAATCAAGTCATCCGTCACCCTACTCGGCCCCAAAGGATGCTCACCCTTCTCCCTCACATGCGCCACATACTGCACTGCTCCCACAAGCCAAACCACAAATTCCTTCTCCCGCCACAAATACCGATACTTTGCGAAGTGCACATTCTCCGCCAGACTTCCATTCCGCGCTTGGCCTGAAGGTCCTATGTATCCACGCCAGGAAGCGAAAGAGTCCGTTTCGAGGTCGAGGATCGAAGTGGCGAAACCTGCAGAGGCAAAGGCTAGGAGCGGGATGTTGGTCACAGGAATAGTTGTGATGATGTGGTCAGGATGGGTTGAGCGGAGGGCGGTGAGAAAGTGGAGGTCGTGGTCGGCAGATTTGGCTGAGGTGAGGTCGAGGACGTCGTCGAAGAGGTGGTAGGGTTCTTCTTTGCCTTCATTGTTGGAACTGTGGGGAGATTGGTTGTGCGTGGAAGGAGCCATGGAGCACATGTCGGAAGGACCTATCTTGACGGCTTCTGGTGATACGGGGGCCTCAGTTTGTATCTTGACTGTATCGCGAATGATTCTTGTCCTCGAAGATAAATAGCCGCCGGTCTTGGTCCGACTACTCGTACTCTCTTGCTATTTGGTCAAAGATACCCTATGTGAAGCTGTGGCGTCGAAGAGCAGATGCTATTGTATACTTGTCAGATGGTTCCTAGAATACGTTATCAACAATTGCACATTCATTTGTTGAATGTGGTAGCCGTGTCGAAGTCGTGTTCAGAGGTTCGAGATAGCTTGGCGGAAGTGGAGAGTGGGCTGTGCAGCTAGCTGCAGGTGCCTGGCGCTTAGGCATTGATTGATTCATGCACGCGCTCCTTACGATCATATGAGATTCGCGAGATTGGACATGTGTATTACAGAATAAAATTTATAGTGAAGAAAGACTTCACTATAATTGAAATACTTCGATGCGTAGTCGTCTGCAGTTCGAGCAATGCGCCGATACGCTGCCACATTCGAACTTTCATTTCATTCGAACTTTCATTTCATTCTTGTCTGTACATTTGGGCGCCAGTTCTGTTGCTCCAATTCCAATCCCCATTCTTGATATTATACATTCGTAACTCATCATGTCTCGTTGATAGTCCATCTTTATCTGATTACGCCATCGTTCCGGGTTTGAGCTGGGGGTGGGTAGTTGGGAGGCTCGTATCCGCCTGTCTGCCCGTTGTTGCCGTAGTTCGAGTTGCCGTAGTTGTTACCCGGGTTGTAGTAGTCGTTGTTTTGCCCACCGGAGTAGTATGGCTGCGCGTTGTTGTTGTATGAGTTATTGTAGCCTTGGTTGTTGTAGCCTTGCTGCATGGGCGGTGGGTTGTTGCTATTGTTATATTTCACAGGACCTCCTGTTGTTCCAGGTGCAGCCCATCCTGTCAAGAGTCAATATCGCATGCTTCTGTGCGGCATAGAAAAGGCCTACCTGTGCCGTAAAATGGCTTGCGTCCAAGCTTTCTTCGGCGTCTCGAGGAAATGCAACTGTGTTTCGTCAGGAAACCATATACATGCAAGGAATGCAACAACTTACGCAAACAGGATCAACAGGAGCAGCGCTCCTGCGATGAGGCATCCCAACAACACCCATCTTCCCCAGCCTCCCCATGCGTTGTTCCTACACCTTCTTTGACCAAATCGGTTATAGTAACATTGGACGGCCATGTTTACTCAGAAGCTGTCGGGTGGTGGACAATTACGATGGGGCCGAGAGTTTGAGTCGTGGCTTCAGTTAACATTAAGGTATGCTGTGCATAAAATGGATGAGAAGAGCTTCCGTTCCGACTCGTAGCCCTCTGGCATGGACTCCGCTTTGATATAACAGAAGAAAGTGGCACACATGATCCCCACAATCATTGCGGCGCATTGTTGGCAATCGTGACGTAGGGCGATTGGAGTCGTCATTCAGGATGCACCGCGGCCTCGGCGAGGGCTTAGCAGTGGCGCAGACGGCATGCTTTCGCCGTGCTCTTCTTCTGATTGCTCCTTGCAAACAAAAGGATGCGATCGCCAAATGTGCTCAAGGCTTGTGGCTTGGAGGGAGGAGGTATTTGCAAGAGAGAAACACAGAAGGAGAAGGAGCTGTGCTGGTGTGCTGCCTTGCTGCCTTGCTGCCTCAGCTTGTCTTGTCTTGGCAGATTCCGGTCGCAAATCTCCAATCTCCAGCATCACACTTTCAGCAAAAGCAAAAGCAATCATCATGATCCACCGCGACCAGAACAACAACCTTTGCTGAGGCGCACCGTGCATCGGCGTTGAGCAACTGTCTTGTTTGCTGTTGCTGCCAGAGTCGATCGATTGCGCGCTTGGACAGGACAGGTGAGGTATTCAAACAGACGTCCTCTCAAGCCCTTTCCTGGCCAACCCCTCGACTTTTACAATTCAAGATCGCGCTTTTGCACCCGACCTGTCGAAGCCTCTAGCGACTGTCGTGCGCGAATGTAGACCTCTCGCGAAGGAGCCACATTGACGATGTCGGCTTCATCGAACGCGTCGCTCTCTGCACGCGTATTCAACACTCTGCGCAGTCGGCTAATGACCCCACCACGACCTGACGGAAGATGCTTTTCGGGACCTTCTTGCAGCATTGCACGCAGTGAGACCATTTCTGGCCGCTTTCCAGTGAGGGATCGCAGGAGTGGGGCGGCATGACTTGGAAGCTCCCTCTCATCAAAGACTCGCGTCTGCGGTGCCCTGTTCGCCGCCTGTCGTGCCATCCTTTTTGTGATACTAATGGAAGCACTCAAAGTCGTGATACCAGGATGGCCAATTTGACCCATGAGAGTTTCTGCGGATATCGGGCTATTAGGACTCCTCATGCATTTGTGCCGAACTTTCGGACAGCGAAGTCACGCATTCACTCGCACCATCCACGATCCACGTACGCACATCCCGAACTATAACTATCACACTGCCCACGGGCAATGCGCGTGGCCGGAACAGCCACTCATTAACCCACGCAGTACGCATCAGCCACACGCACCGTCCTTGATTGAGTTGACCGCGATACCATGGCGTTGGCGATTTCGTTCGCCTTCTGCGCGCCCTCCTCCCCTTTCCCCTCTCATTCTCATAGATATTCAACAGGCACAAGGACTTCACGCTTCGCAGGCAGATCTTGGATAATCTCGCCATTCCTGAAGAAGAATTCGTTATCGAGCACAAAAGTCGGACAGAAATTACCAAAACGGACGGCTTCGGATCTAACTCTGACAACAGTGGACACCAAAGACACTAAATGTACGCTGATGATAGCATAGAGTGCCCATGGAGTTATTGCTAAGCTGTTAGCAGTATCATGATTCTCAGCGCACAACAAGTCCAACAGCACAGCGTCAAAAATCCAGTTCACGATCTCTGCATAACCATTTCCCGTCCTTGGCGTCTGAACTCCAAAAGCTGGAGAGCCATGGCGATTCTTCCCGGCCAAGATGTTCTGGACAATGTCAAGGGTTCACTGAAAGACCTGATTCCGAGTGCAAACTTCTTATACGTCGAAGCATGCGAGAAGGGCATTGCAGGGATCGTGGAAGAGGAAGACGGACGACCTTCGAAGCTTGCAATGATCTCGAGACTCATCGAGGACATTTCTGCGTGAACGGTCACGATGCTTACGCCATATTTCGCTAAGCATGCCAGCACATCGCAATCGAACTCTTTACGAACGAGATTTTCCCGTCGACATTATGTCTGATCTGATCTGTATCACGTTTCAAGCAGGGTCCCAAAGTTTAAACACTGGGAATGAGCTGCAACCGCGGTTGAGCCTATTCGGACCTCGTGGCCTTCCTGCTAACGGCTTGACAGATGACAGAGCGCCTACGATTCCGAAGTAACATCAACTTAACCCCACAGTGGTGCCGTGTCGAAAGTTCTATCGCTGTGACTTGCGATAGACGTTTCCATGCGTTGAGACTGACGCCCAAGATTGTGTTTGTTTCGTCATGCACAGGGTCGACTCCATCTACCGAATCGGGGTCTCACGGTTTGGAGCAGTCCGCCCAGCCACCCCATCGAGCAGTTTCAAGATTGTCTCCGGTATGAAAAGTAGAACGCCTCGCGGACGGAGCTCGGGTCAACCGGGCGACTTCATGTCAGCATCAGCGTGAAGGCTTCATGTGATGATAAGAATTGGGTCTCGAGGGCTCAGTGACATCCGAGCCGAGCGATTTCATCATTCTTCTTCAGCATTTGTCCTCCCTACCGCCTGTCACTTGCGCTGAAGTGAACATGAGCCCATCATGTCACTGAGTGATTGTATCGAACTTCAAGATCATCCTCACTACCATCATCACCAACCTCAGTTAAAAACACTTAACTTGGAGTTCCATAAATTCGTCAACTCCTGTGCTCCGCTGCCACCCACTACCAAACGACCAACTTTCCCGCGTTCAAATTCTTCTGCGACTTCTAACCCTTCCTCAACAACATTGTCGCCAATATCTCCAACCTCGCCAACCTCAATCTCAACAATGGCGACAACAGCAACTCTGATATCGAGCGGCGCGGCATCATCCCCATCGAAAGAACACGCAAAACACGAATCGCAAACTCTTCCACTGGATATGAATTTCAATGGCTCGAATTCGGATGTGCGATCGAGTGGCGTTATGTCGATTCGCGCTTCGAGAATGGCTTCTGTGACTGAACAGCGCGAAGAATTCGAGAAGTGTGGTTTCCGACCTATCTCCACTGCGCACACCGTGACGACTATCACGGGTGGGGAGACTGGGAAGCTGGATTTGGAGGCTGCGAAGAGAGCGAGGCAGCGGTCGAGGAGGTTGAAGTGGTGGGCATGTGGCGTACTTTTACTGCTCTGTAGTCTGATGGGACTGGGGCTGGGGCTGTATTTCGGTTTGAGGAAACAGTGAGCGATGGAAGGTGCGTGACAGGCAATGCCTTCCATCAAATAACGCAGGAAGGCATGACTCTGAGCTAATGGATGCAGTCAACAACCTGGATCTGACTCTCACGCAGCTTTGACAACAATATTGAATCAGAGAGAGAGCGCGACATTCACAATGCCGAAAGTGAGATATCGGCCCATTCTTACCGTTGTAATCCACTCACCTCTGCGTGGCTACTCCTCACCTGTCCGGCACGATGGGAACAAATTCAACATGCGAACATTCGCAAGAACGGCAAAATTCCGCGATCTCCTGGTGTTTCTGATGAAAGTGCACCACGTTGAGCTGCCAGATGTGCAGATCATGACGAACGGCCAAAACCTCATGGATCAGAAGCCGCCTATAGGGACCCTTCTTATCGAAGTAAGTGGTCGCACCTCTCACAATAAGAGAGTCTCCGACTAACGCAACCTGTCCAAGCTCGGCTTCAGGGATCTCCAGATAGTAAACGTCCTTCCTCGCCTCGGAGTCAAGAAAGGTTTCCGCTGGGACATCACCATCGATCTCGGGAAATTCTTCCAAGGCTCGCACCTCCTCGACTTTTCGAACCAATTCTGCGCCCTGCAGACTCCCGGTACACAAGCGAAGATGTCAGACATTGTCGAGCAAGCGGTACAATACTTGACCGAAACCCATAAACTCGAGGGAGAGCGATGCATCAAGAGGTTGGACAAGAGGTTGAGGTATGGAGCCCGGATCATGTATGACAGTCAATGTCCGGAGGCATACGCCGCTGCAAAGACGCTGGACTGGGTGGGGAGGGATGAGAGGGATTATAATATTCGGTTCCATTTGATATTGTATGATCGGCATGATAAGTCTGTCTACTTCGATCAGCTGCTGGGTGATGGAGGGGATTCGGCATGGTATGAGGCGAAATAAGGGCGGTGGAGTGTGGAAGCAGAGTGGTTTCTCGGATTGACGCGAGCGTGAGTGGAGCATCCGGCGTTGCCGCACACATTGATCAAGAGGACAGTAAGCATGGAAACATGATGAGGCGCTACGAGTGGTAGCTAGAAGAAAGCAAGCCGCCGGCAGAGCAAATGATATTGATTGAAATGAGCCAGTAGATCTCGTGTGCTGATCCCGAGCACAGCCCTTGCATGTCGGCGCCATTATGTAGGCAAGACTAGGTATCTCTGCAGCCTCGAGCTTTGCTAAGATACAAGATCACCACTTCCCAACCTTAGTTATAGTTCCAAAGCTTATTTCTCGTAGCTCATGCTAGTCTCTGGGTTGCATGGCACGTGGCGATCAGGGCACGCTTCGTAGCCCAGAGGCGAGTAGGCGACGTGTCTATCGATGGTGATCCCGACCTTGATTATTTTGCACATGAACCAATCTTTAGCAAGATAGACTGCTTGGTAAAGATCATCTTCGCATCTCTGGAAGCCCCCCATGCTCGTCTCAATGACCGACTTGTACTGCGCATCGAAGTTTCCACATTGCCACCAGCGGTCTGCGCACCGAAAGCCCCTTATGCGGTTCCCTTTGTTAAAAGACAGTAGTAAGTAGGTGTTGTTCGGTGTCTGGCGAGAGAACTTACTTGTCGGACTTTCCTCTAGCTCCGCTCGCACCTGGTCCACGCATTGGAGAAGCGCTGTAGAATTTGCTCTTTCAGCTTGTCCAGACCAGATTTTCTTCTTGAATATGTATCCCGCCGATGCGTGGCTAGCCGCGGCAGCAAGAGTAAGGACTCTTGTCCACTTCATGTTGGGTAATGGCGATCTGCGTGGCGAAGCACAGTTCGAAGGTAATGCGGACAGGAAAATTTGAAGTATGAGTGATGTGGTAAAATGGTAGCCCTTTCAAATTCGTAAAATATTGTGATGTTGCAGTACCATAGCTTGTGCAAAGCCAAAACCAGTCGATATCGTGGTACTTCCACTCAATGGCGTCGACGACCTCCGATTTGGGTGCACATCTGAATCCAGGAGCTGCTTTGACACGTTGCGGGCATCTTTCATACCGCAGTAACGAGTCTTGCTGGGAGCCGCGATTGCAGACTCTTTACTCTTTCCATTCATCTCGCCCATATTTTACGACATCTGCTTGCTCCAAAACCCAATACTTCGAAGGTGCTTTGCCTTCCTGCGCGAGCTTGGCGGCCGCAACAGCAGCTCTACCGATGATCTTCTGATCTTGGCCTGTAGGAATATCAGTATCTCGCGCAATCGGGTAATCTCGACAGTACTATCACACACCTATTTTGTCCTGAAATGCTGGACTTATCATATGCAGACTGCTCACAACCTTCTCTGCGAGCGGAGCTTTTGGCTTTTCACGTGCCAGGATCATGCCGGGTCGGAGAATGATTGCCTGTTCAAAGTCTAATTCTTTGACAGCATCTTCCACTGCGACTTTCATCTTCGAGTATGGCACGTAGCCACTCAAAAACCCTCTTGTGCCTGCACTGGAGATGAAGACATATGTCTTCACGCCGGCCTCCTTGGCAGCTTTTGCGATTTCTATGCATAGGTCCTGGTCAATCTTCTTCTGGTTTTCGACTCCTCCGGCAGCGGCTTTGGTTGTGCCAACAGCATTGAAAATAACATCTGGTTTAGGGTTGAGGCTTGAGATTCGCTCTCCCCATTTGGATGAATCGGTCTCCTCGATCGCTTCGAGCTTGGCTGATTGTTCCTGGGGCACTCGTCGCGATATCGTCTTGACCGAGCCGAACGCCGCGTTTCCCAGGAGTGTGCTCAGGATCTGGCCACCGACGGCACCTGTGGATCCGAAGACTGTTGCTGTGGCCATTATCGCAATCGTTCCCGATCGACCTTGAATTACACCCGCCTCGCTTCTTCGCTTCTTGGAGTGCCTCGGATACACTAAATGATGTGGAGATGCGAGGATCGGGAGAGCGCTCAGATTCTTCGGGCAGAGTATACGATGTTGGTATTGGTTTCGATTTCGCTTTCCAGGCGTAAGCACGACGAACAACACCGGAGGGAAAGGTTGAAGTATGCACGTCAACGGCGCTAGCGCGTCATCGGCATAGCGTCATTCGGCGGCGACTTCTATTATCCGATGATATGGCGCTCATCTCTTCACACTAACTTCCTGCGTCACTCCCCAAAGGTTTCTTCGGACTTCACGACAGAGGCAGTCCGGTTGGGATGCGTGATGAAGAAGACTTCTCCGCGAGGCTGTGCATCGTCTCTCAAGATGGCCCGTCCCTCTGGAGCATTGGAGAACTTCGCAGCTTGAATTTGTGTCGGGACTGCCTATCCTGTACTGAGTCGTCTGGGACACGAAATACAAAGACGTGCCTCCTATCGACGACTCATGATTTGGAATAAGAGTTGATATGCTTTTGAGGATTCAAGCTCCCTGACGAGAATCCCACCTCTGCATGCTCGTTTCGCCCGTCTTGCATGCCACTAATGCAGTTCGCCTAGGCTGTCGGTTCCTACTTACTATACAGCGAAGTTTTGCAGTTGGCGAAACGTGGCGAATTTATCTGAATCAATACATGCTGCCCCTTGACTGCTGAAGCAAGACGAGCACAGATTCGCGCCTTCGCCGGTCTGGATTGCAGCCTCAAATTTTAGCCATTGCTGACAACTCCACGCTCGTCTCCCTTCTCAAAATCGAGTACCTTAGCAACACTACAAGAGGCAGAAATACGAGGACCAGAAGAGCACTCACAGCCCTCAGCAGAGTAAGCAGTCCGTCGTCCACCGGGCAAACGGCGTTTCAATGCCATATTTCAAGCTGCTCGATTCAACGACAATCGTTTTGGCGATTCAGATTGCCACTGCGAGTGTCATTGCGTATGCCGTAAGCAGAGCAATCTACAATCGCTGCTTTCACCCTTACAGCCGCTTTCCCGGCCCATTATTAGCCTCTATATCGGACCTGTGGTACTTCTGGCGTGTACGACATGGCTTGGCCGGACACAATGACCTCCTCCTGCACGAGAGGTACGGATCTCTGGTTCGCATCACACCAGGTCAAATCATGATCTCCGATCCAGCTGCGATAGAGACGATATACGGCCCAGCGAATGTCTTTCCCAAAGCAGAATTCTACTCTGGCTTTGACCCCAGCATCGGTCCTCGAGCTGGCAATTTCGAGGAGAGAGATGAGGCCAAGCATTCAGTCAGACGCCGGATTGTGGCTCCTCTCTATACCCAAGCTTCGATCTTGCAATTTGAGCCCTGCGTAGACCGCCTGATAGCGCTCTTCTACGAAAGAATGGAACTTCTAGCGGAAGCGAAAGTGGAGTTCGATATGTCAGCCTGGCTCAGGAAATACACCTTCGACGTGGTTGGAGATATCTTCTATGGGAGGCAAGGAGGCTTTGGGTTTATCAGAGATAACATCGATTACAATAACTGGTGTGCGTTGATGGTGACGATGCCATCCTTATCTTCTGCCATTACATATATCTCCAAGCCATTGAGGCCAATTGTCTTTGCAGCGGAGATGATCTACCCAAGCACAAGAGTCGGAGCTAGAGGCTTTTTCGAAGTCATCACGCAATCACACAAGGCGGTCAAACAGCGCTTACAAGAACGTGCGACTCAGGAATCAAAGCCCAAGAACGACGTTTTGAACAGACTGCTGGATCTCGTTAACACATCACCAGATCGGAAGCAGCACTGGACAGAACTAGACGTCACAGCTGAAATCTGGACAATGATCTGGGCAGGCAGCGACACAACAGCCATCGCTCTGACGAGCATCTTCTACCACCTTCACAAAAACCCCTCAGCCCTCGAAAATCTCCGCAATGAAATCGACCAAGCCTTTGCAGAAGGTCGCCTCACATACCCTCTGCGATTCGGCGCCTGTATCAAGCTCCCCTACCTCCACGCAGTCGTTCGCGAAGCAATGCGCATGCATTCATCCCTCGGTCTGGGCCTCCCCCGAGTCGTCCCTCCCGGCGGCGAAATTATCTGTGGCCAATTCTTCCCCGAAGGTCAAGGCGTAATCATGAACGCCTGCGTTATTAACTTCAACACGAACATTTTCGGTGAAGACGCAGATCGATTCATACCCGAACGCTGGATGCGAAATGGCGTGGAGAAGGCCAATGAGATGGAGAGACATATGTTACAATTTGGATACGGACCGAGGATTTGTATCGGGAAGCATATCACTAATGTTGAAATGTATAAACTTCTTCCGACCATTTTGCGGGACTTTGAGTTTGTTGGGTTGGAAGAGAAGACGTGGAAGGTTTTTGGAGGGTGGTTTCATCATCAGAGTGGTGTTGATGTGAGAGTGCGGAGACGCAGGCCCAGGGATGAGAATACTACTGTTGAGATTCCGGAGGGGAAGTGGAGGGAGGCGTGATGTCAAGGACGAGAGTTGCTCAGAGGAGTCCTATGTATCTGAACTTCCAAAGTGACCTCGGCGAACAAGTAGTTGCAAAGACAATTCGCGAGAAACGCAGAAACGAGCAAGGGGTTGTGCACAAATTTACTACTTGGCCCAGCGGCCTTCAGCAATCCTTCCGTTTACCAATCCAAAGCTTCAGACAACAAATCCTACTGCTATACATCCAGGAATTCAGGCAGTAGTACCCATCAAGACCCAAATCATCAGAAGCAAAGCCCAAGCGCAGCAAACCCCATCAAGGCTCCAGCAAACATCCCGCAGCGCCGTTCCGAAGCTCATGTTGTCGCTCAAGAACCCCTTTATGATTCTGTCGCAGATCTCTCGAGTCAGCTCGCATTGTGCTGCTGCATTGACAAGCACGTCGAGCATTACGTTGTATTCCGTGTCGTCAAGTGCTGTGAGTCCAGTAGGACAAACCATAAGGTCGTGCTCTGATGGTCGGCGCGAATGGGTACGTGGTGGTGGGGCACTGGTCGGCAGCATATCTTGAGCGCCAGCCTGAGCGATCGCGAGGTCGGATTCTGGCTGGTCAAGCGGGTAGGCGCCAGGGGTTGACGAATTGGTGGGCGGCGTATCTTGATTATTGGCGCTTCCATCGTTGGCGACTTGCGACGGGTAGCCACTCGTGTCGGCGCGATCAGTAGTCTCGGCAATGCGCTTGTCGGCGCTCAACTAAGATCATTAGCCATCTGTAGAAAGGCCTTGTCGGATCACTACTTACTGCGAACCCCAGTGCAACTCCGATTGGAATTTCCTGGGCCTCTTCGTTCGGCGACTCACTCGGAGTTGAGCTGGAGCTTGGAGCCATGTCGAAGCAATCTTCTTCCAGGATCGTTTCCATTGTGATGGAGGAGTCAGATCAGAATGTCAGTAACGAAATGTCAGTGGAATGTACTGAATTTGTAGTGAGTGAGCGAGTCTGGGCGTCGAAGTGAATGAGATCTGTCTTAGACGTTCACTTGCAAATGTGATTGTCTTACAGGCGCAGAGCCGTTGTCTCTGGCACTCCTTCCATGCTCCTGCTGCTTTTCCAGCTCTGCCGCCTCGTGATGCCTACACGATTCCTGTATGGCGAGCTCATAGATATGTCTTACACTGTTGTCACAACACCCGTGGTGCCATTGATACCGCCTGTATGGTGTCGCCTGCACTGCGCATGCGATTGCAAAATCCCGTCTTCAGCTACCCTATGCCGTCCACTCTCCTCCCACTGAACAATAACTACACATCAATGGCTCATCGTGCTTCTCTTCTTCGCTCTACGTCTTTTGATTATCATCATCCCCGTCCGTGTCTTCGCCCTGCTGAGATATCCATGCCTTCGTTTCCGCACAACGTGCGATGGGTTATATGTGTCGCGTTTCGCGCCTCGTACTTGCGATATTGACAGACCAGTCAATGATGTCGGTTGTGCGAACGTTGTTGACTCGACTGAGGATGCTGGTAAACTCGGTCGTGTGGGGGTGAGCGCTGGCCGCGTAAGTGTTGTAGTGAGAAGGGAGAGAGATCTAGAGGGTGATTAGTCGCCGCGCAGTGCTAATGATTGAAGAAGGCGTACCGCCGTTGTGTTGATTGGGAAGAGAAGCGCAGTGCGCTTGTGGTAGCCCGCATGCAGCGTGAGCAAAGCATTGTAACGGTGATGTGTGCTAATCGTGGTCGCTCGACAGTGTCGCTGTCGATGTGAGGTGAGGCGGTTGCGGAGCTCGGGGGTCTTTCTGCCAAGACTTGCTTCATGTCCTCGCAACCAGCTGGACAGCAACACATCTACCTCAACCCAGCATCAATTAAAGCGCGTCTTCTGGGACTCAGTCCCAAAATTCTAATCGTAAGCACAGAAAGCTGTGTTCAAGAATGTCGTATATTATCACTGCCAGGAAAGCTATTTTTGCGGGAAAATGGCCCCGAGCCACTCAAGGCCAGGGCCGACCGATGTCTGAAAGTCGATCTCTCGACTCAGCGCGAGCAACGTGTCCCGTATTTGATCAACATGTTGGATAGCTGTAGTCTTACATATTCTGCCGTATTTATACACTGCTTTGCAAGTGAAGTGCAGGGACGTGTACAAGTCGCGTCAGCAACTTTTGTGGGGAAATCCTTGCACATGCGAAAGGGACCAGCGGACAAGCTCTCACTGACGACACGTATTGCTCTCTCGCTCCAACATCCCGTCGCTCTTTTATAATTCTCAACTTCCACCATTCATCCCGTATGTAGGGAGCAAACAACGCCTCTCAGCACCACGAAATCCCAGAAGACCCAGAGAGGTCGCCCCTCACCATGGACCTCCTCCGCCGCCTCGGCGCCGCTATCGATCAAGACTACATCCCCTGGAAAACGCTCATCATCACCTTCTCCGTCGCCGAATACGCCCTCGAATCCTACCTCACTTACCGCCAATACCAAATCCTCAAATCACAGCGCATCCCCGCCCAGCTCAAAAACGAAATCGATCAGAAAACCCACGACAAATCCCAAGCCTACGGCCGTGCCAAAGCCCAATTCGGAGTCGTTAATGGCGCCTTCAACCAGCTTAAGAACCTCGCTCTCATCACGTACGATTTCTATCCTGCCTGGTGGGCTGTCAGTGGATTGTTGGTGAATCGATTCTTCCCGGCGAGGTTTGGAGGAGAGATTACGAGGTCCTTGGTTTTCGCTTTCTCCTACTCGTGGGTTGAGACGATCATTGGACTGCCATTCAGCTGGTATCATCACTTTGTGCTGGAGGAGAAATTCGGGTTCAATAAGCAGACTGTGGGATTATGGATCACGGATATGATCAAGGGGCAGGCACTGAGTCTGGCCTTCGGAATACCGATCGGTGCTGCGTTCTTCAAGATTATTCAGAAGACGGGAGACAACGTATGTTTGGCCAATCGCGGGAAAGAGATCATGTTCCTCATGCTGACTTTGCGTCTAGTTCTTCCTCTACATCTGGGTCTTCATGCTCCTGGTCCAACTCCTGGCAATTACGATCTACCCCAGCGTAATCGTCCCGCTCTTCAACAAGCTCACCCCTCTCCCCGCCGGTGACCTCAAAGACCGCGTCGAAGCCCTCGCAGCGAAGCTCAAATTCCCCCTCGGCAAACTCCAAGTCATCGATGGCTCGAAGCGAAGCAGCCACAGCAATGCCTACTTCACTGGTCTTCCTGGTCTTCAAAAGCAGATTGTCCTCTACGATACTTTGATTGAAAAGAGCACGACACCAGAAATTGAGGCTGTTTTGGCGCATGAGCTCGGACACTGGAAGATGGGTCACACTGCGAAGCTGTTGGGAATCAGCTCGTTCCATTTATTCTACATTTTCGCGCTCTTTAGCGTGTTCATCAAGAACAATAGTCTATACAGGGCATTTGGCTTTGAGACGGAGAGGCCGATTCTCATCGGGTTCCTGCTCTTTAACGAAGTTCTGAGCCCGACGGATTCGCTGGTCAAGTTCGGCATGAACGCACTGACGAGAAAGTTCGAGTTCGAGGCTGGTAGGTTTACCTTTTCCAATAACTTTCGTTTCTGCTACCAATGCTAACGTTTGTACAGATGCTTTCTCCTTTGAGCTTGGCTATGCAAGTGAACTCGCAGCAGCTTTGATCAAGCTGCAAAAGCAGAATTTGAGCTCTATGGATGCTGACTGGATGTATTCCGCTTTCCATTACTCACATCCAATCCTGACTGAGCGATTGAAGGCTATCGGTTGGACGAGTGAGAAGAGGATCTCGTCCGAGGATGTGAAGATTGGCGGAAAGGATGCTGCTGAGGAGGCGACTAAGAACGCAAACGGCGAGAAAAAGGAATTGTAGGCGTCGAAGCAGTGGCGTAGCTCGATATTATGCAACAGAGCGATGCAGTACCAGCTCAGTAAGGCACATTGTCCAGTTTCCCTTGAAGAATATAGTCACTCCGGGCGCCATAGTAGGCTTGGGGCTTCTTCTTGTCGCCTTTCCGGGCTGCCCTCTCGGCTCTCCAAGCACGTTGGTAGCAGGTATCGCAAATGAGTACCCAGGTTTTGCGCCCTCGCATTGCGAAACGATACCGGTTCGCCTCAGTATCCCCGCATTCAACGCAATCTTCCACCAATTCGGAGAGCTTCGGTTTGTATGGCAGCCACTTGTTGCCATACCGATTTCTACCCAAGCCGAACATCTCGATCTCTTCGCCGTCCTGCGCTGCTGCCGCTGCCGCTGCAGCTTCCCTTCGCTCACGTACCTCATGCAGACGGGAAACATGCCATCCGTCCCGAGTCCGGTCGCGTTCACGACCGTTCGCGTCGCGAGCCACTCCAGCAGACTCTTGCACTGTGAGGGTGGTCGCTTCCTTGGCCGCCTTCCGTACTGCTCTTTGTTCTGCTTTCCCTTCTCTCCGCTTCTTTGGCACGACGAACTGGCCACGGCCATCGCGAAGACGAGTCTCATCCGTTTCAGCATCCTCGTGGCCATCGCTGCTGTATTGCGGCTGGCATTCGATCTTTTCAGGCGCGTTTTTCGCACCAAGTTGCCTAAGACTCTCTGTCCATGATTTTCTCCAACGGCCGTTATATCTCGAGTTGTAGCAGGAATGGCAGAGTAAGACTCATGCATCGTGAACCGTTCTGGCCCAGTACCAACTCCTGGTGACGTGAGTCTCGCCACAGTCATGGCACTTCTCCTCCATAGTCTCCATCTTCGGACGCGCAACACCTCTGACGTTCAGTTGAAGAGTTGGAAGAGCGCCAAAGCGCCTGGACACAAAGGCTTCCGACTCCCAGTCACCCCCGCGGTCCTTGCCTTGCAATCGTGGGTCCAATTGCGACTCAGCATATTGGTACTTCCTGCGGCGTTCTTCACTTCGAGCCAACCTCTCCTCCATTGTCGTGCCCCGCCGCTGCGACTTGCGACCTGGCTCCTCAATCACGTGAGCCTGTCTGACTGCCTTGCTTGCTCTCTTCGCAGCTTTGCGTACAGCTCTTTCTTCTGGCGTCTCGCCCTTCCGCTTCTTCGGCACGATGATGCTGCGAGAGTCATCACCAGCCAGGTCGACCACTCCAGGATCCTGAGAACCGTTACTGGCAGCGTCCTGCCTGATGCGCACCATGTTTGCCGTTTGCATGCGCACGGCCATTTCAGCAGCTTTGCGAGCAGCTTTCTCTCCTCGGTTCTCGTTCTTCCGCTTCTTTGGTACCACGATGTTTCCGCTGCTGTCCAACACGAAAGCCACCTTGTGATCGCGTTCCCGTACAGGCTTACCAAAATCTCCAATTGCAAGATCTGGCCGCGTCTGCACGATGATCTTGGCGGCCTTGCGCATAGCTTTGTCGTGAAAGCTCTCGTCTTTCTGCTTCTTGGGCACGATGATGACGCCATACCATCCGCGTCCGATGGTGTCAGTAGTTTCCATGTCCCTGACACATTGCGCAATTTGTCTCTGTAGTCGCTGATCGTAGTCAGGCTGGTTGGAACTGGGTGACTCCTAATCACTCAATTCAGCCGGACCTGCTGTCTCACTACTTTGGGCACTTGCCTTGGCTTTAGCAGCCATTTTGTCATGACGTTTCGCCTTCTTTGCGGCCTTGCGTGCAGCCTTTTCCTCTGCAGTGCGCGCTTGCTTCTGGACCACAACTTCTCCATCTGAGTCGTGCGTGACTAACACAGGTGGCGGGATATTCTGCTTGGAATTGGAGCCACCATCACGCTCGCCAACCTCGCCCTCGAGGATCTCTTGCTCTCGCTCGTAGGACTCCTTCGATTGTGCATCCGCATCTTTGTCCAGGTCGGTGACGTCAGTCTCCTTCTTCTTGCGCTTCCCTGCTCGCTCTCCGTCTGCCTGCTCTTGCTGTCTGCGCTTTTTCTTTGCTTCCTTTCGAGCCTTTTTTTCGGCGGCTGTCAAGTCCTTGCCAGATTTGCCTGTCAGGTCAATCTTATCCTCCACGTAGTGAGACTCGGTTTGAGCAATGGCCTCATCCACTGCGAAATCATCGCCAATCTGGTTGGGATCACTAGTAGTGACTCCATGCTGAATAGCTTCATCGCCGAATTTGGCGACAAGCTCTTCTCTGCTCTCGGGCATCAGGCTGACGCCTCGCATGCCGGTCTCAATGCGCTTCAGATGATGTATGGCCCATCCGCCGTTCGGCCCTCCTTTTGAGCCCCATCGCACTCCCTCAGTCGCTAGCCACGCGTCCGGATGTAAATGTGGTCTCGTCTTGGTGCGCTCAAGGAATTTCGCGAGAATGGGTTGAGCATCTTTGACTGACAGCTGCGTCGTCTTTTGAATCTTCATGGGCGGGTACGAATTGCATTTTACCTGCGGTGGATTCGACATCGCTGCGGACCGCCTTGCGTGGTTGTTGACATTGGCATCGAAGTCGCGAAGTGCAGTTCGAAGCTCGAGAAATTTTAGTGGGTCCCGCGCACGGGCCAGTTGCGAACTTTGGAGAGCAGATGGAGGAAAGAAAGGGAAGACAGTGCAACACGATATTTGAACTCAGACCAAGGACTCCAATGCACTCATATTGTTTGAAGTGAGGAGTGTTGTCTGATAAGGTGCAACAGTTAACGAGCGTGGAAGCTCACTTCTCATCGGCCAATGGCTCAGAAAGACCTTCTAGTCTGCAGATGCTCTGCCCCGATGCGAAGGCACCATCGGCCACAGTCCAATGACTGCTGAAGCAGCTGGAACATTGCTGGCTCGCTGGAGTGGTACGAGATCTACTAGATGACGAGCTCACGGGATGGCTCTAGCAAGAACCAAAATGTGAACGCGACGCGACTATGCACTCTGGATCTCTTGTGCCGCGTGCCACATAGCTGCCGAGTCAAATACGAAGCTGCGCTCAGCACAGCTGTGCAGCAGAAGTCCGATGGCCAGAGGAACACGCGTGGCATGAGCCACTACGGCGCATCGTAACTGCTTTTGTACAAGACCTGCTACGACCTACTCCCAAGTGCCGGTTGAACCGCGAGGAGAGCAAATTTACGGTCATCGAACGCTGACATAAAAATTTCAGAGTAGCTTGGGGCCGCATGTGGCCTCTTGCCCGATCGACTGCTACTAACTGCTGACTTCTTTTATCTCGAAGCATCTCAATGGCCCGGCCTGAGGCAGTACGGCATCACTAGTCCGATGCCGAATGGGAAGGTTTCGCCGTTTTCCAGACTGCCGGTAGTCGAGCTTCTGCCGAGAACAAGTGAGTGGGGACCACGTGGAGTCCTGGAAATCACGCTGCTCGTTCTGTTCGCGCGGAATCACATGGCTCCAGCATGCATGTCGTTTTCCGCCAAACAGGACACTTCACCAGGGACCAGGACTCCATCTCCGCATCTCCCCGCGATATACGGAAAGCAAATCCTTCTGGTAAACAACCACGCACGATGGAAGTCAGATCGCGTTTCTCCCCCACCTTGGCCGCCGCCGCAAAGCCTCGTTATGACGCTGTGAATACAAGCAAATATGACGCCTGCCTTTCGCCGCCAAGTCCCGTGCTTTTCCACCGCAAAACCGCCGAATCGCGTCCAATGCCTGTTCAGCTCCGCCAGCCTCCATGTGGGGACTCCACCTTGCCTGCAGGCCAGGAACATCGTCCACTAATATGGCCAGAGCGCTCTTTTGGGTTCTTTCCTTCACGGCGCCTCTCCGTCGCGAGGCCTTACTCTGGGCGGCAATGACGAGACGCTCGGCAGTATCTCGATATCGGACCGTAAAGTGCAGCGTGATGACACGAAATAGTATAGCCCCAAGTGCTTGTTCTGCACTCCACTATCTGGACCAAGGTCAGACATTGTCGACGGCGTGCATACAAGTGGGGTAGATCTGGAGATCGCAAAAAACATAAGTAAGAAAAGACCCGACCTCGTCAGAAAACTTTCCTGAATGTCCGGGTCCTACGTTTCCACCATGTTGTTCAAGAGCATTATCCCAGCGGCGGCTGTGTTCGCACGTGAAGCTGCCGCGCAAGCAGCTGGCACGTCGAATACAGCAACGGGACTACCAGACGTCTTCCCTAATGCCACGGCGACTTATTTCGCGCCTGGCGTGCCTACAGATGCACCAATTCCGGGCAACTACACGAGTTACTTGCGACCAAGAGTGCATTTCACTCCTCCTCGTTACTTCATGAATGGTGAGTTTTGATGCTTTGGAGGCTGCATACAGAAGCTAATCGATGTTAGACCCCAACGGAATGCATCGATCACCAGACGGGACATGGCACTTGTACTATCAATACAACCCCATCACGCCAGTCGCTGGCAACCAACATTGGGGCCATGCTACTTCGCAGGATCTGTACACCTGGACGAACCAGAAGATCCCATTCTTCCCTCCGAACGACTATACTGTGAGTGTTCGAATGTTGACAAGCTACGAGCACTCTGCTAACCTCGCCTAGTACCTGTTCAGTGGTTCTGCCGTCGTCGATACCAACAACACCTCAGGCTTCTTCCCCGATCAAGACAATGGAGTGGTTGCTATCTACACAGCAGCCGAATACCCTAATGGCCAGCAGGGCGTTCAGTACCAGGCAATTGCCTACAGCAGAGATGGAGGATACTCTTTCGAGGCCTACGAGGGCAACCCTGTTCTCAATCTCAACCTTACGCAATTCCGCGATCCACATGTGATCTGGCACGCACCTACCTCGCGTTGGGTGATGACTGTAGCATTTGCTACCGAGTTCGTCATTGGCATCTACACCTCGCCCGATCTCAAGGAATGGGAATTTGCCTCCAACTTCACCAGCCACGGCTATCTTGGCGTGCAATACGAATGCCCCAACCTTGTACAGGTGCCCATGCGTGGACAAGATGAGCCTGTTTGGTTCCTTCTCATCTCCATCAACCCTGGTGGACCTCGTGGTGGCAGTGTATCTCAATACTTCCCAGGCGAGTTCAACGGAACCCACTTCGTTCCTTACGATGGCGCAACACGCCTGACCGACTTTGGCAAGGATAACTATGCTGCACAGTTCTTCTACGGAACAGAAGCTGGTCAAGCACCAATCGCTTTGGGCTGGGCATCGAACTGGCAGTACACTTCTCTTGTCCCGACAGGTCTGATCGAGAATGGCCAGTTCCGCTCTGCAATGACTGTGCCTCGCACGTTCGAGCTCGCCAACATCTCCATGCGCGGTTATGACCTGGTCTCTGCACCATACAATATCGAAGCTGTGCTCGACAACGAATTGGCATACAACTCCTCCCTTGGCAATGGTTCTGTCATCTCGTACTTTGCTGACAAGGTCGAGAGCGGCGCCATCTACTTGGAAGCCAACATCACTGGTCTGACCTCCACCACTCGTCGTGGCACTGCGAACTTCACCATCTCCTCTTCGGTGACCGGAGAATATATCCGTGGTGGAATCAAGGTGGCTGGTGAGCCTGGCATTTGGATCGATCGTGGAAACCTTTTGGGTTTCAGCGAGAACCCATACTTCTCCGACAAATTCTCCGAGGAAGGAACCTTCGTTCCTGACGATGGAAGCTGGGACCTTAAGGTCGTGTACGACAACTCCATCATTGAGGTGTTCCTGAATGGCGCCCAGGCTGTCGGAACTCTCTCCGTCTTCCCAAGCAGGCAGCTGGACACTGTGGCTGTGTTCGTTGGTGGCATTCCAGCAAATGCTAGCAGCAGCGTGGGCATCTGGGGTCTGAAAGATACCTGGGCTCCGCAAGCGGACGGTAACGGCACCGTGCAAGGCAATGTGACCCAGTCCAGCGGTTACGTGAGCCAGAGGTCTTTGTTTGGAGAGCAGTAAAAGGACTAGACATATTTTAGGGATGTTGAACGCCTTCAACGAATAATGTAAAGCAATGTCAAGCAACGTAGAACAGCGCAGATGCCTATGATACAATCTCACAACAGTGCGATCTTGATGGTGATGATGCCTCTCGGCGCCCGCGTGCCTGTTCCACAGAGAGAGTGACACAGTTGTCTCATTGCACAGTAGCCGAGCAAAGGAACGTGCGATCCCAGCACGACGGAACGTGAAGATTGCTCCACCCGATCTGATGTTCACTCGCCCGTATGTGCCAAGTCGTGCACATAATCGCGTTGATGGGGCAGCGAGGGGAAGGTGAATGGGTTGTCAGTCGCCAAGCAGACGGTAGAAAGACGGGCGGCGTTTGCTTGAGTTGAGAGTTCACGTCGGCTCACTTCTCTCCAGCCACGTCCGTCACGCTTCTGGAACCCGCAACAGCACGACCATCACCGCCGAGACCCGCTTCTGCACAATCAACCGCCCGCTGCCCATTGTCGACCGCGACAGCAAACCGCGAGACGCATTGCGCGCAAACATCGCCTGCTTCACCTCCCGCTTGCTCCCTCGCCATCGCGCTCTCCTTCGGCCCAGAACAATCGGCGAACAAGCACCGAGGCGCCCACCATGACCGACGCTCGTAAGTGCTCTGCCTCCACGATCAAAGGCGCATGCACCTGCGCTTCAAGAATACGCTGCGCTCCTGTAGACACTCGTCCATGTCCGCGGACCATTTCTGGCTAACCAAAGTGTCTTTATAGTACCTCTCGAACAGCACGCGGCCTACAGCGCCATCATTGACAATGTCTTGGCCAACTCCGACCTCAATACCATATCCGCCAAGCGCATACGAAAGGAGCTCCAAGAGCAAGTTGGTCATGATCTGTCTAGCCAAAAGGTAGGGATTCGGGCCCGCAAGATGGCGAGGATGCGCTGACAACGATTCTAGCAAGCCATCACCGAACTGATTATGAACCGCTTCGACAAGGCACAAGAGAAGCAGAGACTGGATGGTGGCTACAGTGAGCCCGCTCCTACTGCGAACGGCAATGGACAACGCGACGCGAGTGAGAGCAATGGCTACGCAGAGTCCCCATCTGCCTCGAATAAGCGCAAAGCGGATAGCGAGGAGTTGAGCGACGTGGAGGACTCTCCGGCGCCAAAGAAAGCGAAGAAGGAGAAGAAAGCTGAGACAGATGAGGAGATGGCGAGGAGACTGGCTGTGGAACTCAACGCGCAATCAGCGCGTTCGACGCGCGGTGGAGGCGCAAAGCGGAAAGCGCCCGCGGCGAAGACGAAGAAGCCCAAGAAGAAGAGTTCGGCCAAGGTCAATAGCGACGACGATAGTGCTGTCGAGAGCGGAGACAAGCCGGTGAAGGAGAAGAAGGGTGGCTTTCACGTGAGTAGGATCAGAGGCGAGATGTACGTTCGTTGCCCACTAACGTCTTCACAGAAACCCATGGCACTTTCAGAGCCACTCGCAGCCATGTTGGGCGAAACTCAGCTCTCACGCCCGCAAACAGTCAAGCAAATCTGGGCCTATGTCAAAGCGCGAGACATGCAAGACCCCAACGACAAGCGCCAGATCGTGTGCGACGACAAAATGCGAGCAGTCTTCAAGGCCGACAAAGTGCACATGTTCACCATGAACAAGCTTCTCGCAAGTCACCTGTACCCCGTGGACGAGGTGACCGTCTAGACATTACACAGAGACATATCAGCGATTTCGGCTACTTTCGACAACGATCAAACAGCGAGCAAGATCAAGAAAGCGATACGACATGACCATTTTTTACACCGGAGGCAAAAAAGAGAGGGCCGCATGGCAAGCGAAGGAGTTCTACACTGATACTGGTTTTTGTTGCTTAACTGACTGATGATCTTTTCATTTTCCTCGCTCTGTACTTATGGAGGGCGTTTTGCATCTGGAAAGAAAAGGTAGTCAACTCAGGAGATCCGACGACGATGCGCATTCCTCTTTTTGCTGCTGCTCGCTGAATCGCGCGCCGCGTGTTCTACATGCGCCGTTCATGGAACTCATTCTCCTGGACACGCGCAGAAAGTTTTCACACAGCGCAGCATAGAACATTCCACGAACAGAGATTCAGACATAATCGTTCTTCATCTTTTAGTCTAGATGCGCACGCCCGTGTGCTCTAAAGTCGGCACTCTGGAGATTCACTATTTCAGAAATGCGCAGAGGTCCACACAAGGCAGCACAGAAAATGCTACGAGAACAGAATTCCAAACAAAATCTTCCAATACTAAGTACTGTAATTCCCCACTAATGTGAGCGAGGGCATCTTTTGTGGCCTCATTACTGCAGTCTCCTCTTTTCGGCGTTTCGGCGCGTCTTGATCATCCTCAGCTTCTGCTACGCCAATGCAGTCGCTCAGCTGCTTGCAAGCTACCAGTCAGGGTGTGGCGCGCAAACAGCCCAATGTATCGCGGTAGGCAAATGATGGCGACGGTGTATCGAAACGTCCTCTGAAGCAGTGTGTGGCGGTGATGCATTGTATACGTCCAGGAAAGAAGTCGTATGAAGCCTGCGAACACCGATCATGTTTCTCCCTTTTCCCCATGCGCATCTTTGGTGTCTAGACTCTCCGCGTATTGCATCCTATCGAATTAACAATAATCAACGCCGCAACGAAGGTCATGCAGCCCTGGCCTGGCTCCCGCGGATCCTTTTCAGGTTCCAGATCGACGCCGTATCGTGGGCCTCCGGGCTACGGTTACATGGGTCGCAACGAAGTCCTGGCGTGGAATACTCGCGTCGATGCTATGCGACGCTATGGCTCTCAAGAGTCGCCAGATTATTACTTCTCATATGGTGGTGGATGGGGTGGCCCAGCTGGAAACGTATGGGTGGATGGCGCCATGGATCAATTCATGAACATGCAGCAACCTCGCCAAGAGATGTATCCAGGAGGTTACTTCTAGGCTGCGATCCGACAGCGGGCTGCGTATCAGCTTAGGTCCATAGTGTATTGACTTGCCGACTTCACACAAAGTCGTAGCTCCATTTGAGTCTTGGCCGGATGCTGAAGGTCATTGTGTAGAGCCACTCCCGCCGAGGCGGTCTATGCTTGAATTCCAAGCTGTTGTTTCCGTATACAGCAGCTCTTTGGGAAGTCTAGCAGCTTTCGAATCTCGTGATCTGCAGGGAGTGTTTGATCAAGATACAGACATATTGCCTGACACTCGAACAGACATCTTCGGCCAAGCCACCACACATCGTATGGCATGAGCTTTGCATACCACCATGCGAGCAAGAGTAGTGCTGCAGGGTCCTTTGCCTCGAGCAATTGTCGAAACTCTGGCTCCATGTGACCAATGAAAGCCAAGAACCACATGATTGTCGAATGGGTGGGATCAATCGGCAGCAAGCGCGTGATGATGGAAGCCACTTCTCGATATGGGTCCTTGACTGTGTCATCAACTATCACGCCGTCGAGGCCATACAGCTTTGTTACGTAAGGAAAAAGTAGGTCGAGGCCAGGCTCCATCGCACGATGATATGTTACCTGGTCTTTCTTCTTCTCAAGCTCCAGTACAGGATGGAACGCACTGCTTTCTCGCAAAGGGTTGACCATTTTCCAAACTTGTTTCTTTCCCTCGCTCATTTTGAGCCAGTCCAAATCCCCAGCCTCGGGACTTCGAAGTGGCCATGATTGTTGTGCTGAAGTTGCTTCACTGCTGCCGAATGAGATCGCGCCCAGAATAGCCGCAGTGGCCCAGAGTGCGTCTTTCTCTTCTTCACTGTGACACTCTCTGATCAGTGCATCGCCGAATAGTGCCACCGCGTGGTAGCCGTGATATGCTTCCGCGCGAGATTGTTCGGCCTGAAAGGGTTCTTGTTCATATCTGGCGTGCAGCAACGTGAAATTCAATACTGCGTGCATGGCATACGCAAACTGTGTCGCAGCCAAAGTCATCACTCTTTGGTACACAACCACCAACTCCTTGGTTCCTATGGTAAGGACCGATTCATCGTGAAACTTACGCAGCAGGCCCACGTGTGATTTGTCGAGACGCATAAACTCAGGCGACTTTGCGCACCGATCCACGTGGAGGTGTAGAGGGGCATTCATCATCTTATTAGCCAGTTCCTCGACGTCAAGTTTAGTGTCTGGAGTTGGAACTCGAGACTGCTCCACCCGGGGCGGGACATGGATCTGGAAGCTCTGCGCACCCTGGAACTGCATCTCCAACGTCTTGTCTCCATATTTGCAGGTCAGTCCGTAAGACTGACATCGTTGACAGCCAGGCTTCGTCTCGTCACACTGAGAGCAAGTATCAATAGGATCGGGTGCAACAGAAACTGCACTGGATGCAAGCCATATACCTTAATGCTACGCTGCTTACAATTCCCACAGCCTTGCCGGCTTTTGGTGTGAGCCCTGCGCTTCCGATTGTCCGGGCCGACGACCATGTTCGCGTTCCGTTGATGACAGATGACAGGAGATGTCGTCCGGCTGCCTCACTTGAGGTTACCTTGGCAAGTCCAGCACGTGCCGCGGCCAGCTTGGCAAACCTGGCTTTTTCGCGCCTCAACCAGAACCAATGACACGAAACGTAATAGCATCAGCAACGCCGGTGGTAAGCGCTTCGTTTTCATGTGCCACATGATAACACTCGGGCCACCGACTAGACCCCTAAGTGCAGGCGTACGCCGTGCTGTCCTCTATAAGCAGGACGAGCCCTCCAGCACATCGCTATGAGCAGGACCAGGCGAACCTTGTGCCGGCGGTGGGGCCCGGACTATCATCGAGCCTTCTCGCGGGGCAAATGATCTGGCGGGCGGTCAACCCATTAGGAGGCAGAGGCTCGCGTGCCAGCGACCCTTGGAATGCCAGGAAAGTATAATATCTCGACTGTGTTCCTTCTTTGTTCACTTTACGCATTCACGTCTCCACACAATCATTTCACCTAGGACATTTCTCTACCACTACTCATTACCACAGGTACAATTAGAACACGACTCACGATACCTACGATCACCATGGCGCCAATGGCAATCAACGATATGCTGAACGACAGCAAGACCAACGGCGCGCTGAACGCCAAAGCAGCCACTTTCACACCCTCGAGCGACGCTTCTGCCTACCACGCTGCAACGTCACAGCAGGCAATCGACTCAGAGAGCCGATTCGCGGCACACAACTACCACCCATTGCCCATAGTCTTTGCAAGAGCAAAGGGCGTTTCAGTATGGGATCCTGAGGGAAAGCACTACCTCGACTTCCTCTCCGCGTACTCAGCAGTCAACCAAGGACACTGCCACCCCAAGCTCATTCAGGCGCTCACAGACCAGGCGAGCCGTCTGACGCTCTCCAGCAGAGCGTTCTACAATGATGTGTTTCCAAAGTTCGCAGAAAAGGTCACCAAGATGACGGGCTTCGACATGGTGCTGCCCATGAACACTGGTGCCGAGGCTGTGGAGACTGCAGTCAAGGTTGCACGAAAATGGGGCTACAAGGTGAAGGGCATTCCACAAGACAAGGCATTGGTCTTTAGTGTGCAGGACAATTTCCACGGCAGGACATTTGCTGCAATCACAATGTCCTCGGATCCCGAGAGCCGGGACAACTACGGGCCATATCTTCCAGGCATTGGATCTGTGTGCCCAGTCACGAACGAGCCAATTCCATTTGGAGACGCAGACGCGCTGGAGCGAGTGCTGGAGAAGCATGGCAAAGAGACTGCTGCATTCTTGGTTGAGCCTATCCAAGGAGAGGCTGGAATCGTCGTTCCAGACGAGAGCTACCTTCAAAGAGTGCGGGAACTCTGCACAAAGCACAATGTACTCCTCATTTGTGACGAGATTCAGACTGGAATTGCGCGAACAGGACGTCTTTTGTGCCACGAGTGGAGTGGCATCAAGCCAGATCTGGTCCTGCTCGGCAAAGCGATCAGCGGAGGCATGTACCCAGTCTCAGCGGTTCTCGGTTCGAAAGAGGTGCTCCTCACCATCGAACCTGGCACTCACGGCAGCACATACGGAGGCAACCCCCTCGGCAGTGCTGTTGCTATAAAGGCTTTGGAGATTGTGGAGGAGGAGCAACTCACAGAGCGTGCCGAAAAGCTCGGCCATATTTTCCGAGACGGTATCACTCAGATCATGAAGAAGAATTCCATGATCCAATTGGTGCGCGGCAAGGGTCTGCTCAACGCCATCGTGATCGATGAATCGAAGACAGGAGGCAAGACTGCGTATCAGCTGTGCTTGCTCATGAAGGAGAAGGGCCTATTGGTGAGTAATGCTTCAACTCACATTTCGTACAACATACTGACTGTTGCCAGGCCAAGCCAACACATGAAAACATCATCCGACTTGCTCCACCTCTCGTCATCACCGAAGACGAGCTGAAGAGCGCGCTGCAGATCCTCGAAGACGCCGTCAACGGGCTGCCTACATGGGAAGCAGACAAGAAGCTCAAGCACGTCCCAGAAAGCGAGAAGAATGTACACATTGGTATTGAGAACTGAGCGGCACAGCATCATGGCATTTTCAACAACATGTGGTATGACCTGTTCACGATACATACGCTTCGATACCCTGGGTGGTGTGCTCGCATATTGCGGCTTTGACTAGAATTAGACCTAGATACCCCCGACTTGGCCGCGAGCGGCATGAATTCATTGGCTTTACGATACGCAGTGTGGGTCCAGACTGCATTTCACTTTCCCCATCATTAGCAGAGGCAGCCGGGCCTCAAGCAGCGACTATCCGCTCATAAGGCTGTCCAGGTGCCTATCCGGATCGAATAAAGAAAATGAAGATAGTATAGAGAAACCGGGCATGCGGATGCGCGCCGGCGAAGGCGTTTGCGTGAAGTGCAGCCGAATGCTGGCATCCCAGTCGCGATTGCTCCAAATGCAAGCTCGCCGCCAGCAACTTCGCCGTTGCCCACTCCACAAATCAGTGACGACCACAGAACTGCCTTGAGTAAGTCTTCTCCTCTTCCATGCAATGGACCGCTTTTCCTGACGCATCAACAGACACGCCGCCCACTACCAGCACAATGGTAGACAGGGAGGCGCCATCGCCGCCTCCGCCAGTGGATCTCCGGACGCAGGTAGAAATCTCAGAAGCCAGCGCGCTCGAACTCACCGAGAGCGATTTGGACCCGGAGGAGGTCATCTTCGAAGGACGCGGCAGACGCAAGAGCCCGCGGGCAGAAGAAGCTGGCATCCAGGCGCGGAGGCTGCTCCTCAAAACTTCCAGAGACTCTCCATCGGCCGGTCACCAGCTTGAAGTGCACTCCTGTCCTTCACAGCCGAGTACACCAGAAACAAGAGTCTTCGGCATCTACAAGCTCGCAGAACGCATCTTCACAAACATGTCGCCGGAAGACCTGCTTCTCAACGCCACGAGAGTATGCAAGCAGTGGTATGCCGTGATCTCATTGTCGCTCGATCTACAGCGAAAGCTCTTCTTCATCCCAGAGGAGGGGCAGTGGGCACAGTACGTGAAACCAGTCCTGCGCAAAGGCTACTTCGTGGAAGAAAACGACGACTCAAAGCGCATCGAAGTCGCCATCAATCCCTTCATGACTTCGCGCCTGAGGAAGGATCTTGAAGCGCTCGAGGGATACGGGACTACGAAACGCGGCGCGAGCACTGCACATGCGAATCTGCTGAAGCAGCGCAAAAGGGCTCTTCTCCAGGAAGGAGCGAGCTATTGTCGCATGCTCGCTTTCCAGCCGCCGCTGGTTTCCGTGCACTTTCTCGAGGCTGAGGATGAGCGTGACGAGTTGGATCGTATGTACGATGCATGGGAGGTTGCGAAGCAGGAGGAGGGAATTTTGATTTGGGACACGATTCTGCGTCAGGAGCTGAGGTATCGCTACAAGCGCAAGCCGGTGGAGTTGGAAGCTTTCAAGGGACGCAAGTGAGCGTTCGCGGTCTGAAAGGCTGTGTGATCGGAGATGGCTAGGAGAAAGACATGAGCTTGATGCTGTAGATGTCGCTCGATTCAATCCAAGGCGGAAGGCTGCTGCGGCCGCCGATTACATCTGCATTGTGTTCGGTCGGCCGCAATGTCCGCCCAGAACTAGGAAGAGCTTTTATGTTTGCCATGCAAAATGTTAGAGCTTATCTGCCGCTTGAGCCGACCTGCAAGGGCGAGGACATGGCCATCAGGCAATCCAATATGTTGAGTACACCTTGATTCCGTGATGAGACAGATGCTCCAGAAGATTGTTGTTTGTGCATTTGAGCCCGATGAAAGGATTGGATCTTACAAATTCCCCAGCGAATGTACCTAGTGAGTTTGCATGTGAAACGCCTGAGCTCTTCATTGGCACAGCAAGGATTTCCCTGTTGGCTGTCTGCTCACCCACCACAACGTAACTTGCCAACTCGTGCAACCCACATTCGCACCACGACCAAATGTTCGGCTTTCGAGAGAGCGAGCACCATGGTATGGTCCTCGCTTAAAGTGAGCAGTTCGCATCAACTGACGGGCGTGCAGGCATGCAACCCGAAATCTCTCAAGCGCAAGGCATCCGCCACAGCGCTCGAACTCTCTGCGAAGCGTGCTGGCCCCGGGCACGCAATGAGCAGCGCCTCGAACAGCTCAGCAGCTGAAGTCGACCCGGAGCATGAGGATGCAGATGTTGCAACGTCCAGTGCCGACGCAGCGGGAGATCGGAACGGAGCTCAGCGGATGTTCAGCATTGTTGAGCTGCTGGAAAATATCTTGCTCGAATTATCCTTCAAAGAGTTGCTCGTCACCATGCCACAGGTGTGCAGGCACTTCAAGGATGTCATCGACAACTCAGCCTCGATCCAGCAAGCGCTCTTCTTCCAGCCCCTGCCCGGACCAGAGGTGCACTTCTTCAGAGGATCAGGCCCAGAGACAGATTACGATGGCTTCTTCGCGGTGGAGGAGCACGCACCGAAGCGAGTGCATGTCATGAGCAATCCGCTCTTCGGCAGCGCCGAGCAGTGGCTACTACGCAACATTCAGTACGGCCGTGCTCGTCACTTCGTCGCCGGACAGTCGCAGATCCAGGCATTCGAGCGACCTGAAGCTAGCTGGAGGAGGATGCTTGGCTCTCAGCCACCAGTGAAAGCCCTCTTGTTTGGATCTGCCGCTGGTAAAGATCATGAGTTCGTCGTGAAGAAGGACGACTGGCTGCGTGTGGAGGACTACATCCTCCCGAAGGAGCAGTTCTCGAAGTTGAGCTGCAGGTTTTGGTCAGAAGAGAGCCGTTTCTGTAAGTGGGAGATTCATCTGCCGAGCCAGGTGAAGAGAGTCGAATATGGGTTTGTCAAGTGCGTGGCATGCGGAGGAGTTGGGCATATGATTGGGAGCTGCAAGATCCATATTGGCTCGAATCCTCCAGTAGTTATCAGGCCGATGAACTGTGGTGGAACCCTTTCCCATCTTGTGCTGTAGGGTAGCAGCATGATATCCCTCGCAAGTGTTTCGCCTTGCCACGCAGATTGGTAGACAACAGCCTGAGATCGAGTCGTGCGTAGCACATGCTTGAGCGCGACCCAGTATGGCCGAGCACTTCCCCTTAATAACCAGGCGCCTCGCCAGAATGTAGAACTTGTGATCGAAGCATATCCTCCCGCCTCTCATCGCCCTCGTCGCATTCCCGCCGCTCGCGCCGCCGTCCTCCCTGCCCCGCAGTAGCTCAGCCACGATTTTAACAGTTATAAAGCACTTCAAATCTTACACTGCCACGTACGCCACAACAGTCGGGGACAAAATCACGCTTGGCCTAGCTGCTAAGATCGTGAGCCCCAACGACGAGATTAGTACTGTGACGACTTGCTTACCCGACTCCGGCACGAGGGCATTCGAATCCAAAGGATTAGTCTTCCACCCAGGACTGTCACTGTTTCCATTGATCAGTAAAAGAGATCCTGCGAGCTCCGATCGGGAAGACCTCGGAGGTGTACGTTTTTTTTTTGTCATTTCTTTTGCTTTTTGAATGGACTTGTACGAACCAGCTTGTGCGCGCGGTGTGCGACGCATGTAATAATTGTTTGTTGGTCTTTTTGCTCTTGTTTCGGTGGCCTGCGTGCCAAGACATATGCGAGGGAATGGCTGTTTTGCCAGCTGATTTGACGGTGAGCTTCATGAATGTCGTTCGAATGCGATATCAATTCGCTGCGCCAGTGCGCCTGACGGGCGCGCTGTTCGATTCCGTTGTGTGGGTTCGTTGTGATATTCGCGCTATGCACCAATTGTTCTTCGTGGCAATTGGAAGCGTGACCACAACCGATGTCAGGGCCTGTCCCATCGCGTTGCAGTTCCTCGCTGACGTTTGGTCTCCGAGGAAAAGGTCCGTATCACTGTCTTGCAACATGCCATGTTCGCGAAAGAGTATGGCTACATCATTGTGTCCTCCGTGGTGGTCTCGCTGCACGCGAACATGCCACCGCTTGAAGGCCTAAGACTGGTCATTGCCATATTGCCATGATATGGGACGAAGACAGGCGATCATCGACTTGTGCAAAACATCATGAATATCAGAGAGCGTACAGACATGAGGTGTGGTTGGGAAGGAAGGCGACCCCCATGCCGAGAAAATCGTAGCGCAGTGGGACCACAGATCGCTTGTGGGACTGCGACCGTACGATCCTTGCACCTCACCTCGCAGCTCTCGGGGCTACACCCCGAACGACAATCACAGCTTCCGTTTCTGCATGTGTATGTCTCCACCTGTCTCGTCTACCGATCTTGCTCACTGGGCGCTTGCAACTGCGAAGGCACAATACTGATAAGGATCATGATCGACTCGCGAACATCAGTGCACGACTCCCAGCCTCAAGCGGGGTGCAGCTAAGCCAAAGTCGCGTCGAGACTTCAAGAGGCGTCGCGGCCTCGTGTCCAGGACCATCCAGCGCCGCGTACTCGCGAATGCAAACGGTATAGCTTAGGCGATGAGTGTGGCAGCTCCAATGGGACATGCTGCACGGTCGCTGTATAGAAGACCTCCGAGGTTTCGTAGCTTCCCATTGACAAAACAGCTCACAACTTGCACATTTTGTTTGCACCCCCGGCAGTTTCCCAGCAAGCACACCTGCCTTTGAGAAGACAGAAGTTTCCAGCTCATGAGCTTAGCCTCTACCCAGAAAGTGCCTCAGATCCTAGACATCGCATCTTCAGCATAAGCTATCAGCATTGAGCTTTTCAACAGAACTACAACGCGATCACATCAAGCATAATGCAGCTCATCTACAGCACCCTCGTGCTCGCTCTGCTGAACATCGTGGTGCACGCGAACCCAGCACCAGCAGCTCTTGTCCAGAACGTTAGGCGACAAGAAGCCCCAATGACAATGGCCACTGGCGTTACAAGCAGCGCGATCACCACGGCGTCAGAGTCGCAGGTCACAGACGTATACACTGGAGTCTTCACCGCGGGCGCCAATGGTGTATATGGCATAACCTCACAATCTGGTACGCGACCAAGCTTCCGCCGCTTTGGACCGAGCTGACTCAATGGTGTAGGCTACGTCCAAATTGCCGGCTACTCACTCACCGCAGAAGGCGCAGGCGCGTTGGTTGGAGGCCTTCGTGTTTCAGTCGCAAGCCAAGGTGAAGTTGTCGTAGGAGGCACCACGGTGCCATTGGAGCAGTACACGCCATCTTCCTCGACCTCTGAGCAAACGCGTACAACCCAGCCAACAACGACGAGCGAGACTGCGAGCGAATTCGAGATGACTGAGAGCGCGGCCGCTACCAGTTCGGGCGCCGCAGATACTGTTGGAGTCGGGTTCGCTGGAGTGGCTATCCTGGGTGGACTGGGCGCATTGTTCTTGTGATAGCAGCCCTTCCGGCGGCATGCGGACACCGACTTGTGGGTCTTGAGCAGTTTTGCCATCTGCTTTGCGACACAGCGTTCCGATACCCTTCTGCGAGACGAAAATTACGAAGCCATGACAACGCACTATGAACAGAATACGAACAGCGTAGTCAGTAGAACAGTGATTGATTAGCAGTACGAGTTATCAGGTGAAGCGCTGCGAGGTCCTTGCATTGCAGTGTCATACTATACCTAGCTCGTCGTCAATTCTGCCCCTGATGCCAGATTTCTCTCGAGGACCGCAGCAGCAATTTAGCTCGAATTCGACCTCCTGACTGCTCTCGGCCGGCTGCTAGTGTTTGTGGTGCATTGGTCTACTGCCATGGCTGACCAGAGGCGTGCTCTAGTCCAATACTTCAGCAGCCTCGAATGCGACGCGAAAAGTAGACCCAGGGCTTCATCGTGTCATGTCTCAATGTCTTCTCCAATCTTTCTTCCATTCTCCACCTTCTACCTGCCAAAGCCGCCTGGTCCAGGAGGGAAACCTCTACCACCCGGCGGAGGTTGAAACCCAGGTGGCGCAAAGCCTGGAGGTCCTCCCGGTGGGAAGCCAGCAGGTGGTGCGAATCCAGGACCGCCTCGGCCAGGAAATCCACCTGGAGGACCGAATCCAGCACCAGGGAAACCTGGCCCACCAACACCCGCCGCAGGTCCCTGCAATCCAATACCCGCTCCTCTGCCTGCAGGCTTCGCGATTCCTGGGCCTGCCTGTACAACTCCTGCAGCTGGTCCTCCACCGGGTGCGCTCTGTCCGAGTCGCGCAGAAGGATCGGCGGGAGGTGGTCCGTCGACCGAGCAGGACACGATGTTGGCGCCTCGTACAATGGCCAAGCCGAGAGAACGTTTCTCTTCGGATTCGATCGTTTGTGCGCCTGTTGACGCGCCTGGGGCGCCGCCTTGCTTGGTCTTCCTCTTGACCTTCCGGAATTCTTCGCAATCGGCGAGGACGAGGTTCATGTGCTATTACTGTCAGCACATATTCAGTTGTATTCCCACAGCTCAATTTACCTTGTCGAAAGCAAGCATTTGTCCAACTAGCTGCCGTCCATCATTCGTCGTTGCGCGCATTCGGTAGTTGATCTGATTTGCATGTAAGTGAGACGTTCTGGTCGCGGGATTGAGGAGTACTCACGAAGCCTTGCTATTCATCATATCAGCGAGCTGTCTCTGTCAACGCAGGACTCCTTTTGAAGTGGAGTAAATGGGTCGAGACTCACCATCTTGCCCTGCTTCTGGGTTGATGCCATCTTGGCGGTGTTGCGCGCCTAAGCACGACTTCAATCCGGATCGGAAGTTTCCAGCGAGACCACGCGTGTGCTCCGATATGAAGTTGTAGTCGTACGTGGGAGCGAAGATGTGCGGGTGTCGCATGTGCCTGACCGCGCAGCAGCCAAAGTTCTTTGCTGCGCTCGGCTAGTGCCGAAGTTAGCGGCGCCAAGCGCCCACTTTGAATCAGCACCCTCACTTTTGCGCTGCGAAGCGACCTCGACTGCTCTGCTTCAGCACCTGCTCGTACTAACACAACACACCCAGGACGTGACCAGCCGTCTCACTAGCACAATGGTGAGTGTCGCCAACATCATGCGCGCCTCTCTACGACTGCACCCGATCTGCTTCTCTTGAAACATGATCTGAAAAGCGTCTGTCGATGCGAAAATGGTGTACGGTACGGGAGAGGAAGTGCATTGGCTAACCATTCCATCGCGGATTGCAGGCAAAGGGCGAATCTTCCACACAGCAGGCCGATGGCTCCGCCGTCAAGACCCAGGGCGGCAGCGACAAGTCCGCCAACCCCATGCGTGAGCTCCGCATCCAAAAGCTCGTCCTCAACATCTCCGTCGGCGAGTCTGGTGACAGACTTACTCGTGCCGCCAAGGTGCTCGAGCAGCTGAGCGGTCAGACTCCAGTCTACAGTGCGTACACACCCGGAAGCCATCGCATGCGGTTCTGCCAAAGTTCCACCCGAGCAATCTCGACTAACAGGTCAATACAGGCAAGGCCCGCTACACTGTCCGTACCTTCGGTATCCGTCGTAACGAAAAGATTGCCGTCCACGTCACCGTCCGTGGACCAAAGGCCGAGGAGATCCTCGAGCGTGGCCTGAAGGTCAAGGAGTACGAGCTCCGCAAGCGCAACTTCTCCGAGACTGGCAACTTCGGCTTCGGTATCTCCGAGCACATCGACTTGGGTATCAAGTACGACCCAGCGATCGGTATCTACGGAATGGACTTCTACTGCTGCATGTGTGTATACTCTGAGCAAGAAACTTCGGACAGCAGAATGGAGACTGACATTGCTGAACAGGACCCGCCCTGGTGAGCGTGTCTCCAAGCGTCGCCGAGCGAAGGCCAGAATCGGTGCCTCCCACCGCATCACCCGCGACGAGACCGTCAAGTGGTACAAGAACCGCTTCGAGGGTATTGTGCGATAAATGCATTCTGCGAAAGAGACGGCTTGAGAAATCAGCCTACGAAATCTCAATGAAAAGCATGGGAACTTGGCGCAAATGAGCACGGCTGCTGGTGGTTTGAGTAGATACCCAGACATAAGAATATGGCCTATCGGAGCTCTTCTCAAGCATGAGCAAGATCAATTCAATGGAGGCTTCACCACTGCGTGACTTTGCCGCTTAACCATTCGATCACTGCCTCACTGCGTCTGTCACCTTCCCTTTGCTATCTTTGCTACCTGTGCCTCCGTTGTCTGTACGTCTCCCTCATCTTGTCATTGCTGCAGATCATGGATCCTACACGATGGATGACATCCGGAGTCGAGTGATCCAGAGGTGATGTGTAGGAGTCCAGCATGGGATCACATATAACCGTGGCTACCTCTGAATGCAACCGCCTCTGAGGGCAAGCGCAGGTCGCTACGCCAATCAACGAAGCTGTCTCTGGATCGAGAGTCAATCTGGACAGGCGCTTGCACTCAGAGGCAGTTGCATCCAGAGGTATCCACGGTCAAGAGCCGAGCTGATGAGGTAGCTCTACAGCATTCTGTTGCGCTTGAACAATATCCTACGCACATGCGCATATTTTCTCATTCGAGCATCTGTTCTTCATATGTCGGAATCTATGTGCATCTTGAACTTCTTGTTCGCACGATCTGGAGCCCGACTCTCAAATTGATGCCCATATAGCTCAAACACCAACGGCTTCATCTTGTCCTTCTCCTCCGCCTCAACACCACTCTTCTCCTCGAATGGCAGCTCGAACCGAAATACCGTGTGCTCTTTCGGCACAGTCTTCAGCTCGTTCCTCCCTGTGATGATCTCGAACGTATATCTCGTGTCCTTCACCACAATGCCCTTCAACCCCACTCTGCTCGGACACCTGCTCCTCACAACCTCCATCATCGCGCCATGATAATCAGCCGTGACAAGCATGGGTCCAGCTCCATTAGGCTCAACATGTGTCCTCCCATCTTTCAATCCCAGGATCTCGCGCATGTAATTGCACCACATATTATGCAGCGGCTCGTAAATAGCATATTTTCGCTGATCTTTCGGGATGTCGTAGATACCAAGTGCGCGCTTCTGCTTCGCAGAGAGCGGTTTGGGCTTCTTGGATTTTCGCTTCGCTTTCTCTTTCTGATGGCGTTCGTACTGTCGTTTTGCTCGCGCGTTGACACTTGGATCTGGTGAAGTTGGGCGAAGCAAGAGCGGGATCTTTTTGACTTTGTCGCTGAAGATCTTGCTTGCGATTTCGGGTTCGCGCGCACGAGACAGGAGCTCGTGGGCGATGTGATCGGTTGGCTGGGCAGCCATGGCGGGGAAATATTGTTCACATGTCTGCTACCTGAGTGGGAGATTTTGGGCGAGTGAAACTGTGAGGTGCATCGAAAAGTGTTGCTGAGTCATCCACCCGCTCTTCAGATGCCAAGGAGCTGCTGCCACTCCTGCCTGCCGCGGTCTGAGAGCAACGACAACGACAGGAGTACAAGATCACGAGGTTTGTGTACCCATCAACATATCATCAGTGATCGGATTGATCAAGCGATATCTCGCTGAAAGCAGCTTTACCTCGCTGTCCGTATCCTGATCAGGCGTAGCTCACATCGGATTCGCGACCTCTGCACCACAGACGAGATTCGAAGGATTGAACATTTGCCAACTTCGACTTCGCATAGTCAGCACGGCCATAGTGGCCCTCCGAAAGGCCGAAACGTTACGATCACTTTCATTTTGTTTGGACAGAAAGCTTTCTGTACTGGCATCAGGTCGTTTGACTTGATCTAGCCCCGCTTCCAAGCCGGACATTGTGTGGCGTACTTCCTATGTCATGGAAGGTTAAGCTGCATGGATAGTGCGGTCTCATGCTCTCAGGTACAACGGAAGGTGCCAATCAGGAACCGTCTTATATAACTCCTTTCAATTGTAGCATCCGCGTAAACATCAATGCTCAGACACCTTCGGCCATTATTGCGAACTGCCAACAGACAAGTCGAAACGAACCTCCACAGGACCATGGCTACCGCAAATACAGTCCAGCTTCAATCTGCGTCCCAGCCGCAATTCTCTCTCGAAGGCATCCAGCAAGCATCTACGCAGAAGGCCAGCGAGCTTCTGCAAGAGAACCATGACAAGCACCACATCTTCTTCAACCCGGATGGCTTCCACAATCACATTGCTCATCAGCTTCTCACGATATGGTCACTGAAGGCTAGTCCGGAGGACATCCAGCGTGGGTACGACACAAATCGAAGCTACCAAAGAGCAGCTAAGAAGCCACAGGCAACTATCGTGAAGGAGCTTCACGATCCAAAGAAGTTCATCAGCTATCTTGGACCACAAAAGTACTACAACGACTTCCTCGAATTCTTTCAAGAGGAAATCGACACGAAAGGCTGGCAAGATGTTCTGCAAGAGTACGTCTTTGCCGGCGACGAGCGAGCAGAGACTATGCTGGTCAGGATGTACGCCGGATTCTTGCACCCTATCATCCATCTTGGATTCGGGATCGAGTTCGAACAGCCAGCCATCATCGCCGAAGCTCTCGCTCAAGCATGTTGCCATGACGAATGGATAGGAAGAGCACTCTTGCCAGCCGAGCAAGCCGCAAAGCAGAACGGAAACGACAAGAGCATCGTTGAACTGCTTGACGAGCTTCGCTCAAACAAGGAGATTTTCGACGCGCCACACTGGTGAGTAGCATAACTCTGGCTATCTCTGAATGCAACTACTTGCGAATGCCATCGCAGGCTACTAAGCCAATTAGCAAAGCTTTTCGTGGTGGCAGAGACTAACACCTTCCAGGTCCGATGGCAACAAGATACGCGACGGTCTCCTCGCCCGCTCCCCAAAGCCGCTCATTGACATCATCTCCCAAGTCCACGTTAAACCCTCCGACCTCGGAATCAAAACAGCCGAAATGACCAATGCTGCAATCCTCTACACAGCAGGCGCCCAGCGTCCTAACAAAACCATCAAGTTCGACTTCTACTTCATGCACTGCGTCAACGCCTCGATTTTCTGGCCAACTTTCAACCGTCAAACATGGCTCTCCGAAGCTTCCAAGATCCGACTCCTCGAATGGAAGATTCGATTGGACTTGACCATGTACGCTTCACGGAAATCGCCAGAGATCAGACTCAACGACATTCGAGAGTACACACCGAGGAAGTCGTCAGGTTGGGACGAAGTCTTTGCGAGAGCCTGTAAATTCGATGATGATGGCCATGCTTCGAAATTGGTGCGGGCTGTGGCGAATGCAGAAAAGGTATCGAAGCCTTTTGAGGGGAAGAAAGGGTTTACGTTGGAAGGTGATGACTGGTTGAAGATTGCTCATATGGTGATTGACTCTGTGGAGATGCAAGGAGATCATTGGATCAGGAGTGCGGGCTTTGATGAGGCGTGGGAGCAGGTGCCTGAAAGGAAGGGTGCAAGATTGTGATTGTCGGATAGTACAGAGGCGGACAATCACTGCGATCGCTCTGGTTTTTAGCAGCAAGCCATGCCACCGCTGGTTCGACTTGTGATTCTTTCTTCTCACTATTTAATTTCGGAGTCACCTCGTGTGCATCCTTTACACCAATTTTCGCGCCCCTCGCAAGGAGTAGCAGCTGACATTGTGGACAGAGTGGAGAAACAAGGCGAGTTGGATATCTTTTTAAACGAGTATCATGAACGCTAAATTGAGCAGAAGTGAACTGAAAGAGAGCCAAGTTTGCACTCGCTCCATTGCGGCTCCTTCTCAGCCCTCAAACCTTCCCTCGCGCCACTCATGCACCGTGTGTAGAAATCATGCCATATCCCCAGATACGTTATCGCAGTAATGACTCATGGAAAATTCGAGAAGCAGATGCATCGTTTGGTAATGCCTTTCCAAGACGCGCTCACATGAAGTCGCCACTAGACTGTGTTAGTTTGATGTACCCAACTTCAGAGCATTGGATTATACGTACTCATCAAGTCCATCGTCATCGTAAGCATACGTGTCCGCTGCGCGTGATGTGTCCCTAGCTGCGTTCAACGTCGTCTTGGTCTTCGCTGCTTTGGTCTTCTTGCCGCCCTTCTCAGCAGCCTTCTCTTCCTTCAGCTTCTCATTGCTGACGGCTGTCAGTCCACTGGCAACCTTCTTGACCTGCTCGCTGTTCATCTCCTTGACAATCTGCTTGGAGAACTCCTTCATGAAGAGCTCGTATTGAGGCTTCTTCGCAATGTTGTTGAAAAGGGGCACCAGAGTCTCACGGAGTGTGGCAAAGTCCTTCGCAGAGGATGGGTTGAACAGCTTTAAGCTCGAGAGATCGATTGCGCTCGTTGGGTCCTCGGAGTCGGCTTGGACGGTGATGGCCTTGTTCGTGCCGCGCTTAGCTGGGCCGCTACCTCCACCACCGAACAGGTCTTCGGCATTCTTGAGATCACTCTCCATCTCCTGAGCCCGTAGTCGTGCGCGTCGCGAGGCCTCGTCCTCCTCCTCGCTGCTCTCGCCATCCTCGGCCTCTGCACGCTCTCGTCGCCTCTGCTCGCGAAGCTCCTCCAGACGCTGCGCCTTGGACCTCTTCTCTGCCTTGGCCGCGGCTTCGGCCTTTGCCTTTGCTTCCGCGGCCTTTTTCGCCTTTTCGCGTTCTTCCTCACTGTCCTCGGCAGCATCCCATGACTCTAGCACGTCCTCTTCCTCTTCGTCATCAAACTTGCCGCGGCGTGCGACGGTCGGTGGTGGTGGCGAGGACGCGGGCGTGCTATCGGTCTCTTCATCGTCCCACGATGTTTTGGAGGGTGCCATGGTTGCGATTGTTCTTCGCGGGCAGTCGCCTTTGTTGTCGCAAAGTTGTGTCAGGCTCGTTCCAATGTGTACTGAATATCGGCGACGCTGGTTGCGAGTGACCAGGTGGCAGGCAAATTTGTAGGCAAGTGGTACGAGAAAAGGAGGGCAGATGTCTGGGTCGGGAGAAATGTCTACCAGGCGTTGGTGGGGGGCTGTGGGCACCTGCAGGATGACATCCGATTCTTTGTTGGGCAGCGATCACCGCGCGCTAAGACTTTTGAGTCACCATCACATGCATCAAAATAGCACGACTGCGGAAATGCAAGGAAAACTTGCAGAATTACACATGTACAGTTCGTTGGCAAGAACTACTCATGCATCGTCGAGTACCTGGTATCACCGACCGACACACGTATCACCGCCAAGACTGTCTCAAGTCCCGAAAGCTAAACTCGAGTCGGCGGGATATGCGTGGCCCGTGCTAGCAATTCTTTGCGAGGCCATAGTAGCATTGGAAAGCGCTCATGATCGAATGTTCCCTTCGTGGATTTTCTACTGGTGCTCCTCAGCCCAAGATCTCTTCCGTGATCCTATGCAAGTCGAGGACATCAGGATCCAGACTGTCCAGCTCAAGCAGATCCAGGCTGTCTACGTTCCCGTCCCCCAGCAGCTTCTTCACACGCCTGCTATGCATTTCCCAGATGCCCTTCCGCGGCGGCCTCATACACCTCCACTTTTCATGCACCACGCTCGCCACCGTCTGGTCTACCTCGGGTGGACGGAGACGCTTCCACACATGCGGGTATGCGTAATAGTAGAACAAGACCCTCCCAGTTGCATCAAACAGATCTGCGACTTGTCGAAGCCTTGCAGCTTGCTGTTTCCCGTCCAAAGCTCGAATCTCCTTGTAGTCTGCGTAAGCAAAATTGCCGTACATCATTCGAGGTTCATAGTCGAAGCGATCAGGGAGTACGTCCAGCAGCTAGCAGCTCTCTGTCTGACCTGCGGCGAATGTGATCGATGTTGTGCACAGCCAGGTAGCCTTCCCGAGATCGACCTGGGGAAGCGTTTGGTCGAGAGGCGGTATGTCGTCGCCCGTACCAGTTGGAACAGTCGCCGAATGGAGGAACTCATTCTGATTCTCAACTTGCCCATATTTCTCTCTGTCGTCTTCAGTAACTTGTTCTGCACCGCCGCTCTTGGTGTCGTCTCTCATGCGATCAGTGACCATGTCCTGTCTCGCCTGATCCAATCTCTCCTCACGGAACTCCTCCGGCACTTCCTGCTTCATATACTCCGCTACAGCCATCTCCGCAAACCGACGACACTCATACCATTCATCATTGTACCCGGCATCCCTCAAGCAGTCTTCTGCTTTCAATGTGCCTTGCTTGAGCGCCAGTCGCAGCTCAGTAACCTTCTGTGTCCAGAAGAAAGACTGCTCCGGCGACATCAAAGACCAAATTTGAGCCGCTGTTTTGTGATGGAGTCTCTCGATTCGGCCAGTGGCGCGCAGATCTTTACGTCGATGCTGAATTACAGGTTCGACGTGGTGAACAAACATGTTCTGCGCATTGCCTGAGAATTTTTGAACAGCTCTGTCGATTTCGCGCTGTCGAGCTGCGGAAGGTAAGGCCTTGTGTTTTGTAATATCCAGTACAGGCAGGGGCTGGTATCGTTGATACATTGCTGTGGTCGCCGTCTGTGGAGTGGAAGCACTTGCGAGCGCAAGCGTTTGGCTCGATTTGTTGCAGAGGATTCCAGATTTCTCTTCATGTTCAGAGTCGTCGGCGGGCGAGTCGACAGAAGCAGGCAGGTCGCCTTCTGGCTCTTGCGGTGGAGCAGTCATCGCGAGATGCACAGACTGCTATGTGAACAGTATCTGGGAGCTAAGTGAGAGTGGTTGAATCAAGTTCAGTGGCGACGCGGGGTACAGAAAAGGAAGGAACGCAAGAATCCGAAGCAGAAAAACTGCTCTGCTTACCGCAGCGCGTTTATGGGTATCTCAAAGTCGCAAGCTGTGTGCTCGCTATGCCTTTTGCGCCGTGCCATGTCTTTCGCAGCGTCATGTTCCGCGCCATCATGTCTCGCGACGGATTCTCATGTCTCGTATCCAGCCCATCCTTTCCAAACGCCACGCTCATGCTTTTGCGATCAGAGACAAAATTCGAGTCTCAGCGCTCATCAACTAGTCGTATCACGAAACCACCATGTCTTGCGCGCGACGCCGTCACAAATCCCCACCAGCGCCAGCGATCTTCTTCAGCTCCATTTCCTTCGTGAATTCCTGGTCGAGTTGACCTAGCTCTTTCACGAGGTCCTGACACGCAGTGACGACCGCCTCCTTTGGTGTGATCTCGCCGTCAGTCTGAACACGGAGCTTGAAGGTCGCGAAGAGTGGATGGGGAACTTGGTAGCCTGCGAATAGAACGTGGTCGGCTTTGGCGAGCTTTGCGCGGAGCAGGTTGCCTAGAGTGTGGTCCTCTTTGTTGAAAGTGAACATGGAGGCATTTGGGACGCCTGAAGCATCAATGTCAGTATGTACACCATATGTGCCGTAGCGAAGATGTATTTACGAGTCTCCTGCTCAACCTCGACCTTCTTCTCGCCCTCACCAAGGAGAAAGGACTCGTATCTGTCTGGAGTGTCAACAGTTGTATCGATTAAGCTCCCCACATGTTGTAGTCTGCTGGCATCGAGCCCAACGGCAGTACGATTCTTGTTGGAATCATAACCAAAGTGCGGGTGCTGACCGCCTGTCAAGACGGGAGATGTGCGGTCCGTCATGATTGCTGTCTCTTTCTGCTCTCGTTGCGACTTAAGCAACAAATGTTGTGCTGTACGTACCTGTCTGGTGCGTTCATCTTCGCGACTTATATGGGCTGCGCGTCGGCGCGATGGTTTGCTCGAAAGTAAAGTGCAGCGAACGGCAGAGAGAGAATTCGAAGGTGGACGAAGTCGCGAGTGCTGGCGATGCGTAGATGCGTGTAAATTCGAGAGCGGGTCGAATGTTTCTGAGTAGACCGAAGGTTGAACAGCCCTCCGTAGGCAAAAGCTAGTGCGTGAATGGTTTGCCGGCAAGTGGAGCGAAGGTGAATGGAGACCGTGCAGGTGAAGGAAGTCGCGATGCTTTGTCGCGTGCAGATCCGAAACCGAGGATGCACTCGTTGCGGACACTCACTTAGCGACTTCTCTCACAAACTGGATTCCGCAGATGCCGCGCTTGTCGACACAGAGCGCCTTAGCTATGCTGCCCAAGGCGGAGACACGAGGATCGAAGGGCACTTGACTTTATGTTGTGCTTTCCGGCAGTAGAACGCAGTCAGGTCCGGAGAAAGCTGAGTTCGACGTCAGCCAATCTGATGAGCAACATCCAAGCTGAGCATCCTCGGCCGATGTCGCAGTCGCAGCTAATATAATAGCTGCCCTCGTAGACCAGTGAGTAAGAAACATACCTTGCACAAGCCCGTAAATCGTCAAGATGGATCAGCTCAAGAAAGACTACCCGTGGACAAAGGCGCCTTTGGTCTGTGTCGCCCCAATGAGGTTGATCGCCTTAGCAAGTCTGGCAACAGAAGTCTCTCGAGCAGGAGGTCTAGGATTCATAGGAGCCGGAAGTGATGCTTCGAATTTGGAAACAATACTAGAGGAAGCCAAGCAGCAGATTGCTGGGGCCCAGGTATTGAAAGAGGTCGAGGATGTTATGCCTATTGGAATTGGCTTCTTATTATGGGCTGGCGAAGAGCTGTTGAATGCAGCGTTGCCGCTACTTGCTAAGTATAAACCAGCTGCGGTGTGGCTGTTCGCGCCACGACAGGTCGGCGACTTTGAGGAATGGACGAGAGAGATCAGACGAGTGACGGATGGCAAGACGAAGATCTGGATTCAGGTCGGCCAAGTCGCGGAGGCGTTTGATGTGACGACGATGTGTGAGCCGGATGTGCTCGTCGTACAAGGACAAGATGCTGGTGGGCATGGACTTGAACAAGCCTCTGGCCTCGTACCGCTTGTGCCAGAAGTGGACGATGCTGTCACCAATCTGGCGCAAACCAAAGGCATCAAGAAACCTATTCTCATTGCCACTGGTGGCATCATGGACGGTCGTGGAGCAGCTGCTGCAATCGCCCTCGGTGCCAGTGGAGTAACCCTGGGCACACGATACTTGTCCGCACCCGAGGCGAATATCGCCAAAGGGTATCGAGACGCCGTCTTCAGTGCTTCAGATGGTGGCGTCTGGACCAAGCGCGTCAAGCTCTACGATACTCTTCGCGGTACACGCGATTGGCCAGAGCGCTATGGTGGCAGAGGCGTTCTCAATGAGACGTGGTTTGATTCAGAAAAGGGCCTGAGCATTGAAGAGAACCAGAAGCTATACGACGAAGCTATGAAAAAGGGCGATGAGGGCTGGGGCGCAAAAGCTCGTCTAGCAACATACGCTGGCGCCGGCGTCGGTCTAGCAAAGAGTGTCAAGTCAGCTGCTAGAATCACAGAAGAGGTCCGCGACGATGCGAAAAAGGCGTTGAAGCACGCCGCTGCCATGGCTGCCATTTAGCCACAGCGGGGTGCAAGGATATCGTTCTCTGGAGAGATGGACGCATCCCAGCTCACGAGGTTGGCTACGGGGCGAATTTTCGCAAGAACGATCGCGAGAAACCATTTCTTTCTCCGAAAAGGCAAGGGGCTTCTCTGCCTTCAAGCCTAACGCAGAAGCGAAACAGTGTCGCAAAAGGCAGACTGAGACACAATAGTGGTAAAAGTAATCGGTATAGCACAGATGTAGCATACAGACCAAAGCAGCGTCAAGCGGTCTAATATACAGCAACCAAACCAGTTTTTTGCCTCTTCTCTGTAGAGGCCACCCGCATACACTCTCGCCCAATCGCAAGTCGTGACCTAGGCAGCGAACCCTTCGTTACCTTGGTCGCCTACTTGCCGATAGAGCAAAATCATCCTCGACACATCGACCGCGCTCAAAATCTCTAAAAGCCCCTGTACCCGCCATTAGGTTGTCCGTTGGCAATGGGTCCCTGAGTAAGCATGAGCCTCGACTGTCCAAGAATTGGACCAGTATCTTCCTTTGGTGCGTTGGCCTTTTCTCGCTCCTTTCGCTCCTCGTTGTCCCGCTGCAGCTCTGCTATCGTGGCAGCTTGCTGTGAGAAGTAATTGATCATGAATGGCATGGTGAAGTCGGTCAGGCCGTAGCGCCATGAGATCTCCATAACGGTATGCAGAGGGATGAGGTCGTAGCATGCGTAGAGCATGCCAACGTAGCATTCCTTGCTGCCGATGTCCACAAACTATGAAAGGTTAGCTGATGTTGACCAAGGGAGATTGGAGGGAGACTCACGTATCGCACAAGCTCCTCCACGACCTCGGTCTTGCCAGAAATGGCCGCTGTCTCGATGGCATCCTTGTAGAGTTTGTCTTGCTTCGACAGGGCTATCGACTTGTCCCATCGCTTGTTCTTGCGGTAGATATTGGCGGCGATCTGTCGGAAGAACACCAACTCGTGCTTCTCCAGACGCTGCGCCAGAGCCACCGCCTCATAATTATCGAAGTTGTTGACGCTGTCACGCAGCTGCTTGTAGTCCTCTTCCTCGATCAACAAGTCGTTGATGGCGTCGTTGACAGCGCGCTTGTTTTGCGGCTGCACGTTGAGCAGGAATGGCTTAATCAAGGGGATGTTGTCGGACTTCTCAAACATCTTCACGACCCGGTTGACGTCAATGCGGGGGGTCAAGACTTGCAGTAGATCCGTGATGAGCGACGGTTGCTCCTGCAAGTAGAAGTTGAGAGCTTTGTAGTAGATCTCGAGGTTCGAGACCTTTACGATTGTCTCTTTGAAGGACTGGTGCTCCCAGGCATCGGCGGCGCGCTCCATCATGGCCAGAGCAGCGTTGTCGAACTCGTCGTAGTGGCTATAAAGGAACACTAATTCTGGCCAAAGGTGGGCCAGTTCGACCGCGCGAATCATCTTCGGGATATTGATTCTCCCCCTGACCATTATTAGCAGATGTTGGCATTTTGGAAGCAGGCTCTTGGGGACTGTACGGACCAAAATAATCTGAGGTGCTCCATCACTCTCTCGGGATGGTATTTAGCAAGGGCTTCTCCGAGACTTGTAAATAAGCCCATATGAGCTGAAGCACGTTAGCAGGTGTATAACGGAAAACGTCACAAACTTGAACTTACCTCGCTCCAATCCAAGGCCGGCTTCGAGCAAGCTGATGAGCTCGTCAAAGTAGCCCTCACGCTCGTACTGCCGCACGAGATCGTTGAGTTCCTCTGCGTGAATGATGAGGTTGAGACCGCAGATCTGTGCCAGACGGAACTCCTTCTTCGCCACACATGCCTCATTGACTTGCTTCCAGACCTTGACGCTGTTAGCCTTGCGAGCAGACTCCACAGCGGCTTGGTAGTCCTCCAAGTGGACGAGGGTCGTAGCGAGCTTGGCCCAGTTGGAGATAGACGTGAAGAAGATCTTGGCAGCCTCGTGGTAGCCTTCGGCGTAGGCCTTGTCACCTGACTCTTCGATATTGGCGACGTTCGATGATCGGAGGAACTCCTCGAGAGCAGGGAGGTCGTTCAGCCTAGCAAAAGCGAAGGCGAGAGCAGTGTCGACTGGTGGCTCACGGAGAGTCTTGCGGGCCATGCGCAGATACTTGACGAGGTCTTCATCCTTACCAGCGTGGGTGGCGATCTCGATAACCTCTTGGTAGTTGGAAGGATCTTGAGCGCGAATGTACGACTCGACGGCATCCGAGATACGCAAACCATCAAGCTGGGCCTTGGCGACCTTGCTCCAAACCTCAGGAAGGTCGACCTGGTCGGCATACTCCTGAGCACGGTCAATGCTGACAACGTGATCAACGAGGACATTGGCAGCTTCGGCGTGGTTGCTGGCCTTCTTGTAAATCAAGAACGCCTCTTCGTACATGCCGACTTCGATACATTGCTGAGCAATGTCATCTGGGCTGTATGCATCGAGCTGCTGAATGTAGTTGGCGACACGACCACGATCCGACTTGGCTGCGGTGAGCATGAGCAGGTTCTGAAGGTTAGCATTATCGGAGAAAGTGGTGGGCTCCAGAATAATCTTCTCGAGCAGCTCAATGAGCTCGACAGGCATGTCGGCATCGATGAAGGCCTTGACTGCGATACTGACTCGCTCTGGATCGGTGGACTATCGTATGATGTTAGTCAACGCTCGTAGATGTAATAGGCGTGCACTTACCTCAGGGACTGCAACTGAGATGACTTGGTCGACCAGCGAACGACGGTGGATGTTGTTATCCGACAGAACATATGACCAGATCTCTGAATCGGCGCGTTCCAAGAGGTAGCGAGCCTCTGCTCTGAACATGGCGTTCTCGTTACAGATGGAGATCAGTTCCAGGTCATTCTGGCCCTTGGAGTACGCAATAAAGGCAAGGTTTGGATCACGCTTCTCGCAGTACTTGCCGACCACCAAAGTATCGTATTGGTCGTTTGTCTTCAAGAACTTCTCGGGGTCGTTGTTCGAATCGATGTAGATTTTGGCCAGAGCGTTGTACACAGCTTGTTGCTGGTTGCCAGCAGCTAAGCTCTGCTCGAGGAATGGCAGCAGCAGCTTCAAGCGGTTGCGAGACTCGACCTCTGACACGAGCTCATCGATGGGGATCGATGCAGGTGATACTGAATTGAGAAGGCCCTTGATGATGTTCTCGTCGCAGTCGACGTCAAGAAGGCCACCGATGACGCCTGGAGTCCGGGCAGGGTTGACGCGCTGGACGTAAACCTCGATAGACTTGAATTGCTGGTTCTTGTAGAGATACAGAACCAAGTCGTGCACGAAGTTGAAACGATCGCAAACAATGATGAGAGGTAGTTGCTCAGTGAGCTGGGCTTCCTTGAGGAAGTTCTTCACCTTCTCAGGATCATACGCGTTCGACTCACGACAGACACGCTCGACCTCTTGCAGCTGTCCCATTGTGGTCGCGGCTTCGATGTATTTGAACGTGACCTCTTTGTCCTCTGCCAGATTGACGATGCCGCCCAAATAGAAGTACAGGCCTTCCGCAGTACGGTACTTCTCGAGGAGGTCGATGATTCGGGTAGGACCGAAAAGATCGCTGTACTTCTTGGAGATGTTGATGACTGCTTGCAAATTCTGGCGGATGTTGACCTTGAGCATTTCGTCCATGCATTCCATTGCGAGATCAACAGTCAGACGGCCAAAGTAGTTGATGAGCCAGTCTTCTGGGATCTTGTCAGTCTGCACAATGCATCGCTTGATGGATGCAGGGTCCTCGTAGTGCTCGAGAGCTCTCGTCAGGAGACCAGCGCCCTCGCACAGCGACGCAATGCGCGCCTTGTCGTAATGCGAGAACATCTCATTGCCAAGGATAGCATCTGCGACCTGCGGGGCATTCTGCAGATTCATCTCCAGAAGTCGTGTCTGCAAGTGTCCTTGTTCAGGTAGATTAGCAGACAGAGCATCCAGAAGGAATGCCGTGGCCTGCTGCACCATGCCTTGAGCTTGGAAAATGTCAAGCACACGATCAACGTCAAGCAGCGAAGGGTCCTCGCGAGCAATGCTTGTAGCGAATTCGGCAGCCTTGTCCGGGTTGACACGTGCCACATGCTGGATTAAGGCGTTGAAGTCTGGTGTGTAGCCAGCTTCACGAGAGTACGGCAGAATTTGCTCAAAGTTGCCAGATTCGGCCATTGCAGCGATGACCTTCTGGGATGCGCCAGCTTCTTGGTAGATTTGCTGAGCAAGCGCAACATCGTGAAGACGGACAAGATCGCCGAGCTGCTCAGAGCATCCAAGCTTGCCCTCCTTCATCCACTTCTCCAGCAAGTGCTTGCGGCTTTGTTGCAGAACAGGTCGTGCCAGCTCAAGTGTTTCGTGCTGGTTAAGCTTGCCCTTGTCCAACAGCATTCCAAAGTATTGTAGAATAACCGAAAGTTGCCCTTGCTGTTGCGGCACGGCCTTGAATCGCTCGATCGTCTGAGGTGTGCGGAGGAAGCCTTGCGGCGAGTTCGCAGCAGTCTTAGCGGCATTCTGATAATCGCCCATAGAAAGAAGCTGGTCAAACCGCTGCTGGTATAGCGAATCGGCGCCTGGGAGACCGGCTCTTGACGCCAACTTATATGCGAGTTCTGCGTTCTCGGGATTCTGCAAGAGGTAGTTGATGATCGTCGTCTCGTCCACGCTCACTGAAAGCACTTGTCCCTTCCTGTTTACGCCAACAATCCCAGCTCCCTCGCTGTCGCCTGCGGTCGTGAAGATCGTGTCGCTCGAAATGCGGTTCATGAAGATCGTGGTACCGGTCTCGAGGTCGAACAAGTGGATGAAGCCGTACTTGGTCACCAGGTAGATGACTTTGTACTTCGAAGAGACCTGCATCGCTACAGGGAAATCGTTCGTGGCCTCGGCAGGAAAGTAGATGTCGACAGCGCGCTTCGTGAAGGTCGGGTTGGTGGCCTGGTGGTCAACTTCAACGATGTGCAGTTTGGCACCGGTCGCCGACCGGTTCGCAAATGTGAAGAGCTTCGTATCTGCCGGCGCATCCTCTAATCTCAAAGTGCCAAATGCAGCAGCGTGACCCTCGATGGCCTGGCTTATGCCTCTGTCCTTGGAGTAGAGTTGCATTGCGCCAACCACGCGTCCCTGTTGCTGCGAAATGCCGACCACGACCATCCACTTCTCGTCATCGCTGACGCGGTAGTTGATGATCTGACAACCAGAGAGATTCTGATTGCGCTCGAACACCTTGGCCGGGCTGACCTGGGCTGGGTCGAAGATGTTCCAATGATAAACGCTGGTGTCCGTAACCAATCCCAACGTGGTATCACTGAACCACTTCCAGAACACAACATCTTCCGCCATAGTCGCGCTCTTGATCTTGCTCTTCTGCGCGAGGTCGAAGATCTGTAGCGTCTTCCCTCCGGCTTTGAGCGCAATGATCTCCTTATTCCAGTGCATGATGGCGCTGTCGGCCTTGATGGGCCGCTTCATCACGGAGTTGCCATTCTTGAGGTTGATGATGATCACCTCAGGTTGTGCAGCTTCATTGACCTTCTGCCGCACGCAAACGAAGTTGTCGGATTCGAGCGTACATGAGTTGAAGCCTATTGACGCCGGCTGATTGTGCCTGTTAGCATGTTGTCTGATAGAACGCGCGCATCCTTGACCACCATACCTCGATGCCGACGGCCGTCAGCTGCAGCTGCTCGGTGAACTTGATGGGCAGCGGCGCCATGTTGTGTGTTTGCAGCTGATTGTCTCGCGGCGCCGCAGCGCTCGGTGATTATGCGGCGTGAGGCGCGCAAAAGGGAAATACACGCTCTGCAATGGATCGTCCAGAATCGAAGGAGCGAATGAAGGTCGTGACGGCGTTATTAGTGGTGATGGTGGGTGTTGGCGGGTAAAGGAGTCTGGAGTCGTGCTCTCTATTGACTTTCGAGGTGCCAGCTGGACAGGCCAAACAGGCGTCTGCATTGACCTCTGGGAGCAGCCGAACGCCACGTGCGGGATGACATATCACTTCTCAACAGCCTGCATCTTCACTTCTCAAAGCAAGACACTGCACAATGGACAAGACGACGACGGCGGACCTGAGCATGTTCAGGCTACCGAAAGGCTCTGGAGAAGCGTAACGTTCACGGGAAGGCTGGTGCTCAAACTGCTGACGATGAAGGCTTCTGCACACTTGTTGCCGATCCCTGATTACAAGCAAGATGAAGATAACCATCGCGATATTCTAAACCATAGCTGCGTTCTTGCAGCACACTGTAGCTGACTTTGTGAGACCTGGTGGCTGGGTTAGTGCTTCACAGACAGTGCCACAGTCGCACTGCTCGCAACAGTCTTGCCATCGCGGAGGCTGATGGGAAGCATGGGTGACGAACATCGATTTTGTATAGTTTCGCATAGGTCAGAGAGCGGACGAGAGTCTGAAATGGTGATCATAGCACTGGGCGTTCCACAAATGGAGCTTACTCAGGCGAATTTAAGGCAGTCATTGAATATGGAAAGCCCAACACTTTGAATCTGCAGGCTTGTCGTTTCAGTGCCTGGTCCCGACCATAAGTTGGTGTAGAGCTACACCGATCTCTTGCATATTGGAGAGGGAGCTCAAAATATGAGTGCCCGTTCGTTCGTCCGATAATAGAAAGCACAGGGGCTTCTTCCAACGTCAGGGGCCGGCAGAATTTCGGCGAATTGGAGGTGCTATAGGAGTCATTTACGTGCAATGGCTTCCTTTCTATCTTGAACATCAAAAGCTGTGACTTCTGGAGGCAGTGTTGCTTCGAAGACCGGCGAATCACCGCAGCTGTGAAAATTCTTTTCTGCTTCAGCATAGACCACACTCGCTGCAAAGCGCCGATATCCTTGCTGCACAGTTGACACACTAAGTCGGCTTCACGTACAAAAAGCCACTGTCATCGAGCTTCTCCAAGTGCGTGATGGCGTCCGTCGCGAGATGGGTACAGTAGCGACACACGATGTCCTGCGATGTTCTGCGGAGAGCGACAGTGGATTGGCCCCCAACCGTCGAGCTTTCCTTCCTTGGTGCCGCTAGGTACTTGAAAGCATCTCTCATCGTTGGTAAGCCAATGCGGAAGATTCTCTGTATTATTAGTAGGACTTCGGCGTATGTAGGTGAATTGCAAGAGTCGCTGGCCCGGAACCACTGGAGAGCTTCTTGAAGGTGCGGTTGAAGTTCGCGCAACGTTCTCGGCATGCAAGGCGGCTTGTGCTTAACAGTGAGTGTCCTGGTTGGCGCCTCGAGTAATGATGATAAGTCAGAGGTAGATCACGATGTTGGAAACATCGACATGCTTTGAGGAACGCGTGGACAGAGCAGACGGAGGTGTTTTCCCCAGGCCGTGTCGGAATTGGATTCTCTGAGTGAAGTACTGACTTTGCTTGTGATGCCTGGCTAACAAAGTGAGTTAAGGGACGGCAAATGAGCTCCACATTTGAAACAACCCCGCTGTCGTTCTCCTTTGGACACAGGCTGTATAGTGCAGTGAAGTTGACGTACGCCAACGCCGGCAGAAGCTCCCCTAAATTGTTGTGTGACGAACGGTCGATGTCGCGTGACTTGAGAAACGGCCAGAGCTGGTCCCTACCCTGCACAGCCCATTGCGCTCAGGCAGACGATGGGAGGGTCGTTGTGGTGGCCACGTTTCTCTGCAACGCTGCCGCGGGTATGGTGAGCCGACCATACGAAAGGGCGCAAAATTTCGTGCTGAATGCAGCAGGCATAGAGCTTGCGACCACGTCGACAACGACGTTGTTTTGGGCAGCGATTGGGCCAAGTGAGCAAGTCAGAGCAGGTGAAACGCGAAAGCACTCCTCCACACGCGCCACAGCTCAAGCCACGGAAGTCCCGCCCGCTTGTTTTCCAACCCTTCGCACCTGCGCTTGCTCTTCAAACAAACACCACCGGATCACTCACCACCACCTCCCCACCGCCGCTGCACTCGATCCACCACCGCCGGATCCCCACCCCACCCATCCCTGACCACACCGCCGACATGGCCACTGAGGTATGTTCGAGCCTTCCCCGCCGCCCAGGCAGATTAGGAGGAGCAGGCATTGCGCGACCTTCGCCTCGCCTCAACAAACTCCCTCAACACGCCATACTCCTGCGATTGACACTTTGCTGACTTGTGACTGCTACAGCGCGAGAGGTACCGTCTTGAACGATGTCGCGTCTGCTTCCGAGCCCCTCACTGACACCACCCGCAGCAAGACGTTCCTCGCACGACTGTGCGAGCAGGCTGAGCGCTATGATGGTACGTCATCCCTCCGCCAGAGGTCACGGGGAGGCAGTTGCTAACACGGTGCGCAGAGATGGTCGAGTACATGAAGGTATGCCGGACAAAGCGTAATGAAGAAGTCATTGACAGAAACTGATGGGTTTGATAGGAAGTCGCAAAGGTACACAGCTTTTCGATAAGCTATCGATGCAGCTTCTGCACAAGAGACTGCAAAGACCAGCTCCCCGCAACGACGACGAACGATCACTGACACCTGACGCAGCTCGGCGGTGAGCTTACAGTCGACGAGCGCAACCTTCTGTCCGTGGCCTACAAGAACGTGGTCGGCACGCGCCGCGCGTCCTGGAGAATCATCTCAAGCATCGAGCAGAAGGAGGAGGCCAAGGGCTCAGACAAGCACGTCGGCATCATCCGCGACTACCGCCAGAAGATCGAGACCGAGCTCGAGAAGGTCTGCCAAGATGTGCTCGACGTGCTCGACGATTCCCTCATCCCCAAGGCCGAGACCGGCGAGAGCAAAGTCTTCTATCACAAGATGTGCGTATACCACAGCAGCGGAGTAGCAAATGCTCGATCATGAGAAGTCGATGGCTGACAGCAGGACAACAGGAAGGGTGATTACCACCGCTACCTCGCCGAGTTCGCCTCTGGCGAGAAGCGCAAGACCGCTGCCACTGCTGCTCACGAGGCTTACAAGGTATGACTCCATTGTGTAACCACGGCTGCGCACGACAGCGACTGACGCGTGTCCTAGAACGCCACCGATGTCGCCCAGACCGAGCTCACCCCAACACACCCCATCCGCCTGGGTCTTGCTCTGAACTTCTCGGTCTTCTACTACGAGATCTTGAACTCGCCCGACCGCGCATGCCACCTCGCCAAGCAGGCCTTCGACGACGCCATTGCCGAGCTCGACTCGTTGTCCGAGGAGTCCTACCGCGACAGCACCCTCATCATGCAACTTCTGCGTGACAACCTTACCCTCTGGACCTCATCCGATGGTGGCGAGCCAGAGGCTGCTGCTGGCGAGACCAAGGCTGAGGAGAAGGCACCTGAGCCAGCTGCCGAACCTCCGACTGAGGAGGCCAAGCCTGCTGCTTAAGTCTGCTTTCGTCTTTTACCAGTCATCAGCGAGGTGCGCTTCATTTGGCGTTGGAGTGCGGGAGCGAGGACGAAGGATGCATCTTTCTCATCACCTCCTTGATCAGGTGGAATAAGAGACTAGCATGCGATGAATCAGAACGGAGAAGAAGAATTGCAACAAGACACCAGCGAAATCGACCTTGATGCCTGCGGCTCATGGATCTGAGAAGCGGAGACAAATGCAGTTTGCTTTCCTGATCACGCCCTGAAAACCCCCCATATTGCGTTTATTGCGAGCGGCTCGGCGGTACTCGATGTTTACCCATGAGTGCCTGTGTTTTTCGACTCTTATTGGCGATGTATGTGTTTCTTACGACGGCGCTCCTTGCTCTGAATCATGGCCTCATCGGCATGACGTTGCATGCGAGTTGCCACAGAGGATGAGCATTCCACTCAACTCTACTGACGGTCTCTACCCAAGCTAGCATATTAGGCAAGCGATGATATCACACCAAAAACATTAAACAAATGTTCATGTGCCTTTCCGACGTCCTCTATCTCTGATGAGAGCTGTGCAGCTGGTGCGATCACCGCATCTGGAAGCTATTGATGCAGAATTTGGTCGTGCTTACCTCGCGCAGCTCTCGTTTTGGTCAGCGATAAGACAAAACGTGGATGAGACCAAACTTCGACGAAGCCATTTGGAGCTGCGGAAGCGAATCTTGTTTCTCAGTCCGCCGTGTTAATTGTCAGAGCAGACAACAAGATTGCCAGCAGACCGGCGTACACGAACCTTCGTCAACCTGGTCACAATGCCTTCAATATCATCGCTCCCATCGAGCAGTGCCTCGTGTAAGTGCACGCCCACACAGCGCTCACAGCCGCTCATGGACCTCCGTTGCAGTATGACTGACTGAAGTAAAGCAGCCACTGCGAGCAACGATGGCAAGACGAAGAAGCCAGAACGCATCACTACAAACAGTCACCACGTAGCGGTACCTGTCAAGCAACTCAATGGCGAAGCGAAAGCTGTCGATCAGCCTTCAGAGCGACCACAGATCATTGGTTGGAGCTTTGAGGATCAGAACGGAAGGCTTCGAGTAGAGTATGCTTCAGCTGAGCACGAACGGAGGTTCCGGACGAGCGAGTGACGTTCAGTGGGAAGTGTGCGGAAGTCAGCGGATCTTTGATGGCGTCAGGTCAGGGAGGAGTTAGGGAGATTGGTGGGTAGGGGGAAGTAAGTTTCGAGAGAAAACAAGCTTCAAGACATACAATATGCACCAAGTTGACAAGATCCTTCTCATCGCCCAAGACAACTTTGAAGTCATCCCAGACAGATATGAAAGAATAGAAAAAGTGAATGTCCGTCAGTGATTAGTCCTCCAACCGCCACTTGAAAACAAGGCAGAGAAGGGTGGAGTAGACGAGGGCCTGCTAAGATCCCCTCCAAGTAAATGGAGTTCTTCTTCCACTGATTGAGATGAAGTAGCTTGGAGGCTATGTGTATGAGCCGGAAAGCAGGCAAATCGTGGTGTGTAGTAATGTCCCCCAGTAGCGAAAGAGTCACGAAGAATATCGTCGATAGAGTGGCATGCCTTGCGGTAGCGCTGCAACATCAACGAAATCTCAGCAGCTCGCGGACATGAACTTGGAAGTGTCTGCTCGAAGGCAGAGTCATGAAAGTCTTTTGACACGCGGAGGTGACTGCGCGATGTTAAGATCTCATCATGAAAGCACCAGCTAGCTGGAGGATGATAGTCAGTCGTTCTCTGCGCACCGGAAAGAAACTCACACCCGAAGGTGTAGTCTTCACTCCGATAACAGCTTTGAAGAACAAGGCGCTGCGCGAGGCAGCCCTGAAGAACAAGATGCTGCACGAGGCAGCCTTGAAGAACAAGATGCTGCGCGAGGCAGCCTTGAAAGAACTCGAAGATGCTGCGCGAGGCAGCCTTGAAATTCCTCAACAAAACTTGTGGGCGAAGCATCTGCAACCCTGGACGCTGGACTCTGAACGTGATCACTGGATACTGGACTCTGGACATGTATATTTGGTCCCTGGTCTCTGATCTCTGGATATTGATCTCTGGTCTCTGGACACTTGGCGTTGCACGAGGCAGCCTTCATGAAACACTAGAAACTGCACGAGGCAGCCTTCGAGGACCTCGAAGAAGCTTGAGAGCAACGGAGTAAACTGTGCACACAGGTGTCCTTAAAATCCTGCACAATGGCAGGTAGCACTGGTGTTGAAGTGAAGCCCGAAAATCTTGAAGGTATTGACAGAGGCTTCGTGGAGAGCGTTTGCTGTGAGCGACTTCATCGGTCACCGGGAGTGAGGGGAATGGGCGAGGTATGCTTGAGAAGTCCGTCGACTCGGATCATCGTGCTGGCGCGGAGGGTGGATCGCAGGAAAGGCGCATACAAGGGCGCCGAGGCATTGATAAAATATACATGAGCGAGGAGAATGTTGCGTGAAGAAGACGAAGCGGCAGAGCAGACGAGTTGCAGAAAAGAAGAAGAGCAGCAGTGAGACTTCGGAAATTTGAACTTGCTGCAGCCAGAGCCGCTTGCAGGGCAGGAACGCACCGTCCCGCTGTTTCTTGGCACAGTCGGCAGCCTCGTCAAAGTCGGCTTCAATTCTCGAGCTCTGCTTTCCTTTCTTCTTTACACACATTCATACCTAGAACGCATAATCAACCATCAGATCTGATTCTCCGTGGACTGGCTGGTCATATTGGCGTACTTGATCAAATTTCGAAGCGTCTTTAGGCCTTCCCGCCGAGCTCATTGGTAACTCTTTGCGTCGTGGTTGGAAGGTCACCTGCGTTTTTGCTTCACATTTCTATACTCTTATCACAGACGGGCTTGAGCCGCACGGACTGTACGGGCTTTGAGATCCGTGAAGGCACAATTCAATTGCGGTGAAGATCCTGTGCATCTGGCGATATTACGACTCCGACACTGGGATCACTGTAGAACCTTCGGCACGAGAACGTGGCTACGACGAGGGCATAGCACGAGTCGCGAAGTATACGGACTAGCGCTGCCGGCGGATTCAAGAGCACAGAATGCTCAGCGTCCATGACGTGGGGTGGTCACTCAGTACTGCCCAGACAACTGCACTTCGTCCTGCTGCACTTGCCACGCATCTTGTCTCATAGATCCCATCCAACCCCAAATAGCACATGGATACGTGGGAATCGTTCCTTTTGATTTGGACTCAGAGTCCGAAGCTGGTGTAAATTGCGCGATTCGCGTCGCATTTCTGAAGACTTTCGCTTTCAGTGAACTCAGTCACTGCATACATGCCGATGCCAAAGCCATAACGCCAGGTGCTGCCGCTACCCGCTGAAAGTGTCCTCAATTCATGACAGCCATCGTCCCCATCTCCAGGCTTCGTTCCAACTTCGCAACCCTTTCGTCCATTTTTCCGCGCTTATCTCAGTCTGCGGGCCTCACGCTCAGATTCGAGGAGGCAGAGGATGTCGTCCTCACGGACTGCCGCGACAGTCAGTATTTTGTCCCTACTTTCTGCAATTCTGCACATGTTGTCCTTACCTGGGCCCTTGACGTTGCGGATGATGCTACGGGTGGTATCGTCCATGAACTCGACGCGGACCTGGGTCACACCACCACGAGAGCCTGCACTCTTGTCAGATTTCCGTTCTTTCTTCCTTTCTTTCATGCTCCATCTCTTGAGTATCGCATACCGGTACGGCCGAGGACACGGGTGACCTTGACGAGCTTGACTGGGACCCTGCGCGCAACCCGTCAGTATGTGTCCTTATGCCCTCATCTTGCGCCTCCTCAGAGCGACTGACTTTGCGGAATCCATCTTTGCAGTTGTGTGATCGGGTGGAGAAGTATTCGGTGGTGATTTGGCGTGATCGTGCTGCGAGATGGTCGGTCTGCTGGGAGTATCACTGTGCTAGTGTGGGCTTTGCCAGACGTAAATTTGAAGACTTGGCAGAGGCACTAAAATTCATCGGGTAAGCTTTTCTGGCCTCAGGCACCCCGCCTGCTGACACTGAAGCTGTTGCTGTTGCAACATTTTTGTTGAATGGCCATTGGAGCTTGAAAGGCTATTTGACGATCTCCAATTGCATGCACGTTTCGTGCCGCCGAAATTCACTTCGAATATCCTATTCGCTGCCGGTCGTCGTCGCAGCTGTCAGCAAACGGTCAAGCCGTTGTGTGCTGAGTTGAACAGCCAACAATCGGCGCACGTGGAAGTCGAGATCCGTTGACTCACTCCCGCTTCCCATTGAACGGTGTCCTGCAGAAACAACGCAGCGCGACAGCTTGCAGCAAATAGCCTCAGCCAGACCGCCAACGAGACCGCCTCTCGTCCTGTTGTGCTAGCACTGCGCTTATCTGTGTGCGACTTTGTACCCACTTTTTACAACTTTCTTTTACTATGGATCTCGTCAACCAGTACGTCTCTTTCCACCTCACATACACACATACTCCAAAATCATGGGCGTCCAACAAGAGAATCCGCGGGAAAACATGGAGAGGCGGTTCAGCCGCTCTCTGCCAACATTGACTAATACAATCGCCAGCCTCAATGATCGACTGCTATTTGCCGTGCCAAAGAAAGGCCGGCTGAATCAACAATGTCTGGACTTACTAGCTGGCTCAGATATCCAATTCCACAGACACAACAGGCTGGATATTGCTCTTGTCAAGAACCACCCTGTGGCTCTGGTTTTCCTTCCAGCTGCGGACATCCCAACTTTCGTCGGAGAAGGCCGAGTGGATCTGGGAATCACTGGACGAGACACTGTTGCCGAACATGAAGCTGTCGTGCCTGGAACGGAAAGCCACGGAATTGAGGAAATTATGGACCTCGAATTCGGACGTTGCAAACTTCAAGTTCAAGTGCCTGAGAAAGGCGATATTGAGACACCGGAGCAGCTCGTCGGCAGAAATGTTGTCACTAGCTTTACTGGTCTTACTGAGGAATATTTCCGACAACTCGAAAACAAAGGCACGCAGACCAACGGCGATGGCGAGAAGACCAAGCTGAAGACGAATGTGAAGTTCGTCGGCGGCAGTGTGGAAGCCGCTTGCGCTCTGGGTGTGGCAGACGGAATCGTTGATCTGGTAGAGTCTGGCGAAACCATGAGAGCCGCTGGACTTAAAGCAATTGCAACAGTCGTGGAGTCTACCGCAGTCCTCATCCGATCAAGACAGCCTTCAGACCCGAAGCTCGTCGAGATCATCGCCAACAGAATTCGCGGTGTCATCACAGCACAGAAATACGTGCTTTGCACGTACAACGTGGAGCGCAAAAACTTGGACCAGGCAAGGAAGATCACACCTGGCAGGAGAGCGCCTACTGTCAACACCTTGGAAGAGGACGGCTGGGTTGCCGTGCAGGCGATGGTGTTGAGGAAGGACATCGCCAACGTGATGGATGCTTTGCAGAATGTTGGCGGCACTGACATCTTGGTGACAAAGCTTGAGAATTCTAGGACTACATAGATCCGTACTACAAAGAGTGTTGTAATGAAAGACGACAATGTCTGACTTTTGCTCGGCCTGTTCGAGCGGGTATATCCTCAATAACGCCATGAAACTCCTCCGTTCCGATCACTTACTTGTCAACACAAGTCCGTGTAACGAGCTTTCCTCCATTCCCTATTCACATCGCTATCCAGCATGCTGATGTCGCTTGGGTGTCCGGGCTGCGCAGCTCCGTAGCCGGTAGTCCGTCTGGTGAGTTGCAGCACTGCATGGCTGGCCGCGCCGACGCAGAGCACGCTGTGACGAAAGCGAGCAAGTATGCGGCACACGCGCTCGCACGCCAGGAGATAACGCTCTTCCCACAAATGCCCTCCAACGATAGTTGATATGGTGATGGCAATTCTGTTGGCTCTGGCTGCCGCATGATGTGGCTCGGTACTACAGGAGAAGACTCGGCCTGAGTCGCTGTATGTCCGATGGCGGGAGAGCGACGTTGTGTTTCCGTGGCCATGTCGTTGCATTTGCGATCGTCCGCTTGTGCGCCGCCATCATTGGGTAGTCTCCGCCGAAGCGCTTGCCTGTCATTCCGCCAAAGCGGGATCGCTCATGAAAACATAACGCGAACATAAGAGATCTCGAGCGAGAGTTGTTGCGTGGTAGTAGTGGTGTGGTGGTGTGTGGAGGGATGGGTTGTCGATGTTGGTTACGAAATGCGGTGGCCTGGGTATTCGGCACTACTGTCGATATGGGCGGCGACGATTCGCTTGAGTCTGACGTGCCGACGGTATGGGATTAGGAGTTCCGGCGCTGTCTGTACGGCCAACGCCTTCTGTTCGCTGAGGCGCGACTTGTGTGGCCTGGGGTGGACGGATTACTGCGCCGTGCGCTTCGCTGAAGCCGTTTACGTAGCCTGCGGGTCTCTGAACTTGACCCTGCTGTGGCTCAGACAGTAGGGTGCGTTGCGAATCGTATGGCGCGCCTGGGTGTGGTCTATGCGGAGGACGTTGCGGAACGTAGCCAGCACCGGTCGGTGTGTAGAAGTCTTGTTCGTCTATAGTCGTCGCATACGGGTAGCTCGACGGCAATGTGCTTGGATCGGCGCCTCCGATGATGTTGGCGGCCACGGATCGGCTGTTGCCCCAAGTCTCATAAAGAGAAGGGCGCTGCCTGTTGAGAGCCTCTACATCTCGGGCTCCTGAGTCGCGTTAGAAAAAGATCATTTCGCTTTTGCGAGACGTACGTACGCTGTATCTGAGCTTCCTGAAGGTAGCGTTCGGTGGTAGCTTGCTTCCTGGCAGCGTACGGCGAGGTGTCGTAGGCTGGTGGAGGGGTAGGACGGCAGAGGTGGCAGACCCTCGGTGCTCCGGGAGCATAGTGTCTACACACTGGGTACGACGGAGTCGTCGACATGGTGCTGGCTGCCTCGATCGACGTGTCGTCACAGGCGGTGTCGATACGAGCTGCGCGGGTGCTGTGTGGGTGCAGATTCGACGAGCAGGTTGGTCTTATAAAGACCGCCCTATGTTCAAGCGGATCCCTGTCAAACAAGTTGTCCACCCCCAGTCGACAGGCACCGGGACAACGCCTAGGTGAAGTTCGTACGACCAATTTACGGTTCACACTCGTCCGCCGCTGAGAGGGTTTGCACTGCCCTGTTCCATGTCTCGTGTCTCATGCGGAGGGCGACCAAGGCAGGTGAGATCACATCGCTCTTTCTGAACACATAGTCTCGAAGCAACTCACGGGTGTCTTCTGGGCCGCAGGTGCGCGCTCATCACGGTATTGCCGTGCTCTAAGGTTCTGGTGGCGAGACATTGTGACGGCCTGAGGCCTGCAGTGACGAAGGGCAGGTCATATTGCCGTGAGCCCCTCGAATCACATGTGGCCTAGCCTGCTTATGAAACAACTTCTCGGCCAGTTGGCCAGTAGTGGCGCGGCCGACGACACCTCGTTCGTCGCTTGCTACACCGCTTGATGCTCTTCACTGTGCCGATCTCTCAGCTGTTGCGGAATGATGGCAGTTGTCGGGGACAACTAAGTCTTGGATTGTACTACCCAGGACGGGACGGGGCGTCAGGAGGCCGCTGCTGTCGCTCTGAGTCAATGGTGAGGCGAGAGGTGTCAAGCTTGCAAAGAGGATGCAGCAACCAGATCACGTGGCCTCCGGATGGTGCGAAGGTTCGGCTCGGTCATGTCGTTGGGTAGGTCTAGTTGGGCTGTTCAGACAATGTACAGGTGTGTCGTGGTTCCAATAGAGCGAAGAGGAGCGGAGGAGTCAGCGTGCCGGAGGGCGACTTGAGCTTATTATCTGGCCGCCTGCACATCCTCATTCCGCTGGGTTCAACCACACCATTAGATTCTGCTCTTGCATCAACGGCGCACGAAGGGCATGCATTCATGCCACGGCACGCGGGAGGGACGCGGGGTTTTCGTCGTTCGCTTCAGCCTTGCAGCCGAGGAGGGTGTGGACGGCTCCACACCTCTTCACCTGCTTCCGTACAACCAGGAACACATGCTCGCACATATGTATGTGCGCTTAACTCAACGATAGGGCAGCTGTTCTTCTTCAGCCTTGCGTGGCTGCTGATTCTACAAAAATTGTCAGCCTGTCCAGATCCATTACGCGTTGGACACATCATTAGAGTTGCAGTGTCAGAAAAACGCCAATATTCTAGTCCACACTGAGGACCGCCTGAGGTGAGGTCTGTCATGCTGCTGTGTCTCCGATTGGGCTGAGAAGAGCCGCAGTCACGGGAATACGTATCGATGAGTGGATGGCGCAACAGTTGCAGAATACCTTTCTGGTCCGTCGAGGTGACCTTACACAAGGCCGAACCAATCGTTGTGAGAAGACATGCAGGTTGCTCGAAGGATGCTGGCTCTGACGACAGATACTTGCCCGATGCCTTCTCTGAGATGCGTAGGAACGCGAACAAGTTGTGCGTTATTCGTGCAGCTTGAACACCCTCGTAGGTATCAATACCGGCTCGACGCGCCGTTGCCTGCACACACGCGCATGCAACGCGTGTCGACGGGAACGAGACGACGAGCAAACGCGTCTCAGCCATCAATGATCGATAAGTATCGGCATGGCAAAGGCGTCGTCTTCGAAGACACACAACATAGCCCGGAGCTGCATGCAGCTGTGAATTGGGCTGATCCGGCTTGGAAGTTTTTTGAGACCAAAGAACCATTTCCTGGCTGGACTGCGCCGCGATTCGGGCGATTCTGTCTCAACGCTCAATTTATCGAGCCCATACCATGGGAAGGCGAAATCCTGCACGGAGAGAGGGTAGATGAAGATGTGTGTGGGAGGTGAAGTTATTGTTGCTTTGCAAATGACCGGGATTCTTGAAACTCAATGTGACACGGATCGTTCTTGGCGTCCACAGAGTCGTCACGGCGTCACCATCACGCTCTTACTCTGAACACAATCGAGAACTCCAAAAGTTGGGGCAGCAAGCCCTCAAAGCCCAGTCACATCTGCATCTGCATTGATCGAGGCCCAGAGAACTTACGAAGAATCCCCGTATTTGTAATTCAACGTGGTTTGCCAAACTGAATGACGCTCGCCGAGGGGCATTTCCCATGGGCTAATAAGAGCTCTCCTGCCACACTGAAACGCGTAGCCATGATGACGGAAAGCTCTAGACCACGTTATTCAAAGACCCTCTGACGCAATTCAGCTTCAATTCAGACTTCACCTCACAAAACAGCATTGAATCTTTCCAGAACCAATAACAATCTCAAAACAAACATCAGCCACAATGTCTTCAAGCATCAAACCCCTCATCCTGCACGCCCATGGCACCGGCCCAAATCCTTTCAAGGTCGCAGCAGTCCTGGAGTCATTGAACATCCCATACGAAGTCAAGCTTTGGCAATTCGGGGATGCTGCGAATGGCGTGAAAGGCGCCCAATTCACCAAGATCAATGAGAATGGCCGTGTTCCTGCACTCGAAGATCCCAACACTGGTGTTACAAGCTGGGAATCCGGTGCAGTGATGAACTATATCCGACGAGTGTACGACAAGCAGAACAAACTTGGACCAAGATCCTCCTCGGAACAAGACATCGTAGATTTCGAGAAGTGGGAATACTTCTTGCTATCAACCTTGGGACCTATGATGGGTACGTATTATCTCTCATCATCTCCATGAAAAGCCATAAGTGCATCCAATGCTGACATCGGTATGTACAGGCCAAGTCAACTGGTTCCGCCACTACCACTCCTCCAAAAACGACGACGCACTCAAGCGTTACGAAGAACAAGCATACCGCTGCTTCGGCGTTCTCGATGGTCAACTCAAGAAACACGGCGGACCTTTCATCCTCCCAGGTAACTCAGTCTCCGCCGTAGATTTCCATTTCTACCCATGGGTCTATCAGCACAACTTCGCAGGATTGAGCATGGACTCTTATCCGAATGTGAAGAAATGGATAGAGCAAGTCTCTGCTTTGCCAGAAATTAAGGCAGCTTATGAGAAGATTCCAAAGGGAAAGGAGGTTTAGAGTAAAGGAAATAGGTCGAGTAGGACGAGGTTTCATAGCTTCCTAGGAAAGCCTACATTGTCTCCACCTCATCTTCTTGTCTCACCTCTTCCCCAATCGAAACCCCACAAACCCCAACAAGCCTCTCCAACCACCTCACCCCAGACCACCAACCACCTTCGGAGACACTTGCGCAAACCCCTCTCTCCTCCAATAAGAAACCAACTCACACATGCTGACCCGTCCCCATCTCGTGCTCACTCCGCATTCTCTTCGTAAATTACCTTTTCGGGCCAGTACATCCCGAATCCAACGACTAACCCATGCTCCACCAAAGCGCGTATGCTTGCTCTTCGTACCTCGTTAGCATGGCATCGGACAAACGGGACTATAGGAATTTCCGCAGAAAGAAGAACGCAAAGCGACAACCTTCATTCGTTTCTTATTTCCATGTCGTGGTTACGTAAATGGTAGGCAAGCTCTTAAAGCTTCACTAAACGAACAACCGCAATAGCCGTACAGTAGCCGTAGCCGTTGCTATAGCCAGGACCGGGATCACGACGACAGCAGTCTCGGGAAATGACCATGATGGTATGAATCATGAAATTGTACTGTGATGGCTGAGACTGGGATCATTGTTGTGGAAAAAGACTGCGTGCATACATCGTGAACCAAACGCCGACCATAGCGCGCATGGTAGTAAAGGTATCATCATCAAATGCGTTGCTTCATTTAGAATCACATAGGCAAGACTATGCTTTTGCAATCTTGCATATCAGGTCAGAGCTATCAACGGAGTCACCCTCCTTGACGCTGAGCTCTTCAATCTTGCCAGAGTGTGGCGAAGAGATGACCATTTCCTGTGATTATTGTTAGCATTGCCACACGTCCAGAAATGCATGTGATAGCTTACCATCTTCATTGCCGACAAAATGGCAATTGGATCACCCTTCTTGATCTCTCCGCCATCCTTGACACGGATTTCGACAACCATACCGCTCATTGGTGCTCCGACTTGGCTGCTGTCGCCAGAGTCGGCCTTTGGTCGGCTAGTGTTCTCCACTGCAGCGTGCTTGTCTTGAACAGTGACCTGTCTCATCTCGCCGTTGACCTCGAAGAAGACCTCACGTTGGCCAGTCTGGTCGCTGAGTGGTCCAATCGCCAAGAGCTTCAGAATGAGCACCTTGCCCTTCTCGAGCTCAACGTGGAATTCCTCGCCAATCTCTGGCTTGTTGAGGAAGTATCTCGTTGGCAAGACTGAGAGGTCACCGAACTGCGATGTCCACTTCTTGTAGTCCTCGAAGACCTTCGGGTACATGACGTAGCTGGCTACATCGGTCTCGGAGCAGCCACCATACTTCTCCTTCAGTGTCTCACGGACCTTGTCGAAGTTGACCGGATCAAGATAGAGGCCTGGTCGCTTGTCCATCTTTCTGCGATCACGGAGAGCCTTGGATCGGAGCGGTTCTGGGAAGCCTCCGTAAGGCTGACCCATCAATCCTTCGAAGAACTCAAGGACCGAAGATGGGAAGTCAAGCTCTTCTGCCTTCTCGTGCACATCATCGTAGGTCAAGCTGTTCGCGACCATGAACTGTGCAAGATCACCAACTACCTTGGAAGTGGGTGTGACTTTGACGATGTCGCCGAGGATGTCGTTGGCTTGCTCGTAGGCCTTCTTGGTCTGTGCCCACTGCTCGCCAAGACCTTGTTGTGCAGCTTGGAAGATCAAGTTGGTGAGCTGACCTCCAGGAATTTCGTGCTCGTAGACTTCCGGATCCGGCCCAGTCAACCAAGCTTCGAATGGCGAATACAGCATGCGAACCTGCGCCCAATACGAATCGATTGCTCGCAAGTGGACTGGGTTCAGTCCAGATTCGAATTCGCTGCCTTCGAGAGAAGCAACGATGGCACCAATGCTTGGCTGAGAGGTGGTTCCAGACATGCTGTCAGTTGCAGCATCAACGGCATCGGCGCCAGCCTGGGCGCAGGCAACCATGGACGCTACACCAGTACCAGCAGAGTCGTGGGTGTGGACGTGGATCGGAAGATCTGGATACTTCTTGCGGATGGTGCCAACGAGCAGAGTGGCGGCCTTTGGCTTCAACACACCAGCCATGTCTTTGATACCTGTAATTTGCAGTCAGCAGGTGTTGATCGAGACGCAATTGCTGGAAGATGACAATCCCTCCACGGACAAAGAGAGGCCGCTGCTCCTCAGCCTGGCCCCAGGCACAATTCCGCCGCAGATATCCGTTCGAGAGACGATTTTGGGGCAATGACAAGCGTGAGAAGGACTTACCAAGAATGTGAGCACCCATTTCAACGATCTTGTCGACACAGTTCATGTAGTACTCGAGGTTGTACTTCTTCTTCGGGTTCTGAGAGTAGAAAGTGTCAGTTAAGAGCTCGACTGTCCAACTGCATCACGGTGCGTCTGAGTCGAGTTGTGCAGCTTCAGTTTTGTTGAGGTTTTGGCGGCGTAGTCGCAGGTGACGCAATAGTATCTCTTGGAGTCCTTGTTTGCCTGATGAAGTAGTTGTTTGGCGGGTTCCTTGACTTCTTTGACGATACCAGCTGCCTTGTTGATGTGACTTTGCTTCTTTTCGTGGTTGCGTAACTGGTTTCTGGCGCCGAAGTTGAGATCACAGACGCCACAGTAGAACTTGCGCGCCTTCAAGGCCTTCTCTCTCCTCGTCTTTGCCCATTGGGCCAGCTTCATTGGACCCGCTTTCTCATTGTCTCGCCGAGAGTTCTTGAGCTTCCGCTCCTTGTCGATGGCATCGACTTCTTCATCTGGCAAGTCGTTGACGAGACCGGCGACACCTTCTCGAAGCGGAGAGTGTCCGCAGCAGCCGTCATACTCAAAGGCATCATGAGACCAGTCGCAGAGCTTTGGCATGCCGTATTGTTTGGGGCGGTTGTGCATAGCTGAGAGGCGAACACTGAGTACTGCCTCGATCACTAAGAACACAGCTTGAGTCTTTGGGATCTTCGAAGCGGCTGGGATCTTGCACCAGGCTAGCAGGCCTTTGAATGTGATAGTGTAGCCATCATTGACAGCTTTCTGCACCCACTTGGGCAGGTTCTCGAGCCTCCTGTACTGGCCGAATCCGGTCGTAACGCCGGATCGTCTCTCGAAACCAGTGCCGACGTAGATCTTTGGACGCTGTCCAGGTTTTTCAAGCACAACAATGTAGCAGCCGAAGGACTTGGTGGCCGACGTGGGGCCTTTCTTGAGACTGGCAACGGTGGGTGGAGCGCTGGATTGAAGCTGGTCCATTAGACCAGGAACGAGTGACACGTTTGCCGCATTGAATGCACCCAGGAGTTCTTCTTGAGTAGTGAAGACTCTCTTTAATGTAGGATTGATCATTTTGTCAGAAGAAAGTGAGAAGCATCGCCAGAGTGAGGTCTCCAGGTCGTCTGAGAGTGCTGGAAGTGAGAGTGCTGGTGCCATGGCTGCAGAGGCGATAATGTGGGCAAAGACGGCAGTGGTATTGGCGAGGGCGGCGGGATGTTCAGTGCGTTTGAGTGTTGTCCAGAGGTGCCTGGCGACGAGATTGTCGACTGCATCTTGGAAACCAGTTGCTGCCTTCTGGCGCGCAGAGTAGGAAGTTGCGTGTCCAAAGTCCGGAGGGAGGAGCGTACATGGGCAGGAAGGTGCTTCGTGCGAAGGCAATCCCGCCCACCAAGTCGACCTCACTTGGGGAAGGTGCTCCGCGCAAAGGCAGTAACACCTCGGCCACGCTCACTTGGGGAGCGAATAGATTAAAGCGCACACACTCACAAGACTCAGAAGCGATGTTAATGAAAAGATTGGACTCACCAGAAAATCACCGCTATAGCACACGGTTCCCTCTGCAACACCTCCAGCCTTGAGAACTGCCTTGACTCCAACCTCGAGCTGGTTCATGTCGTTGAGCGCGTCGAAGACACGGAAAATGTCCATGCCGTTCTTCTTTGCCTGCTCACAGAAGTGGTAGATGGCATTGTCTGGCAGGGAAGAGTAAGCCACACCGTTGGCACCACGGAGCAGCATCTGGAAAGGAATGTTTGGCACAGCCTTTCGCATCTTCCTCAGGCGGTCCCATGGATCCTCGTAAAGGAAACGCATGGCCACGTCGAAAGTGGCACCACCCCAGCACTCCAATGCCCAAGCATTGCTCAGAGCATAGCTGGTTTCCTTTGCGATGTTGAGAAGGTCGACCGTTCGCATTCTCGTCGCAAGGAGAGACTGATGGGCGTCACGCCATGTGGTATCCATGATCAAGCAGCCCTTGTTCTGCCTTACAGCCTTTGCGAAGGCTTCTGGACCTTGTTCTGTGATGATGTTTCTCCAACCCTTCTGGCATGGCCCATCGAGCTCTAGTGGCTTGCCATCGTCGCCTGCCAGTGTTGGGATGATAGCATCGCCCTTGAATTTTGATTCGCCAATTTGGCCAATGACTTGAGGGCCGTTGACAATGACCTCTCCAAGGTAGCCCAGGAGCTTTTGTGCACGGTTTTGGCTGCCAATGAGGTTGAACAGCTCTGGGGTATCGTCAATGAAAGTCGTCCAGCAGGTACCGTCGATGAAGGTCGGGTGCGTGAGGAGCGAGGCAAGGAAAGGAATGTTCGTCTTCAGACCGCGAATACGGAATTCGACCAATGCACGAAGCACCTTTCTGCGAGCGATCTCGTACCTGCGATCCTGGTCAGTGGATGCCTCAGCCAGTCTCCGGGGCCACAATCTTAGGCTTATCCGAGCAGGTGGCCTCTGAGCCACTCGACTCCGCAGAGAAAAGATGAGAAGTAGCGTGCTGAACTTACGTTGAGCCGTGGCAAGAGCACTTGACCAACATAGAGTCATAGTATGGAGTGATGACAGCTCCCGAAAACCCGTTTCCACCATCAAGTCTAGACACCCAAATCAGCTCATGGCACTCAGGAGCAGTAATTGAGGCACTTACCGTACGCCGTTGCCACCAGCCGAACGGATTTAAGGCTGTCAGTACTCTTTCTAAAACGTGTTTGGTGGTATGAAACTTACTAGACTTCGATCTTTCCAGTGTCCGGCTTGAAGCCCTCAGATGGATCCTCAGTGGTGATACGACACTGAATAGCAAAGCCTCGTGTTGAGATTCTGTCCTGAGTAAGGCCAAGCTGTGCGAGTGATGCTCCTGCGGCGATTTGGATTTGTGCAGCAACGATATCGATGCCCGTGATTTCCTCGGTAATGGTGTGCTCGACTTGGATACGCGGGTTGATTTCAATGAAGTAGTGACGGTTCTCTTGATCAACCAAGAACTCAGCAGTACCTGCGTTGCGGTAGTTTGCCGATTTGGCGAGTCTGACTGCATCATTCAGGATGGCATCGCGGGTCTCTTGTGGCAGATCCTTAGCAGGTGCCAATTCGACGACCTTTTGGTGACGTCGCTGGACAGAGCAGTCACGCTCGTAAAGGTGTACGACATTTCCGTAGTTGTCGCCCAGGAGCTGTACCTCAATGTGCTTTGGTCGGTACAGGAACCTCTCGATGAAGACTGTGCCGTTGCCGAAGGCGGATTTAGCTTCCGAGGTAGCACGTTCAAAAGAGTCCTTCAGATCTTCTTGCTTCCAAACAACACGCATACCACGGCCACCACCACCGAAAGCCGCCTTGATGATGATTGGGAAGCCATACTCGTCGGTGAACTCCTTCGCGGCCTCGAACTTGGCCACAGGTCCCTCGGTACCGGGTACAGTCGGGACATCAGCTTTCGCCGCGAGGGTTCGTGCAGAGACCTTGTCTCCGAGGTCGTTGATGGTCTTTGGTTCAGGACCAACCCAAATAATGCCTGCAGCTTCAACGGCCTTTGCGAATTCGTAGTTCTCACTGAGGAAACCGTAACCGGGATGAATCTAGGTAGCAAGTCAGACACTGCCAAATGAGACACTAGACACAGAACAATGCTTTGTCCGCACACCACTAAGATCATATCGATATCCACAGCCGTGTCCAGTTCGCATGAAACTTACCATGTTGACGCCATGTTCCTTCGCAATCTTGATGATTGCGTCGCCAGCCAGATAGGCTCCCACGGGTGTGTATTCTCCACGCTTTCCAATGACATATGCCTCGTCGGCCTTCTGTCTGTGCATCGAGAGGCGGTCCTCATGACTGTAGACTGCGACTGTCTGCAGAGACAGCTCGTGTGCGGTACGGAAGATACGAATGGGGATTTCTCCTCTGTTGGCGACCAGAATTTTGTTCAGTTGCATAATAGAAGAGTTCGCCCGCAGCCGTTGGTGAACGGTGTTCTTTTGGTGGTGTGTCTCGCCATGAGGATCCTGAGTGCCGTAGTCTCCGTCCTCAATGGCAGACTCATCGCGGGCGTTAGAGTCAGACATGGTGGGCGAGTAGCTAGCTCGATCTCGCGATTGAGACCGTTCTTGCTGCTGTCGTTGCTACCCTGAGTGCAAAATGAGTTGAGTAAGGCGGGAGACGAGCTTCTTCAGCTCGTGACTCTTGCGAGAGGAGTGCAGAAGAAAAGTTGGCCCGCTGGTCAAAAGAATGGCTCTCGACGCTCTGGGAGCTCGGCGAGCTCTGACGGTGGGGAATGCGCGCACGGATGACCGAATACGGTGACAGGTCCTCGGGTCTCACGATAAGGCTGGCTGTTAATCCCGGCGGCTGTTTTCCTCAGACGCCAGACCAGATCTGCGAACGCGAATCGATTGTCTAAGGGCGGACGGTGGCTGGAGTCGGCGGCACGCTCAGAGTGGGACGGCGAAATTTGTATTGTGCCCACGCTGGAGAGCTCTGGCAGCAGACGGCCTGGAGCAGAGGCCACGTCAACGCCGACAACAGGGACGAGGGGGCATTTTCCAGGCGTGGTTACCTTGGAGACACCTCCTCACTCGCGCACGACTTGCTTTTGATCGTGCGCACCTTGGCCCGAGCCTGACCGCACTCGACCGCCCTCGCCGCCAAGTCGTGCCCGGAAGTGGTCGAGCAAGCCGGTGCTTTTCGCAGCAGGAGCAGTCATGCGAGCACACTGCGGAAGCCTCTTCCGCTTGACCGCCGCAGCACGCATGCAGGTACGCAGGCGGTGCACCCACGCACGCTGCTCATCAACTGCTCCCGCTATGCTGTGCTCCAAACAGCGTGCGTGAGGGGGCCAAGGGCGACGCGTTCCTCGAGACGCCTTGGTGCTCGATCATCGTGTCACGGCCGGTCAGGAGCTCCTCCTCAGCTCCCACGCACTCAGTCCGCGCCTGGTCGCGTTACATGGGGGCATGCCACCACTCTCGCTATGAGGTTCGACGACCGCCGAGAGCCGGGTGTATCAGATTGGGGCAGATCTCGTCTCATCGACGAGCAGGTTTGGGGGCGTCTTTCCAGCATAGCTGCGCCACTGGAGTCAAGCCAGCCACATCTCCCGATTCTGTGACCATCACAAGCATAGATGAAACGTTCCGTGGGTTCGACGTGGCCGCCAAGCAGGAACATCATGAAATTGAGTCCGGACGAGCATTGGCGTTGACGCATATCCGCAGCCAAGTGCTGTCGAAATGTCGCGAGGCAGACGTTATTCGCTGTTGAGCATGCAAGCATCGTCTCCTTCCAGCACGAGTCGGATGTGTATAACCTTGTCTCGACCTCAGTCGGCCCTATCATGGCCCAGACTTGCAGCAGCATGGACAGATAAGGAAATGAAAGAAAAGAAAAGTGAGGATCCCAACGGGAGGAAGTGATCTGGTGAATCCTAATCTCGCCCATACATTGCATTACTTACTGCACCGGTCCCAATTATTGCCTTGATGTGCCAACATGTCGATAATGCAAAGACAGGTACGAATACTAATGTTCCGCCACCCACTTTAGACCAGCCTTACCTCGAGACTCTTCCCTTTGGCATTTTCTTGTTCGAAGACAAGATCGGGCAGTTGACCACACTGCGCTGGGTCAGCAAGTCACACATCGTCACAAGCAGCTTGAACGTGGCCGATCCATACCAATCGACAGCAGACGATATCGAAATTTCGCAGATAGCGAGTTCACACTACAACACGAGTCAGCATAAACCCCTTCACCACTTTTCAGAAGCAGGCAGACAACTCAACTTTACTGGCCAAAGATAAGAACAACCAGTTGTCCACGCCACACTTACGATCGTGCGCTGGCCAACCAAACGTGGGGGAATCGTTACATCATCTTTCTCCCAGTGTGAAGTCGTGCTCCATGCGAGGACCAGCACTTCAAAGATCGCGAAGATGCTTGTGATTCGGACACCAGAAGCTCGTTGGTGAGAAAACCAGAATGACGCTGATATCGAATCGAGCTTCCAGCTGCTCGTAGGTAAACTGTCGATGAGCATCGATACGCTGTGGACGACACGGGTTTCCGAATTGTCGAAGAGTCGCACATGATGCAGGCTTTGATGACTGTGTATAATCTTGCAGAAATGAGTATTGAGAAACAGTGGTGCTCGACATCTTCATTTCATTCATGCATGCATCTGTACAGTTAGCTGAAAGTCGCTCAAGTCATGATATGCCCTGTGCCATGCCCTTTGCCCGCTATGCAGTAAAAGTCCCACAACGCCACGCTAAACACATGCATGTCCTCCTAAATTGCCACGCAGTCTCTCAAACATTTCCAAAACGACAGAACACGCTCTCAAATCACGCCTTCACATGTCTCCTCATGTCTGGGAGCTCGCCAAAAGCATTCATGCCAATGCATCGCCAACAAGCATCTCCTTCAACAGATCTGCTGCAGGGCCATCAAGAGCCGCGTTGAGCTCTTTGAGGCCAACAGTACTCGCAACTCGTCTCTCTTCTGTCAATGCAGGACCAGAGAATCCATTCTTCTTTGGTCGGCCGGGAGTCCTGGAAGGAGTGATTGGGACCGCGAAGCTCCCGCTCTTTCCTCCATCCACCGCGCTCACCAATGACAAAGTCTCCAGCCCAGCAACGACGTCGCGGAACTCGACAGAAGAGAGTGCATGGAACAGATTCTCGCGCTTGCAAAGAGTCGAGTATGCATCGTACAATTGCTTGATGCTTGGTGCAGAAGTGTTCGATTTCGATGGGGTCGCGAACATGGTGCGATCGACTTGTGTCTCCCTCTTCTTTCTCTCCAGTGCCGCAAGGGCGCAGAGGACAGCCTTTTGCTGTAGGTTCAGCGTGCTGAGACGCTGAGTAGCGCCATTCGAGAACGCCTGCGCTGTGACTTTCGCCATGTGTGCAATCGTGGCCTTTGGTGCTGTTTCGACTGTGTACCCCATTGTAGCTTTCTTGGACGGCGACACAACCGGAGAAGAGAGATTGATGTTGTCCATGAGCGGTGTTTTCGATGGGCTGAGCTCGAGTGCCGCAGCTTTGTCGCGGGTTTCAATATCGATCAAATCGATTGCACGTTTGCAAATATCGAAGGCCTTTCGTAGATCGCCAGTCTGAGCCGCGACCTTTTTCGCGCAGAATTGGATTGCAGCTGGATGCAGGAACGGTACGACCGTAGACTCTAACGAGGCCAGACTCTTGAGTTTCGAGGTGATGACTTCAGCGATCTGCACTGCGGTGTAAGGCATGAATGGCAGAAGCTCCGGCTTGAGGTTTCGTGCCTTCAGTCGAGGAAGGAAGCGGTCAGTCAAATCCAGCGCATTCGCAATTCCGATCAGAATGAGGCGTGATGTTGGTTGCATCGACCATTCGAAAAGGCTGTAGAGCAGCTCGAGATCCAGATCCACCAAGATGTCCACCTCGTCCAGCACCACCAAATACTTCTTCTTGTCCTTTGCCTTTCCGCGCACGAAAACCGATTTGAGGTATTCGAAGCCTCCATCCTCCCGCAGGCTGAGATCTTCGGACAGTTTCTGGCTGAGATCTCTGGTGCTTCGTACGCTCATGCAGTTTATCACTGAAACCGGCACGCCGCTGTCTTTGGTCTGTTCCTCGATAATCTCGTTCAGAAGCGCGCTCTTGCCCGTTCCCGGAGGACCAGATACATATAGACATCCTGTGGATTTGGACGTGAGCGCGGTCGACACGAAGTTCGACAGCTCTTGGCGCTCATTGTCGCGTCCCACAAGCTTGCCAGGATTAGAGCATCGTGCAAAGAGCTGGCGCGCCTGGTTGTAGATGGATGCGCGCGAAGGCGTGACTGGTGTTCTTGCTGATTGTGGAGTCGCTTTGCTTGCAAGCACCCTGTGTCGCGGTGTGATAGGCACCTTCTTCGAGAGCGCGTCGCGATGTCTCGGTGTCTGCGGTGTGTTTTCCTTGTCTTGATCGGCCTTGCCATCTTGATACACACTCTTGCCAACCCGGAAGTGCGCGCTGACCGTGGCAGGAGAGCGCATTACACGATCTGTATCCTTCGCAGGTACGACTCTCGCAGCCCGACGCGTCCTCTTCGTGGGCGGCTCCAACGCGTCCAGGTCCATCTCGTCTTCGCTATCGCTGACATGCTGTCGCTTAGGCGCGAAGATATTCGCATCCTCCTCGTTTGGTCCATTGACGGCTAGCCGTCGCTGTGTTCGTGTCGCTGCGGTTGTGCTGTCTGCATCCGCGCCATTAGCCAATGTGCCTTCCCGCGGTTTTGCTGATGTCGTCGCACCTGCTGCTGCTATTGTTGCAGCACTTCGAGTGCGCTTGCCGAGGATGGTGGACGGCATGCTTGCAGCTTCTCTGTATCAAGATTTTGAAGCTGGGAAGTCGCGAGTGCAGAGATGTATGGAAGGTGTGGTACTGGAGAAACAGCAATGGAATGGTGGGTCGCAGTTACTTGCCGCGCGACGCGTGAATCCACTTCCGACATTCAGCCGACGACGCGTTTTTCGCGTCTGCCAAGGCTATTCCCCTCAAGCCATCTTCACGATCCTGTTCCATCGAGATCGATCGTAATAATGTCTCACATGCTTCAACAATCTCTCTTACTCAGCTCCTTTCGGAATCCCTCATCGTCCAGCTCGCGATAGATCAACTCATTGGCCTTTTCCCAGCCCTTCTGTCTCCTCAGTATCATGACATCTGGTAGCCAACGTAGCTCCAACTCGCCAAAATAGTTGGGCTCGTCGACAGTGCGGACAAACCCGACGCTCTCAAACAACCTAATGCTGCCTACATTTGTCTGATTGATCTTGACCCTCAGAAAAGCCAATTGTGGGGTCACTGCGAGGCGGCCTGCATCGCTTGGGACACTTGCTGCTTCCGTCTCGGCTTTGTCAAGTCTCGTGTCCTGTGTCGAAGAGCTGGCAGGGCTTTGAGCGTATTCTCGAGCGATCAGACTCCAGTTCGTCAAAATGTAATCCAAGAACGTGAGCAATGCCGCTCTCCCATAGCCTTTTTGCTGAAACTCTTTGCGAGCAACCATAAGTTCCACCTCGCCAACTATGCTCCCGCCCAAGGCTGCGACGTCTTCCTCCATTTCTTCGGAGTCAGGTGGAAAGAGAAACAGGTTAATGTCGCCAATCATGCGATCTTCTGCATCGTCAACCTTTGCCCTGGCAACTGTGATACGCGCTGCCTCAGTGGGCGATGAGCTTGATTCCAGAGGTTTACAGACGATGAACGTTAACTTGTCGCGATCGTTGCGCCATGAGCGCTGCATAGCATACTCCTCTTCCATGCTCAGGGGTTCCGAAGCCGTGGCCTCTTGGAGCTCTGGGTCTTGCATCCATTCGTGGTAAGTCGGGACATGGTTCTCACTGTAAGGTACCAGAAGTATTGAGCCTGTAGCGAGGGCTGCACATGTTTTCAGTTGCAGTTATCGGTCAAGCAATGGTCATCAAAGCTTACCTGTGTGCTCGTTAACTATCATCTTGCCCTCACGTCAGATGTCTGAGAATAGTATGCGCGCTTTGAAACACGAAGCTGGCGTCTGGTGAGACAACAAATCTGCATTTGCCCAAGGCACTTTCGGCTCACGTCCTGCGAGCTTGTCCAGCTGGTCACTGTGATCAGCGATATGGACACATGCAAACTAGCAGACTAAATAAATCCCAATTACGCAAGCTTGACGTTATCTTTCGACATCAGGATCAGTCGAAGATGGCGATCGCAGACCTAAGCTCTCGCTGCCACGTTTTGAGGTCTTCGTTCGCCAGTATGCGTCAACCTGCTGCTCGAGGCAACGAGTTAGGAAAGGCGTAACAGGGAGCAAAAGATGTGTGCTGGTCGGTGTCAAACGGTCCGACATCGGGCATAAAGTGCCATAACGTTGTGCTCCTGATTTGTGCCGATTCTCAAATTGTACCATAGGGTCATTCAAGCTTGCAATGGAAGTTCAGTGAGCATCATGCTGCGTGAGCTTCAGAAAGAAGGTTGTTCGTGAGAATGAGCTCGAACACCCGCATCGTAACGTAGCACCATGGCTGCGCAGGGACTAGGGGCTCACGGAGGCTGCCCCGACCGGTACCGTGTACTGCTGGTGCTGGCAGCTTTGGCGAAGATCTGGCTTGAGCAAGGACTGATGAACAGACGATGTGCCTGGGAGCATCTTGACCTTGACTTGATCCGAACACGTTGATGATGATGGAGAAAGTGCGACTCAGTGAAACGAGTCCATCCAAACGCCAAGCCATGGGCCCTGCTCCTCCTGTCATCATTGACTTCTGCGACATCACCTCACATCATGCCTGCAGAGACTCAAGAAGATGACCAACGGCGTCGTAAAGTGTCTGGTTACCGGCGGTACTGGCTTTCTAGGTCGAAATGTCGTGCGGACTCTACTTAAGAAACATCCGCAATGGCGAATCACCGTTATGGATCTACACCCTCCGGAGGACGACATTCTAAAACGTATCGCTGAGTGGAAGTATGTCGACATCACATCCACGGACAGTGTCCGAGACGCTTTTCAAGACTACCATCCGGACATTGTCATGCATTCCGCCGGCATAGTTCCAGCCCGAGATCTCCGATATAGCACGAACAGCAAGCAATGGGAGAAAGTTAGGGCCATTAATTATCAGGGTACAATAAACGTGCTCAATGCGACGTTGGAAAGCGGTTGTCGCAAATTTGTCTACACCAGCAGTTGTACTACGGTTATCGATGACCTCGACCACGATTATCACAACATGAACGAGAGCATACCACTCGGTCTGGCAACTCTGCACTATGGCAAATCCAAAGCATTGGCTGAGCAGTATGTGCTCTCCTCAGAACAAGCAGCCAAGGGTTTGAAAGCTTGCGCGTTGCGACCCTGCACCATTATCGGGCCCGAAGACCTTGCTGTGATCAGTATCATGCACGATCTCATCGCAAAAGGGGAGACCTACTTCGTCGTTGGTGACGGGCACAATCTTTATGACTTCGTGTACATCGACAACGCAGTAAAAGCGCACATCCTCGCGATTGAAAACCTACTCACGACAGAGACAGCTGCGGGACATGCATTCTTCATCTCGAACCAGGAACCAGTATATTTCTGGGATTTCTTCTTAGCTATCTGGGCACAATTCGGCCATGTGCCGCGTTTTCGGATTTTCATACCCTTGTGGCTGGCGTGGACTGTGGCATTGTTTCTGGAAATCATCACGTTCTTCACGGGTGGAGCAGTCACGCTTGATACTGGCAGCGTCAAGGATGGAGTGAGGACGCAATACTCCGATAATTCGAAGGCGATCGAGATTCTGGGCTATAAGCCAGATGTTGGGATATCGGAAGGCGTGCGACTTTGGTGCGACGACTACAAGAAGTATCTCGCGAGGCAATCATCTGCGAAGCATAAGTTGGCAAAGACTTGATGGGGTAGAGCAACGAAATTTGAGCCAGCACATGCCTCTGTTGCCCATAGCGTTCCATCGACTGCCGTTGCCTTGGCTGCAGCGATCGTCAAAAATTGAGATCCGTATTCTCTTCAACTCGAAGGCAGAGTAGATGGGAAGATGTGCACCGAGCGTTCAGTGGCCTGCGTACCTTCACGTGGAAAGGTTGCTCTGTCAGGTAGGCTGGCAGCACACATGGGTTCAATGTACAAGGTGTATGTGATGAAGCTGAGCTCCGTGTTATTGTACATGACGTGCAGCGTCTTCCTTCCGATAGCATTTCCTCTCGCGCTTCACGCGTTCTGCTCCCTCATGTCGACCATTCTGGCCATTGGTCACTCATCGCCAGAAAGAGCGGGCTTGTGCCGAGCGTAATGTATGCCACATCCTCCCGCGCTTCCAGTAGGGCAACTTGAACTTCGGCAACATATGCTCACGCTGCTTTGTGCAATGCATATCTCATAGCTTTCCAAATCATATCAAGCCATCGGCCATCTATTTCGGCCACTTCTTCCATCCCCTTCCATGCCCTCTCTCCTTCCAATGCACAATCATAGCATTCATACCCTCCATCGCCTTTCTCCTCTCCTCCAGCTTGCTCCTCAATTGTCTCTCCCACAGCTTACCCTTCACCCTCTTGCCTTCACCTGTCCCTTGCACTGCCAGGCCTCGCTCAATCCGTTTCTGCGCTTTAACTTCCGGGTGTTTGGGCGCAATGGGCATCAGTGGCAAAACATGGTATTTATCGGCCAGTTTGTAAAGTTCTGCTTGCCGTCGTAGACTGTAGGCTGGGCCGTGCCAGATTCCGGTTCGTGGGTTCTTGAATGGTAGGAAAGGGTTGTGGGACGATTTATCCGTGACACCCGTTGCGGAGTCAGTCATGGAGGTCTGTGATAATGATTCCGTGACTGCGGCGACATTCGGATCTGTTGATGAAGTGTTCGAGGTCGTTTGTACTGCCGCGGAGGTCGCTGTTACTGCGCGGAGTTGTGGTGGAGGGTATTTCGCGAAAAAGTTCAGTAACCGGGAAGGCAGTTGTGCCGCAGACATGGTGGCCATCTCCCTTGAAGCGCTCATCTTGCCAGACGCTGCGGAGAGCGATGGGATAGTGCGTGAGGGAGATGCGAACATGAAAGTGAAGACAGACCAGCGGGAGTTGTGCCTGCGGGAACATCCGCTTTGTGCATGCGAGCTTGTGCACGAAGCTCCATCGCGTCTACGCCAGCTTGAGTTGCCTTGAACTGCCATCAAGCGGTTGACCATCCAACGCCGCCGCACATCCACCACATCTCCGCCGCCGACACCGAACACTTCTCTTCGACATCCTCGATTCGCAGAACTCCAAAGAACAGGACGACTTAGTTACCGCCAACTGCATCGCCTGGAGCTCCACATCTACCAAACGGCGTCATGTCTTCGCCGTTCAGCATCAGTCAGTCGCATCAACAATGCTGCCCCTCGTGCTTCCGCTGACGAGAAAATACAGATGGCGGTGCCTGCGTTGCCATGGTCGGCAAAGACTGTGTAGCCATCGCATGCGATCTACGTCTCGGTCTCCAAGCGCTCACAGTCTCCAACAACTTCCCCAAGATCTTCCCCTTCGGATCATCAACCTACCTCGGTCTCACAGGCCTCGCCACAGATGTCAGCACAGTGTCGGAGCTGTTCCGCTACAAAGTGAATATGTACAGATTACGGGAAGAGAGAGACATCAGCCCGAGGACGTTTGCCAACTTGGTGTCGAGTTCGTTGTATGAGAGGCGGTTTGGGCCGTGGTTCGTGTCACCTGTTGTGGCAGGTATTGATCAGAAGACAGGGAAGCCGTTCATCTGCGGGTGAGTGAGATGCTGCAAGAGTACACGATGAGAGTGGTTAGATATACTGACGTTTCCTACCAGATTCGATTCGATCGGCTGTATCGACTTCGCAAAGGACTTCATCGTCTCCGGCACTGCATCAGACCAGCTCTTCGGTACATGCGAAGGTCTCTGGGAGCCCGATCTCGAGCCTGAGGACCTCTTCGAGACTATGTCGCAGGCGTTGCTGAGTGCTGTCGACCGTGATGCGCTCTCCGGCTGGGGTGCGCATGTGTACATTATCGAGAAGGACAAGGTCACGAAGCGATTGTTGAAGGGACGACAAGATTAAATGAGCATTATGGATCTGCCCGGCAAGAGCAAGCGCATCCAGAAGAGCAGCAAAGCTTGATATGATATGGCTCCATTGCAGAACAAGCAGCTCGGAGCCTAAATCACGCCCATGTATGATAGCAAGAATCTTGCATATGGAGAAGCGGCATGCGACATAGAAGCGTTGCAATAGCTCTGCCCTGCGCTGCGCGATAGCTCGCATGAATGACAACGATACAGCATAATGATCCATCCGGCTCCATGCTCCGAAGCTTTGTGGGAAGAATCGTCGAACGATCAAGGGTGCTTGAAGATGAACGTACTCAACAGCATCTAGTTCGATCAAGCCATGATCGCTCTGAATACTCTCAATACCAGACCTTGAGACGCACCACTGCATGAAGACGGTGCACACAGCGGACACGCTCGACAGCTTCCGGCCTAATCTCGATCGCCATTTCACGTGCGCTCGTGTACAGGGTTGAGCCAATCTTAGCGTTTCTCCGCTGACAAGGGCGTTTCCGACGCGTCGCGAACTCTTGATGCCACGATAATAACAGTCGTGTCTTACCTTGCCTACACTTCATCTAGATGTCTGACACCGAAAAGCTCTGCCTCGTTTTGATGTGGGCGTACCACGACAGTCTTGAGCGTATTGAACAACTATACGAACAGCTTGACGAAGCTGAACTAAAAGCGTCTGTTGCTAGAAGGCTCTCATTCGGTGCGTACATCGATGCCACCTCAATCTCTTGCATATCTTTGTCTAATGGCTAGCAGGCTCTTACTCGTCCGAAATGTCTCATGCAAGCAATGGACGCGATGGCTCGGAAGAACGCGAACCCTCTATTGCTTCCAGCACTTCGTTGGATAACTTGGAAGAACATCAAAACTATCGCGACGTAGCAAGTCCAATCCCGGAGCCAACATCAGTCCTTCAAGCTATCCACAGCTCCACCCAGGACCGAATCTACACTCTGCTCTTGGAGATCGTCACCACAATCCCAGCTGCCCAAGCCCTAGCAGAAGAGCGGCTTCTCCTTCCCATCGAAGCAAATGACAGGTCCGAAGCAGAAGCAGAAGCGTCAACACAAGAAAAGCAACCAACTACATCTCTGAAACGCAAAGCGTATGAGATATGCAAAAATTGCAATGCAGAGTACCAAGTGAACGACAATCGCAAGGGCGATTGTGTATATCATGACGGTACGAAAATGAATTCCGCTCCTTCCTCGTCTTTGCTCAGCCAGCACTAATGTCAAATCTCTAGGCAACAAAGAGGTCAACCACGATGCTGATACCTGGGCCGACCACGATGAGAATGTCCACGGGCTCCCCGAAGATTTAATGAGTGATTCCACATACGAAGAGGGTTTTATCTGGGATTGTTGTGACGAAAGTGGCTCTGCAGATGGCTGTGTCGTATCGAAACATGTGCCCAAAGAGAGTCAGGATTCGAACAAGGCGAGAAAAATCTTGCACCCGATCTCGAGGAACGTTGTGCACGGTATCGTTGATGGTACTGCTGCGGAGGGTGCGTTCCGAGGGCCGGGTGGGAGAGCTGTGATGTGATCACGGTGGACACAAACATATGTGTAATCTAGGCTTTAGGAGCCGCTCCCCATGACTACTTAACGTTCAAATGTGTATTGATATAGAGACGGCACAATTCTTCAAGCACAAGATCTCGATCACCTCCACGTTCTCACACGTGCTTTTGATTGAGGCCACTGACGTACTTGTGCGTACAGAGCTCGCAAAAGTGGTTCGTAAATAGAGTTCGGATCGCCTTCTCTTGGACAAAACGACAGAACCAATGGTTCATGTAAAAACTGTCGATCGCCTCGGCATGCACAGCATGTGCGTTGCGGGCACTGATGTACAAAATGACATCTCTGTCCTGCTTGCCTTGAAATAATATCAAGCGACAAAACAGCAAAAGCGTACCACTTCAACACATTCGGGAACAGTACTCTCGCCGTAACAACACAGCCAACATGCGTCTCCTCAACCTTTTTCTCCTGGCACCACTGGCGATCGCCGCCCCACTCCAGAAACGAGCAACAGCACAAGACGTCAACAACGACATCACAGGCATCGATACCGCAGTCCGCCAACTCACAGCAGCTGTCCAAGCTTACCAAGGCGGAATCGAAGAATCTTCTCCAATCTTTGACGCTGCACTTGCAGTCCACGCAATCAACCGCAAAGGTTTCGCGGACGCAAACGTTGCTCCGCGATTCACCTCCGCAGAGTCCAAAGTCATCGTCGACAATGTCAGCAATAGCGTGGGCGTGAGCATTCCTGCTGGTGTGGAAGTTATCAAGGCGAAGAAGCCATTGTTCGATGAGGCGCAGCTTTCTAGTATGGTGAAGGCGACGATTGATTTGTTGAAGTTTGACCATGAGACGTTCAGTTTGGCCGTTGGTGCGAAGTTGAGCCTTGACCAGGTTTTGCCTGGGGGTGCGGCCGCTGGGAAGATCGATCTTGTGTTGCAGGGCGCTTCGCTGTTTTACACTTTACCATAATTCTCGCTTTGCCGTCGCATGAGATGCGAAAATGAAGGCGTGCTGTTGTCCTTGCTCGTACTCTTTCCAGCCGAATGCTTGCCAATTTGCATGAGACCGCCGTTCCTCGAAGCAGCCCGAAAAGGCATCTGTTTTCTCCGACTTCCGCGAAGGCTCCGAGCTGGCAGCTGGGCCCTAGGTGAGGTCGTGTCGCAAAGAACTGTTCGAGATGCCACCACCTTCCTCGACGACTTTGGCTCATGCTTTTCACAATCTCACTGTCGTCATTCAGACTCATTGTAGTGCTTGCAGCGCTGCTGTAAATCGCGCATTGTATGGGTGATCGCCACCTCTGAAATCTCCCATGAGTCTACTCAAGCCGTCGAGCAGCTGTCTGATTGTGATCTCACTGCCAGCCGGGACGAAGCTCCCAGGTATCACATCATTCTCGATAGGTGTGATGGCCAGGTCCAAATGTAAGCTCGCTGAAGTGTTCATCGCGACGATGACACCCATTGCCATATCGAACACCTTCTCCATAATCCCCACTCCATGAACCTCCATAGAAGCCAGAGCCAGCTTCTGGCAGTAGCTCAATAAGGCATGAGCGATATGACAAGCAAATTCAAGTCGTAGTTCCCAGTGGTCCGACTGTTCTCGTAGGAGTTGATGAGACAGGCATAGATTCCACAGTCGATTCAGCGTCCAGAATTGAGTGACGGAGATGTCTGCCTGCTGACTCTCGAGTAACTGTGAAAGTGGCAACGGGTTGACTGTCGGCGCAAACAAGATGTTGCCAGATATACACGCTTCACGCGCTCTTCTTTGAGCTCGGAACATTTGCAGCGCTCTGCGGCGATCGAATGTCTCGCATGATCCGTCACTGAATCGACAAAATCCGTTCCAGCAATCCATGACGCTCTCATCGATGGCATCGAAGGTGTCCATGAGGTACAACAAGCCTGTCATGCCCACCGAGTCTGACTGGTCCTGGAAGATGAGCGAAGCTATGTACTCGCTTGTCACATTGGGATCAAAAGCCTGCATGAAGCGAGCTGTAATACCAGGCCGACCGCGGAAGCTAATTGCGTGGTTCTGCTGTAGCGCATACGCGCGTTCTGTGACAGAGAGCACCAGATACGTTCGCAGCCACTGTTCTTTGGCTTCGGGTGTGAGACCATTATATGATTCGGGTAAGTGGAGACGCAGAGAGTATGCTAGATCCACTGCCTCTCTCAACCGGTGACGAGCTGCCTTGTGCTGATTGTTGCCAAACAGGCAAGCGAAGAGGAAGAAGCTGGTCAGTATCATCTCCATTGTTGGATTTTCGCCAAAATCTGCCGCAACTCGCATCTTGACACATTCTTCCATTAGCATGCGAGCCTGAACAGATCGCGAAGGCATCGAAGCTCGTTCATGAATTTGTACAGGTTGAGTCATGGCAAAGGCACACATGCTGAGCAACATGGCGCCATATTGTGGTTCGATGCGATGCTTGCGTAGTAGCATGTCGGAGTGGATATTCGTCCTGTTCAAGATCGGTATAGTCGGATGTAAGCGTTTAAAGTAGACATCGATCCAAGGTAGTAAGGTTGTCTCGTTCACTTCAGCAGGCCACACATCGGCTGCTTCAGCGAGAGGTGGCAGTTCCTGTTCCAGAATAGCGACGAATGGGTCTGCGGTACCCGAAGGCGACTCTGCGGGAAGACTTGGGAATATAAAACCGTTCGGACTAGTCATCATGCCATCTCCAGTAGAAGCACGTCCGGAGTGCTCGGATGGCGCCAAGCGTGGAGCTGCTGCTTGTTGTTGCTGATAATCGACATCTGCAAAGCCTTTGGGACTGTAGCCGACAGAGCCCTGAGAAAGAGTCGTTGCAGACCAGGGCATCGAATCGTTAGTGTAGCCATTCTCGACGGGATGGCCTTTGCTATCGAACTGTGCTGTGGAGACGCGGAAGAGGTCACTCATTGGAGGACTTTGCAGCGGTCGCACAACTTCGTGATCGCCGGTAGACATGCTCCTCTGGTGCAACTGGATCTCCGAAATTCGCTTTCCTGCTGGGCCGCGCTTCTTCCTCGCTCTATCGTAGGTGCATGTGAAGCCTTTGGCAGCACAAGTCAGGCACGGCTTGGTCATGTCGCAGCGGACCTTTCTGCTTTTGCACTGATCGCAGGCGCGATCTGCCGACGTCTTCGGCCGGTTGCTGTTGAGATTGCCATCGGCGGCGTCGAGGATGGTGAACATGATAGCGCATGCATGTTTGGAGCAAGAGGCATGGGCTGGGTGGGGAGCGGAGAAGAGTGATCATCAGACTGCGGAGAAGCAGAAAGTCTGTGCCACATGGCTTGACAGGGATCTCATGTCCGATTGCCGTCCTTTAGCGAGTGCCTTCTGTTCGTGCGGATTCTCTTCATCAACAACACTGACGAAGCCATCTCAGCCAATTTCGATTGGAGAATCCGGCATTCTTCTCTACATATGCTGGCTCCCATTCCGGAGTGAACACGGAGTCGAAACCGAGCACCGCCAAAAATCGCATGGCAAGCTTGTGGCGTCTGCCATCTCTGCGGCGCGCTCATTGCCCGGTCCTCAGCCATGGACACACCCTGTCATTCATAACATTGCGTTACCACGACCAGAATTTCACGCGTGCTCAAAACATCATCCGGCATCTTAGCACGATAGGTACCACTCAACGCGTGGACCAATTTTGTATGCGCAAAGAGGCTTTGAGGAGGCCACTGGCGGTCAAAGTCTCATACTTGGTCCCTGATCCGATCGCCTTGGAAGCTTTGAAGAACAACAATGCGAATCCCCTCTCTGTGTGGCAGGCATCTGTTGCGCGCGGCTCGGCCACTGTTACCACTGCTGTCCAATGTTTAGCCGCATATCTCCATACCTTGGAAGGCATGGGACAGGGTGATGTGCAACAAAAAGTACAAGCGGACGAGACCGGCAGAAGATTGCTGCGATGGCTTTGGCTGGACATTGATCGATCGGACGAAACAAAATATAGACGTCACATCCACGACGCCATGAACCATCCTGCATTTCTGTTCGAACTTGCATATCTGTTGATCGAGGAAGGCAACGAAAAGTACTTGTGGGACTGGATGCAGACCGATGCGAAAGAATACGACGACCCTATCACGTATACTGCTCATTTCTCTGCACAGGAGAGTAAGAGCCGTGCCGGGGGGCACTTCAATTGGCGCGGAACACTCTTGAGAAGTATCATTCGAGCGAGACTTCATCAGGCACGTGAATATCGACTCTTGTCCGCCGACAATGCGCTTCGGGATTTCTGGACTGCTCACGATTTGAGAGCTCGCTTCCCTAGCGGCTCCGTCCAACGTAAAATGTCGCTGACACCAGCCGTGGTGGAACTGTGCAACAACATAACGGTTCCCGAATTCAGAAACACTGACCCAGTCCAATGGGACCGGTTTCGAATGTTTGTCGAATACTACGACCGCTACAAGACCCAGCGGTTGACCAAATTGGCATGCGCACGATTGGATATGTATCATCCGAAATCGCCGGATTTAGCGTCCGCTATGCGCATTGTCAGAGGTTTCCCAGAACAAATTACTGCCAATTCTCCAACGCGTAGTGACCTCACTTTTCATAATCATCTAGAGGCCCTCTTGTGCAATACCAAGGTGTTGGCAGCCAGAATGGGTATGTTAGCTGAGCGGGATGAGATTGAGGCCCTTCATGCCCGTTTGATGCAAGAGTGGAAGCCACATATTTGGCAGTATAGATACGGGACTGGAAACGAGAATCAGCTTGTACGACGTGTGTACAGAGGTTGATGAGCAGCGTGGAAGCAGAAGTATCTTTGCAGATCTACACACTGGGCCGGCAACCATATGTCCAGTTTTATGCCCCAGGTTTTGACCGATTAGTCGAATTCTTTCAGACGCTCGGATTGATCGATCGAAAGGCCTCAATAGCGGTTCCTCTGCAATACTCGCTGCATTGGAAAAGCCTCGGCCCAGAATCAGTCAGCATCAACATCATAACCGTGATGGGAGTGAACATTGAGCTGTCCATGATAGCGTCCGATCTTCGTTGACTTCGTAGTTGGCCCGATGCTTGTCGGCATTGTGCCTTGCGGCTGAGACAAAGCGACATTTCCATCGCCTTGCGATCTTGCAAGATCCATATGCGTAGTTGCTACGCCACTGGATCCTGCTGGCGCCCTGCTGGGCGATACTCTCATCAGGGACGGCTTCACGGAATCGAATGGAACTTCAGCACTTTGCTGTTGGCAATGGCTTCCGTACATCTCATCCAGAGTAAGAATGTAACGTCTTTTGATAATCAGAGGGACCATGCATGCCAGATTCTCGGGAGAGGTTGCAATATGGTAGATTTTCGACTCGACCTTCCCGACTACCTTCGCGCCTAGAGAAAGCAGGGCGCCCCACAGGTCATCTGCTGGCTCGAACTTCGAATAGACACGATGCCAGCGAGGGACGACATCATTGGGCAAGTCTGTAGCTTGCTGTAAAGCGATGAGCCAGACATATCTGTCTCCAGATCGGTCCTGGCAGCAGTTGAGTTGCACCACATCGACAGCCAGACCCTGCACGGTAAGCTGCACCGCATCTGTCTAGAATTCCAGCCCTCTGTTGCTGATTCTGTAGGGAAGCCGAGGCTGGAGAGACACGGGTGATATCATGCAGATATTTCTGAATGCATGTGGACTGCTTGCCAGCACCGGAATGGGGCCATAAATGAGACTGGTCCAAGCAAGTATGGACTCGCCATCATAGTTCCTAAATATGCTGCTAAACGTCTCAATAGGCCTGAACAGAGTAAGCTCGAAAGTCTTTCTTTTACAGCCTTGGGTATCAAGGTAACACACGGATTATTCTATGCCTGTACGGTAGCCCCGGCGAAGCCTACTACTTCTGTTCGCTCTAGTAGCGCCACGTGCTGGCTAAGCTGCTCCCCTTCCAACAGGGATCCAAACCTTGCTCATTTGGGTCACTAAGTTTCGAAGTGCTTGGCTCCCATCTCACTAGCGACCAAAGCCTCATCCCTTCCAGCTCCAGATGTGAACTTAAGCTTCCCCACGGAACGTCCTCTCAGCTGCGGAATGCATGAGCAGCGTCTCGATTCATCGCGGCGCCCACGAAAGTCGATGAGCGCTCGATATCCTTCGACAATCCACCTGTCGATATATTGCAAGACCTGATCCGTCTATCAAAGAACACCAGCACGTGCACAGTGAACATCATCTGGTGCCTCATCTGCAGGACGGGATACTAGTCAGTTCTTCGACTGTCTCGCTTCAACTGGAACAACACAGCCTTTGCGCCACAACAACTGTTGACCAATCCTGCTCGTCCTCACCCGAGTGGCTTGCTTTGATGCAGCAGTTATCGTGGTTCTTCTTACCAAGCTCTGTTCGTGCTCGTCAGCGCTCTCTTGGTGCACGCCTCAAAGAAAGCTTGATGAGCTTTTCATTTACCGCACACATACTTTTGGTCACGCAAGCTCACAAACAGACTCTCCAAGAGCATCGTATTCCCATTGCCTAGATCATCGGCCACAAGTCCAAGCTGACGTATGCTGAATACGTATTCCAACGTTGGTTTTGACACTATACAGCGGAGCTGTGATCGCAAAGTTTAGTAGCTTGATTCCACGTGCGGCACACCTATTCCTAAACATAACAGAAACGGTATCTAGCTACGGTTCGACCGCGCGTACTAAGGGTTCATCATTTCATCTAGCGGGCTGGTGGCTGGCTGAGCTGGTATGCATACTCTCGGCTAGAAATAGTAAGGCGTAGGATGCGGAGCAACCGTGTAGCAAGGGTTATAACTTGAGGATACTCATCGTCCTTCATTTCTACTAGTCGAAGAGCCTTTTCAACCACATCTCTCACTCGCAATCTGCATCGCAATTCGTCGAACAAGACAAAAATGCCATCTATACCTACATTCTCCGTGATCTTAATTCTTGCGGGAACCGCTTTGGCCAATGCGCACGTGTCTTGTACCACGCAATATGGCAATCATCGCGTCAGAAATGTCCAGACTAAATATCACAAAACAACCTCGACTATAACTCCAACCTTTTTTGTAACGTCCGCCCGCAAAACGACTGTAACCCCATCGCCAGTTACCTTGACGATTGTTTCCACAGAGACAGACACCACCACTTCCACCATTGAAACGACCGACACTTTCACTTCGACCATAACCCAATCCACGACTACCACGACTACTCTGCCCACTGCGACGGTGACAGCCACAGAGACTACTTCAACTACAACGACCAGCACTTCTACCAGCACGATCGGTACTGCTGCTGGTTACACGCCAATCCAATCTTCTTTGCCAGGTGCTACGTACCACGGGGCCCAAAGCGGGCCAGTTTCGAAGCGATCCATTGATTCCAACGCAGAACGAGCTCACGAGATCGAGGAGCGTGCGTCAACGTCGACAAGTTCAAAGCTTTCCTCGAAGCCCAAGTCAGACTGCCTACGTCCGCAGAAGTACCCGCAGTGTGTAGAATGTACCACGACCGTCACCAAACGAGCCCCGGCAGTAACTTCGACTCGAACGGGAAAGATTAGGACAATGACGGCCAGCACGTCCACCATCACCACCACCAGCTTCGCGACAACCACCGTCACTGCGACTTCAGTCAACGATGCATCCACCACAATCACCACAACGACCACTGAAACAGCTACAGCCACAGCTAGCCCATCAACGACAACAACTACCACAAGCACCACAACAGTCACACAAATGGCCACCGCGACGGGCTACGCGCAGTGCGCCGCAAACAACTTCGCCGATAAACTAAACGGAAACAACATCTACCTTCAAGCGGCCAGCAGCGGCAACTACGGCGTCAAAAATATTGCGGGAGTCACAAATGCGCTCGATTGCTGCGTTGCATGCGCCACTACCACCGACTGCTCTGTGAGCATCTATACGGTCCAAGAAGGCGGCTGCTATTTACTCACGAATTGTGGTTTGACATTTCCTACCGTGCAAGACATTTCTTACGACTGGATCGTGAATAATGGATGCGGTAAAGCCGTTTCGTCTTGAGGCTGATTTGTATGAGGTCGAAATGTGGACGCAATCTCAAGCTTGCCACGATTTTGCAGGAAGACTGTGGTTCATACTCTTGTGCAGCCCATTCGATGTCTTCAAGGCCATGACGCAACGGAGGAACAAGCTGATCTCGGCCGTGGTTTTAGCTCATGTTGAAGAAGACTGTGGGTTTTCCTCAGCCTCCATTCAGCCTCTTTCGAGGCTGAAAAGGGTGATCTGCACGATGTCAGTCTCCTTAAAGTCTCACCGATGTTTCCGAACTCCGCTGGCAATCCATAAATGCTCAGAAACAGCAGCGATGGACATATTTTGCGTTAAGATATTCACTGTGGCATAGGTAAAGCAAGCTCCTCATTACTTTCCAAATCATCCTCCAAGTCCGTCCCGCAGTCAGATCCAATCACACTATCCTTCCTCTGACTCCCCTGCAACTCCTCCGTCAAACGCGCCACCTCTCCCTCCAACTCCCTGACCCTCTGTCGCCTTCTCTTCGAAACACGCCCTCTATTCCCTATGAGAGCGTACAACTCCGCCCTACAGACCACCAATCTCCAATCGCACTCCAGATCGTGCTCGGCGCATAGCTGGCACCTTGCTTCCATGGCCACACACTCGAGCGCAGAGAAACTCGCCAGAACTCGCAAGAGAGGAACACTCGCGAGATCAAATGTCTCCTCATCGAGAACATCCATTACCTTACAACTCCTCTCAAAGCAATCTTCCAGAACCTCAGCTTTGTCACTCTGCATGCCTGAGAAACCCCTTTGACTCCCAGAAACAGAAGCAGAGGAAGCAGAAGAGCCCAATGCGAGAACCCTCCCCACATCCCCTCTAACCTCCACACTCCTCACTTTCACCCCAGCTCGCTGCAACACCCTCATAACCTCCATTCCCTCCAACCCCTCCCCATCAACAGAGATAGAGACATGCCTAACCCGTCTCAAAATCCCCGCATTCTCCCCAGCACCCACAAACCCCCATCGCAACCTCCACAGACTCGAAACTCCACGTGAGAGATTACAGGTAAGCTTCTCTTGCCCAGTGCTGCAGAGCGTACGAGATCCTCGTATTTGCGAGATTGGATGCTACTTCAGGTGGGATCTTCCCGCTTGAGGGGATGTGGACTATGTTTCTGCTAGAGTGGACGTGGCGGAAGATGTCGAGGCGGAGTTCGGCTAGGAGGGAGGAGAGGGGGGAGGCTTGAGACATCTTGTCTGATGAGAGCGGAGACATCTTGGCTCTTGCTTGAATTTGTATGCGTATGTGTGTGAGTGTAGCTTGCAACAGTGGCTCTGACAGAGGAGTTCTGTACCGTTGTGTGCGATGTTGCTAAGAGGAAGCTAGGAAGGGAGCGAATGTTTTCGGAGAGAAGGTTTGTCTCTTTAGGACGAGGACGGTAGGGCCTTGTTCAGAAGTCTGGGTGAGATGTTGATGAGAGGAAGCTGGGAGAGTGCGAATGTGTTCGGAGAGAAGGTCTGTCTCTTAAGGACGAGGACGGCAGGGCCTTGTTCAGAAGTCTGGGTGAGATGAAGAGTTTTCGTCCCTTAGGAGCACTTCTGGGTAGTGTTTATACTTTCAAGGACAGAATGCTACCAGAGTTCAGTGGAGAAATGGTTTTGCGAGCCATCGTGGTTGGATGCCATGCAGTATGCGTTGACGATGGGTGGTAGGGCGCAGGTGATGTGCTCGTTTGTATCACAAGCCGACTCGAGGGTGAGCACATGTCATTGATTGCGGAGGGGAAACGGAGAACTTTATACCTAAGAGGGTTCGAGTCCATATCAACGTAGGCGATTTCTTGGCAGGCAGCGGTAAGGTTGATCAATCCTAGGCACCCAGCTGGCCAGCATTCATGAACTTGATCGATTGGGTGACTCACGAGTCTCCTTTGAGATATTTTGTTTAGTGCCGGCCATACTACCATATCTTGGCAAAATTTGAGGCCTCTCTGCTAAACATAGTCGCTTTCAGTCGCTGCTGATTTGTCCAGTGCGGTTACCATGTTTCTGTCCAAGCTAATTCTCTATAATGCAATACCTGATGGTCCACTAGACCTGACCCACTCTGTTTCGACTCGGAAGTAGACCCAAACCCAGCGTCGTGTAAGTTCCAGAATCTCGAGCAGGAAGATGCCGCCTTCTATGCCATCCAATTTCACCAGCGCAAGCGACAGTTTCCATGACCACGCGAAACGTAGACCGAGATCGAATCCCACGAGCAAGTAGTAGATGACTGGCTGCCTGAAAATCCGGTACTGACGAAGGCCATAAGGAGACTTATGGCGATGTCTCGAGAGGAGTGTCAAATCCCAATCCATGCTGACATCCCACCAGAAGGAGTAGAGCGAGTTGACGAGAGCTGCCAGACGCCTGTGGGATACTATGTCAGTACAATTTCTCACATCGCACCAAGTCCCGTAACATACCAAAACACCTTCCACGTCGGATCTTTGCCACTAATCGAGCTCAAAATAATGACCGGAAAAGCCGTCGCATACTTCAACGCGTTCGCCCTCTGCCCCTCAATAATACACTGCCGCAACCGAATCACAAACGGCCACGCAATCGCCAACGGCACAATAATCTCATGCCCACAAGCGCGATCCGGTTTATTCGTCGTATGCATCCCCTTCAAAGACATACAAATCACAACCAAAATCTCCGAAATGGGCTTTGAATACGAAGTGAGAGCATCTGCCAGCAGAACATCTCCAAATTTCTCCCCCTTGGGTTTCGCGATTCCTCCTGGGGCGCATCGGATCAGACCGGTGAACAATCGCGCAACGCCGTGCGCGTTGTTCGTGCCAAAGACTCTTCGGGCCCATGGGAGTCGAGGGAGGAAGAAAACGGCCAAGATGACGAAGAACAACAAGTTCGGAATCCAGTCGTACGCAATCACCAGATCGGTATCGCCCATCGTCAAGAACCAGAATAACACAATTGACCCTGCCCAGAGTCCACTCAATAGAGTCGCAAGCCGGTACGTAGAAACATGCAGCGACGGCTCATCCTGTGTCGGTCGCGTGGGATAGTGTATCAGCGTGTAAATGTCGATATTCAGGAGATGGAAGCCATGGAGATTGAGAGCCCAGAACCAGAAGCCGAGGATGAATTCGAATTGTAATCGAAAGGGAAGAGGAAGTACCCGGCTGAAGGCATCTGGACCTTCCGCCGGGTTGGGCTTGTCCATGTCCTGTGGTGGGTTTTTGTTGAAGTTTTGATGATGTTCTGGGAGAAGTTCGTTCTCAAGTTGAAGTGTGGCTTCAACCATTGCCTATCCCTGCAGCGGCCGGCGCCGCGGCGGCAAGTGGGTCACGTTTCGCCGATAAAATGCCCTCACGCGATCAATTGAAGAGTTCACTGCAACGAGGCACGATAGTAAAGCATAAGAATGATGGTCTTTTTAAGAGCTACAAAAATGCATCGATCGCAGGAGTGGGTATCTTATCTAACATGAACAAAAGCCAAATGCTGTCGTCTGCCGAGACCTCTGACGCGACCTCTTCCGCGCACATCTTCTTCTTCAATATCATCTGCTTGTAAACTGTCTTCTGGATAGTTGGAGCTCGTGTTTGAGGCTATCGAGGCAAGCGAGGCGTCACTTGCCACTCGATTCTTTCTCGTGAATTGGCCAGTGGGCTCATAACATCCTACATTGATGTTTGCCCATTTGCCTGGGGTTGATTCATGATATAATGCTGGCGGCGCTGTAGACTTCTGCTTGTCCGAGTCTGCAGTCTTCTGCGGTATGTCAAAGTCAAATTGGAATCCCGCAAAGGTACTAAGATCTGATGCGAGCTTCTGAGGCAGATCCATGGGCGCGTTAGAATCCAATGTTTCTTCCGAAAGCGAAGTGCCGCAATTGACAGGTCCTGATCGGGACTTGATTCGTTTGTGTCGTCGCATTCCATTCGTGTGGCGCAACTTTCTCATGGGCACTGCAGATTCGGTGAGAGAAAGCTGTTGCATCTCTAGAGCTGGAGCATCTGTCCACTTGGACTGTTGCTGCTCGAACGGCACAGCCTTCGCCTCGTCGAACTTTGAGTCGACATTCATGATACTGTCAACAGGAGAAGACTCGCCAACTTCACTGCCTTGCAACTCATGAAGCGTCTCGCAGAAGGTGCCCTGGGTTGGTGATTTTGCAGAAGGCGCCAAGATACTGTTTCTGCGCGAACTGTTCCTTCGCGCCAGACTGCCAACCACAGACCTGTGTAGAGTACTCACACTGGATCGTATAGAAGCAGTACGTGACAGAGTCAAAGACCTTCTGAGTGGAGGAATTGCGGCGGTTGCTGGAGGTGGACTAGGATCGTTTCTTGGAAGCGAGTTCATGGAGAAGTAGTCGGCGGCGCAGCTTGCCTCACAGTCAGGATGGATCGAGATCCTGTCCTCCTCGAAAGACTTTCGCACTTCCTCCACGGCAGCAAGATACTGCGCCGCGTGTTGTTCGGGTCGCGGAACAGTCAAGTGATCTTCAGGCCATGTGGGACAAGCTGAATCCAGAACGCAGAGGGGATAAGTTGTGCCTTGCGTATGACGAACCTCAGCTGGCGCTTTGGTGATGCTGATTAGCAATTGCAGTACGCTGTATACCAGGATCCATCGAACTTTGCGAGCTTCAGTTGCCGGAACCTTCTCTTCATCTTTTAGATTCTCGAAACGAATGTATTCTTGCACCAGGCGATTGCTCGTCACACTGCTGTCGCTCTGATTACTTGCTTTGGATAGCGCCTGCCTTGGAGATGACTTTGGCGGGCTGTTTGTGTTCGATCGCTTTACGCGCAGTGATCCGAAAGTTCGGCGAGGTCCCGCGGTCCAGCTCTGTGTACTTATTTGGTGCTCCGGCAGAAGAGGCATTGTGTATGGCAAAGCGATAAAACCGTGGCGGTGATCAAACGCATTCAGGTTCTGAGCCACACATAGTCCGCCCTGAGAGCCCAAGATGCTAGCATGTTCGTCGGTAGATTTTGTGTCTGCCAGGTAAATGTAAAGGTTGTGGAAGTCATCGTACATGCCGTGCCACAGTCGCTTACCCCAAGGATCGTTCGCGTCCGGAGGGAAGTAGCCGTTGATCTCGTGTACATAGAACAAGTGCAGGGTACTTCGAAACCTGTCGAGATGGTCTCTCAATTGCTTCGACAAGCCGAGTTTCTCTGGTCCAAGATCTTCCTCGAGGAAAGTGCCCAAGCTCTCAGTCACCCCGACGATGTGAGCCTTCATGTCAATTGCGGATCGCGCCAGCATGTCTTTTGTTTCGTCGCACAGTCGAGCATAGTCCTCACTATGGACCAGTCGCTCATACATGCCCACGCAGTGTGTGAAGGTTTCCGACCACATTTCCCTCGCTTTTGTCTGCTCTGCAAAATACAACGATGCTGCTGCATAGTCCGGGTTCTCCACATAGCTCAGATAGCCCTGATCTTCACAGTACGTGTGGAACTTTGACTCGCAGGTGTCGTCGACCTGCCAAAGCTGAAGCCGATGCCACAGCTGAGTGAGTGCGGTACCAAGAGTCGGGCCCACCAATGGCACGTCGAGCAGGAATGCGAAGAAGTTCCTCGTGGTGAGATGAAACGTATGAGCTTGTTGCCGGGTTGGATACGGCGGCGATGGAATGTGCAGTTCAAAGCTGCCATGTTGACTGCCATTGACGGACCCGCTGTAACCACTATCGGAGTTATCGTCCTCGCTGTTGATTGGACTAGCGGGAGCCGGCCTGTGTAGGCATTGTTCGAGCAGGAAGCGACTTTTGGTTTGCTCGACGACCTTCAGAGGTATTTTGAGACTCGGTCCACGGCGAGAAGTGTTGGCTGCGTAGAAGTGGATGAGGCAATCTGCATCTTGTGACCACAGCTCTTCATCTTTGCGTAAGTGGTCCCAATGCTCAGTCTTGTTGTTGATGCCATCGAAACGGCCAATGTGTTGAACTTCGCCACGAGAGTTGATTGTCGGTACGCTGTCGAGAGTGAAAGACCGCACATAAGGCTCCCGCTGCGTCGCCATATCAGAATGCACAATTAATCAATCGACCGACCAGCGTCGACTCCTTCGAGCGAGCCTTGTCCCGAGTAAGTGGAGTGGTACCAATTGGAGTAGGTAGAGAATTGTTTATCAGATATGCAGCTGGCGGAGCTGCACCGGATGCATGCTGGGTACAACAGAGTGGTTCATGCAAGGCCTCCCCGAAGCCGATCGCAGTCCTGGGAAAGCCAACAATTCGTGCAGAGTGGAGACGTAGCCGTGGTGCTGTTGCAGGGATCGCGGACGTATACAAAGAGCTCCGATGCACTCATACAACGCGCAACACGCGTCTTGATGATGAGCAGAGGGCGGTCTCACAGGTCATTCGAGACAGCGACTGGGGAATCCAGATCTCACCGGGACAGGCATGGCACCGAGCGCGAATGCGCTGGTATATGCCCGTGCATGTCTCGAATGAGAGGCCTGTCAGGCCACACCTTCGCCTACGAGGCCGAGGCGCTGGGCCAGCCTTTGGTGGCGGCGGGCGTGCTTGACGAGTGGTGATGAGGGCTTTCCGGCACTGCACTGCATGATGCGCTGCGCCAGTCTGATTCGCCTCTTGCAGTCGAGGCAGAAGGAGCCACCGTCCGCGTTGGGCAAGTCCACGTACCAGTCGGGAAATGCAAGTTGGAGTCGGTCTGATAGCACAAGTCAGCGCGTCAAACCACGTCGCAGCAAAGTGTGGCACGATGCGGCTCCAGACATGGGCACAGCGATAGCCGACTCGCCGCGCCGAGTTTAAATGATCACGGATCTCGCAGCGTCCGGTTGCGCAAACGTCATGTAGGCGGATCTACATTGGAGGCGTGCTATTTCCTGCCTCTCATCATACACTCATCCTGCTGCTGCCCTCCGTCGCATGGTCGAACCGGCCGCGCGCGCATGATTCATCATCATTTGTGCGAGATGAGCAGAGAGTACAGCACGACAAGAGCTCAACGGGCGGGCGTCTGCAGAGTCCCCAGGCGGCTGGAGCACGACTTTTCATGCAAGCCCGGACACGCCGCGCGCCACTTCTCTCCATCCTCCCACGTGTCTCCTGGCAAGTCCCGTTGAGGCATATACACCTCGCTTTGCTAAGCGATTTCATCAATAATCAAGTAGAGTTGATGGAACTCTCGACAGCAAAACTCAATTTTCTCCGACAGATCTGAGCAGGATGTCGTGCTGGAGACAACTTCCCGCAGCTCCTTCCCAGCCAATGTCTCGACGCAGCAGCTCTTCCTTGCCAGATTCGCGGGTACACAGACGCCCGGCCAGGATACACCACGATGATTCGGCTCAAACCGAGCGTGCGCACGCGTTGCTACTGTTGCTGCACGTGCCGTGAAACAACGAGACATCGTTACTGGGAAAGCTCACAGTTTCAAAACGTCCTCAACAGCATGTATCATGCCTGTCCGGAAAAACAGCCACTCCACGTTTGCGACTTACAGCCAAGCATACCAGCAAATGCTGCGTCGCTCGGCAAACGCCAACGGAATCCCTTGACGCGTAGTCAACTTGAGTACACGACCACGCCGCTCTCCCACCAGCTGCACTGATCGGCCATCGATTATCGTGCTGTAGTCACGAATGACGACAGTCGCGAGAACGCGTGGCTCCCAAGGTCGGTCAGACAAACGGATCGCGTATCCTGCAACACCGGAAGGGCAGCAAGACGCCTCCTTCACTCCATTGGAAACCCATTGGATTCAGCGCGTTTGTCTGACTAACCACGTGCATGTTTACGCGTTGTGGGTCAGACGGTTGTTTCTCACGTCGTTGCTATCAACGGGCTCCAAGGCGAGCCACGTTGCACGAAGAACCTCGCGGTAAGCGCCACTGACTTGAAACATAAGAAGTCACAGGATTTTTCTCCTCCGCATCCATGACCTTGGCATGCAGTAAGGAAGTCCTGCCAGGCACCAATGCTCAGCCCTGAGAAGGACCAGGAACATCGTATACAAGTGTAAACAACAACAACAACAACACGCCTCTGGCCTTTGTAGCCATTGGAAAGCGAGAATTCAGTACTAACGCCACGGCGCAAAGCTTGTATCTGCACGAGAGGAACGCGGCAGCACAATCAACACTCCTGAGACATGACATGCAAAGCCTAGCATGGCGATGCCCAGACTCCTCCACTACGCCGTGTTGATCACCTGCAGTCAGCAGGTGTGCATACGAAGGCGGAGAATCACTGAAACCAATTCCATACCGTCGGATGTTGATCATCAGCTAAGCTGTTACGATGGCTGATAGGAGTGAAGAGCTATCGATTCTGCTGCTACAACATTGTATGGCCCGTAACATATCCTCAAAAATCCTGGCACAGCATGCATGCAGGTCTCTCATCTGGACTCTAGACCCAGAGTCGAAATGCAGCTGTGATCCGTCAGCGCGTTTGCTGTCCGAGAAGCGGTCAACATGGTGGCACTCAATACGATCAGATCTCAGATTCTACCGCGCGATCATATCGTCAGCTCTTGAATATTGAATCAGGCGTGTCCGCCACGTACACCTCCTTGAAATAATATCTGACTTTTTTTGCATTCCAGCTTCTTTCTTTCTAGGCATACTCGCCCCCGCATTGCGAAAAAAACACGCGTGAGCAAAAATGCAGCGTCAAGCGAAGGTGTAAGACGACCATACATTGCCGACAAATGAATCGAAAGCCTGAGGACTTGAGAGATAAACTTGAAGAATTTTACTGAAATCGGAGGAGGAGAAGACTAGATTTTCACCAAAATCTCTCCTCTACAAACAGAATCACTCTCTCTCTAATAATCAATATAGTTGTCTTCTAATATTCAATAATGATAGCAAGAAAGGAACCCAAGAAACCCACCCATACCATACCATACGCACATTGCCTCTTTTTACACCACAAGTTGGCCACTCTCGATGCCAACGCCGCGGACCATTCCATTTTGCTCGGCTGCATGAATGCCTAGAGATTAACGAGGTCTTGGGAGGAGCAGGGGAGAGAGATCTCTGCCAAGCTGACCAAGCATACCGCAAAGACTTCGGCATTTCCTTGTGGTTACTATAATGCTTGCCAGGCTAAAGGGTACCCATGTTCAGAGTCAATTTTGACTTCACTTACTTAGTTGTTACATGTGACATGTACATGTATGGTTCGTTGGAGATCATGGTTCGGTTGTAAAATTATTTACGGCGGAGAGCAATTGGATGAGTATGATGATGGGTGCTGTGGGAATAGGTAGTGAGGAGAGCGTGAGGTGTGGACGCCACGCCAACTAGCTCGAATAGAAGGCGAGTTGGGTTAGCATCTGGACATTGCACAACGAATGTAATCATCAAAGATCGACGAAGACATCAAGCGACGACGACGAGAGAAGGAACAGGTGAGACCAAGTTTTGAACGAGAGACAATTATACAATCGCTACGTCAAAAAAGTCTATCAAACAGAAATGCTCGCTTTCATAAAATCCCGGGTATCATCATGTATGTGCCGTAAACCATAGTACAACAAATCCAGCTTCAATCTAAGAGAAGTGAGGAGTGTTGAGGAGAATACCCATGGTAATACCACCAATGAGACCAGCAATTGGGATGGTAGCGATCCAAGAGATCACGAGGAGACCGACTCGCTGCCAGTTGACTGCTCTCCAAGTTCCGTTGCAGAGACCAACACCGACGGTAGCACCAGTAATGCACATCGAAGTAGAAACTGGAAGCTTAAATTGAGAGAAGAGCAAGACAGTGATGGCGGCACCCATCTCCATGGAACAGCCACGAGAAGGTGAGTGGTAAGTGATTTTGTTACCCATGACCTTCATGATGTTGTAACCGTAGGTGATGAAACCGATGGAGATGGTGGCGGCGAGGACGGCGATTTGCCAGGTTGGGACGGGAAGCTTGGAAGCTGCGGCGTCGCCGGTTCTCCAGGCGGAGTAGATGACGGCCCATGGAGCGACGGCGTTACCGACATCGTTGGCACCGTGGGCGAAAGAGGCGGTACAGGCGGTCAAGACTTGGACGAAGGAGTAGGCGTGTTCGACCTCGTTGGGGTACTTTGGTGCGTGAGAGTAGACGCGAGACATGCGGTTGCCCTCTGGAGTACCAGAAATACCGGCCTGAGCAGCGTGGATGTCGTAGTGAGAACCGTAGAGAGCACCGACGACGATCATGGCTGGGATGCGCTTGATGGCAATGGCCATGTTCTTGAATTCGTAAATTTCGCCAGATCCCTGCTTGTTCTCGTGGAGGTAGCGCATGGCCCAGGCGAGAGGACCACGGCCGTTGCGGATCTTGCGGTGGAGCTTCTCGCGGGCGTCGACTTGAGCTTGCTTGTAGCGGGCCTGGGCTTGCTGAGCCTCAGCCTCGCTGAGGGACTGGACAGCTGGAGAGGCGGCTCCCTTCTCGAAAATGGCGGACTCGACGACGGTGCTCTCGGTGGACTGCTTGTCATCCTCATCATCGTGTTGCTCAACGGCGTAATTGGGCACAGTGGCGACAGCGTCACCGGTAGGTGGAGCACGTCTGAAGAGAAGTGGGCCTTCGAAAACGTTGTACCATTTGATCGAAGCATCGCGGCGGATGACGCGCATGTACAGGAATGGCACAAAGAAGAGGGCGGACAGGACTGCAAGAGCAGCGCCAGTGCCGACGGTCACACCAGCAATGAATGGCGGTGGCTTGTCGTTGAGCTTGAGGTTTGGCGATCCCTTGTACACGATGGAGAGCGTGCAAATAGTTCCGGCGATGAGGAAGAAGAATGGAGCAGTCCAGACCGACCATGGAATTGGGTTTGAGCGCATGTGGACCACGACCTTGATCAACATGAAGATGGTGGCACCAAATCCAGCTGCAATGGCTGGGGCCATGCCCAAACCAGCGAAGATGGCACCAAGACCCTTACCTCCGTTCCATCCCCATTGGACGTTGCGTGCACCAGCAGTGGCAACACCAACACCAGCGACGGAGGAGATCAAAGAGTATGTCGAAGAGACGTGGGCGGAGTGGCGTGTGCACCACATAACCCAGATGGAGGCACCAGCGAGAGCGCAGGTGAAAGCCAACATCTGGACTCCGGCGTTGTCACGGAAGGAATCGGTGGGAATAATGCCGTTCTTGATGGTATCCGCGGTACGAGCACCGACAGTGATGGCGCCTACCATCTCGAAGACGGTAGCGAGGACCATGGCCCATCGGTAGGAGATGGACCTGGAGGAGACGGACGTAGCCCAGGCGTCTAGTCATGAAGTCAGCGGTGCTCAGGTGCGGTCTCGGTAGAAGGCTACTCACTGGCGACATCGTTGGCACCGTTGTTGTATGCATCGAGCAAGGCAAAGAACGTGCCGATCACGAACACGTAGGTGTAATCGGTGAGAACCATCTTGACGGTGGTGTATCAGCTAACGAGTGATACCGTGCAAGAAAGGTGGTCGTTGGGGTGAAGTATTGACAAGATGCTGTGGACTCGAAAAGGTGAACGGCGGTGCAGCTAGGAGGACTATATAGCAAGAAAATCCTCTGGCTCAACGAGACGAGAAGAGACTTCTCACGGCGTCCGCCGGGCCTCATTGAGTCGGTACGAGGTGCGAGGCGATCTTGGGAGCAACCCACCCTCGACGTTTCGCGGTCGTCGTTCCAGGCGCGTTCTAGCGGCGAGCGCGCATGAGGGTCGCTGCAGTGCCGCCCGCGTCGCAGGCTCGGTGGCCATCGCGCTTGGCGCTGTGGGCGTCCGCGAGAGGATTGCGAGCGCGGTGGCGTCGAGTTTACTTCGGCTGGTGCTTTTGCAACAGAATTTCCATGCCATATCGCTGTTTCCTGGTGTTCTACCGCGCCTTCCATCGACAGGACTTCGCTCCTGCTGCTTGTCCCGGCCCCTGCCTGCCTCCTGCCGCAGCGAAGAAATGGCCCAGGTCTGATCCTCGCCCACAAGACATCTTGTGTCCCACGCGAATGCTGGAGGAGCCGGCCTCAGCTCGAGGAAGCTCGTAGAAGGCGCAGAGAGTGGAAAGCTTGGCGACTTGGCGCTCTGGGCGGAGAGTTTCACCAGCGAATCATCTCCCCGCATTCTCCAACGTGTTTGATCTGCTGGCTGACCTCACTTCTCTCCAGATGGAACATCACCTCCGCCAACGCTGACCCTCTTGGCACCGCTCCACCCCGTCGCTGAACTCTTCCGGACAATTCACTGCTCTTGGTTCGTGTGCTTATGCGCCTCGGCCAATCTTAGCTGTCCTCTACAAGCATCTTGTCTTGCGATTGCCCACGCGAGCAGATCAGAGTTTGGGCAATCTCGGATTCACCATCTGTCTAATGAGGTCTGGACGCGTGCATGGCTTTGTGAGTATGATATTTCTTGGCCACGTGGGTGCCTTGTCGTTCTTTAGAGGTTCCCCCGACTTAGACATGGATCGCCCATCAAACGGTCTTGCCGTACGGAAGTGTCTACAATCCATGCCTCTTGGATTCGAGACCCTATTGATGCCACTCTGATGCCGCCTCTTCGGACGACCGACGACCGAATACTCACGCACGCCACCCACATATTCCCCTTGCAAGCTACTGCAATACAGCACGTGGGAGGAATGGCAGCAAGGCTCAGTTAGTCTCGCTGGAGGCGTTATTGATGGCGTTCACAACGCACACCCACGGCAGCGCCTGCCCAGTTTTGCTGGCAACCTCCGGCCCGCGGCATTCGTGCATGAGTGCTGGCGAACACTACGGGATACGCATCGGAGACCGTCAGACATCGAGCATGTTGCCAACAGCCCTGGTCGGCAACATTGCCTCGATGTCGCTCGCTACATGTCGCTGCAGGACTGAGCTCACCACCTGGCATAGCTCCAAAGATATCGAGGCAGCTCTTGAAGATCTCTCCCTGAGATGTGCATCGTCCTGGCTCGCAATATAATGCACGTGGTGATAGGGAGGTAGGACAGTCGGCCGGTCACCCCCATCGAATCTTCGTGCTCACAGTGCTCTTCAGCCTAGTGGAAAGTCAACCCGCTGTGCCTCAGACCAGCATCAGATTCAAAGCCAATTCGGAGCAAGCCCCATAATTATTCCCACGCCGAGCATGACTTCGCAAACCTACGCATCGATCTAGATGGGCCTGGTGACAGGCGAAAGGGCTGCATAGCCGGGGATGCAGGACATGGAGCTTGTTGTGGCGGACTTCCTTGGCGATGGGAAGGCTGTAAGCCGTTCAGCCTAGCAGGCGCTGCCCGAACAAGTGACAGGCAGTAACGATAGCACGTGTCTTGGCATCTTCAGGGCTGGAACAACATCTGCCGTAGATCCTGATGCTAGGCTCTGCATCGTCTGCAAATCTCGGTCGTTCTCATGTTCATCAGTGCTGCCGAGTGCTTTTTGTCGTTTGGCACGTCCTTCTGACCGTAGATCAGCTCGATCTTCGCCACCTCTCAACCAAAATTGCAAGCACAACGGGCTTGACGAAGTCGCCGTGCAGCTCTTCTGCGAGATGACCCTTTCATGACGGTCAGCAGAGAGACAGTGGTATGGCTCAGGTCCTGCTGAACCCTGGGTCGACACAGCTCTGACGAGGAATGACGGCCAGCAGCAACAACGATACCGATCGAGAACTGTTCAATCCGCCCTCTACATCGCCCTGACGAGATATGACGACGGTCAGCAACCGTGGTATCGGTGAGGGACCGAGCATTCCTCGCTCGCTACAGCACTGACGACTGACGACGTCAAGGAAAAGCGATACAGAGGTGTGACCGGTGATTCCCTCCGATCGGGTCGGCCATCTTGGATGGGAACGGGGACGGCGTATGCTCAGCAGAACATCACTGGCGCTTGACACAAGATGACAGCGACTGAATCATGAGTCCATCCAAGAAGACGACGGCTAGTCGTCCAAGGATTACACACAAGTCATCTTCGTCTTGTCCAGAACACGAATGAAGCACAACATCTCCCTCCCGCCGCATCTGCTGAACCGACCTTGATATCCTGAGCCTCACTGGCACGACGATACGATACGTCGTGCGAGAGACCTTGCTGCGCAGCAACAGTAACACGACTATGAGATCTGTCATCGTGAAGACGAATTGACAAGGCCAAACTCCTAAGCGCGCGATCACGCCGGACAAGTGCATACCGTGCGCAATGTCGAGCGCCACGGCGTGCAACTGGGACTTACCGTCGGGCATCTCATGTATCCCCCATCGCCGCCTGACCTTAGTCTCGCTCACCGAGGTGTGAAACATCTCAATGAACCATGTGATGCTGATCCAGCGACGAATCGAATCAGCCTCAAAGGCAGTAGTCCAAGGACCGGACCGCATGAAGCGTGGCTTTGAGGGCGAGGCTCTAGCAGCAGCTGGAGCTTCAAACAGCATCACAGTCGCGGCGCCCACTGGCATCCCATCAACAAAGCGCGCTCCTGGTAAGTCTCTGTCCCCAAGTAGCGATTGACCGTCAATCTGCGAAAGACGTACAGGGATATCGCACCCCTAGCACTCTCGAAAATCCACGCAGCACCATAAAACGCAACGAATATGCTCTCGCATGGAACACACACTGCACTGCAAAGACGCGCCGTAGATGTCATTTTACGGGATATACGTGACGCTACTACGCTCATGTACCTCCCCAGCATCGACTACTTGAGTTGAAGAAGCAACGCGTTCGCACCAATGTCCGAAGTTGCGAAACCGCAGTACGGTGAAGACAACCCCCCTTTTTGGTGACATTCCACTTCGATCCAACGGCAGAGTTTGACGAAATCGTACAACAAGCTACTACTCTCTCCGCCTTTCCGCGGCGTCGCCGAATGGATCCGCCACATAGGAGCCTTATGTTACACATCCGCCAAAACGCGCGGCGGAGGGCTAAAGAAACGTTGAATGACCGCATAGGCAATGTTCAACCATCCGTAGATTTTTTCCATCATTGATGCCGTTCGACGAGTATAGTGGCGTATATCCAAGGCAAGACAGTTGACAATGAGGGTGTGGGTGGAAGACATCGCAATTGCCGACAAAGTCTGTCCGCGACAATACTGAGAGAAAATGATATATATGTTTTAAAAAAGACTTTCCTCATTGATGTGAATGGCCAATGAAGGCTGATTTGAAGTAACTTGAATGCGGTGATTTGCAGCTCTATGGATGCCGATAGAATTTGTTCTCCGCAAGAGCCATACCCAGGGGCCTTGAAGGCTCTCGCACATCACGAGAGAGCGATGAAATCAATTCGGCTTGGCAGAGCGGTGTGTCACTGGCGCAGGATATGTTCGCTCAGTTTGATGGACAAAGTCGTCCATCTTTCGAGGAAATTGAGGCTATGATTTCGATTGTGAGAGCCGCGATTGACGGTAGCGAGCGCATGTTCGTCTCGGCCGGAGTTTCTTAAGTGCAGGGAGCCGATTTTCTGATGCACACGTCTCCATTCGTGGCGTGGCGGCAATCCCTCACACCGGCATAAATGCGCAAGTATTGGCAGAATATGACAACGATGCCATGGTCACGGAGTGTCAACTCTCCGCTCAGCTTGTCTTGACACCTCGATGCTCTGCGACTAGTCCCTAATCCACTCTGGAGATTGCCCACCGCCTTTCCTTACGTCCACTGCCTTCTGCTGCCAAATACACAGATATGCCTCTCCCCTCACATCAACAACCTCCACACACCCAGAATAATCGCCGCCGTACCCGTACAAACACCCATCAACCACTGCAACGTGGAAAACTTCACCGCCTCCAACCTCTCCCTCAACGCCGCACTCTCCTGCTCAATCCTCGTCTCCGTCTCCTTGATCTTCAAATCCTGACTATTCGCCTCCTCCCTAATCCTCCCTTTCTCCAAATTCAAATCCAGCCTCACGCTCGCTTGCGTCCTCTGCACCTCATCCCTGAGTCGATTGTTCAATTTCGTCAACTCGTTCGATAACCGTTCATGACTAGCCCGCGTGAGACTCGATTCCGTGCTATCGGCTGATAAGAGCTCTGAGCGAAGTTTTGCGAAATCGACTTTCTGGGTATAAGTGGCTTTTTCTTGGTCTTCGCGAAGGACCATTGTGCGAGTGAGGTTTTGGATTGATTCTTCGATTACGTCGCTGAGGACTACCATCATTGCGCGGGATTGTTCTTCGGTGAAGCCTTCTTGTTGGAGGCGTTGGACGAATTTTAGGGTGTCGAAGTGGTGGTCTTTGCGGTTGGGGGTGGTGGCGGAGAAGGCACGGCGGGCGGCATGGTGGATGGTGGGTGAGGGTGTGGTTCGGCGTTGAGCCCAGGTGTTGCGTGCGAAGGCTGCTGTGGCGGTTGTTCGTCTGCTTTCGGAGCAGGGAGGAGTGTGAGGTTGTGAGGAGGTTTGTTGGAGAAGAGATGCGGTGGGGCGAATGGAGCTTGCAGTCCAGGCTCGCTGGACGGCGCGAGAGGCCAATGCGGGAACGCTCATGACTGGAAGGCTGTTGTACTGTGCCAGTGACTCCGGTATCGTTTGCAGAGTCCAGATGCAGATGTTGGAGAGTTGTGAGAAACGTCACGCGGAAGCTGCAGCACGCGCACGAGCAGGAGCAGGACAGGCTGACCCGCAACACACACCCTGGTCGTCGCGCGCCGCCAATGAAAACGCGACGAGTCTATCACCACCGTTATCTCTGCTCTCTTCACTTCACTTCACCTCACGTCCTGAGCCCCATATAATCCGCATCTTGCATGTGACAGCCGCTCTCTCTGCACGTGAGAAGGCACCATCGAAAGCATAAGAAGAACGTTTGCTCAACCGATCGCAAGCACCGCAGAAGCCATGTCTGGTCGCATTACGTTTCGCCGCGCCGAGTCGAGCGGTCGTCTCGGCAATGACGCCGCGCAGCCCGCAAAGCACGTCGAGCACGCACTTTCGATCGCTGCCGAGGAGGAGCGGGTGAAGGGAGAGGCTTGCATTTTTCTTGATCATGAGGTCTGAGGAAAAAAATCCTTGGGTCGCGGCCTTTGTCCCAAGCAACGGTAGCCGTTTCTTGACTTCTTGACCTTTTGGCCTTCTCCTCTCCAGCCCCTCCGAAAACGGCGGCATTGTTCTGCTTATAAGAAGTCCCGACGTCTGCAATCCTCCGTATCTGCTTGCCCCGCGCAAATCATCTCTCCCGTGAAACTCACTTTTGCGTGAACATTTCTCGGCGCCGAATCCCAAGCTCTCACAAATTCCAACTCTGCGCAGAAGCAAATCGCAAGATCTTCCACACACATACATCCCAAGAAGCAGCAGCAAAAAATGGCCGCAGAAAACCAAAAACCCACCCTCACCGGCCGCGGCGGCGCCGGAAACCTCAACACCCGCCCGCAAGCCAAACTCCAACACTCCGACCTCGAAACCCCCACAATAAAATCCACAACCTACACCACCGGCCGCGGCGGAAGCGGCAACATGGCCAAAAACGACCCTTCCAACGCCTCCGAAGCCCGCCAAGCCCAAGACGTTGACACCCCAGCCCACCACAACAAAGAAATGGAAGGGACATATCACTGGGGACGCGGCGGTCAAGGAAATATGACAACGCTGGGAAAAAGTGGGGCGCAGCAGGCGAGGGATAAGAGTATGGAACGGAAGAGGGAGAAGAGGTTGAGTCGTGGGGAGGAGGGGAGTGAGAGGCCGAATAATGGAGGGAATCGAGCGGGGAGTTTTTCGGGGATGGTGAATAAGGGGAAGGAGTTGTTGGGGTTGAATAAGGAGAAGAATGCTAATGGGAAGAATGGGTCGCAGTTGGCCAAGGAGAATGAGAGTGCGATTGAGTAATTTGTGACGGGCTCTCGTTGTTTGAAGCAAGGTGGCGATGAGATGTGACGCGATGCGAATGCGTCGAGAGCGAAAGTGGGCTTTGAAACGCAATATACCCTATACTCTTTTTTGTTTGTTGTTGGAGAGGCGATCCTTGGGAAATAATGGACCTGATCTGTTTTAGTTACATGGGAGGGAGCATGTGTCTGTCTTATCTGCAAAGAATCATACACAGCACGGGCGTGAAAGAGCATCAAAAGTCCGGAGGTTTAGCAGACAAGAATCAAAAGTTACAGTTTCTTTCGCACATTTCCTCACAGTTCACATCTTCATGGGACGACACAGCGAAATGTGAGGCATCGGAAATACAATTATGGGAGTTGTTCACTCAGCAACAAGAGACGAATTGTATCTTCAGAGGCACGACTTTCCAAGCGAGAGCTCTGCTAATTTCTCTACAAGTCTCTATTCTATGAAAATTTCTAAAAGGATCGGTTCCTATGATCCAGAAAATCTCTCTTCGATATCACACACGAAGCTCTAATCCACTTTCTTGCTCCGCGCAATCCGGTTCGGCGCATCCGCCTTCTCCATGAAGAAGGCCCTCTCAAGCGCCTTCAACACCTCATCAATGATGATGATCGGCGCACTCCACGCCAATACAATCTTCCACTCGGGCCATCCAAGCGGCACGATGCCGAAGATGCCTTGTAGGATGGGAGTGTATAAGAGCGCAAAGTGGAGGACCATGGAGAGCGTGATGGCGTAGATGAGGATCATGTTCTTCCATACAGGAAGTGTGAGGAGAGATTCCGAGGAAGACAAAGCATTCATGGCGTTGAGCATCTCGATGACGACGAGGATCGAAAGGGAAATGGTCGAAGCTGTCTTGGCGGAGGAATCTGAGAACATGCTGCAGCCGATCTGGGGGAAGGCGCTGGAGCAGCGGTGGAAGTGGGTCTACAATCATGTCAGTATGCTTTGTGGTAGTGAAGATTGAAGGATGAACTCACCAGTTGGTAGAAGGAGATTTGAGGCCCTCCCTCGAAGAACATGAACCACCACGCGTAACCTCCAACAGTGGCCAGACCGACGTAAGTTCCAATGACCATGTACCGGAAGAAGAGCCAGCCGCCAACAAGAGCCTCGTCTCGCTTTCGTGGAGGTCGCTTCATCACATCATGGTCCTTCGGGTTGAAGCTGAGTGCCGTAGCGGGAAGTCCATCAGTGACCAAGTTGACCCAAAGAAGTTGTACTGGGATAAGTGCCTCGGGCATGCCAAGTGCTGCTGTCAGGAAAATCGACACGACCTCACCAATGTTCGATGATATCAGGTATCGGATGAATTGCTGGGTGTTGTTGTAGATGCTGCGGCCCTCCTCGACAGCCACCTCGATAGTTGCAAAGTTGTCATCGGCAAGGACCATGTCGGCGGCGAGCTTGGCGACGTCGGTACCAGATCCCATAGCGACACCAATGTCACTCTTCTTCAAGGCAGGCGCATCATTGACACCGTCACCAGTCATGGCGACGACCTGGTTGTCAGACTGCAGAAGATCGACAAGCTTAGACTTGTGTCCAGGCTCAACACGGGAGAAGAGAGAAGCGTTTCGAGCAGCCTTGAGTTGATCGGCATCGCTGAGTTGATCGAATTGACGCCCGGTAAAGCTCTTGCCAGTGAGATCCTCGGTAGGGCCAAATACGCCAATTTGTCTGCAAATCGTCTCGGCAGTGTTCTGGTTGTCACCTGTAATGACGACGACACGAATGCCTGCGGATCGACACTTGGCAATGCTGTCTGCCACCTCCGGTCGTGGTGGATCCAACATACCGACAAGACCAAGGAAGGTCATGCCTTGTTCGAGCTGCGCGTAGTCCTTCGGTGTCTTGGCAGTCTCAGTGAGTGGGTTGGAGATGTTGTTGACACTGGCGAAGGCGATGACACGGAGACCTTTGTTGGCGAGATCCAGGACTTCCTTCTGTAGCAATGACGCGTGCTTAGCACTGAGCTGAACCTGCTTGCCATCGGCTCCGACTATTGTCTGTGTGCAGCGCTCGATGATGGATTCTGGTGCGCCTTTCACAAGCAGACGTCGCACGCTGCCGCCATTGACAAGAACGGACATGCTCTTGCGGTCTCGAGAGAATTCGTATGTCCTCAGCTTCTGCGAGTGCGTGGCGTAATACTTGCTCGCAAAGTTGGTCTTCTGCTCAGGCTGCAGGCTTCTCTTTTGGGAGTTGTGCGATGCTTCAGGAGTTCCGACCTTCTCGACCAAAGTTCTCAGTGCGCCTTCGGTGGGCTCGCCAACATTTACGTAGTTGCCAGTCTTGCTGTCATAGGCCAGTTCTGCATCGTTGCAAATGGAGGCACACTCGGTGATCTGTGCGATGGTCTTCGATGTGGCAGCTGGTGCTTCAATGACCTTCTCGCCTCGCTTGACAACGCCTTCTGGAGCAAAGCTACTTCCTTCAACGTCGAGCTCTTCCAGTCCAGATTGTCCTTCATTGATGTACACGATTCTGTTTACGCTCATTTGGTTCGTTGTTAAAGTACCGGTCTTGTCCGAGCAAATAACACTGCAGCTGCCGAGAGTCTCCACAGATGGCAGGCTGCGCACGATCGCATTCTTCTTAGCCATTGTCCGTGTTCCCAATGCAAGACAGGTGGTGATGACGACGGCAAGGCCCTCCGGAATGGCAGCAACACCGAGCGACACGGCAATCTTGAGGTAGTAAATGGCTCCCTTGGTCCAGGATCCGCCGAAAGAATCGTCGTTGAAGTGACGAATGTTGATCAACCAAACCAGGATACAGATGCCAGAAATGACCTTTGCCAGGGTGTCGCCGAAGTCGTTGAGCTTCTCCTTGAGAGGTGTAGGTTGGGAGATCTGCGAAGTGATGCTCTCGTGGATGTTTCCCATCGCGGTACTCGTTCCAGTGAGGACGACAATGGCATGAGCATGACCTGTCACGACCGTAGTTCCCGAGAACAGCATGTTGATCTGATCCTGCTTGACAGCTTGTGTATCCTTGATCGCCGCAACATCCTTGCCCACACTCTCGCTCTCTCCAGTCAAGATACTCTGATCCACGCGGAACGAATTGCTGTTGATGCTGAGGAGCCTGCAATCCGCTGGGACTTGGTTTCCAACAGCAACATCCACAATATCACCTGGGACCAAATCCTCTGCCTTGACTGTCTGAATCTTGCCATCACGAATAACCTTGGCCGTGTTCGCGGTGTACTCCTGCAATGCTGCAATCGCCTTTTCTGCCGAGCTCTCTTGACTAACTCCGACGACTGCGTTCAATATCAGGATGGTGAGGATGACTGCCGGATCTACGAATGCAGTCCATCCCTCTTCCTCCTCGAAAAGTGCGAGAACGAACGATACGGCGGCGGAGCCCAACAGGATGATGACTAGCTGGTCCTTGAACTGCTCGAGGATGAGTTCCCATATCGGCGTGGGAGGGTCTTCTGGTATGGCTGTTGATGGATGGTCAGTGCTGCTGTCGTCGCTGGTGCATGATGTCGTTATGCGTACCATTCTTTCCATACTTCTTCCTCGCACCTTCAACAGCGCTCGATGAGTAGCCCGATTGCTCAGTGACATTGAAGTGCTTGAGCACATCTTGCGGCGAGCGCACGAACGCGTTCTCCATGGCTAGCGCCGATGGGTCTGCGGTGGTGACGATGATGGTGGGGATGCGATTCAGGACACGTTGCGCCTCGTTTGGTGGAGGATGGCGCTGGAGTCTCACACGTGCACGCGGTGGTCTGGACGAGTACTCGGAGGATGCCAGATGTTTCTACGGCAGAGCGGCCAAGAGGCCACCTATCGAAGCAAAAACCTACGTTTGCCGACCGCGCAGACCCCACGATCGCCTGGTGCATGATGCAGGTCCTGCAGCTGCGGCCATGTCTGACCGGCACCAGCACGCATGCGGCCTGAGCTTGGCATTGAGCTTCCTTCCGCTTCCGGCACTCTTCGTCTTCCTCTCTCCCGCACGCCAATTCCCTTCGTCAGACCGCTTCGTAGAGCATCCAATATCCTTCACTTCCATGATGAAGCTGTACGACTCACTCCATGACTCACAGCAGTCGCCGAACGGAAGATTGAGCAAGTGGAGCGAAGCGAGCAGGGAAAGACCGCAGCACTGAGAGCGATGCGCTAAACGTTGAGTGAAAGTTTTGGCTTCTGGCTGTCTCTGCGTTCTGAAGGCTCTGAGCTATTCCCCCTGCCGACACTGATTGGCATAGTGTCCGAGATGATACGCGGAGACGAATGAAACAGACCAGGAGAACCATCTACAGTCGCCACGAAACGCACCAATTTTCAGCCTGCCGTACGCCTCCAATGTTGAGAAGATGCTTGCCTCCTCGGACAATAACAGAGCAGTCTCCAAATTGCTTCAAGCACCTGTGGCAACCAATAGCCTCACCACTCAAGCAATGGCCGATGGACCTCCACGGAGAAGTTCCAGCAGCCCGTTGGTGTGAGTATGGTTGCACCTGCTTGATGTTCCTTTTTCTGACTACACGGTCCCTGATGCTTGTCCGTCGAACGTGAATTGAACGGATACTCGAAAGCTGCGATACACTCATGCCACGTCGGCGTCTTCTCTATTGGATCGTCGCACTCTTTCTTGGCTGAGACGAAGAAGCAGCGCTTGGAGTTACACAGGCTGTCAGCGGCACCGAAGACCTAGATTCTTCAGCATGAGCTACTGAAGTGAGGGTCAAGTGAGCATCAAGTGAACCAACGTACCTCACCTGGCTTGAACTCGATTTTGCTGTCTTCAAGGTAGTGGCAGAAGATGTCCATGCTGTGCCAGTAGTCGTCGTAAGGCCCCGATAACGTGTGTGGGGACGGAGAGACACATTCGATCTTGTATTTGTCGTTGGCATTGGGCTGCGGCAAAATGGGAATCGGAGCGTTAGGACCAGGAATGGCAACGTTGACCAAGGTGGAGGTGTTGGAATAAGAAATTGCGGCAGCAGCGGCAGTCGACGCCCCGAGCAGAATCGTAATAAGCACGTCGATCAACTTCATGATGTGTCGTGTTGTGTCTGGTTGTGCTAATGTTTTGTGGTAGTGGGATAGAAGAGAGAAACGTGAACGAAGGTGGCAATGCCATCGCAGTTGGGAGTCATGAGTCCCCCCTTTTTCACATGGATGCATGTGAACTCGGACTTGCCATTCAGTCAACGGGAAGTCGCTCGTGAAAATCAGAACTTGAAATAACGACTGATCTGCGAAGCCGGCTGCGGAGATGGCAAGAGTCCTGCGGAGAAGAGTGCATAGTCGCTCGTGATCGACAGCAACCTGGGAATTCCAAAATCGGAAATATGCACAGTTTTCGATCTCTCTGGCGAACTTGGATCCGCAGTCTTTTCGGTGTCTCGAGACGGAGTGCCTGAGCTACGCTACAGAAGGCGGAGACAAGACTGAAAATGCAACTGAGATCGGTCTAAGTTAGATTGACATTCACTCTGAGATCAGAAAAGTTGCTATCCGCTCAGAAAGAAGCCGCTTATGAACGCCACTACTAGGAACCCCGAAGAGTTGCATCAGCAAACTGGAAAATTCAGAAACATGCCACTTTGCCATCTCACTCGCGAACTTGAATCCGCAGCTTTCTCGATATGTCGAGACGAAGCGCCTGGGCTATGCTACGAAACGCGGAGACAAGACCAAAATGCAGGCGAAATCGCACAAGGTTGCCATTGACTCAGAGAGACGTTGCTCGCGAGAGCCAATATTGGTAACTCCGACTGATTGCAACTGCAAGTCGGAAGTTTCTTTGTTGAGATCGCAACTGGGCAGGCGTACGAGTATGGAAGCATCTTGCAGAGAGAACGAGCCAACGGGCGAGCCGCGGACAGACTCGACAGAGGGACAAGCGTCGGAACTGCGGATACCATGGCGTGCAGCCATTATGGACAAGGCCACCGAGACTCTTGCGCGTGTCAAGCTGCCAAATCTCTCCACCGAGTCAACAGTGGTAAACCCGACCAGTTACAACTACAAACCGGAAATCCAGAGACAGAACCGAAAATGCATATAGTATCAGACCAGGTTCCTGTTCGCTCAGGAGGAAGTTGTTCGTAAAGGCCAACACTGGCGACCCCGATTGAACGCAACAGCAAGACGGATTTTCGGAGACATGCACATTTTGCGATATCTCTGGCGAACTTTGAGTCCGCAACCACGGCGCTTGTCGACACGGAGCGCCTGAGCAACGCTGCATGAGGCGGAGACAGCGAGGATCGATAGGGTATTGAAGTTCACCGGGCAGTGTGAAAGACTCAAGAAACCATTGACTCTCAACGATGCACAAAGCTCAAATATTGAAGATATCTCAATCTGTGGCCTCGCAAACCTCTCGACAATCAGAGTCACCACCGCTCCAGCCACATATGGCCATTTCGACAATCTCACCAATCAGAATCACTGAACGTCTCTGGCATTGGCTTGTGAACTTCGGCGGAGAACTTCCAGCATCCCGTTGGCTCAATCGTGCTTGCGCCCCTCATTGCTAGACCGCTTTTCTCAATGCATTTGCCCACGTGGTACTCACTGCCAGTCTGGTACGGATACTGCATGCTGAGCATGCATTGTTTCCACTCCACAGTCGCCTTGGGCTTTTTGCACAGGTACTGAGCTGAAGCGAACATGCAGCGGACCGGGTTGCATAGGCTGTCAGCGGCGCCGAAGACCTGGCGTCAATCGTGTTAGTGAAAGTGAAAGATCACATTTAAGTGAATGTTCAAACTAAAAGTTATTGTACCTGGCCCTGATCGAATTCAATTCCCTCATCGGGATCGGAAAGGTAGCGACAGAAAATGTCCAGTGTGTGCCAGTAGTCTTCATATCCCATCCACATAGTGTCCTTGCTCGGCTCGATGCATGTGATGTCGTAATGCAGCGCAGGATCAGGGTGTGGGTGCGGCGGTGCAGGGAGATTGATGTTGACCAAGATGGAAGTGTTGGCAGAGAACTGTCGCACAATATCAGTAACTTGAAATGGAGGTGGGTACCTGGGGCGTTTTGCATGAACTTACACTCGAGATTGCGGCGGCAGCGGCGGTGGAAGCAGTAAGGAGTACTGCGATGAGGAGGTTGACCTTCATCATGGGTCTTTGCTTTGGTGGTGTTGGTGTGTTGGTGGCAGTGGAACAGAAGAGAGAATTTCGGATGAAGGGAGTTGTGGTAGTCATGACTTCCTTCCTCACTTCTTCACATGGATGCATGTGCAAGACTAATGCATGTGAAGTCGATCCTGCCATTCACTCGGGATGAAGTCGCTTGTGACTGCCAATATCAGAAATCGCCGCTGTCTCTCCAAATCAAATCGGGCTTTCCAGGGGCTATGCATGGAGAAATTACGAGAAGTACTTCCGCCCAGAAATTGAGATACTATCAAATTGACTAATCTCTCCGGGTCCAAAGACGTTACACAGGTGCTGAACCAGAGAATACTCAAGAATTTATTCCTGTCCAATTTCAGAGACACGAGAATCGGGTATCCATATCTCTGGATCGATCGATGCATCGCAGCTGCTATGTAAAAAGACGAGCGCGGGAAGCAACCCAGCTCGTCAAGCAGAGAAGGACTGACTACTGTTAAATTGCAAGTCCGTCGGGACAGTGCAAATTGATGGACCAAGACGGCTCTCCCTTACTTGTAGGAGACGCATGATGCATGATAACCTCACGTCCTACACCGACTGCTGGACCCAGAGTACAAAATTCCAGCGGCGACGCCTTCGCGTCGCATACATGAGCTCACTAAGGCCCTGTATCAGTACTAATAAGCTCGCCTGTCCAGTTGGAGTTCATATTGACGCTTTGTTCACATTAGACGAGCAGGTGGAGCTCTGGTTTCGCTGATTGGAGCCCCTTGGGGCGTCATGAGTCTCATGGTAGGGAAGGAAAGCTGCTGTGTAAGACTGATTATGGAGTTGCGAAACAAGACAAGTCAACCTTTGGGCGGTGGTAGCTCTGATGATAGCAAGTTGGCTATGTCTGATTTGTTGCTTGACTAGTAGCATAGCTTTGCGTGCCAATTCAGGAGCAGCAGCCTGTACCGGGGAGCAGATACAATGAGTCGTGCCTCCGTAGCATTCCACTACGCATTCATGTCTCTGGGCACACGACCATACTATAACAGACTGCTTCTTCCAAACTGATGGCTCGCAAGCAATTTGGAATTTGGGAAAGAAAGAGAATGCCACCGGATTCGGTCGATTTGTATGTTCTTCCCAGCACGTACCTAGTCGCCAGTGCCATCTACATCGGTTATACAAGGCAGCGTTGCTGATAGCCTGCCTGAAGAAGCAACGCATCCATTGTTTGTTTCCTCTTATCCATCAAGTATAGCATCGACAGACTTTGTATGATTGTTCCCTTAATTGTTACTTACCAATACAGAAGCGACGCCCGAGCGAGATACAACGACAAGGAGCAATTCTTCTCCTGAACAGCGGTTAGAAGTTATCGAACAAGTTTCATCTATCTAGACTGTACGTTTTGGTCTGCGATTGCCAAGGAGGTAGCATCAATTTGGCAATTATGCCGGAAAAAGCTGTGCCTAGTGGAACCTGTCTTAGGCGTGAACAAAATACCACTGATATTCTCTGAACGTACCATCATGCCCTGTCGTCCGTCGCTTATCGGTTTAGCAGCGCGAAGGCTGCCGCGAATCCAGAAAAGGAGATAGGATCATGTGCAAACAAGACAATTCATGTGCATTTCATCAAGCATTTGTGATTGATCTTATGGTATCTGCTAGTATCACAAGGCATTAATGTCTATCGCTTGCCTATGACCGCATCTGCTTATCGATCCTTCAATCAGAGCTGTCACCGCCCTCCTCACCCTCGTCACTCTCTTCGTCGTCGTCGCCACCACCACCAGCAGCAGGCCCAGCAGCAACACCCCACCCGGCGTTCCCCTCCGTGCCGTCTGGTCCACCTCCATCCATAGCCTCGACCAAATTCTCGAAGACCAGCACATTCACCTCGTCAAAGTACCCCGTGCCGGTGTAGATCACACTGGTCGTACCCTTTGGAATCGTGTTCCAGGTGTAAGGCGTCGGCGGAATGGTGACGTTTGGCTGAGGCACCGTCTGATAGGCCTGGATGACCCCGACGATGCCCAAAACCAAGTCGACCACAAACTCGGTCGCTTCACCCTTCGACTCGCGCCGCTCCAAGAAGGCCTGAGCGGCGCTGACAATGTCGAGCGTCTGGCTGTAGTACTGGCCGACGAAGAATTGGAAGATCTTCTTAGCCGCAGCGTCGACATCGTTCTTGGAACCCACCTCGATAGGCGCGTTGTGGTGGCAGAACTTGCGGAGAGGCTTGCAGGTCTCGCAGCGCTTGACCTTGGCCTTCTTGGTGCTCGCGCTATCGACGGGAGCGTCCTCGTGATAGTGCTTGTAGACGGCGGCGGCTTTCTCTGCAATGGCTTCAGAGAGGGTCTTTGAAGCAGCGAGGGCGGCAGCGTTGGCCGGCATGTGGCCGCTCAAGCTGAACTTTGGGTTCACGGCAGGGGCGATGGCGAATGTGGAGGCCATTGTGTTGTATGTGGAACTCGAGTTGGATAGTGCTGTGTGTGTTGAACTATATAGTCGCGATGACATGTCAATAAACGCTCGTCGACTAAGCAATAGATAAATGGCGACAGTGTTTGCTTACCTGGTTGTGTGTTGATGGAGCTTTGTGTATGTTGCTTTGTGTTGTTGTGTTGACAAGCAATAATCGATTTAACGGTGCGTTCAAGTACTTGTCGCCGATGGTTCGAGTGGATGTCAGGAGAGAAAGTTTGCAGCAGAAAGAGAGAATTTATAGTGCGAACGAGGCTGCTGGGTGAATGGGAGTAAGTTTTCTGTGGGTCCAGCAACCCACAAATGTTTGTATTCACTCACCGCAGCGGAAGGGACTCGATTGGCCAGCGGCCCACAGAATGGTGAATGGGAGGGTAGATCAGCTGCAGTAGTCTCCACCCTCGGATAGCAGAGGCCGAGATTTGCACATGCAATGTTCGATGATAGCTATTGTGCCTCCGAGCTTGTGCATGGCTACCTGTGCTCATGGAACTAGCTTATGTGCGGTGTGCGCTTGCATCGGTCATTCAGAGACAATAAGCCGCACGGGTCAGCTACATGTGGGCTAGGGAAAGAGGCATCTCTGCCCGTCTGCATTGTTTCCCTACTCGGTATGTTTGTCTTGAGCATTGTTATCCATGCATCACGATAGCAACATGCAGAAATCCGTCTGTGTAAGCTCCAGCCTTGCCAAGGTCGTCCAACCTGGCAGCAAGAGGTACAGCGGCTCCATGCAACACGGGCCGAGCGTAGATAGGACTCCTTCTACTTGGAAAGATTGTAGGTAGCACAGTGTTCAGCGCAGTGCCGAGCGTCTGTGGCTGCTTCGAGGCCTGTTGTATGGGAACAAGGGCTTGCACCACTCTCAGATGACCAGGTGCGACTTCTTCCTCTATGGTCTCGGTGGCTTCTCTGTTGCCGGACGTGGGCAGATAGATTTTCATCGGCACGTGTCGTATTGTAAGCCCCGGGGGATTTAAAAGCTTGGCATTGACTGTGTTGAAAAGTGGTCTGTCGTCTGCTGAGAATTAGCGAGAGTTCACCGGCGAATGACAATACACTTACGATTCTGCACAGATAGCCAAAGATTGTCCGAATCTTCTTTGCTCATTGACATGACCGTCCTAGCTGTCCCATTTCTGACATAATCTGCTTCCTTCACTGCGTTGATGTAGGTATCCTGCATCGTTCGACCTTCTGCATCGAGTTGGATGAGCTGATCGGCTGGGAAGTCTGAGTAGTGTATCACTAGCTGCCAAGGTATGGTCGAAGATGCCGAAGGCTTGCTACTGAACAGTTGGGACTCTTCAGCATCGGGCAGGCCTGGTGGATCCAGATCAAGCGGCTCAGCACCAGAAAAGAGATCGTAAAGTAGTCCTAAAGGATAGTGCCATTTCATCGGCACATTTTCGAAGGAGATCCAGGCGTCATGGGCCGGAACTTCAGGGTTGATCAAGTTTGGCGCAAAGAAGGCGTGTAATCGAGGCAGGAGAAAGCCTAGGTAAGACAGTCGAGGATATTGCACCAGATACGCCTCAGACTTATCATACGTCCTGCAATCGGATGCTGCCAACCGGATCTCGAGTGCGATGGATCCGCTCCATATCTTGGTCTGTAAGGCGGCTACGGCGTTGGCGGTGTCAGGCATCACCGCAGACTTCTCGACAGTGACAGATGCGGATTCGTTACTTCGACCAGCATCGTGATATTGAGCGAATGCCGAAGAGACGGAATATATCACAAATAGTGGTTGTCAGAGAAGCCAGCTGATGTCCACATGGTCGGCGATCGGGGCTTGGCACTGTTCACATGCGACCATCTTGGAGCTTCATGCATTCACGAACACAACTTCAGCCAGTTGTCAATCATGTCTTCGTCAATACTGCTCACACCGCCGACTGCGAACGATCCTTCGAAGACTCTAGCCGTCTCCGCGCAAGCTAAATCGTTCTTCAGATCGCAATCTTCCTGGTCGCTCCCCTACCCGCTTTCACTCTTCTCGAACTCCGAATCGCAGGAGAAATGGGCCTCGTACGAGAACATCTTCCTTTCTGCGCTGCGCACGGGCGACGATGATGCAGCATATCTGTGTCTCGAGGAACTCACCGACCGCTTCGGCCAGACAAATGAACGCGTGGCAGCTCTCCGCGGGCTTTGGGCTGAAGCTACAGCCAAGACACAGGAGGATCTGGAGAATGTTATGAATCACTACGAAGAGATCCTGAAGGAGGACCCCACAGTATTCACGATTCGCAAGAGAAGGATAGCGTTACTGAAGAGCATGGGGAAGACGGGAGAGGCGGCCGCGGCATTGACCAACCTACTTGATACGAGCCCCACGGACGTTGAGAGTTGGAGTGAGCTGGCGGAGTTATACGTACAGCAGGGACTGTATGATCAGGCAAAGTTCTGCTTGGAAGAGGTTCTATTGCTGGCACCGAATGGATGGAATCTGCACGCACGGATGGGCGAAGTCACAATACTGAGCGCCAACGCACAGCAGGCTGGGAGCGGAGAACAGTTGAAGCAGCTAAGTGAGGCGGTGAGGAGATTCTGCAGGAGTGTTGAATTGTGCGACGACTACCTACGCGGCTACTATGGATTGAAGCTGGTGAGTGCGAAACGTCCGCAGAAGCGAATGACATCAACTTGCTAACAGTAGTCGCAGAGCTCGACCCGATTATTGGATGTCCTATCTACGAGCAAGAAGGGACAGGTAACAAGCTCCGATCCTTCGACGGGGGATCTCGCACCGCCAAGCATAGAAAACGTCAAGAAGTTGAATGAAATGGCGACAGCAAAACTTGCGGAGATTGTACGAAGAAGCACATCTGGCGAGAAGGGATGGGATGGCTACAATGCAGCTGAGATCGCTGCCGCTCGGGAATTATTAGACAAAGACACGCAGAAAATTGCAAGATGAGCGAGCGAGCCAACACGATAGTAAGACACAGACAAGATACCCAATTGGATCGAAAGGATGAAAGCAATTTTCTCAGGCCAGTACACATAACTGTCTTGGTATATCCGCCAATTCAACCCCTTCAACGCCATGACTCTGTCATCCCTCTGTCGATGTCGCCTATGAAATCGCATGCGCAAACACCTTCTGCGCCAGCTCGCTCAGCAATCTCATCTTCTCAGGTTGATCCAACTCCTGGAATACGCTGTAGACCGACTTGCCTCTCTTGTCCCTCACAGCGCCCAATCGGTTTCCTGCCACTGCACCAGCGACCGCACCTGGGAAGTTGCCCACAATGAACCCCATTGCCCCTCCACTGACCCCTCCCACGATACTCCAAAACGTCCCTGTCGGCCTGTTCTCCCCATCTGCCATGCCCTCATCGCGCATCATCTCTTCAAACACAGAGCCGAATTGCTCATTGCTGAATCGATTCGCATCACCTTCTGTCTTGGCCTGCCCGCCGAACATGTTCCCAAACATGCCGAATGGGAAGTTGAACCCCGCTCCTCCAGCATTTCCTCCTGTGCTCGAGCCAGCTTCTGGTCGTGGAACTTCTTCATCGAAATCGAAGCCTCCAGGAGGGTTCTGTGCGTTCGAGCGCGTATTTCTACCACTACCACCACTGCTGCCCCCTCCAAAGCCGTAGAAGTTCGTGCGTGTGGTATCATAGTCTCGTCTTCGAGTCGGGTCGGAGAGAGTGTAGTACGCGTCGTTTATCTGTTGGAACTTCTTCGTGCGGGTTTGGCGTTCTGGCGAGTCCGCTGGCACGCGATCTGGGTGGTGACGGAGGGCTTGCTTCTTGTAGGCATCTCTTATTTGCTGCTGGGTTGCTTTGCTGTCGATTTCGAGAGTGGCGTAGTAATCAACCGGTGGGGCGGACATGGTTGCCGCTGAGAGTGGTCCGAGGGCGGATCGACAGTCTGAGTAATGTAGAGGTTCTGCAGGGAGTTTTCAGGTTGAGGTGTAACTTTGAATGACAGCTCGTGCCTGGCATGTGTTTGGAGCTCCAGTCCATGGTGACTGCTATGACGTAGGTTGTCAGACCCTGGGACTGCTTTCAACTTCAGGTTCAAGTTGTCTCAAGATCTCAGACCACTATCAACACACCGCCGAACATACACTCATTCACTTCTCCTTCATAATCACTAATAGGTCAGCCCGCCTCAGCACTCGACGGCTTCTACCGATGTTCATTCCATTCACCGAGCGAGAGAAAAGCAAGACATGAACAGTCGAAAACATGTAAATCACTAATGTAGGCTTTCATTTAGTGGGCTGCAAATCTTCAAATGATCCAAGAACAGAATAAGCCTGAACCCTTCACAAGCGTGCAATTTGATACAAAGGCACCAGCTTCTCGTTCCGTCTCCACAAGATCCAACGTCTGACAAACCACGGCAACCACACTCGAGACTGATAGCTGGCGTGCTTGGTGGTGGGGACGCCAAAGACATAATCAAGCTGCTCGAGGGAGAGCTGTTTAGTCTCAGGCACGATGAAGAAGATGACAACAAAGGCCAATATGTTTAGGCCCGCATAGAGACCGAACGCCCCCGTGGCGCCAATTTTGTTCAGGAGTGAGGGGAAAGTCAAACTCAGTGCGCTGCTGACCGAGTTGTTGACGCAGATGGTGAATGCCCCACCGATCTCGCGATGTGATAGCGGAAAGGCCTCGCTGAAGTATATTGACGGGATTGGACCAATCCCGACTCCGTAAAAAGCAGCGAAGAGGTAGATGAAGAGGGCGATCAGCGGGATGCGTGCGGAATTGGAGTCGTTAAGGAGGAAACATAATCCGGCAGCGAGCAGGCACCAAGCCATATTGGGGAATGTAGACAGGAGCATGTTGCGTCTCCCAAACGTGTCCATGTTGTACACAGCAGGCAGAGCGAAGATCAGAGTCACTAGTCCAAATCCCCAGGAAGCCAGCAGTGAATTTGTCACCGAGTATCCGGCCTCGGCAAAGACTGTCGATGAGTAGAAGGCCATCACATTGATTCCTGAGAATTGTTGGGATATCACGATCCAAGCAGATGCAGCGGTAGCTCGGCGAAGACGTGGTACTGTGAAAAGTTCCAGAGCGCGGCGAGCCAGCGATGTACCCTCAAAAGCAAGGCGCTCTTGCACAAGTTGAGCATGCGCAAAGTAGAGCTCACGAGCAGCGATCAGCTGTGTGTTCCGGATGCGGCAGAAGGATGCAAAGGCTTTGCGGTATTGATTCTTTTTCAGATACCAACGAGGCGATTCTGTTGAACGATCAGTGGACCTGAAGCCTCGACGGCATCGATAATTTTCGAGAAACTTACCAGGGCAAAGCCAGATCAGGAAGAGCAAAGGCACAGCAGGCACGAAAGCTGCTGCTAGCTGAAATCTCCATGCATTCTTTCCGACATCTTTGAACATCAGATTCACGGAGAAGCCCACGAGAATCCCGAAAGCGACCCAAAGCTGGAAGCTTGTGACCAGTCCACCTCTGATGTTTGTCGGTGCCACTTCAGCAGTGTAGATTGGGATGGTAGAGATCTTGATGCCCATTCCGATACCCATGAACAGGCGGCAGAGCATCAGTTCCCACCAGCTATGAGTGAACGCCTGAGCTAGTACAGGAAAGACAACGAATATGTTGGTCAGGAAGATGGTTCCGCGACGGCCGAGCAGATTGTTAATGGGATCTGCCGCCCATGCGCTTAGCAAGCCAAACATGGTAGGGCTAGCATTGATAGCACCGACGAGCCAACCGTTATGAGCAATGCCGAACTCTTCGGGAAAGCTGAGATTCGCTCCATTTGCGCCTGTGTTATCCCAGCCTTGGATAGCGGAACCCAGAGAGACGATGCCGATACAAAGATACAGAGTCCAGGGCAAATTCCATCGATGCGTCTGTTCCATCCGGAGGTATTTCTTGTCATCTTCAGTAAGCTCCTCGATATCCTCGAATTCTTCCGGTCGTTGGGCAAGAAGCGCTGCTTTGCGAAAAATCTCGGACTCATCCTGGAACTCATATGTCGTGCAGAACAGGTCCGCTTGACGTTGGAGTAGTTCCTTGGTGAGATGGGCGAGAGGGTTCCGAATCGTTGCTTCGATGTTCCGCTGCCAGTCTAATGCATGTTTCGTATCCTCTAGGTGTTCTGCGGATGCTGCATCAATCTTCAAGATATCGATGGTTTTCGACATGGTGTTGGCACAGTAGTGTAATGCTGAAAGGCACGATTGTTGTTGCAAGGCGTGCGATGGAACGCGATCTTGAGACTGAAGCGCTACTCATATACATCGACGGACCTGGTGGTACGATGCGTTGCAACGATGTCGCCGCCTCTTTCGTCCTCGACGTCGACCCGACGAGCCCGATACGACATCACCTGACAAAACATGAATGCCCTGCACAGGATAGCACGGTGGAGCATTTTTGGGGTCACGTTTCGTGGGCCATTTTTGACTCAGGTCCCCTGTCGGCACCCTGCTCGCCCCCAGGAACCCCGCTTTCCCCCTCGTGGCCTGTACAGGCACGGTCTGGGGTTCATGGAACTTCCATTCGAAACGAGGAAGAACATACTTGTTCTAACTTAGACGTCCACGTGTTTGGTTCGGCCACGAGCCTGTGCAGGGTGGTGGGGACGCCTGTACAGGTTCCGTCAGCGACGTGGCAAGACTTTTCGCGGTTGTCTCTGAGGATTCGAAGGTCTTAAGAGCTGCCGGCCCTGCTATTCCAAGGTCTGTACATCAATTGTGCTTCACGATGCCTCACACAACATCGAAGACATGGCTGCAGCAGCTCGAGGAAGAATTGAATGTGGATGTAGATTGGATGGATCCGACATACTCCAAGAATCTGCAGATCACACCGAACGATATGACAAGTAACAATCTCTGGGTCAACCAGCAGATGTCTCACCCAGAGAACAAGACCATGTTCGAAGAGGTGTGCAAAGAGATGAAACCATTGGGCTGGAAGGCCGCGTACACTCGAATCGTGAGTCTTGCCATCTCCGGCAGGTCACGCGATGATGATCGCTGATGTCCGGCAGGCAGTTCAGATGTGTAAGAACAATATCGACAACATCAAAGGCCGTGTGCTTCTCCAAGTTTACCCCAACGAGGCGTACGATACTCAAGCGGTCCTAGACTCTGCCAGAGCTTATGCCAAGGAATTTGCGAGGGCCGGAATCTCGCAGGATCGATACTGCATCAAGATCCCATCCACTGGGCCAGCACTGAACGCATGCCCGATCTTGAAGAAGGAAGGCATTCGAACATTGGGGACTGCCTTGTTCAGTCTGCCGCAGGCGATCGCAGCTAGTCAGGCGGAATGCTTGTACATCAGTCCATACTTCAATGAGGTGAAAGCGCACGACGATCACGCTCTGTGGCCAAATGCAGAAGATCCAGCGCTGCAACACACCATGTCGGCTCGCACGCTGCAGATCTTGGAGACGTACGCTCGACTGTACAAAGAGACTGGCAAAGAGCAGCCATTGCTCAAACAGGCCAGTTTCATCAATGCGAAAGAGGCAATGGCCGCTGGAGAACATGGGTGCCACAGCGCCACCATTTCTCCAGAAGTGTTGAATGAGCTCGCCAGTTTGTCGTACGATGAATCGAAGCAACCAGGCGTGGGCAAGCCAAAGGCGGCACACGCTTATGCTAATTGGAGTACACCGGAACGTCTGCGAGGCGTGTGCAAGAGTGATCCGCTCTCCATCAAAGGACTTCCAAGTTCAGCCAGCACAGAGACGGATTATTTGGCAAACAACGGCGAAGAGTTACAGAGAGCCATCCTTGGCGACCCTGTGACTAAACAGCGTCTGGACGATGCACTCGCGTTGTTCACAGGTGGTTTGATGGAAAGCAAGGCCAAGATTGAGCAAGCCTTCCAGGCGATACCATAGCACAACAGCTTATTACGAACCTCTGTTGCATGTCGCGTCTTGTAGCGCAGAATGTGGATAGAGTGTTACAGCCAGAACAGAATCTTCAGTATGCAAAGCCGATTGTTCCATTCCTTCGTAGAATGTCATGTTGTCGTACATGAGATCCGTAGTTGCCGACGGCTGTACTTGTACCGCGGATGACCGAAATGGCGGTATTGATGGAAGATTGGTCACTGTGTTTGGCAGGTTGATCGCATCGAGTGAACTCAGATCGCCAGGAACCTGCATGTCGCCCATGCTACATAGCGACCGCCACTGATTGACTTCAGCCAGTAAGGCATCTCGCTCTGCGATGACCGTCGCCAGGGCCTCCATCTGCAGTTCATGTTGCCGTATGCTTGCGTTCACCACCACGTGCTTCGAGAGCTGGCTTTGCGGGGAAGTCTCCAGAGCCGGAATGAGGGCAGCGAGCTTCATGAGCGACTCGTTGAAAGCCTCGCGACGTTCCTTTTCCACAATACGATGTTTTGCCCGGTCTTCTTTGGTCCACTTACGCACGCGCTTCGTTCGTCTCTGGCGGTCATGACTGGCTTCTGAAGAGTTGTCGGACATTTCGTTTCAATTGGGCCGTTAGATGTATTGGGACATACAGCTTCTAGTCCAAGATGGAGACCGCAGCGGTGAAGCGGATGATAGATTGTCACCTTCGCGCAAAGGCAAGACTTTCATGCAGTGTACACTGCTATACAGCTGCAACATGCTGTTACGTGCCACCAATTGGTTGAATGAGAGTAGAGTGGAAGGAACTCAGTTGGTTTTAGGCTGTTGGCTGGGCGGGACGGGAGGCTGCTTAGTCATGTGCCGTTCCAATCACACTTGTGTCACCACCTCAGACCTCTCTGCCTCTCCCACCCTCACGTCAGCACGCTTGTGGCACTGGAGTGCCTGTATTGGAGCACTATTGACGAACTTGCTTATAGCAACAGCTCGAATCATGGAGCAATGGACGAATAAAAGAGTCGACACTGGGCCGATTTCCTGACCAACGATGCGAACATCTTGAAGGCGCACAAGTACACGCGGACGGCGACATCGGAATTCGAGGTACTAGTTCTCCAGCAAGGAACGCCGATCGCAGAAGAAGAGAGTAAGAAGACCAGCCTCCTCATGCCAATATTTTACCCGATCTTTCCACATCCGCGGTAAGTCGACCAAGGACCCACACAGCCACTACCGGACCTCATGCCGGCGACGCTCTCGAGCTTGACACTACGAGAAGTACAACAGGCCATCGCGCACACACGTTAACCGCAAGGCGGCGGGACTTGATTAGATTACGTTCGAGGTCTGGCAGAAAGCCTGGCCGGTGGTCGGCAAGACGGTGCTCCGGATATACCAGGTGTCGCTCGACCTACGAAGGCTGCACACGGGCTGCAACATAGCAAAAGTCGTCACATTACGACAGCCACGCGAAAGTCTGATTTCACCAAACCACAAGCCTTCCGACCCATACCCCTCCTGGCGACGATAAGCAAAGGACTCGAGGCGGTCATCGCCTCGCGACTCAGCTACATCGCTGAAGCATACCAGCTTCTCCCGCCGAACCACTTTGGAGGCAGGAGCAGGAGGTCGGCAGAGCAACCGCTGAACGTCGAGGTCGAAAGAATCCACGAAGCATAAAGAAGAGTCGACGAACGCTAAACATTCGTCTACAGTGTCGAAATGTCCTAGCTACTTAGATCTCTCATACTACGAACGCTATGGCCAGGGCTACCGCCGACAACATCATATAGAAGGCCGATGCCGTCTGCTTTCCGCCGCTCGTCAAAACAGTGGCGTTCACAAGAGGATCGGTGACATTGAAACACATTCCAGTTCCCTCCGTCCCGAAGCAAGATATCGCTCCATCGAGACCCTCGAACACTGGTTTCGTTAAAGCTGCAGCGCTTGCCCTAAGATTTTTCGGGAGTTGGCCGACTACGGTGTCGGAGAAGTCTCGAGCGGTTGCATTCAGGGTTTTGAAGACGTCGAGAACTATGGGCGCAAGTTGGACGTCTTCGAAAAACCTTTTCCTACTTGTAAGGCCATTGATAACTTCGAGAGCGACAGTCACCAGAGCGTGGATCGGTCGAATCAGCTTCACGCCCTCATTCAAGGATATGTCGTTGAATGTATCGGCCTGTGCAACACTGGTGTTGATCGCAGCTTGGACCACCTGGCCTTGTGAGTTGACCGCAACGGCTGACACAACGTCGGTAGGATCGATGGCTTCGATATCTTTGACTAAGATTGTCGCTTGGCTTGTGATGTTTTTCACGCCGGCAACAATGTCCCCGACATCTGTTCGCTTCACCAGCGCCTGGTCTCAATGAGTCTACGAACCATTCACGTGGATGAAATTACGCACCTTCTCCAGTTCGAGTTGACAACAGTCATTGTCAAAACTGGCAGCCTCCACGCTAACGAACAACAGAATTTTGGCGGACCTCATATTGCTGCAACGCGTCGAGAAGAGTGTAGAGCAAGAACAATGAATAACGGTTATCGCGCTATGGATTGCTCGAAGTCCCGAGCGCGGCACTCGTCTTTTGCATCGTCTTGCGTCCCGCACAATCATGGTGATACGGCGCAAGCATAGCGTTCAGGCAAACCCAGGGGAGCCATGCTACAGGACGTGAAGGTTTCGGTAAGGATATTAACCTAGTTCTGTGGGAACAGTTTCGGTTATCTCGGAACTAACTCTAGAACTACATCCTGATGTGCTACGTCTACTGTACTGTACGCGACCATGTAAAGTTACTCAGCATTGACTACACGAGCTGCAGGACCACTGTAAGCGACAGTGCAACCAAGAACCGAACTTTATAGTTTTCGCGTTCTTCAGTGACACGACATCCGCTGCTCAATTGGTACTGTACACCGTCGATCCGAATTGCGGCTATACGATACGGCATATTTTCTACTTGCACTGCGCGATGCGGATTGTCCTTATGCGCACTCACTTTCAAATGACATCAACCGAAGTATTCCATACAGTCGCTAATTGCCTTCAATACTACAACCTTGGACAGTAGATCTGCAATCGCTCACGGAGGGACAAGAACATGGGACATTCTAGCACAACTTTGATGAACTGCCGTCGGCATAGCTCTGCACGTTACCTGGTCTGGATCTTTGCCGTTGCGAAGAATGACGAGGAAGATGCGAGTCGCTTGAACTGTCTGGAATCATCCCGACAGTCGATCCGCTATGACCCTCCATGTACGGCAATGGTTTTGACAGGCTCCACGAGCAGAGATTAGGCACGCAAATCGATGCTTAGACGGTGGCGGGTTTCATAAAATTTGTCGTAGCGTATCGATGCGGGGATTCTCTCATGAGTCGTTTGCATGCTGTCAGTCCCAAGCGCTGAGGCAGATTGCATTCAGTCACAGTCGTTGTGTTGGTGGGATGCACAATCAGCACGAGAGTCTGACGAGCACATCCACGCTGATCGAAGTCAAATGGAAGCACGCAATGTAGCGTTTGAACATTGTCGATTTAGCCTCGTGATAGAATGATCGCATTCGAATCTATCAGAAGTACATGCTTAGCTGCGGCTCCAGGCACGCAGTTCTCATTCCTTCATGTGCTGCAAAACATCGCTCAACTCCACCACGCATCGACCAGATCGCACTTCTTGCCATATATAGCCTTGACCCTATCCAATCAGCAACACCCTTACATCACCCGCCTAATGTCTCTCAGTCCCAGAGCGCATACGACGCATGCCCCACCGAAAGCCACACTAATCCAATATGGCCATCTATAAGCAAGGACGAAAGCTTCCTGCACATGAAAAATGATATCGTCGTAGACTGCTTGTCCTTTCATGGTGACCGACGGACTGGTTTCGATTAAGTCCCTCAGAGCATGGTACTGAGCTTGTGCAGCGTAGGTAATGAGGTCGTAAAGAGTGTCGTAGTCCTCTGTAATGCCCGCAAGAACAATCTTGAGGCCTGCGGGAATGGCGTATTCTTCTGTAAGCTTGTGGTAGAAGACGTTGTAGTAGGCAGTGAAACCGACAGCGCCTGGCGAAGATTGTCAGTCAAAAAAACATTGTCATCAACGTTCTGATAGATACTGACCTCCAATGTAGCGTATTGCCAAGCTGATCGCTGTGATAGTTCCGATGTACTCTGTAGGACAGTATATCTGTGCCATGATCGAGGCAGGAAAGATGACTGCACCCACGCCCACATTCGCGATGGTCAAGATAGCCTGCACCGTGTCAGCATTGCTCTGGTCGTGATATGACAACAACCCTACATAGATCATAGGGTTCAAGTTGTGGCGATCGGCAAGCGAGACACAGGCTGTGAAGACTGTCATGACCGATGTCCAGAAGATCATCAAGAATGTCGTGCGGCCTTTGAACATGCCAAATAAAAGCAAGTTGAAAGCTGCACCGAAGATGATTCCCGATCCAATTGGGAGTGTCCGAATGCCTGCAGACTGATTATCAGCATCTACTTCTATTCAGCGATAGATATTGCAAGTCTTACCGATCTGGATCGGATCATCGCCATATACGTTGTAGACTTGAGTTGGCCAGAATATGAGCATAACGAAGAAGTTCCCCCCACTGAAGAACGTAATAAGGAAGATCATAATCATCGATCGCTTGTCCTTCGAAAATACAGCCTTGGGAATCATAGGATGTGGGGCATACTTTATCTCCCAGACGAAGAACGCAGTAATGACTGTAATTCCGAGCATAAATGGGACCAGTACGTGAGCGCTACTCCAGGCGTACTACTCGGACGATTAGCATCGGTATACGATAGCATCAATGGAGTATAACTTACCTGATAAGCACCCCACTGCATACCCATCATGAGCAGCGTGACCCCCAGCGTACTTAAAATTCCACCCCAATAGTCCACCGTCTTTACAATCTCCATCGCCAGCTTACGATGAGGTCTCGGAGGAGGATAGTAACAGAAGATGACCAAGAACAATCCCACGAGATTGTACCCACCAACCAAAAACCCAACGTATCTCCAATTCTTCGCCCTAATAATCAACTGCGCCCACATGGGACTCGGAATGAATGGGCTAATCGTGAAAATAACCATACTCACATAAAAGGGCCGCTTCTTGATTGGAACTAATTCAGACGTCCCGGCCAAAGCGATCATCTCATTCAATCCCGCTCCCAAACCCGAAATGACCATGCCAAAAATCGCTTGAGTCATGGAATGAGAGTTTGAAACCACAGCAGGTCCAGCAACTAGCAGAATCTGACCAACGGCCGCCACGTATTTACGTCCAAACATATCTGACAGAGCGCCGACAAAGGGACATAGAGCGGAGTTGGGTATCAGGTAGCCGATGACTATCCAGAGGAAGATACCGTCGGCGCCGCCGATTTCTGAGTATATGGGGACTAGGGAGGAGCCGAAGAGGAAGAGCCCGATTTGGGAACCGACCCAGAGGAAGGACATGGCTGAGAGGGAGCCGAAGAGTTTCCAGCACATCTGTTTCGAATATTAGTGGCATGTGGGTCGTGGATGATGGATTATTGGTGGCATACCTTGGGGAAGGCTCCGGCATCTGAGTCCACGTTGCCACCGTCGTATGCAATGGCTCTTTCGTCTGAGAGTCCTGCTTTAAAAGCATCTTCCTGCTCGAAAGCACCATGAGGACTCTCGCTGGAGGGAGTCTTCGTCGGATCGCTGCTGATGGCGAAGCGTTTCTCTGAAGTCATCGTAGCTAGAGTTCGGGGTGTTCGTTGATGTGCGACCCAGTAGGAGAGATGAGTGAACGAAATGCAAACGAGCTAAGAGTCATCTCAGTTCTTCGATGTCTTTCATGAGCCATACCTTACGCTTCATCGGAAGTCTTCGATACCACGACAATAGCCGCCAGACATACCCGATAGTCAGGCCAACCCAGAATCGCTCCGCATTACTCTGCGGATCCCATGGGGAAGCCGATATTGGACAAGCATCTCTTCGCTTCGCGATCCGTCGATGTACGTTTCGCATTAAGCGTTGTATATGCCGCAATTGCCTCTCTGTTTGCCGCTACGTACACCTCTTGACCAGCACCAGGACCAGGGCTGTTGCGCAACAAGTCTCTTCTGGAGTCCAGAGCGGCCACTAAATGAGAAAAAGAGAATAGCGACCTCCGATACCAGCTCGTCGAAATTCCGGCCGAAATGAGATTTGCTCCTGGCAAGGTGACCGGCCTCTTCGACAGGCCTTCGAACGCGTGAAATGATCGGGAGTGAACAAGCTGAGAGTGCTCATGATGAAGCGAGAATGATGAAGACTGATTCTGGACAAGAAGCTGATTCTTAACCAGTTGAGACTACGTAATAATATTGAAGATTATGGTACGTCGAGAAGTCACTGATGCCCTGACTATTGAACTGCTTCGAAGGTGCCTTGGGCCGAAGGGTGCGCTTCTGGGTGAGAGTCCCAATGTCTCTCGCTGAACAGCCGATACTCTAAGGTCAGATGTGTCAGCTCGTAGTCTTTTGCTCGCATGAGTTGCACGTCTGACCTATGGCACCTGAGGGACAAATGCCGCGATGGCACTATCAAATGAAGCGCTGAATTCTTCCAAAAGGAGAGGTGCGGCTTGTCTGTAGGCTCCGGATAGCTTTGACGCGACGGCGTTTCCGAGTGCGATAGTCAAAGCTTTCTGATCTGTGAGGGCCTGCTGAACTTGCTTGCTGACGGGAAAGAGGCCGACGACAACTTGGTCGAAGTTCCATTTCTTGGAAGCAATCCTCTTGAGCAGTGTCTCAACGTCTGGGCGCAAAGATAGAATGGCGACGGCGACTGCTCCAGAATCTTGATCGTTCAGGAGTGGGGAGGCATTGGCGACTGCAATACAGTATTCGACTGCATGGCCGACTTGATCGGCTGATTCTTGAATGTTGATAGCGTCCAGTGCGCCTGTGTAAGGATTGCCGTCGAAGCGGTATACCAGTGAGTCGGAGTACCTGATACCCTGCTGCACAAGCTGCAACGCGTCGACAATGCTCTGTGCTTGGCCGGTGACTGTCGTGAGGCAGTCGAGCAGGGTGACAAACATTAGGAGCTTCATGGTGGGCGACAGCACTTAGCGATTGGTGAAGTAGTTGGATAGTGCCGTTGTCAAGCAAAGTGCGGAATTTACTGAGTGACAGGTCCGTGAGGTAGTTTTGTGCATCATTGGAGACATTCTGCGTAGTGTCTTTTCACACTCGTGAGAAAGGGTGCATTTACCAGCATCGGACCGTTATTTGCCCCATACGGTGAAAGTCTCAATCTTCGAGGCTCTTCATTACAGGGATGAAGCTCGCTGATGGTACGTGCAGACAGTCGGCAGACCTTTCACGTGCGTGCGGAGAACCTGGTGAACTCAATGTGGTTGTGGCCGCATGAGCAGGACTGAGAAGGTGTACATTAATTGTGGTCGATTCGTACATTTCCGTTCATCGCTCTGATCCATGCTTCATGTCCTTCATTCTTGGGCGCCAGCAGTTCAAGAAGCTTTATTGGCTTCGTCGTATAAAGCCCATGCCATGAAAAAAGCGTATCTTGCGACCGAGTGCAGCGCATGACGGTTGTTCAGTCGGTGAAGTTAAGTCTCTCCACTCTCGGTAAAGACCCGAGAAGGAACGAACCAGGGTAAAGCTGAGGCGTTGCAGGATCAAGCGTCGGATTGGCGTACCTTGCAGGTATTCATCGCAAGCTTCTGCGAGTATGGCTATCCGAGTCATATAGGAATCCGAAGGGACTTGCGTTGGTTGGCGAGAATATTTGTAGGGACAAACGCCTTGCCTTTGCCGTATCCAAGTCCACATTTCTCCTCGATCCTTCAGTGACATCTCATCCAAGCATATCATCATGAAGCTCTCTCTTCTAGGCTTCGCCATTGGTGCATTGGCAGCAACCATTGCAACTCGAGATACTGCTACGCTAGCCCAAGATGTTCAGGCAGCGATCGATGCTGTCAACGACTTCGACGCCACCATCACCAGCTACAGTGGCCAAGGTGACAATGACAAGGTCAAGAGCAAGCTGGATGCAATCACAACCGCACTCAGCAAGGGTGCAACTGATGCTAAAGCGTCTGAATCAATCGAGCAAGCCGACGCCCTTTCTCTTGCTTCGCCAGTGCAAGACCTAGCGAAGGCTGTGCAGCAGGCGTTGACAGATTTGACTGCTCAGAAGAGTGCGCTTGCTTCTGCCGGTGCAGCCCAGGATGTGCTGAGCAAGCTCCAAGAAGCTGACAAGGTACAGAAGGACTTGGTGAGTTCAGTAAAAATGGTCGGCAGTGTACGATACATTGGCTAAGCATGAATCTGTGACTCTAGGTCGACACCGTGGTCAGCAAGGTTCCACCATCACTTGCCCCAGTCGCTTCAGGAGTCATTAAACCAGCTCAGGACCAGCTGGCCAGCGTCATTGCTGATTTCGAGAGTGCTGGTGGTGGCTCAGCAGCGTCCGGAAGTTCTGGTGAAAGCTCCTCTCCGGCTCCGGCTCCGGCTCCGGCCGCGCAACAAGGTGGGAACTGCGCTCGAATATTGTCAAAGTATTGTGCTGACACTGCCCCTAGGACAAAACGCGTCACCAGCAGCTTGTAAGTGCTTTGCAGCCATGTTGTCGTATCTTGAGCTAACGTGGCAGACAGCAGCGCCCGACGCCGCAGCGCCGAAATCCGCTCCAGCAGGATCACCAGCAGGGTACGGCGCTCCAGGGGCGGGTTCGCCTTCGATGACTAGCGCTGCGAGCAATACTACTGGCAATGCTCCTACAGGAACCTTCACACCTGCGGCATACACGGGTGCTGCTGTACCGATCGTTGGACAAGGTTCTGTGGCTGCCATCGCTGTAGCACTGTTAGCTGGGCTTGCCTTTTAGCAGGTTTCAACAAGTGGTAGGAGGCCGGCCAGGCACTAATGACAAGACTGGAGCTCATGTGGTGGAAGTCAACACTTGCGACCATCATCTTGTATTCGCTCGCATGGTGCAGTTAGTAGTGGTATAATATTCTCGGTGTGCTCAGCCCGTTCGTCCGTTCGAAGTCTGAGCCTCGTATTCCTGCGTAACTTCTCCGCTCATCTTTACGCCTCGACTACATTAAGTGAATCTCGCCCTGCGTCGTTACGCGGTTCGTGTTGTACTCACTGTTTGCTGTGCATCAGGGTTTGAACACCACGTATCCATTCATACGGAGGTGAAAGTGGACGTGACATCGAAGTTCGGGAGCGGCGGAGCTTTTTTCCGAAGGGCGCGAGAATCAGGCAGGGAACACAAAGGTGAATTGCAGGAGGCTAGGAGGAGGACTTCATGGTTCTGCAGAAGGTGGACAGATTTGTCACTTATGAAACGAAACTCGGAAAGACACATCGCCTCTTCGCGCCGGGCTGCAAGTTCAACGCCGCGAAATTTTCGCCCGAGTAGTCGTATGGCCCGGTACTGAAAAGTGGTACGAAGGCTTTGAAGTGGAATGATGTGGCGTAGATTGATGTGAATGCATATTTCCATAAATCAAATTATATTATACTTATGTGATTTCGATCGGACATTATGCATATAATAGACATATACTTGGCACATGTTTATGCTTTCTCACCACTCAGGTTCGACATCTTGTAAGCTTTCCCTTTCGCAAGGGCTTGTCGTCGATAATGTAGTTCAGCTGCTTCTCCTCTCGTTCGCTCTCACGATAACAAATTTATGCCTCAGCTCCAGCCTGAGCCTCGAGCTCAAACTTTCTTTGGCACAAAAGGTGGGATTGGAATTCCTGGAAGCTGAATACCGTCCTGTAACAAGAATAAGCCGTCAGCACCTCAGTAGTTTGTGGATCAGTCGGAGTTCTAAGAAAGAATGGTACATACCGCAACGGCGTATTCAGCAATGGCCACATCGAAAGCATCCTTGAACTCATCCGTAAGCTCTGGCGCTTTTTCACGGTAGGCCCCCGACAGTTTCTTCGTAACCTCATGAGCGAAAGCGACAGTCAAAGCCTTCTGGTCTGTCAAAACCTGTTGGATCTGCTTGCTCACGCTGAAAACTCCAAAGAAGGCCGAGTCGAATTTTGGCCTCAAGAATTGGAGGCGAGTAAGAAGATCTTCGACAATTGGCCGTAACTGCAAGATGGCAGCTGATACGATTTCTGAGTCTTGACTGTTGAGGAGTGGAGTATCATAGGCGATGTATGTGCATGACTGGATAGTGCGGCCAAGAGAGTCGGCTTGTGTCTGAATTCCGAGAATGTCTGATACTCCGGTAAGGGGAGCGCCATCGAAGCCGGCGACCGTATAGTCAAGGGCCTCGATTTGTTGCTGGATCTGTCCAATACAGCCAACAAGATAGGCACTATATTGAGCGGAAGCGGTTGGGATTGCACCCAAGAGGACGGTGGCGAGGAAGCGCATTTTTGTGTGGAACAGTTCGTTCGGTCGGCTGGGTAGGTATTTCTGTTATCTCAAAAGAGCGTGGGTGTCGTGAGTGCCATAGGCTGTTTGTAAACGAGTGTGGTGCTTAGCAATGCTCGCTTCCGAATAAGCAATTGGGTTGATGGAGACGGAGAGAGTCAGAACAAGTTGACACTGGTAGAAAACCCTGTTCTGTCGTTGCGCTACCATAAGATTGCTGTTAGTCGGTCATTGCATTCGGCGCTGAGGCAGAACCTTTCACCCTGTCAACCTCGGCGTCGCACCGTGATACTACTGTTCGCTGTAAAATAAGTCTTAAGTCTCTGCGCATGCGAACCTGGCCTTGGTCAATCGCAACGCCGGTCGCGTATAAGCAGTCCTCGGTACCCATTCGTTCCATGAACATTGCAGGGTGTGAATAAGATTACATCCTCGGTCGAAGGCGGCGAGAAGGAGAGAAATGCAAGAAAATGCGGACGATCGAGGTGTGCCGTCTTTACCGCGAAGGTATCGCCTGAAGTGGCATCACCAGGGCAGGCATGGTTTCCATAACACCACGAGGCCGGGCACGCTTTTCTGAGGTACACAATCCTGACTACCACTCCATATTACGGCAACAGCTGGCGGAAGCCTAAGCCACTGAACTCGCTGGCCCTTTGGATGCCCCCTGCCCTTTCGTCTCTTGCCGAAGGACGCCTTCTTGCCACGCAGGTCCATGGGATGTGGCCCAAAGCACGCCCATAGCAGCGGGTCTACGTGCTGTCGTAGCCATGGTCCGTCGACAATTATGAGTTCTTCGATCTTCGTCAGCTCCTAACTCATCTTGACAAGCAGCCTAATGCCCATTCGGATGTGAACAATCTGTTCCAACTAGTCAACGACCGCGCTGGTGTGGAACTTGCAGCATACAGATTTTGCCCGGAATCCAAGACCCCCGTGATTGGCCTCGGCCAACGTGAAGAAGGCTGCATCGTCGCAAGGCTGCAATACAAGCAGGGGGTACTTGCTAGCGAGTTAGCGAGAAACACAGAGCGTTCGGATGCTGTGCGGGGCAGAAAGTAGATCTGGGTGCAATCTGGTATCCTGACAGAGCAATTAGACGGCGAACACTATACGCCCGCTTTACAACCAAGAAGTCGTAAAGTCTATCGTGGTGGACGGTCGCTCGTGTCATAGAGAGCGATTCAGCGACCTGTTCAGTCCGGAATCGGTCGCCGTGGAATGGAGAAGCGGAAACGAGTCTCCAACTCCTCTTCGGACGACAGTTGCGAAAGTTGATGAGTTGAGTTGAGTTTGAGTCGAGAGGCCACATGCACATGCACAGACCTTCCTTCACGTGCTCGGCGATTTCGCGCTAAGCCCCGCGCGACAAAGGCCGCCATCACCACTACGCCAGCTCGCAGGCTGCACCCTGGACCTTCTGCCGGATTCTGTCACCAGATCCTCAGCTTTCGCCCACGCCAGTCGATACAAACGACCTCGCCCAGCGACCGATACCTTATCCCTTCATCGAGCAGCTTCGCCACGAGCAGCGACGCCTACGATGGCAGCGAACACCAAGTACACGCCTGCGCCGCAGCGCGACAGCTTCGAGGATGAAGCGCCGCAATACTCCCAAGCGCCACCCTCCTACCAAGCCGAACCGTTGATGGGCGAAGCAAGAAGCGAGGATGATAACGTGCCGGACGATTTCAAGGTAAGAGAAACGAGGAAGCCACAACCGAAGCATAGCATGAGTGGCAAGGAGAAGGACAGCATACTGACGAGGGACACAGTTTGGCGGGTCAGTCGCAGAAGCCACTCTGCCCATCCGCATTCAATTCATCCGCAAAGTCTACGCGATCCTCACAGTCCAGCTCCTCCTCACTACAGCGCTCAGCGCGGTTTCATTCTTCTCCGAATCATACAAGAACTGGATCCAATCGAATCAATGGGCGATGTGGGTTTCGCTCTTCGGAGCGATCGGCTTCATGCTCTTGACATTCTGGAAGAGGAAGAGCTATCCTATGAACCTTGCCTTCTTGGGAGTCTTCACAGCGATGGAGGTAAGTAACATCAACCGATTTTCATATACTCCATGAAGGATTGAACACTAACAATTACACAGGCCTACAGCATCTCCGTAATAACCTCCTTCTACGAATCCCGCATCGTCCTCCAAGCCCTAATCTTCACCCTCGGAATCTTCGTCTTCCTCTCCCTCTTCGCCTGCCAAACCAAATACGACTTCACATCCTGGATGCCCTACCTCTTCGGTGCCCTCTGGGTGCTCATTATCTTTGGCTTCATGTCCGCTTTCTTCCCGCACAGCAGCGGCGTTGAACTCGGTTACGGAATCGTCGCAGCACTCATCTTCTCCGGGTACATTCTCGTCGACACGCAACTGATTATCCGCCACTACCATGTAGAAGAGGAAATCGCAGCGGCGATCAGCTTGTACTTGGATATCTTGAACTTGTTCTTGGCAATTTTGAGGATTCTGAACAGCCAGAGTAACAACTGAGAAACAGGAACGGCCCACGAAAGGGATGGAGTATTTTGGCATTGTGTGAATAAGAAAGAGGGTATTGAACGGTTTAGAATGTTAAGAGCGTCTCTGCATACGTGAGTTGTATTGCTAGTATTGGGTATAAAGCGCCAGAAAGATGATTTGATCCTGGAGTGCATTCATTGTAATCTGATGTGATGCGCAGATACTCCCAAAAGCTGTTGCCCGCAGGTCGTCGACTGCGACCATCGATCTCATATGCTAGGGCTGTCGAAAAGATTGAGCGCGTCGGAGATTTATTTCGGCAGATCACCTGGCGCCATTCTATCCCCGAGCGTAGATCATGTGCTGTCATCATCTGGTATGCAATAAATGGAGATTAATTTGATCGGGGAAATGGTATTGGTATTCAGGGTATCTGCTGCAACAGCATTTCGAACTCCACATCAGCAACTAAGCCGACCTCTATCAAGCAGCCAGATACATCACAAAGGAGTGACAGACGAACGCCGTGTATCTGGACATTCTACAGCCATGCTTCTCCTCAAATCTCATGCTCCGCGCGCCCTTTTGTCGCATCCTCCAACTGATTCAGCTCAACCATGTAGTGGTTCGCGAAGTTGATGCCGCGCTTGCAATATTTTCAACTCGCTCACATCAGCCATTACGCCGCTTCGTGATCACACCGATGTGAGATGCTCCAACAAGATGACATGCTTAGATGTTGCCAATCTCAGCAACAAAGTCGTCGAGCTCCTTCTTGGTGTCTGCATATTTCTTGGCCATCTCTTCGTACTTTGTCTCCCACTGGGCATTGTTGGCCTCGAGTGCCTGGACCTTTCGCTCATAGTGACCGGCCTTGACATCTGTTTGGCGAAGCCTGTAGTACTCATTTGTCAGCACATCAATGTTCCCCTGCTGGAACACCTGGTGGTCCCCCACCGAGCCGTCCACTCATCCCACCACATCAGGGGTACACTTTGTGTTACGTACTTCTCGTTGGTCTCTCGCAGTTGCTTGTCGTTGGCCTCGGCCTCCTCCTCGAGCAGTTGCAGCTTCCTCGTCAGCGCCTCGTTTTGTGTGCCGTGCTGTGCTGAGTCGTCTGCGGCCGACTTGGCCTCGCTGTGCAGCTTCTCGAGCTTCTCCACTTCTTGCTCGAGCATGGAAGTCTTGTGCTGCAACGATGTGATTTCCTGCTCCTTTTGAAGGTTCTCCTGCTCCAAGGCCTTGACCTTTGCGGACAACTCCTCAACCTTGGCGGCGGACTCGTCGGCCTCGATGCGGAGGGCATTCATACGCTGCCAACATGGTTAGTCTTGCTGTTCGAAAATCACATTGTCCGAAATGGGCGACGCGGCAGTGCGCCACAGCTGGTTGTGCTCGTGCGCGTGCGGCCAAGAAAAGCGTGTTGGGCGTTTCTGCTGGCGATTGAGGGGCAGCGTGGGAGCGGTCAGCGGACTCACCTTCTTGATCTGATCCATGGCGGCGGTGGTGCAAGGAGAAACAGGAGTGGGTGGTGGTGGGAAGAATCGAAGTGGAAGCTGACGGTGGTGGTCGGAGCTGTGGTTGTCGGAGAGAAGGTCAGAGGGTGTTTGGTGAGTGCCTGATGCTGGACGGACAAAGAAGCGTGGCCCAGAGTGACAGAAAGTGACAGGGTTCAAGGGGAAGGCACGGCCGAAGTTTATCTCCACGCCGACTTTCTTGTGTTTACACTTGCAAACAAGCAACCGCAGCTTGCCATGCACCGACCGCTTTGATGAGACGAAAGACGCCCAATTCACAGCACCATGTTCGCCACTCGCAATCAGGATGAGAATGCCATCAACGCGCAGCAGCAGGTCGCTGCGGCGAAACCGCTGAACCAGAGCGTCCGAGGCCTGGCACCGAAAACGCCCGCGAATAAGCCGACCTTCAAGACGCCCGCGCGCGACAACAAGCACGACGAGAACTCCAAGCTGGACTTTGGCAAGGCTGGAGGCAAGCCAGGCAAAGCAGATCTCAATGCTTTTGTAACGCCTGCCAACAATCGCCCTCGTGCGCCGTTGGGGAACAAAACGACCAATGCCAAAGCACTCCAGACCCCGGCTTTGCAGGTGCCATCGGAGGACAAGCCGAAGGCGACATCACCGCGTCTACGACGATCAAAGATCAAAGTCCATGAGAGTCTCGATACGGCTCATGATGTGCTCAATACGGATCCCGAGGAGCGCGAGATAGAGTATATGCCACCTCGTGGTGTGCCGTTGAACGATGATCCAGATGACATTCTGCCACATCCAATGAACCTGGACTTGCTGAAGGGAGAGAACTTGACGCGAGGCTGGTGGGCACAGTATTCGCAGAGGGACATCGATGATGAGTTCAGCGACTTGGAAGAGAAAATCGAGAAGGCCGAAGCTCAACGGAAGAAAGAAGAAGTGAGGAAAGCCAAGGCAGCGTCGAAGCCTTCCACGAGCAGGACTGGAACCGCAGCTGCTCCCAAAGCTGCACCATCTTCCCTGCGTGCAAAGACCGCCGCATCTGCACTCAGCACAAAGCCTATTGCCAGACCGGCTCCGATGGCAAGAGCTCGTCTCACTGGGCCTGCCACCTCAGCTACTCGAAAGCCAGCTCCAGCTTCTGGTAACCCACGCTTCGCGGCCGCCAAAGCAGCATCGAATAGCACAATTGGATATTCCAAAGGCAGGAGCGTCTCCACCTCGACTCGACCACCACTCTCCAACATCCACTCGCGCCCACAAGCTCCCAAGGAACCAGCGCAGCCAAAATCTACCACCCTCGACAACCTGCTCAAGCTCTCCGCCTTGGAGTTGAGCAACGGACACGAGGACGATGACGAGCCAGCACCTATCCCCACAAACAATGCTCTGGATGCTCTCTTTGGCGACGAAGATGAGGAGGAAGTTTTCCAGCTTGATCCAGTCCAGGATCTCTGAGGGGAACGTCGATGGCTGGGGCTTGATGGTGTCTGTACCCTTGCAAGCGTGCTCTTCCCACCGGAGCTTTTCTTTTCATTTTGTTTTGGCGTTCGAAAGACCACGAATGATTGTGTGGCAGCGGGGTTATACCACGAATTGCATAACATGCAGATGAACCAAATTGAAGGCTTGATTGTAGGCTATTCGTAGACAGAGTCTATATTTCGTACTGTCGTTTACCGTTGATCGATATCAGCCCTCGCCGCCGCAACGAAGCAGCTTGCGCAGCATTCTCAGACCAACAACACTGATAATGACATACAGATGCCTTGAGCAGGAGATTAAGATTCATCAAATGGCACTCAATATTCTTTTCATTCTCCACACTACTTCGCGCTCTCGCTCAGAATGTCAGCAGCACTGTCTAGCCGCTTCCCCATTCTTGCCAAATCTACTCGTAGCACACCTCCGCTCGCCCTCGCAAAAGCGGGAGCGAATCGCTTCTACCGCGCGACAGCCCGAACGTACATCCCCCGACCTTCTCTCGTGCTTTTATCCTTCGCTCCCTCGCTCATTCATGCTTGCAAGAAAAATGCCAATCATTCGATCTGGCAGCCCCCCCACGCTCGCAAAAGGAAGAACCAAGAACAGCCGAGATGTGAATAATGCTAATAGCAGTGAGTCTTTCGTGGTACTTGACAACTGCCCCTCGTCCTTCCAAAATCATATTCGTCACAGGGTATCGCGGTGGAAATGAAGTACTCGTCTTTCTTAATTCAAGAAGCCCTTGCAGTTCGCAGAACCACAAAGACATGGAATCCGGTCAGTGGCGCCAATTTCACGCTCAAACTTGTAGTCGTAGGTGAGTTCGTCATCTGTGATATCGTTAGCTGTGTTTCAGTTTGCAATCATGCATACTACTCACTCTTCATGATGTCCTTGAGGGCATAAATGACGATTCTCGGAGTGCCCTCGACTTTGATAATCTTGGCGGTGCAGTTCGGGCTGCAAGAATGGTTGATGAATCGAGCAATGCCTCCCTTCTTTGTAGCATCCACGATCTCGTCGTCCAGCATGCGGAAGAGATAGGACGAGCCAACACCCTGCTTGTCGTATTTAATCTCGCGCATGTCTGCCACCTTTTGTCGAACCTTCTCGCCAACATATTCGATGATGAGATCGTTGATGGCGATGTTCTCCTCGGCGTACAGACCCCAGCCGTGAATGGCAGAGCGATCGAATTTGACGAGCTTTTTCCGCTTCTTTAGCTGGTTGAAGCGGATCGCAACATCAGCATCGCCGGCGTTTGACAGACTCTGTTTCTGCAAGTTGATGTCGTTCACAAGTCGTCTGTTGTTGACACGATTGCTGCGAGATGTCGCTGTGGTGACCACTTTCTCCGCTGCTGCTACCTTCGCCGCCTCAGCAGCCGCAGATGGCGTAGCCTTTGCGAGTGCCTGCCGCTCTTCGCGCGCCTTTTGGACCTTGATACGGTGGGGAAGGTACCTAGACTTTTCCTCGTTCATGATCTTCTTTACGCCTTCCGTGCGGGCGGCGCCAGTCGGGTTAGGCACGTAATATCCAGGAACGAGTGGCTCAGGTTGAGCGGTGCCAGGTTCGCCGTCGGTATTCAGTGCCTTGATCTCCTTCTGCTTCCAAGCCCACTGCTTCACATTGCCCACATCGTAAGCAGCGTACTCAGCCAGTGCGCGTTTAGCAAAAGCCAAGTCTTCATCATCCTTGATGAATGACTGCCAGCCATCGATATCAAGCACAATGGAGCGGTCCTCTTCGACAGTGCGTCGGGGCTTGTCAAATGTGAGGTGCAGATCAACACCATCTTCATCCGCGACTGATTCAAGCTCACGCTCCTTCTCCTCAATTTTGGTGATGATAGGTGTGACAGGCTTACTGTCGGCCTCGGCCTTCTTGAGCTCGGCCTCAAGAGCTTCTCGTTCTTCTCGCTCCTCGCGCTCTTGCTTCTTGGACTTTCGCTTCCTCTTTGGCTTCTCTTTGACAGACTTGCTCTCGTCTGCTGCCGGGGTGCCGTCATGCTCGCGACTCGTTGTGATCGAGATATCAGCCACAGCATCGTTCTTCTCGCTCTTGACTTGGAACAGTGCGTCATCGTCTCGTGACCGCTGCCGGATGTATAGCTCTGTCCTCGCTCTTGTACCATATCGTGAAGTTCGCGGCAGCGTGTTTACAACGAGCTCCAGCTCCCGAGTCGCAAGATCCTCAGGCTCCTTACGCAAGAGGTGACCGAGCATCTCTTTGTGGAATGCATCGAACGTCTCCTGATCATCGTCCTCCCATTCGCTGACCTTTCGGCGCTTGTGCTTCGGCGTGTCTGCAACAGACTCTGTATCAAATGGCGTAGACGTACGACTCGCACGGCTGAGTGGCCGACTCTCCTGCTCTTCCGTGTCGCCGCGCGTACCAGACGTCTGGCGCTCGTCATCTGAGTCTTCTTCTTCCTCGGCGTACATCTGTTGCAGTCGGAAATGCAAGCCTCTCGCATGCTGGCTCGGCCTGGTGGCGGGCTTGCGCCGCCTTTCATCAACAAACGCATTGCTAGGCTCCTTGTGTCTGTTCTCGCCCTTTCTACCTCGGTGATGAGGGTCGTGAGGTCGCAATGGCCTCGAATGAGACAAAGGATGACCTCGTCGGCCTTTCGGCGTATCGGGTGGTGTGTCCCCCGCTTTGTTGTACAGTAATGAGCCTCCTTTGTCATTTTCGGCGGGATCTCGCAGCCCAAGCTTTCTGCGCTTTTCGACATGTCGAGCGGGATCGAGGCTCTCGTGAAAGATGGGGATGGCGACGCGGGTCTTGATGTCGCTCATGATTTTGTCCCGCAACTCTGCTCGAAGCTGCTCCAGCGCACCTTGCACAGGATCCAAGTTCTCAGCTCGATTCTTCTTCTCGATCTCGAGATCTTCAGCTTCCTCACGCTGCAGTCGCTCAAGCTCTTCTCGCTTCTTGCTTTCCGCCATGACGCGCTCAGGACTAGGACTCCGCTCGTAGTCCGGATTGCCATATTTCTGGCACTCCATGGCCATTTTGTATGTGAAGAGCGCACCCTGATTGCATTCATTGTAGCATCTCTCCGTCTCGTCCTCTCCTCGCTTGGAGTCATCGAATATGACATAGTAACCACTCTTATCCAAACGCACTTCTCGCCAATCAAATGCTTTCAGTCGCTTCTTCAGATGGGGAATCGTCGTCCCGAGAACAGGTACGGACTTGTGAGGGATGTGAATATATGGCTTGCGCTTGATCTTGCTCAGAACAGGTGTGTCCTCGATCAGTGACGCAGCGCCAGTCCGTGGATTGGGTGGTATGTCGCTCGTCGGAGCAGGATCAGGACCAGGACCAGGACGACCGCGTGGACCTACGGGTGGTGCCTTGGACTTTTTCCCCGATGGTCCCTTCGGTGCCGTCGGCGGAGGAGCGAGAAAGTCTCTCGTTTTCGGTTCTGCCGGAGCCGCAGGCGGTGCGACAGGGTGTAGCTTCGCCCGCTCCTCGCGTGCTTGTTTGAGCGCTTGTTCCACGTATCGCTTGCACCTCCGACCTTCGCGATCTAGTTCCACTTTGATGGTGTGCAGACCAATGCGCGCTCCGCTGAACTCGACCTCAGCTCGCTTCGCCGCAGCGACCGCAGACACCTCGAAGCCGTCCCTAACGGCGTCGCGATACTTAATCAGAGCGATGCCGAGGAAACTGCCGGTTTCTGGATCCGTCTTGTTCTGTACGGAAGCGATGCTACCAAATGTGCTGAAGTTCAGCTTCAAAGTGCTTTCCGCCAAGAACGGGTCAAAGCCAACTGCGACAACTTGTTGTGCCTCACCAGGTCCTACCGAATACCTGTCCACTTTGTATGGTGGCAAAGTGTACGGCGCGATTCGGAGAATGGCTTTGCTAGGCTGTGTCTTTGGCCTGCACAGGCCAGACATGTATCCAGGTATGGCCAAGCGAGGATCTGGTGGCGGATCTGGCTCATATGTCTGAAGTATCCATGTGTCAGCGAAAGGGTACAGAGCGGTCTTTCTCATCTTCAAGTTATGTTTGTCATGTTGTACAAGCTCAGCAAAATATGAAATATGTAGCGTACCTCTGCGCCAAAGTCTCTCTTCTTAAATGCGGCCCGTTTTCGTTCTTCTCTGCTGAGCTTGTTGTCCAATTCTGGATCCCAAACCGCTCTGTACCCTTTCACTGACCCAGGTGGCGGCAGCATCTGCGGACGCTGGTTTTGTGGTTGTTGGGAGGGATCTGGAGTGTCCGATGGAGGCATGTGCGAGGTGGACGCAGCGGCGCCATTGAGGGATGCCATTTCTGTGGCATTTTTCGAGTGCCGCGGGCTGTTACCCTTGGACGGCGAGGAGTCTGCGTGGGCGGTAAGAGGTGTGTAGCCGTTGGCAGATGTTTTGCTGTTGTTGCCAAAAGTATGTGAGTTGCGCGAGAAGACCGACGATACGGTGCTGTTCAGTGAGCTCGCGGAGCCGACACCGTGCAGCATGTCGCCATGATCCGAAGTCTGCATCTCGTCGGACTGTGGTGATGTGTAGTGATTGCCATTGACGGAGGTTGGATTCGAGCTGGCGCCGTTGACGAGCCTCGAGTGCTGCGTGGCCATGGCTGGTGATGGGCGTGAGCGGGTGAAATCTGCAGCCTCGCGCTTACGCTTCAGCGACCTGGGAGAGAGACCCCCGGCGGTGGCCCCGATGCCCGCAGTCTGCGACATGATGCCGCCGCGACGCTCACTTCAGCCTCATCTCCTGCAGGTGCGGTATGAGGGGTGAAACATTCGAGGAGCCGGCGGTGGAGGTGACGCGTGAGGAGCGCCGGCCAACTTTTCCGAGGTCGCGCGACGCGGATGCTGCAAGTGCCGCTGGAGGCTCGCGACGGCGGAGGATGGCAGAAAGAGATGAATATGTCGTGTCGCCGGCGGAGATGCAGCTTCGGCCGGGGTTGTGGGCGTGATGCGGTCGCGCTGGGCGGCGGTGGTGGAAAGGTGCGATGGAGGGAGGTGGGTTGTCCAAAGGAGGACGGCTTCGACGGCGCGCACGGCTTTCTCCATTCCAGCTTCTCCTCAGGAGATCCAAGCACAGCTTCGCCCGACACCTGTCGTCCACTCGTCGACACAGCACCACGTCAACGCCAGACGACGAAATCGCTGAACTGTACAGACTCGATCAGCTGCTGCGTCTATGGACTGCATGCTCTACGTCGCTTCAGCGTGACGACTCGCACCACGCGGCTGACACGATCCAAATTACTCGCTGTCATCAATTCTCGCCCTACGGATTCCTCCATTCCAACGCCCACTCTCCTCTACGACAAATTCGGCGACGTTGTGGCAGTAGTACGCCCGTCACAGGCAGACTTCCCGATCGGCTATGCGCATCTTGGGGGCCACCGACTATTAGAGTGCAGGTCGCGGTCTTTGAAAATATGTTCGGCAGATCGGTATGACCGCAGTGATGCAACGAGTGGCTGATGCCCGGGAGCTCTGCAGGAACGAGCAATCTCTTGGAGCAGTAGGACCAGCAAATGGCGTCTGGCAGATTTGGCACATAGCGCTTCAACAAGCACAATCCGCAGGTCAGTATTTCCAGCGCGGGGGCAACAACGTAGCGCTGGAGAGCATTTCCACCAGCAGTACTGGCTACTCGAATGCAGATGCGTGCCTGGAGACATTTATACCTATCTGCCCCTGCTCATGTCACTTCTCTGTCACCTCTTCTAATCTGACCTCTCGCTTGAGATTTTGCTCTTTACAAGCAGCGCCGCAGGAATCATCAGCCCGCTCATGGCTGTATAGAAGCCCCACATGTTCTTCAGCGCTGTGGCATAAACGCCCAGATTGCCTCGCACTTGGTGCAAATCGCTCAACGAGCTACCTCCAAGCCTACTCTGGAGAATAACACTCCCCACTACCACCGAGATACTGGTGAAAAGAGTCCGCGCAAAAGTCATCGCTGACATTGCTGCAGTCAAATCCTTCGGTTCTGTATTCGCTTGCAAGGCGATCAGTGGCGCCTGAATAACTGGGCCAAGACCAATGCCGGCGACGACGAGATACATGATGAGTTTGGCCCAGTCCCTTTCGACACCATAGTCGATGAAGAGGCCCATTCCAATCGTCGTTACTACTGCACCAAAGTACATCGGCCAAACGTAACTTCCGGTCTGCTTGATCACCCATCCGGTCAGACAGGTCGCAAAAGTCACCGGAAAGACGAAGGCGAACATGGTAACTCCAGAGATGATTGGCGACAGTCCTACGACAACTTGACAGTAGAGTGGTATAAAGAAGTCGCATGGTATGAACACAAAGTTGTGCAAGCAGGTCACCGCAAATGAGGCGGCATTCGTCCGAGAAGAGAAAACCCTAGTCGGAATCAGCGGATTGCTCGCCAGCTTGGCTTCGAATAGCAGGAATAGGCCGAGAAGGACAACGCCAAATACGATTAGGCAGACAACTTCAGCGGATCCCCAGGCTTTGGATCCTCCAGCGCCTGTTTCGAGTCCAAGAAGAAATAAGATTGTGCCGGCCACGATCAACGTCGCACCTGTCCAATCGACTGCACGAAGCCCTTCAGCAATGGGCAAGTTTGGCGTCTCTATCTTCAAAGCGAAAACCAGCATCACCAACGACGCACCGCCGAAGGGCATGTTGATGTAGACTGCGACACGTCAGTAACGGGCCAACAGGGAGTGTCTCGAGTACTCACAGCACCATCGCCAGCCCAGCGACTGCGTAAACACTCCACCTAGCACGGGCCCAAGACCTCCGGCCACAGCCCATACGGCGGCGGTGATGCCATAATACTTTGCACGATCCTCGATCCTGAAAAGTACCCCGATCAGGATCGTCACCAGTATCTGAAGGCCGGCTCCACCAACGCCTTGGAAGGTCCTGCCAACGATGAGCATCTTCGCAGAGCTCGACAACGCCGCGATCAGATTGCCAGCCATGAAAATAACACTCGACAGGATCAGCAATATTTTCGTGCCGAAGACGTCAGACATCTTGGCCCAGATAGGAGTCAACGCTGTGCTGGCCAAGGTGTACGAGCTGCCGACCCAGGCATACTCCGAGGCTGTTGCGTCCAAAGTTCTGGCAATGGTCGGCAATGCAGTCGCAACGATCGTAATATCCAAAGCGTATAAGAATTGGGCCAGACACAGAGAGAAGACCACGATCCGCCTTTGCAGTGTTCCCATCTTGTCTGCGCCATATTCGACAGGTTCAGCTTGCGTGCTATCGACAGCATTTTCGACAGCTTGTTTCTCATTTTCTGCGGCTTTGAGGACTTGTGACCCTGGCGTCTGATCATCATTCTCATCCATGGCAACAAGTTCGATCAGGGAAATGTAACGCTGAGGCTGGGAAAGAAGAACAACGAGGAAACATTCTTTGGTATGCATGCATTACCTCGTGTGGACAAGGATACCCACTCGGTGACCCGGAAGTCAGAATGGAGTTACAGAATATCAAAGAGTCCCTCGAAGTGCAGAACTTGGGCAATGGTTTCGAAATGAAAGAGCTGCTCACCAACGGTCCTTCGCAAAACTTACGTCGCACTCTGCTTGGTGTCGCAAGCCAGTTCTTCCAGCAGTTTACTGGTATTAATCTTGTTACTGTAAGTCTGATTGCTCCATCATATGTATGCAAAAATGACATTGCCCACAGTATTATGCGACTTTCGTTTTCGAGAACTCCCTTGGTTTCGGTCCAGATATGTCCCGTCTGCTAGCAGCAGCGAACGGCACGGAATACTTCATCGCAGCACTATGCGGTCTACCTCTGATCGAACGACTCGGTCGGCGCAAACTCATGTTGAGCTGCGCATTCGGTATGGCAGCTAGCATGGCGATTTTAGCTGGCACCGTAAGTACGGGACAAGAAGATCCAGAGACTGGCGCTCCGGTACTTGGAAACGCTGCTGGCATCACCGCCACTGTGATGCTGTTCGTGTTCAACACATTCTTCGGTATGTCCAATCCATTTAATGTGCTCAGAGCTCTTGCTGACATGAGAAAAGCCATCGGCTGGTTGGGCATGACCTGGCTGTATCCGGCTGAAATCACAAGCCTGCGAATTCGAATCCAAGCAAATGCTCTGTCCACATGCTCGAATTGGTTGAGCAATTTTGTGATTGTTATGATTACTCCTCCGGTAAGTCGCGAAACAGTACACACAAAACCTCTCAACTCGAAGCTAACACATAATTCCTGCTAGGCATTCGCGAGTTTGGGCTACCAAACATACATCATTTTCGCGGTACTGAACACGGCGATTATACCTGCTGTATACTTCTTCTTCCCTGAACCCAAGGGACGAAGTCTCGAAGAGCTTGACGTTATCTTCGCCAGTGCGCATGCAGATGGCGTTAGTCCTGTGAAGCGAGCGAGAGAGATGCCGAAGTTGGAAGATAATGCTCTGGAAGCAGAACTTGTCAAGTACTTTGGAGGTGATGTTGAGGAGGTGCGGAGGAGGAGTTCTGTGGGCATGTAAATTCTGCTTGTGTTATACTTGTGTGTATTGTCGGAAAATGCACAATGCAAAGAACGTTCGCCATGGCATGCTGGAGAGGCAGCACAACACACGTGGGGGCTCATGACGTCCACATGGAGCTTCGGAATCGAGCTTCCGCTAATCTACCCCATTCCGACGACATTCCAGTGAAGCTCCTGCACAAACCACCGGCTATGTAGCTCTCTGAAGAAGACGGAAAGGCTAATAAAGCTTGGCCGCAATGTACCTAGGTAGGGCGGGGGGCGAGGGGCATACTTCATCTGAAAAACTTCATTCAACCTCCAACGTGAACAACAACTACTCTCGCACCTCGCCCCCATCACCAGTCGCCAACAATGTCCGACAAAGTCATAGCCCACCCCTCAGCAGCCTGCTGCATCTCCGGCAAAATCCACACCGGCGACCCCAAAGGCCGCACCGAACAAATCCTCGACGTAGAAACCTACATCGCCTCCCCCTCCCCCTCCAAATCAAACGGCAACATAATCCTCTACTTCCCCGACGTCTTCGCCCTCTTCACCAACAGCAAACTCATGATGGACGGCATGGCCGAAGCCGGCTACCTCGTCCTCGCCCCCGACTATTTCCGTGGCGATGCAATTTACAAACATAAAAAGAACCTCGCCGATCCGAATGATAATCCGACATTTGATTTTCCGGCTTGGTTGGCGAAACATCAGGAATTTTCGCATCCTTTTGTGCCGAAGTGGGTGGAGGAGGTGAAAGCGAAGTTTGGGAAAGAGGGGACTAAGTATGTTTGTACGGGGTATTGTTATGGGGCGCCGTATGTTTGTGATCAGCTTTCGGAGAAGGGGATTTGTGAGGCGGGGGCTTTTGCGCATCCGGCGTTTTTGCAGGAGTCGCATTTTGAGAATGTTAAGAGTGAGTTTGTGATTTGGGTGTTAGAGTTGCTGGAAATGCTGACGTTCGTGACAGAGCCAATATTCCTCTCTTGCTCCGAAATCGATCAAACATTTCCAAAGGAGTTCCGCCGCCGTGCAGTTGACATTCTCGATGAGAAGAAAGCGCGCTATCAAGTTCAAGTTTTCCAAGGCGTCAGTCACGGATTTGCCTTGCGCGGCGATATGGATGACAAATGGCAGCGGTATGCAAAAGAGGCCAGTTTTCAAGGTATCCTCGACTGGTTCGATTGGTGGACAAAGTAGTAAGTAGAATCTTTTGGGTGGTGCTGCCGCCGCTTCGATGAAAATATGCGCTACATATCTGAACGGAAATGCTGTACAGCTGTCGTGATGATGATGATGCCCTCTCTCCGAGATTGTAATGCGAAACTGTTGAAAGACATACGAAAATCGCTCAATTCGTGCGCCGTGATCCATGCTGTGTTTGTGTTTCCTCCAATCCTTGTGATTTCATTCGTGCCCGAAAAGATTGAAATATGCTCGCTATGCAAGTTCGGGAATCTGGCTGATACGTCGTTGTGATTGCCTGCTCGAGGCTTCGCTGGATATGGAGCTCCTGCTCCCACCTATACCGCCCAAGTGCGATCTGCTGATCATGCGTCTCATACTGATCGAGCCTCGTGGTGTGGCGGGCTCGTGCATCCATTCAGATACCTCTGTCTGTGCTGTTGAAGGCCGGGAAATTTCTTGTTGTTTTTGTGGATGGAAAGCGTAGTTGTTTGCGAATCTAGCCAATTTCCTGAATACAACCTGCATCGTAGGCCGTACTGAGGCTGAATGCATTGATTCTTGGGATACTTCCTTGCCTAGGAAGACATTGTGGCCGATGACGAAGCCGAACCAGTCCGGCTCGCTAAGTAAGTGGATGCATTGGACCCTCATCTCGCCCACGGCGAAGACTTGCCCGTCGCGGAAAGAATCGAACTTCGATCCCCATCCTGCGTTCTGCACTCCGTACTGCCTTGCGAACATGCGCTGTACACCTGCAAGTGCCTTTCCAGTACATATTCGTGGGAACTGGCCATCGTTGTCTCGTAATTGCGTCCTCAGGTACCATGCCGATGTGGGGTGGTCCTGGACGGCGTGCGTCTCCAGGATGCGGACAACATGGTAATTATATTCCTTCACGAGATACAAGATCTGATCAGCTGCGGTTGTGTTGATGCCTGGTGAGTATGGATTTCGGTCAAGCACAGGGTCAATGATGATTGCCTCTTTGGTCGAAGGGTCCGCCACGAGGTACTGATGCCGGTTGGTGGATTGTTCATACAGGGTGTGAATGATGGGTTCGATGTCTGATGTGATTACTTGGACACCTTCCATATCGTCCTGTACCATGGGAGGCGCGACTGCTGACTCGAAGGCGGCATGCATCCCCGTTGGCCCTCCGGAAGATCGGTCGGAGACGGGCGAGACCATTTCGCGATCATTGTTGGCCGAGCGAAAGGACATCCTGTTCCGCGACTTGGAGAATTTCAGAGCGCAGGCCGACGCGAACTCGCGAAAGGTGGTGGCATGGAGGGTATGTCTGCTCTGGAGGGGAGATTGGGTGTGCGACTGGGGCTCGTCGGTTCTGCGTGGTGCAGCATCCAAACCGTGCCAACCGGGGCCCCCTGGACTGCCGGCCCATGTGTTGCGCCATGTTGATCGCTTCCGCCCTTCCGACCACATCGCCGCGCTGTCCCACTGGTGATGTCGCACACGACGCGCCGATTACGAGTCTGCCAGCGCGCGCGTTGTCGCAGATTGCGCGGGGTGTCGCGAGTACAGTGAAGCAGTGTTGATAATGCGAACAGCTGTCGCCTCGCGCGCCCTCTCTCAGCCTGGCCACTCCTTAGCCTCGTCGGGCGGTACCTGCAGACGCCTCCTCGCCCGCCTCGCCAGGAGATTCGGGGTCCGCAATGATCTGCACCAACATCAACCAATGAAGTCTGTTATCGCGCTGGACTGGTCGCCGACGAAATCAACCACGAGAGCCGCTTCGAAGTCTCGCTGCTTCGACAAGAGCACTGGAGGACAGCCTGGTTCACGGCAGCGAGCATGAAAGCAGCAACAGCACGCTCTCCATATACCGCCTGATGCGCCTGCTGGCCTTCACCGATGCGACGAGTGCAACACGGCACAGAAGAACCCGAGATCGCCGAATCACATCCGATCACGCTTTCACGAGGAGGAGATGAGCACATCTCGAGGGTGATGAGAGTGGATGACAATGGTGAACATATCTGCGTGAGCAGCCGCAAGCATCTCTCTCCCGTTTGGCCGTTGTGCTGCGCTTGTGTGGTGACATTCCGCGTCGATGGCAATGCCGCGAACGGCGGGAGCAGTCCAGCGCTTGGCAAAGAGGAATCGCATCTCCAAATCCAAAACACATCGGATCTGAGGTCTGGGATATAGTGTCTCTCCACTCCGATACTGACGACAGCAACGCTGCAACGGTCGATCAGAAGTCCACGGACGGTCGCGAAGCGCAAACTGGCACCAGCTTAAAGACAAGAACACGCACAGTCGCTATGCTGTCAAAGCGCGATCAACGCAGACGTGATCCTTGGTATGGGTGATTCGTAGTTCGGAGCACTGCGAGGACGGTTTTCATGGCGGAGCAGTTGCAATGGAGTCGTCATGTCGAGTAGGCCACACATGTCTACTTGCTGGTGCTCTGTCTGCTCTGCTGGTTCACATTCTGTAAGCTCGGTCCGACCAAGTTCCTCTTTCGCCCAAACTCCCAAAGAAGCAAATTTCGCCGACTCCACACTCCACACTGCGGAGGTCTGGTCCACGGCAGTAGGATCGCCCTCCACTGTCCACTCGAAGGCGATGACTTGGTGCTGTCGTAGATTGATATATCAGCGTGAAGTCGAGCATTGTAAGTCAAGTCAATTCATCATTCTCACAATCTCACAATGCCTCACAGAGAATCTCCACCTCCACAGCACGCCAAGATGGCTCAGAAGACGATCGAGAAGACTTGGTGGAAGGAAGCCAGCGTCTACCAAATCTATCCTGCCTCTTTCAAGGATAGCAATGGAGACGGGCTAGGAGATGTGCCTGGCATCATATCGAAAATACCTTACATCAAATCACTTGGAGTAGATGCCCTTTGGCTGTCGCCGATATACGCCTCCCCTCAAAATGACATGGGCTACGACATTTCAGATTACAGAGACATCCACCGTCCCTACGGAACACTTGAAGACGTTCAGCGGCTGATTGATGAGCTTCATGCCAACCAGATCAAGCTGCTCATGGACTTGGTTGTCAATCACACGAGTGACGAACATGACTGGTTCAAAGAGTCACGGAAATCCAAGAGCAACTCAAAGCGGGACTGGTACTTCTGGCGAGATCCTAAAATCGATGAACATGGGAATCGCACAGAGCCCAATAACTGGAGGAGCATTTTCGGTGGCAGTGCTTGGCACTTTGATGAAGTTACACAGCAATATTACCTTGCACTATTTCTCCCGTCGCAGCCGGATCTCAACTGGGAGAACGAGGAAATGCGGCAGGCGACCTACGGGGACATGCGCTTCTGGCTGGATCGTGGCGTCGATGGCTTCCGCATTGACAGCATGAATTTGATGAGCAAGCACCCAGACTTGCCGGACGGAAAGATTACAGATCCCGAGTCAAAGTACCAAGACGGATCCGAATTCTTCGCGTCTGGACCTAGGATGCACGACTACATTCGTGAGATGCGAACCGAGGTGTTCGATCATTACGATGTAATGACTGTCGGAGAGCTTGGTTTTACCAAAGACGAGCAGTCTGTGTCGGACTACGTGGCGAAGGACCGACACGAACTGAACATGGTCTTCACCGGCGATGTGGTTGACATGGACTTTGGGCCAACTGGAAAGTACTCTCGGGACGACTTCCACCCGCGGAAACTGCGCAAAATCACCAACATGTGGCAACAAGCTATGCCAAAGTTCGATGGTTGGAACAGCATATACCTCGACAACCACGACAGTGGGCGAAGTCTCAGCAGATATGGCTCAGATCTTCCGGAACACCGTGCTGCCGCGGCCAAGCTCTTCGCAATCTACCTGACTACTCTCAGCGGTACTCCGTATCTGCTCGCTGGCCAGGAGTTCGGCATGGCCAATCTCGGTAAAGACTATCCTGCCGAGGCATATATCGATGTCGAGGGCAGCAACTACTACAAGGAGATCCTTCAACGACGTGGCGGTGACACATCGAAGATGGATGATGTACTAAAGGAACTGCAATTGAAAGCTCGTGACCACGGCCGCTTGCCTGTGCAATGGAATGCAAGCCCCAACGCAGGCTTTACGTCGCCTGACGCCACGCCTTGGATGACTATCAATAAAGATCACAAGCAATGGAATGCCGAGAGCCAGTTGAATGATCCGGATAGTGTCATGGCATTTTACAAAAAGATGCTTAGTCTGCGGAAGGAGCAGAAGGATCTGTTTGTCTACGGGACTTACGAGCCGATTACCGAGCAAGAGACTGGAGAGTATGTTCTCGGATGGGAGCGGACAGATGCAGATGGCGCGAAAGCTGTCGTGCTGCTCAACTTCTCAGACCAAGAAGTTAATCCGATGGGCAAGTATAATGGCCTGACAGAGCTGGTTTCGAATGGGAGAGGTCAGATCAACGGCGATCAGGTGACACTTGGTGCATATGGTGCGATTGTACTCAAGCAGTAGACCAGATGTTACGCCAAGCTTAGGGCTTCCGAGCTTACCCTGCCCGCTTCCCCTCCTTCCCTCCACTCCACGCCCTGCCAATGCCGGCCCGGTGGTATACACGTATCGCACTTCGTGTCAGAAGTGCTCCTAGCTGTCGAATGAGGATATAATTGAACACGCACGCGCTCTGCAGACTTCCTAGAACCTCGGCTGAGAATCAGCTATAGATTTAGTCCTCGCATCAAGCAGGAAAACAGCAATCAAAGTAAACCTTCTTCAACCATGGCAGACACAACAAAAGACTGGCAATCCAAAGCCGCAGCAAAACGCGCAGCAGAGCTCTCCAAAATCCCTCAAGAATGGCGCCTCCCTCAAGAATACCTCACCGGAAACGAAACAACTCCCATCTCCGTCCTCGACATACCCTCCAAATGCGGCATCCTCTCCCCAACCGAACTCGAAATCACACAACTCACCGCAACCTCTCTCGCCCAAAAAGTCCAATCCGGCACCCTCAAAGCCTCCACCGTCGCCCAAGCCTTCTGCAAACGCGCCGCAATCGCCCAACAACTCACAAACTGCCTCACAGAAACCTTCTTCTCCGACGCTCTCACTCGAGGCGCCCAACTCGACGCTTACCTCACCGAACACGGAAAACCTGTCGGACCTCTCCACGGTGTCCCTATATCCATCAAGGATTCTTTCCGATATAAAGGCGTGCAATCTTCACTGGGGTTTGTTTCGTTTTTGGAGAGGGGAGTTGATGAGGAGAATTCTCCGTTGGTGGATTTGTTGTTGGGTCTGGGGGCGATTTTGTATTGTAAGACGAATGTGCCGCTTACGCTTATGACGGCGGATAGTCATAATAATGTTTTTGGACGGGTGTTGAATCCGGGGAATTTGAGGTTGGGGGCGGGAGGGAGTAGTGGGGGGGAGGGAGCGTTGGTGGCTTTTAGGGGGTCGGTGATTGGTGAGTAGTTTGTTGCTTTTCGTTTGCATTTTTTGTGAAGATATGAAGGGCTTTTGCTGATGTTTTTTAGGTGTTGGTACAGATGTGCGTTGTTAGAGGCTGGTTCGGGGAGCCCATTACTGACCTTTTGTTGCTTAGATTGGTGGGAGTGTGAGAATACCAGCTTTGTAAGTTCCCTCAAAAGTGAGCAGTATTGTCCATTCTGACTTTTGCTTTCCCTCAGGTGCAACGGCACATATGGCTTCAAGCCAACCCCAGGCCGAATACCCTACGGAAACCAAGCTTGGTGCTCAGCACGCGGAAGTCCCGGTTTCCCAGCATGCGCCGGTCCCCTCGCAAACTCCTTCGAAGACACAGCATTCTTCCTACGTACCATCCTCTCAGCCTCACCCTGGGACCACGACGCCACAGCAATATTCTACCCCTGGCGCTCCGCAATCGCCGACCAAACCCCCTCAAAACTTCGCATAGGCTACTACATCGAAGACCCATCCTTCCCCACTCACCCACCAGTCCGCCGAACCCTCGACGAAGCAGCGAAAGCCCTCGCAGCAGCCGGCCACGAAATCATAGTATTGAACAACACCCCCTCAATCAAAACCTCCGTAGACCTCGCAACAGCGTACTGGTCCATGGACAACACCCGAACATTCCTCAAAAATATCGAAGCTGGAGGTGAACCTCTTATTCCTTCTTTACAACGTACATTGGGTACAATGGTGGCGAAACCAGAAGGTTATACACTCGAAGAACTCTTCGGCGTCAATGTCCTTGCTGGAGAATATAAAGCCCTCTGGCACGACTTATGGATCGCGAATAAACTCGATATCATCCTCTGTCCTCCTGCGCAGACGACTGCTGTACCACATGATGATTTCGGTGTACCGCATTATACGATTTTGTGGAATTTGTTGCAGTATCCGGGGTTGATTATTCCGGTGGGGAAGGTCGATAAGGCTGTTGATCGGGATGAGTTGGCGAAGCCGGAGGTGGAGACGAATCGGATTTGTGAGTTTGGTTGTGATGAGTTAGGTTATTGAAAGGAATAATGCTGACTGTGGATGCAGATCGAAGTGAAGACGTGCATGGTGCACCTACGTCGATACAACTTGTTACGAGAGCAATGCAGGATGAAGAGCTCGTTAGTTATGCCAGGGTTATTGATAAAGTGCTGAAAGGTACTTGAAGTGCGAGATGATGGAAGCAACACAGGGCGGGAGTATCAGAAGACCACATTGCAAGCTGCCGAGGCAGTCAAGTAGTCCAGTAGTCATACATGATATATTTTCTGTCGAATTTCTCTAGTCCCTATCATACCTCATCCCCATCACTCATCAACTCTATCTCCCATCTCCTCCTCACAATCAACCAAACGACGGGATCGGCGGCAGCGGAATCAATCCCCCTTGTTGCTGAAACACAGCAATAGCCTTATCAAACTGCTCCGCAATCTGCGCATTAATCAGCGGCGCAAACCCCGCCAACGGTCCCGTCAATTTCGCCGTAATCGCATCTCCCAAATTCGCGCTCTGTTGCTTTTGTGTCTGAAGCGATTGCGCAACTGTCTTGCTAACAGAGAAGAGAAACGCGACGCTATCGAAAGCTGGTTTTTTGCTGGAGAGGTTGGGGAGAAAGGTATCGAGGTCTGCTTTGAGTGCGAGGACGCCTTCGGCGACTTTTTGCGTGTCGGCTTCGTTGAGGACTTCGGATTGTTGGGCTGTGGAGGCGGCGGTTACGACGGAGTCGCCGACTGCGGAGGTTTGCTGGGGGAGTGGTGTTAGGATGTGTGCTTTTTTGGTGAGGAGGTGGGGTATGAGTGATGTGGATCTATATACCTTTTGAATTTTTAGGACTTTGATGAGGCCGTCGAGGTCGCCTTTGTTGAAGGTGTTGACTGTTGCGTTCAAGGTTTGGACATTGGTCTGGACGTTCTTGAGTGCGGCGACTATGCTTGCTGCGTCACGCTTGACGACTGTGTAGAGTGGATGAGCGGAAGCGACTGTCAACAGACCGCTGATGATGAGAGACGTGAGACGCATGGCGAGAGAGGTCCTTGGAAGATTGTTTGATTGAGAAGGATCGTTGTCGATGAAGCCTTCGAGACTGGTGATCCATCATTCTTATTATATTTTCTTCACCACTTGACGACAGTCCTCGATCTGCGGGGTCGCATCTCGTTCCTGGCTCGTTCTGCATCCTCCTTCACAAGTGATGCCATGCTTTGGCACAATTTGTGCAGTTGGGGCACAAGACAGTGGTTCAGCTCGTATGCTCGCATGCAATACGCAGATGATCGACTGTGTCCGCGAGCAAGTCAAGCCGGAGAAGCAACATCTGACGACAGATCTTTCCAACGAATTACCTACACGGGCAAGAGGCTCTTCCAGCGCGCCAGTTGCAGGTGAAAGTGTAGTCAAGTTAGAGCTGTCACGGTGCCATGGAAGAAACGATGGAGCCAATCAGGCACAAGATCCACAAAAGGTCTTGGTATCAGCTGCAGCCTCGGTCTTGTTTTCTCCGCAGGCGATCACGACTTGAGTTCGGCATTTTGGTCCATGCTGAGTTGTGCATGTGTGAGGAACACCAAGACTTCGTACCTGCCATCGTAGGATGTGTTTCCATTGTCAGTGACCCCCGGCATCGAACACTATTGAAGCCGGCGATGCTGAGATGTCAGAGCAGATTACTTATCATCTCTTTCAGGAAGTCTTGCCGTTCTGCCTACATTCTCTCATCTGTTGACTGATTCAAGTCTGACTGGGCCAGCACTCGAGTATGGTTCTCCTGTCAAACTGTTATTATATCGAACGCCGCAGCATACCTCGGGCCGCTTGCCCTAATCGATTGGCATCAAGGCATGGAAATCGCGCCCCAAGATTCTGGTCGCAAGATGCTCAAAGTTTACAACAGAATGTCCTTGCGCCGTGTCCGGGCTTCCAGCATCACCGGAATTGTTTGAAGTTGATTAACCGAGCCCTTGATGGTGGACGCACGGTGTTCCAGCGGCGATCATCGACATCATGGTTTCTCCACAACTAGGACAATGCTTGGCGGATGCACAAATGCCATACACACGTGTGAATGTGAAGATGCTCCTCCATTGCAATGCTGCTGTTGCAGTTTCGCCGACGGGGTTCGCGCCCATTGGACAGCCCGACATCTATCGGCCGCTCCGGACTCACTGCATGGTCAATATCGAGCTGGGCACTTCTATCCCTACATCGCCGTGCTTGGCAGTGGCCTTCTCGCCGCTCTCTGTGAAGGAGAAGTTGGCGTCTTGTCCATGTTGCAATGCTCCGGATAGGATCGCTCGGGATCACCGTGCTCGCAGCCAAGTTCTGGGCTCATTCGAACGTGCTGGACACTGCAGCTTTGGCAGAACCCCTGGACACCCTCATCGAGTTCGATTAGTGAAGCGTCCGGTCGATACGATGAATGCGAAAGTAAGACCAAGCAGTAGTCTTGCCAAATAGGGACCAATGATGAAGAGTGAACTGAGGCAAGTCTGACTGTGACGAGAGAGCACAAGGTTTTCCCCACGCGTCGGCCTCGTGCGGGTATTCGGCTTGGCACGAACCTTTTCTTGGCCCGTTCGTGCCCGGCCCTCCTTCCATCTTCTCGACCCACTCTGCAACTGGCGTTCCTCGTAGACGCTATGCATCGCTCAATTTTCGATTTGATTGCATCGCCCTTTGAAAGTTTGATGACTGTCCTCTTCATCAATCAGCGCATTCGGTGCCCAGCAAGATGAACGGACTTGTCTCTCTTCGGAGTATTTGGCGGCAAGTGCAGAGTTCAAGACATGGTCCCGGCGTTTTCGCTCAGGCCCAAGCAAGCGGATTGCCAGGCCTCAGATGACAACCTGGCAGCGTGAGGACGGCAAGCATGGGTGGGCGGGCCATCGACTGCGCAGCTCGCAGCTTACTTAGGGCCGTATCCCGCCGTCGCGACGACTCCTCAGTTGCGCGGAGTCGACACATGCGCCGCTGGACTTCACGTCCTCTCAATTGTCAAGATGGTCCCTCTCGAGGCCGCGATACCGACTTTCATCTGCTCCTGCCTGTCCTTTCTGGCTAGCACTGTCTTCGGCATCTTCTACATCCTGTATCCGCCCGAGCGACATTTCAGACAAGCACTGATTGTGAACCTGTTGGTGTCTGGTATGCAATGGCAGCGTGCGTGAACCGACGGGATCAGTATTGACTCTTTGTAGACTGGATCAACTCTCTAAACAACAGCATTTCCGGCGCTGTCGTGCTGTCGAGAGTACACCAACCTGGCCCGGAGCTCTCCATTGGTCCCGCATGCACGGCGAATGGCTACATTGGACAATTCTCGGTCCAGGCGATTGACTTCAACATTCTCGTGATCTCTTTATCAGTGCTCCTGACTGTGCGGCAACCACGATTCGTCATCGAGCCTCCGTGGTGGCAGGTGGCCTGCGTATGTGCGATCCCATGGATACCACCGATCATCACTGGTAAGCTTGCAGCAGTTTCTGCTCATGAAGGGGGCGCGCTGACCGTCGATAGCGAACGTTGCATTAGGTCTCGACCTCTACGGACCAGTGAGCGGTAACTGGTGTTGGATCCAAGCCAAATACTTTGGTCTGCGATATGCCTTGACGCACGGTTGGCGCATAGCCATCTTCGTCATCACCATTGCCATTTACACATATATTTACATTTACCTCATGCGCGCATACGGGCGACTGGGTGTGGGTTCCAGCAGCGGCGGCACGTACGACTCCTCTGGACATCCGCTTGGCACAATCGAAGACAAGCACCATCCAACAACACACGAGGAGCGAGGAGGTCGTCATATTCGTGTAAGGTCCTCCATCACGACAACTTTCGGTCATCACCACGATACGCCTTGGAAGACTAAAGAGCCCAACATTGGCGAAGAGGAGTCTGAGGTGGGCAGCATTGTCAGCAATGTCAAACATGGACATACTCCAAGTTGCAGCACCGCCAGTGACACTGCACCATTGAGTTTTGTTGGCCACACATCGCCTGCCTCCGCGAATACACGCATTTCATCGGCCGCGGCCCGACAGCGAAAGCAAGCAGTACGAAAGATGCTGCTTCTAAATGGCTACCCGATCTTATATGTCATTCTGTGGATTCCTGGTATGGCCACTCGCATCTGGGAGGCTTTTGACACTGCGCCACTTTGGCTACGAGGCATGCAAGCAAGTACGCAATTGGTTGGCTTCGCGAATGCTTTGACTTATGCCTACAACGAGCAGCTTATTCAGAGAATTCGCCAGCCATCGGTGCATCGCTGAGCAAACAGCATCGCACAAGTTTAGGCTCTGGAATGAGACGCAGATGAAACCGTGTTGGATCTCCGAGCCTCCGACTACCTTCGTTCCCCTTTTACAGGTCCTCTGAGAGGTGCCCCAAGAGCGACAGAGCTCAAATCAGCACTCCTGGCTCGCTAGAAAGCTGGCAACGATACCATGGCACGATCAACATACTGGCATCATCGGTGTTCAGGAGCAGTCAGACCTGATTTCTAAACGGGCATGGCCGTTTCTTAGGCGTTACGACACTAGGTGTTTGCCGAGTTGCCAGGAACCAGGATCGCTCGGAAGTAGGGAAGTAGAGTTCGCATGACCGACGGGGATGAAGCTGGAGGACGGATTGACAATCCCGATATAGGCTGATGCCTTAGCCAGAATGCTCTGCGCATTCGCGATGGAAGTCAAATGCAGGAGGAGATTAGTGAAGATGACTGTGATACCCGAGATTAGTGAAGAGATGAAGATGATGATACCCCAAGGACCGTACAAGAACTACGAATGAATAATCAATATCAATGTCGCGAGTTGCACAACGTCCGGACGCTTTGCAAATTGGCGTAAGCGCCAATGAACCATCAGTCGTGACTGCCCTGGTCGCTTATTTCGGCTTCGACAGCATCGGCCTCTCGGTACATCGCGCTTACCCTGCACTACTGAACTGCAGTCTGGACGTACATTGCAGTCTCAACAGTACTCTTCCACAGAGTCTCGCTTTCTGAACGAAGTCACTGAGCTCAACTGCCCGCAACACCTCTGACTGACGTCGACGTCTTCTGCAGACGCAGATCCCGCTTGGCTCTTGGCCTTCGCTTCCCATCAGCAAGTCAAGAGTCGCGCAGCAACCTCGTGGCAGTGACGTTGAGCGTAACCTAAGATTTTGCAAGTAACAGTATTTCGGCGTGGCGATCATGGTGTGTCTATATATGTGTACTTCGATTCTTGTACATTCGTTGAACTCGAACAGGCACAATCCCAACAGCACCAGTCTTCAACAGAAGCCATGCAGCTCCCCGTAGGACTCAGCACATTACTCATCAGAATCATTTCCTACAGTAAGCAAAAACAGACACCAGTGCACTAACTTAGCTCAGAGTCTAGTTCAACTGACCATCTCCTGCAGATATTCGGTTTGCCGCCACGGACCGAGGAAATGGAGAAGAGCCATGGACTGGCGTCCGAGCACCCCGGGTGATTTCCCAAATTCGATTCAATACGATCAACAACCCAGCCGCTTTTGTCGGTATGCAAGAAGTTCTGAAATCGCAACTTGATGATGTTGTTGCTGGATTAAACGCAAACCGAACGACGAGTGAGCCTGAATGGGCATTTCTTGGGGTTGGAAAAGAAGATGGGAAGGAAGCGGGAGAGTATAGTCCTTTGTTGTATCGGCCTTCGGTGTGGGAGTTGAAGAATTCGGAGACGATCTGGTTATCTCCTACGCCTGATGTTCCCGGTTCGAAAGGCTGGGATGCGGCTGTTACGAGAGTTTTGACGATTGGGGATTTTAAGCATAGAGAGACTGGGGCGTTGGTGACAGCTATGAATACGCATTTCGATCATGTGGGGACTGTGGCTCGCGAGAACTCGGCGAGGATTATTACTGAGCAGATCAACAAACGACAGAATGCCACGGGAAGTGGTCGTGGTCGACAAAGGCCTGCCATTTTTATTACTGGGGACTTTAATTCGGAGCCTGGACAGGAGGCGTATCAGTATCTTACGCAACCATCATCGCCGGTCTATGATGTTCGAGAGAGTATTCCCGAGGAACAGCGATACGGCAACAGGATTGGAACATTCAGCGGCTTCCAGGGCCAGGCTAACACTCTGATCGACTACATCTTCTTGAACAAGGCCGGACCCTGGTCTCCCCAGACCTATGCTGTACTGGCAAACGTCTTCGACGAAGGCATCTATTACAGTGATCATCAAGCGGTAGTGACAGATGTCGAGCTGGACTTGCGCCGAGGGAGAGGTTACTCATCATGAAGCGGATACACAGAAGCAGGAATCAGAACTGCGCATCATTGACAGTCCGTCCTAGATACATCGTCCTACTCAACATAGAACCTAAAAAGCCTTAAACTCAACAAGTCTCGTCCTCTTCCCAGCAGCCTGCGGGAAAGAAACTCTCAACTGAGAAGTGCTCAACGAAGGCCACGATACCTTTGTAATACCGTTCGCCAACGCTTTGTCTCCGACAGCACCATTGCCCTGAATCTTGACCCAGTTGTTGTTCTCGAATCGCAAGATATCATAGTCGGTGGGGACTGCAAACGTGCTACCGTCGTCATAAAACGCCAACTCGCAACCAGTAAGCTGTGTCGCAGATCCGAAGTTGATCGTATACCATTGTGTCGAAGGACCGCTCGTCGCATCCGAATCCCAACCATTCGGCAGCTCAGGCATGAACCAGACTCTACCATCAATAGCATCGTGGATACGTTCCGCGTTGTTACCGCTTGAAGCTGATCCAGAAGGATTCTGGCCTCGGACGAGTTGAATCGATTTGGCGATTTGACTTCTGTTAATAGCAGGTGCAGAAGCACTGCTGATTTGTGCTGTAACTCTGCTCAATCGTGGAGATGTAGCAACGACTTGCCCATCGACTTCCACGCGAAGACCTGTGCCTTGACCATATTTGCTTCCGTTGGCATCCCATTGGATTGCGACGCTGTGACCATGGTACGGCACATCTTGAAGACGGAAGGATTGTAGTGAGCCTTCAGGGACCATGGGATTGACTTCGAGAGTGTTGTCTGCTCGTGGCCGGAGACCGACGAGGCCGGAGATGATGAGGTCGTTGTAACCGGAGTGGAAGTAGTGTGGAGAGCGAGCGAGGCCTACGATGGGGCCGGCTTTGTCGGGTTCGTAGTCTTCTTCGAGGTTGAGTTTGTTGTTCCAGTAGTGGAGTTTTGTGTATTTGCGGAGTTCGTCAAGGTAGTCTGATTTGGTGATGATGCTTTGAGTGTACTTGTTGAGTAGGTTTGCCATTGCGTAGAGGACTTGGGTGGTTTGGTAGGGCCAGACTGGTCCGTTCCATTGGCATTCTCGGTTGCTGCCCTCGTAGCGGTATTGGCGCATGTAGTACTGGTACGATGGCTCTACTGTGCGCATGCCGGTGGAGCCTCTGAGTTTGTTGGTGTCTTTGAGATGCTTCCAAGCTTGGTTGTACTGGTCCGTGTTATCTGGCATAGAGAACATCCAAGGAATGTATCCATTGAGCTCTCGGCCACGAATCGGCTGGTAGTATTGAACAAACTGATTTGACCTCTGGTGACGGTCGATGAAGTGTTCAAAGGTGGTGTTCCACATATCAGCCTGGAAGCGAGACTTGATGTTGGCTGCCCGGGAACGGTAATCAGATGCCACATTGCCTTGACCGGCGAGATCTGCGACATTGGCGATAGCGAGAGCATTCGCATACATGTAGGAGTTGATCGTAGGTCGGAATGCTTCGCCGCCTCCGAAGCCGTCTTGTCCTCCAGATGCATCGATGCTCGAAATCGTGTATTCAGTCGCATCTGCAAGCGGTTCGCGCCAGTACAGGCCTTTAGAAGTGTCCAAGGCATCGTTCCATTGCTGGAAGAGATTGGTCATGGCATTGAGATGAGTGGTGATCGCACCCCTGTCGCCATCGACGAGATACCTTTCCCAAACACTGTCTGCCATCCACTGTGCAAAACGTTAGTTGACAGCCCTGCAAGGAGCCAAGGCTTTGCCACTCACATCTGTAAAGTGGCGATCGTTGCCGCCATTGTACATGTGTCGAATGTAATCATCAGCATAACGGCGATCGCGCAGCCATCTCCCTTCACCCAAGTGGAAACCGGTAGCATCGTTCAATGTTGCCCAAGGCTCAAGTTGCCATCCTACGTCGTCGAGGAACTCTGTAGCTTGCATGAGCCAATGTTCGTCAACTCTCGGATGTCGTTCTCACCTGTCGAAACGTATCCTCGCTGTCCGAGATCCCTCTGATGAGCCCGGAAAATCTTCCATCGGTAGTAATACACATCCTGGATTTCAGAGTCGGAAGCCTCGAAGTATGGAATCTTGTCTCGATACCACGCAGCATCATTGCCAAAGTAGCGATTGGCCAAGCTGTTAGTATCAAGTGCTGCAAGCGCAGTCCCGGTAACGAGACCGACGGTCAGTATGCCGCGACGCATGCTGGGCAATTGACAACAGTAAGTATCAGAATTCTAATGATGCTCTCATTACCTGCCACTGAAGAGTATTATATGCACGTTTCAATAATTCTTCCAGTAAACCATGCCAAGAGTCCTTTACCCGGAATAGCAGCATACTCAAATTTCTCCGATTGCTTGTTGCTCCACAGCATGCTTTACGGTGCGCCACACGAGGCAAGTCAAGAAGTGTATAGCACACTTGGCTCCGCAAAAAGGATGGCGAGCGTGGGGCTCCGCATTCTATCGTGTGAGCTTTGTGCTGCAACACCCTCCTCACCCACCGGAGGCTAAGATCGTATTTGCAGCGAAGTGGGTATGAGTGTCTCGTGACTGATGAAACTCATCGATGCTCCGGAGGGCAGCCAATGCTTGGATTGTCAGTCTGTTGATGTGAATTAGTCCGTTGCTGAACGCACTCCGCATAGCGCGATGGGCAGTGTCGTTGAGAAACAAGTCAAAGGTGTGCTGCACCCCCACTTATTCAAGCACCGCCCGTCCAGTATCAATGGATGACCAGGACGAGAACCACCAATTCAGCGATGATGGTTCCCTGCAACATGCAGGACTACTCGTTTGCAGATGATGCAGTGCAAGAAAAGAGCCATATTTCACGATCCAAGTGCCGTGTCTTGTCATTCTCTTGGATCTAAAAGAATTCTTCCGCAGAGCTGCTTTCTTCACACTAGCCCGGAGCACCGAAATTTGTTCGTGGACGACATGGCAAGCCATCGCTTTGACAAATTCTCTCTCATCTCATACCTGCGCTTCGTGTCGCAGAGGACAACTGGCTCCAAATCGCCTCTCTGCGCGAAGAATTTGCATAGCGGTCGATCCAGAGCGCAAAGACGGCCGGTCATGGATTGTCGCCCGTCTATTCAAAAGAATTTTTCCTCCAAGGCGGTCGATCCAGAAGCACAAAGATAGCGGAAATTTCCTGGCATCTGAGCGTTCATCCGTGGCGCCATGCGACGACAGTCGAACCGAAGCTGTGAATCGGCGCGATTCTCGTACAGAATGCATCCAGGTACTCTGCATCTGCAAGCTGGTATGCTTGCAAAGCATACCGCCTTGCTGATTGTATGCTGCGAAGGAGAGAAGTGAAGTTTCAAGTGTTATCTTTTCGGCGTTTTCGTCATCTTCACAGCACCTCTCGTTGCTGACCGCTGGTCCATGGGTCGAGAACAGCACTGATGGCGGCGAAACCTGGGGATGATCTTTGGAACGCCGTCGCCATCTGAAGAATCGCGCATGTTGGATATTTTGAGTATACTGTCACGAGGCAATTTGCCTATCTTGCCCTGGGACCAAATCGGATCGCGACCAGGAAGTTGTACTTCGGTGTGGTATTCCAAGACAATTCGGCATCGCCGAGCGAAGCCTTCTTGTTCCCAGGCCATGCTTGCACAGCTTGCCTCGTAAGGCTGGATCGGATCGTGAGCTTGGCAGGGCTTTGCAATGGGTAGGACCGGATGCTACGCAACAAAAAGTCACTGTACACACGCATCTGCCTGCCTATCTGGCCTCACGTCTTTCTGACAGTCGTTTCAGCCTTGCAGAAGCTGCTGCGACGCTGCCATTCAGGGCGTTGCTATCATTGGGTCACGGCCCTTTTTCCGGTGTACGTAACCTGGTCCGCACGGTCTCTCACCCCGGCCAAGCGCCAGATAAGGCAGCTGAAGCGCAAGTCGACTGTGCCTCATTCATCACGAGCGTTCCTACGACGAATCGGATGGTGGTACGTAGGATGCTGCTAATAATCCCTCAAACTCTGTATGCAAAAGTATGGCGCATAGAGTCGGGTCTTGAGCGTACAGTAGTGGCCTTGTAGTGCTTATACAGTTTCGATGTGTTGCAGTCGCTGACGTAACAGTGGCACGGATTGACCCAAGTCCTTCTCCAGGAACGTCCGTTAACGTGCATTCGTCCGCATCCATTCAGCGTACCGATGACGACCGTTGTCGTGGCAAGCATATCCTACCGACCAGCCATTTCCATGTCGCTCACGCGTCCACTTGAGCGTCTTGTGGAGTCAAGTTGCCGGAAAGTAATCAATCTTGCAATACGATCCAGCATGCTAGCCTTTCTGTCGAAGTTCTAGCTTCCTTCTAGCCCATTCACAAACGGGTTTGCCAAGTTGCCAAAGCATGACTGCAGGAGGGTTGGCTTGCGAAGGGATCCCTGCTCCCACGTAGTCAGGCCATTAGCAACAACCATTGGAACGACAAAATTTCTCATCGACGTCCGTCGCGCTTTGATTCGTCTAGCATTCGCCACCGGAATAGAAATGGAGAGCACGCGCAAAATGCCATGATCCACAGAGAGATATGCTGCGCACGAATTGGTGCTTTCGTATCTACCGCGGTGATTTGGCCCACGAAACCAACGAGCGAGACCGAGCCGAAGTCGGTTCATGAGGGCGACACGGTGGCAGCACCCTGGCAATTTCCTTGGCAATGTATGGGGGAGGCTCGAGCATGGGTATTTTCTGTAGGTTCCACTTGTTCTTGAGACCTGACGCATCGGCGTGCATAAGAAACTGGATCTGTGAAGGCGGATTAGTGCACGGGCACGCGCTGTGCAGCAGTCGCGTGTCCGTCTATAGCCGTCCCCGTGGGCGGCAATTACTATCATGTAATAGCCCCATATGGCTTGCGGCATATTCATGGCATCGCGAACAGGCATCATGGAATGTCTATTTGAGCACGGCCAGTCCTGCAGATTTGTTCTGGTTCTTCAGTGCCCTTCAATAACACTCATACGATACCACCCGCGCCAACATGTACGGGGACGAGAAGAAAGTCAATGGTGAGGACCTTCACCAAGTCACCACAGCAGGCTATGGTGACGTGGAGGATCTGTCGAAGCCAACCAGAGAAGTCGATGCTGTACGGATGCGCACCGCAACGAGCATTGCGATTGAGGCATGAACTGATCGGTACTCCAGGTCTTCGGTGAACTCTCTGAAGATGGTCCAAACTACAAGGATGTGAGTGACGATTACGATAGCGACGCTGCAACAACAGGGTTGACAAAGGTGTAGGTCGGCTGGATCGGCACCATCATTCTGATGATGAAGACACAAATCGGTCTCGGTGTCCTTGGTATCCCATCTGCGCTCCACTCCCTCGGCATGGTTCCTGGCGTAATTATTCTCCTCATTATCGGTGTTATGACGACCTGGACAGGCTACATGGTCGGTCAATTTAAGCTTCGTCATCCAGAAGTGTACGGAATCGACGAGGCCGGTAAGATCATGGGCGGCAAGATTGGCCGTGAGATCTTGTACTGGGGTGAGTATCCGCAACAATGTATCCGGATGCGAAGGTGGCTAACTGAGCGGCAGGATTCAACGTGTACTTCATCTTCTTGGCTGCGTCCGCGATGATTGGTATCTCGATCGGCTTGAACTCTCTGTCCTCGCACGGTGCTTGCACAGCAATCTTCGTCGTGGTCGCTGCCATAATCGGATTCGGCTTCGGTAGCATCCAGACTCTCGGCAAGGTCTCGTGGATTGCGTGGGTTGGCGTTGCTGGTATTCTCACAGCTGGTATGTCAGGCCGAGTGAAGTTCGAGTGGGAAAGCTAACAGCGAGCAGTATTCACGCTCACCATTGCTGTTGGCGTTCAAGACCGACCTGCGGCCGCACCACAGACTGGCCCATTCAAGTCTGACTTCAAGACCTGGGGAGACCCAACATTCGCCGAGGCCATGTCTGCCGTTTCGACCATCGTCTTCGCCTTCGCTGGTTCTCCGGCTTTCTTCTCGATCGCCTCTGAGATGCGCAACCCTCGCGACTTCACAAAGTCACTGTTCGTAGCACAAGGATGCGTTTCGCTCGTGTACCTTGTCATTGGTGTCGTTGTGTACTACTACTGCGGCTCGTACGTCGCTTCGCCCGCTCTCGGATCTGCCGGTGTCACCATGAAGAAGGTCTGCTATGGGCTGGCATTGCCCGGCTTGATTGCCAGTGGCATGCTTTTCGTTCACGTAAGCTCGCTGTTCGACATCAGACATGAGATCTGCCACTGACATTTTCCAGTTGCCAGCAAAGAGCTTCTTCATGCGCTTCATGCGCAAGAGCGAGCATCTTACCAAGAACACCCCAATTCACTGGATGGCATGGCTTGGCTGCACCGGAGGCGTCGTGATTGTCGGCTACCTCATTGGAAGTGGTATCCCAGTCTTCAACGAGCTCATCTCCCTCATCGGCGCAGTGTTCGCCACATTCATGTCTTTCCACCCCATGGGCTGCATGTGGTTCTACGACAACTGGAACAGGAGTGATCGCAACATGAAGTGGAGGCTTGGTGCCGCTTGGGCTGCCTTCATTCTCATTGCTGGAACATTCATGGTAAGTTGCATTGTGCAATTGCTGTTCACTAGAACATGTCCGCTAACACTTTCTCAGATGATTGGCGGTACGTATGGTTCGGTGCTCGGTATCATAAACTCCAAGGAGCGTACCTCGCCGTGGTCTTGCGCGGATAACTCCAACTCAAAGGCGGGTTAGAGCGCACAGCACGCAACCTGAGCCCCACTCTCAAATGCTGGTACGCAGACATGAGTGGTTTTCCAGTCCATAGATTATATCCCAGCAGTGCCCTTGCATGACTTGGAAGCCAACCAGAGCCTTGGTTACAGCAGAACACTGTATTATACCGCAGTCGCGGATAAACAATGCATATAGACGAGCATGGAAAAGAACTTTCAGACTTCAGTCGTGTCTCGAGGGAAAGTCGTGAACGCCGCGAAGATGGTGTTCGCATCTTCGCGGCACAGTCTCAAGCGATCTCGTGCGGCTATGTTGTCAACGACATCCCGTACCTGTTCTTGGACAGCCTGGACGATCCCGTCCAACTCGGATCTTGTCTGGCCGGGCCGCCAAAAGGTGCCCATATCTTCGAAAATGACGCGCTTCTCACGACTCTTGGCTCTCAGATCGATGAGCCACTCCGTGTATCCAGTACCAGCGAATTTGGCACCTGGAGGGGCAGGCAGCAACGTCCACACCTGCAGTCGCCTGACTTGTTCCAAGAATACGAGAGGTGCTTTCTCGAAGAAGAGACCTGCTACTTCGTCCAGGCGCGGACGCTGTCATGGATCCTGCAGTTCCACGAAATTTGGTCTCGCCCAGGAGCACATGAACATCCGCTCTCGGAAGAATACCGACGCAGCTTCTTGTCGTGTCATCTTGCTGACGGAGGTGATGGGCGGCGCCACGCTGAAGGGGCCGAATTTGCTGCCCAATGATGCCTTATAGGACTGATAGATACGCAGACGGAGCTCTGCGGGAAGATCCAGGAAACGATCAAATGTCGTGCCTTTATCGTCGGCGAGCTCGAGTGAAGCGATCATGCCCGCCCGGTTGTTCGATGACCTGAGCAAGCGAATGCCCCGTTCTCCACAGAATTGTCGCAGTTCCTCTTGGCTGCAGTCCCCATAGATAAGCAGTCCTCGCTGTCTGCGTGACTCGATCGCAGAATGTCTGTCGGCAGGCAGGGAGTCTTCGTTGTCCTGTTCGGAAACATTGTCGTCGGGTGGTTGGATCTTCACCTTCCAGTAATCCTTCTCGGCGAGGGTAGGACCGGGACCCCAAGAAGGAGACTGGTAGTAGTAGTACTGCACCATCGCATCCCCCCTTTGTAGTGCGAGTGTTGTGGTGAGAGAAGTTGAATCGCAGAGGAAGAGGAGGGAAGTCACAATACAACTGGGATGAGATCAGGCAGCGATGCGGTCTTGGCGTCGCGACGCGCCCTATCAACAACAGAGGAAGTCACGAAACGGGAAGTCTACCACGAGCACAATTACCGATTTATCCAACGCACTCTCATCAGTGAAATCAGACGCACTTTGCCCAGCAGCCGGCGCCGCGGCTTGGTCTCCTTCATCTGCTCGAATCCTCCCGTCTTGGACCGCGTGTCGCCGCCGAGAAACATCAGAGAGCCCACCAGCGCGATGCCGGCCGGCGCCGCTGCGAAGATGAAGGCGCACTGGTATCCGACGAGAGCATCGTGGCCATCGCCGTATGCCTCCATCTCGACCGTGCCTGCGATGCCGATGCCCGTGCTCAATCCGTAGCTCAGCATCGCGTGCAGCAGAGTGACGGCGACGCTCTGATACTTCTGCTCGAAACTCTCCACTTCGATTGCTCGACCTGCCGCTTGTGCCAGGGTCGCGGACAATGCAATCATGCATGATGCAGGGAACGGCATGGCCCAGAATGTCACATCGTTGGGTGCCGCTGCGAGGAGAGTGGTGGCAAGAATGAGTGCGAGGTTGACGCCGGCCAACAAGTACTTCGCCGACGCCCATGTCAAAAGCCGAGACGAGGCAAATATCGTCGCCACTGACAATACTGTGATAGGTTGATAGTTTGCACCACTCTCGATCAGACTGTATTTTCGGATCTGAGTACCGAAGAGGCCGAAGTACCAGAGGAAGACACCCAAGGACAAGCTGGAGCACAAAACCATGAACAGAGTCCTGGGTAAATGTCGCGATCGCTGTAATCCGACAGGCAGCACTGGATTGGATGCGATTCTCGTCTCCCAGAAGAAAAAGGACAGCATGTGACCCAAGGCAATTGGTACGAGGATGTAGATGTACGGTTCGTCCCAGCCCACAACTCGTGCCTGGTTGAACACGAAGTTGAACAAGCAAAGGCCCGCGATTCCGAGATAGCTTCCGATCAGATCGATCCTGGCGCGTGATTGAATTGGACTGTCTCGAGGCACTGTGGCCAAAGCGAGGAGAAAGAGCGCTGCACCGCAGCAGGCCGGTGCTATGAAGCTCCATTTCCACGTGGTGAGCTGCACGAGTATCGCGGATAGCACGCATGCTACAGACGTGCCGATAAGTGCCATTGCTCCCACCAGACCGAGCGCCATGGCCCTCTTTCTTCCAGCTGGCATGAAAACCACGATTAATGCGACCACATTTGCAGTCATAAAAGAAGCTCCTATACCCGCGAATGCTCTCAAGATGCACAACGCCGCAACGCTTGGTGCAAAGGCACAGCCAAGCTGAAAGGCTATCCAGAAAATGCAAGCAGCCAACAGCATCAGTCTGTGACCACAAGCTGACCCGAACTGATGCCCGAGGAGTGAGAACGCCGCATGAGTCAACGGGTACGAGGCTGCGATCCACGCTGCGTCTGCCATGGTTTTCTGTCGATCGTGCTCCGGTAGCGCTTGGGTTGAGCGGTCGGTGGCGTGCAACAGTGAGCCTGAGAGTGAAATCGCTGTCGTCAGTCCTTGACCGTACGGATAGAACAACAGGGCCTGGAAAAGGCACAGAGTAGCTGTTAGCAGCATCTCACTGCTTCGCCACGGAGCCATTACAACCACATCTCCACCACCCTCGGTTGGCGCCATGGCTGTTCTGCGAGAAGATACTCCTCGCGATTGATCACCCGAGAGTCCACTAGTGGCGACCAATATGCTTCCGTGCACACTTTTGACTGGCACAGCCTTGCGTTGCTGCCCACTCCAGTGTCGTGGTTGTCTACTTGCTGTTTGCGCCAGTGGAGACAGACCTTCGCTTAGGGGCACTTCCTCCAGAGCTGTGCCTTGCGTTCTAGCTAAGGAAATTTGGCTGTCCAGACTGTCGATCCAACAATCGATTCGGTCCTGTCTCATTCGCATCATGTTCATCTGATCGGCCCACTCGGCAGCCATGGACTCCGCACTGGGAGACTTTGGACGTCCCACTCGACCGTAAGCTGGCCTGAGAGACGCTGGAAGGCCTTCAAAGTAGTCTGCGGACTGCTGACTACGTGATCGAGTCATCGAGGGGTGATTGTACTGAAAAGCATCGTATGCTGCTTCATCCTGAGTGTAGGGACTCTGGCGAATCGTATCTGGCTCGAGGAAGACTTGAGGAAACGAAGGATGAATGCCCCAGAGTTCTGGTATCGGTCCCGATTCCGAGCATGGGAGCTGGTCTCTGTCTTCATCGTACTCAGCTGACCTGCGCAGAGGCATCCTCTTCGAGCTGCTCCAAGGCGTAGGGCCTTCGCAGCAAGGTCATCAGTACTAGTACCACGACCCTACACGGTGACAGAAAAGCAGAACAGAGATCCCGCTCTCGCAAATCATTGATGCCTCGGCCAATCTCGACTTGTCGACTTTCCTGCTATAACGGGCGAAATGTCACTCCAACCTTGCGTGCTCCAGTCGACAAGGATGTACTGATCAAAGTTGTCTTCTGGAACACTGACATCGACCAGGATGATTCCAAGGCTGATATTGAGTCATAGCCTGGTCGGTGCCACTATTTCCGACAGTTTACCAAACTAGAATATCTAGCCTGGCTTTTATGCCATGATCAGATTGCATATAGGCCGATGTGTTGAAGCACAAGCCATCTTGTGCTCAGAGAAGCTTTTGCCTGACCAGGAACAGCCGCCCTATACTGGCGCTATCAGAAACTTGGATTACTTGGCTAATCTGCACTGCCCGGTATAGGTATTTGATCACGCTGGTGCAATCTACGCTAATGGTGCGGTGCCGCGAACGCTGAGTAGCTCTGGACATGATTGATGGATAATCCGGCCAAGCACACTTTGGAAAGCACTCGTCACTGCGCGAGTGATCCGATCGCAGCCACTGATGAGCGTTGTCGCCTGTTACCGATGCAGGACTGACTGATAGCAAGCGGACTTGCTCACACAGTGGCCTAAGCGCGATGTATGACTCCTCGCCTTCAACATCGTGGGTGCTGCATTCTGTGATGCAGCAGATCTTCAGCCTCTCCTTGTGCCCATAGCAAGAGATTCAGGGCATCTCTGCACGATGTGGTGCTGCGGTAATAAGAGGTAGAGTGGCAAGATCGATTTTCTTGGCTCAATCCCTCGGCAGGTCGTGCCTTCCTCCAGAATGCCGAGTAATGTTGGAAGAAGGGATCAATTTTGCGCAGGTTTCCTCTCATGAGCGCATACGCTGGCTTGTGATTTGAAGACAAGACATGAACGTCAATTGCGCATCGCATGAATGAATCCGCCATTTGCCCACCTTCTTCAGTCGCCCATGCCATGTACAGTACATGGCGAAGCAGATCTTGAACTTGTCGGCGAGGAGCTCTCGGAAACGAGAAAGCTCCCCTTCCTCTCCCCACTTTTGCCTCCCTTCTCCGTCTTCGTCGTCCGTCCTCTCTCCAAAATCGCCAAAATCGAAGCCATCGTCAACAATTCCAAAGATTGCTCCATATCACAATAAATCTCCAAGACCGCTCCTCCAGAAAGTTTTGTCCGATACTCCGCCAACGGCTCCGCAGAAATCGCATCCATCAACTCAAAGTCTTTCAAATCCCCTCCTTTCCCACTACTCCCGCCCCCACGCCCATTCAACCACGACTCCTTCTCCCTCCACCTCAAAACCCTCTCATTCGCATTAAACGTCCAAATCCCAGTACTATTCTGCACAACAGGTAACCACACCGTCGCACCTTTCTCGGGATTCCCGACGAAAATGTGACATTCTCTTCTTCCGGCTTTTGTTCCTGCTACGATTTCTCGGCCTGGTAATGAGGCGATTGTAATCATGGGTCTTCGACCGGGTCGTTGGGTTTTGCGTTTTATGGTGTAGGGTTGTAAGCCGGAGTTGTGGCAGTGGACTTCTTTGATGTCTTCGGTGCTGGGGAGGATTGTGAAGGTTCTTTGAGGGGTGGGGAGGAGGTCGTGTGGGGAGAAGATTATGGGGAGGGCGGTTGTTGTTGTTGAGAGGCTTCGGGAGCGAGGGTCTTGGGATACGGATTGTGATTGAGGTTGTGGTGGGTTGGGGAATTTGTGGAGGATGTTGGTGTTGTGGTTATGGTGGTCTTCTGTTGGGGAGAGGAGGGCTGTTTCCGTCATTGTTGGAAATAATTGACGTTCTTCTTGTTCGTTGTTGCTGGCGTCTCTGCAAGTATTATGAGTCCGCTCTTCTCTGCCTCTCGGACAAAATCGTTCAGCGGATCGTGAGCTTCGTGCGGAGTAGTTCTTTTCTCTCAACAAACTTCAATGCCAAAGTATCTTGATACTTTCGCCTCGTCATTATCACTTGGGTGTGACCCAGGGTCTAGCGGGAAGCAAGGAGACACACCAATTGCGTAGTAACGCTTGACTGGAATGTCGCAATGTGCGCGTTTCCGATGCGACAGGGATCTCTATGTGTGACAGGTGGTCGAGACCTCTAAGTTACCAGGGTCTATACGCAGAGTGTGTCGCTTTCTATATGACGTGCTTTAGCTTTGTGATCTATGGCCTTCACTGTGATCGTCATCAAACTCTCGTTCTATTTTGACATTGCAGGTCGGCAGATGCTCGTGTGCCATACCGTCTGGTGATGTGTGCCGTGATGAGTGGTGACATCTGTGCACATCTTTTGCGCCGATCGATGATGGATGTGCGCGTGCTCAATTGAACACCACAGTCTTGGTGCCGTTCAAGAACAATCTCTTCTCCGCCCACCATTTGACTGCCGCAGCCAAGGTCTGGCTTTCAACATTACTGCCCTCTTCTACCAATTCTTTTGGATCCATGCTGTGATCCACTCTCGCAATCCTTTGCTCAATAATTGGTCCCTCATCCAGATCGGCAGTGACAAAATGTGCCGTCGCTCCAATGATCTTCACTCCGCGGTCGTAAGCCTGATGGTAAGGCTTGGCGCCCTTAAAAGAAGGCAAGAAAGAATGATGAATGTTGATGATCTTGCCGGACATCGCCTCGCAAAGCGTGGGAGACAGGACTTGCATGTATCGTGCCAGGACGATGAGGTCGACATTGTGTGATTTCACAAGCTCCAGGATCTTGCCCTCTTGCTCGGCTTTGGTGTCCTTGGTCACGGGCAAGTGATGGAAGGGCACATTGTAGCTCTTGGCCAGGTTTTCAAATTCAGGGTGGTTGGAAACAATCGCTGGGATCTCAATGTTCAATTGTCCTGTGCTTTGGCGGAATAGGAGGTCGTTCAATGCGTGTCCGATCTTAGAGACCATGATGAGGACTTTGGGCTTGTGCGAACGAGGCACGATATCATATTGCATCTTCAGATCAGATGCCAGTTCACCGAATGGCTCGGCAAGATGTTGTGTAGAGTCGGCATGGCCAAAGTGGATTCGCATGAAGAACTTCTGCTGCTCGACATCGGAGTATTGCTGCAGATCCAGAATGTTCAGATTATGCTTAGCCAGAACTCCAGTCACAGTGTGGATAATTCCAGGCTTATCCGGGCACGACAACGTCAGAATATGATCTTTCGTCATATCTGAAATCGATATCCTGTTCGACTGTGTCTTCTTAGTGGCGTATCCTGCTCGTCCCAAAGTGCGAAGTCCTTGCGCGGCGAAGCTCGTAGTTGGTGTCGCTGATGACAATGTTGAAAGTCGTGCAGCAGTCCGGAAAGCGGCCATTAATCTTCACTCAAGTGTTGAACTGATAATCGTGACAACTGTGTCCTCTGGGACGTCTCCGTGGTGATTCATTGTCGTACGTCTTGGCCCTCGCACGAGCCATCTGCCGAAAGTTTTCACCTCCGACAACGGGCCACAATGGCTTTCTTGCTTATGCCGACAAGGTGAAACTGCGGGCGACGACAAAGTTCTATCGATGACATTTTGGACAACGGAGAGCAGCAGAGTCAAAAGGGCGATCGGGATGAGTGAGATGAGATGGAGTGAGTGCTGTGTTTGATGCGAAGCTGCCTGAAGCGATCTAGTTGGCCGCTGCCTCGATCCTGGCCGCCCTCGGCCGCCCGCAAGACGTGCATGGGATACGATCGACCACAGAACTCGTCTCTCCTACTCCACTATAAGAGAATGTCTATGGCAAGCCTGACCCAACTCTGACTGGCCATCGGAAAAGCCGCGATGAACTTGCTCTCGTTCCACAAAGAAAGCACAATCGCAATACAGCCAAGCCGTTGCGCAGCTGTGGCTACGAACACGACCATCTCGTGGGAGACCATCTCGTGCATGACAGTAAGGGCATGGCCTTCCAGTGGGCTTCTTAGCTCGACTGTCCGCAACGTGTGCGCGACTGTATCTCGGAAAAGCAGATAGGCGAGAGCAAGGTGGAAAAGTGGTTGCACACAGCGCTGAATCGTCCAAATGATGCCACATCTCTCGAGTTTCCACAATGTAGCCACCCACGTCGTACACCAGTGTGCCGACCACGTAAGAAGACCAAGACCCGCGTTACAAGATGCGAGCCACAGGCCTGGAATGAGATTGGCCTGAACCATGTCGGTCTTGCCCGATAGGAGAAATATTGAATCTGACCGGACAAGCAGAGTCATTACAGCCGCCGTGATGCTCCACACAAGGGTGTACAAGTCCAGCAAGATTGCAGTGGACCAAACAGTATCCGCGAACGCCATCTGAAAACTGGCAACCTGCAGTCTGAGCGATTTCGGTTGAATCTCAACCTGGCAGAGCGGACACCTTCGGACTTGTGGGCTGTTGACGATGTGCTTCTCGATGCACGCCTCACAGTAAACATGACCACAAGATAGCGATAGCGGCGTTGGTCGTTCGTCTGGGTCTGAGAATTTCTGCTTGCAGAGTGGACACTCTTGATTAGGGTCGATATCGCTTGCTTTTGGCGAGAAGAGTGTCGATGTGAAATCTTGTCCCAATCCGATTTGTCTCTCAGCTTTCTCAGATTCGATGCGCCGGAACTTCCGCCAAGCGTGGATGCTGATTTGCCATATGGAAAGCAAAATCGCGAAGAACAGCACAATGATGGTGCCAGATTTAGCGTTTGTGGCGGGCCATGAAATGCGTGGGAAGTCGAAAACCAGCAGAACAATGTGTCCGAAGACGAATGCGATCAGGCCCTCTCTTGACATACTTTCTGAAGATGCTTGTGGGCAATGATCGTGCTTTGCGAATGTGATGTTTTGGGAGAGGAAGATGGGCTTGAGAGGCAAGCTTATAAACTACAGATCTTGCGCAGGAGCAAACGCTGCATAAAGAGCAGGCGCCATGTCGGAGACTCAACACACCGTCTTCCACTGCTCTTTCCAGACATGTGTGAGCATCATAACAAGTTCAGCTCATCGCAAAACAAAAACGCTGAATACAAATTAAAGACCCCTGCCTGTATGTTCGAGTGCTCAAGCTAAAAGACGTGTTGCTGAGAACCCTTACACGTGGACGAGAGACGCCTGTAAATGTCGTGTATGACCTGATACGCACACGAAAGAGGCACCTCCGCAAGATGTGCATCGATACTTCAAGAACAACTCCATGCGCCTAGCCTACAACAGAATATCCACAAGCCGCCTCACCCACCTCTGATCCTCCATTCTCAAAGCCGACACAACCCATGTCCCGTCCAGAAGCGCAAGCCCATGCACAATCCACGGCAAAACCATAAGAACAAAATGACCAGCCCGCAAATCCACCAGCGTAGCCGGCTGAGTAGGATTCTTGATCGCGCTGTCATAAGCCAGCAAGCTGAGCATGAAATGCAAAACAGGGAGTAAAACGCGCTGAGTCGTCCCCACAATACCACAGCTCTCCCCATTTCGTGAAGTTATCCACCACGTCAAAGCCCAACTCAACGACCCTCCCAGAAGATCCAGTGCTGCGCTGACAAAATCAAGTACGTAGTACATGTCCATTCCAGCACGTCCGATAGTCCTCGTGCCCATCGGCAGAGGAGTCGTTGGAAACGATGTTGCTTCATTGCGAAAGAACATCCAGACAGCAGCGAAGAGCATCGCGATGCACTGGAACATTGACATGGACCAGACAGTACTCGCGAACGCCATCTGCAAGCTCACAATCTTCGATCGAAGTGACTGCTGCGATATTGGTCGTCGGCAGAGTGGACAGTCCGCGATTCGCCTCTGCTTGACAACGTAATCTTCGATACACGTCTTGCACCAAATATGTCCGCAAGGCAAGGCGAGCGGAGTAAGCTTTTCCCCCGGATCGAGAAACTTTGCCTTGCAAATAGGACATTCCTCTTCCGCATCCAGGCTGCTTTTCAAAACGAGCCGAAATGTTGAAGTGAAGTGTTTGTCTGGCTCGAGTCGCTTTCGAGCTCTCACGGACTCGAGCGCACGGTAGAAGGCCCAAACGTGACTGACCAGTGGGATGAAGAAACAGAGATGACGGACTGAACCAAGGACACGGCAGATCAATGCCAGGCAGTCTTCAGTCTTGGTACTGCTTGCTGGGATCAGTGGGAAGTCGAGGAACATGGCCAGAAAGATGGAGACGATTGAAGCGTGTCCGAACATCTTGGCTGATGCTTTTTGTGGCAGTCCTTGAGCTTGACTCGGTTCAAACCTCTTGAGAGTGTTGTGTCTTGGATGACTGCACAAGGTTGGGAAGTGGCTCGAGAAATATGTTCTTGTATCGGGTGTAAGTGCGACCATAATGAGTGTGCGGGGCTTTTCTCAGTGGAAGAAGGTCAGAAAATGGCATCGGGTAAGTGAATGTCTTTGTAAATTCACTCCTATGCGCCGGTCACCACACGTGGACAAGTTGGGAGACACTCATCACGTAGCGCAGAAGAAACAAATGTATATTCCTCGCTCGGTCAGTCCAACTCAGAGCAATCCCGTCATACCAAAGCGGTCGCTCTTCATTCAATGCACACCTTGCCTGCCACCCACAAATGCACGATACGAATACCGCCAAGAGATGGATTGCCCAGTCGCTTCAAAATAACGACTGTATCATGGCAGCTCCATTGCGCTGTATGCTCCAATTCTCATGTCCCAAGCTTCGTTTCCATCAGCCTCTCGCCCCAGCGCCAATATTCGAGCCAGAGTTGTGCTTCCGAAAATAGATGCTTCTGTGAGAGGAGGCGCTGAGATCTTTGCGGGTCGCTGTGTCTGGTGCCTCTGGGTCGAGCTGCTTAATGAAGATAAATGATGCGGAGAGATGTTGCGAGTGTTCGTGGTTGGGGGAAGCATGAAATGGCTTCAAGTAGTGGCGAAGGTGCGCTGGATCAGAGAAAGGTGCAGTGGCAGGTCCGTCGCCGTACGTGCCTAGACAAGAACGTTCAGCTCAAGCGTTCTGTTGCGCCTGCCTGTCGCCTCGATATCAGTTCAGTTGTACCATCCCCATCCCAAGTAAGGAGGCTGAGAGATAATCACGCAGGCCCAATGCCGCGCGTACTGTACATTGCTTCCCTATAGCATGCTGGGCTCGGCTGTCACAGTTTTGTTGCATTTTCCGCCACCAACCCCTCTATCGTGCATTCTTCCTCTCAGCAGCGGCTCTCTTCGCCCTCACTTCTGCTCTCCGCCTCTCGCCACCATCAACCTTGTGACCTCTCTTCTGCTCCCATAGGCCTTCCTTGACTTTCAGCACAGCAACTCCCTGATATCCCTTCAGATATTCAATCCCTGTGCCGCCGATCGTGTTCGCCCTCACAATCTTCGTTCCCTTCACCGTACTGACCTCCTTCCTGCCAACCTTCGGGGGAGGCGCCAACCGATCCATGATACTCCTCTTCTCCTGACTCCCCTCACCTTCTAGCGCCTTCAGAGCCTGCGGCGGTGTATTTGAAATCACCTTCGCAACGCCCTCACTTCTCGACAAAGTTGCTGGCGTCACATACTTCTCCTCCCCAGACTTGAACTGCTTGGGCACTTCTACTATCCTCAGCTCAGCGGCCACCTTGTCCCCAACCTTCGTCGCGTGTTTCACATCACCGCCCATGCCGTAGATGCCTTGTCGAAATCGCTCGCGCCACCAGAGGAGATATCTTCTTGCGCGAGCGGGTTCCAGGCCGGATTCTTTGAGTTGCTCGGAGGATAGTGTGAAGAGAGCTTCCCATGATGGGATTTTGGACTCATGTTTGGACATGCCGCGGCCGATGAGCGTGAGAAATGTGGACACGTCAGGAACGAATGGTGTCGGTTTGGGAATTTGAGGAGGTGGTTTGTTTAAGGCGTGTAGTGAGCGGCATTGCCTGCATGTTGTGGCTGGCGCTGAGGCCAATCGTAATAATGAAGGCAGCTGGAGGAGTGTGAGAGGCCGTTTGAGCGCCATGTTGACTGCGATGTTAGAGTAGATGTATGCGGGTGTCGTCGATGCTGGCCATGAAGGTATGCGGCGGACGCGGGAATGGACTGCGAACCCCGAAGTAAAGCCGAACACCATATGAGGGACGACGCGACAACAACGCTGCTACGATAGACACGCGATCGCATTTCTCGCCATGGCCGCGCCGCGCAGTCTGAAGTCGCCTGCGCTCGATGTCCCTCCGGAGCCACCACTGAAGCGCCTCAAATTGACTGACACGGCCCCAACGAGCACCCAGAACTCCACCCCAGGACCCAACTCTCCAACATCTCCTTCAGCAACAGCTGATCTCGCCGAACAACTCGACGCCGAGCTGCGCAACAAATACGTAAAAGGCAAAAAGCTCGGCTCAGGTCAATACGCCGACGTCTTCTCCGCCCACGAACGCGACGACCCCACCAAACTCGTCGCAATCAAAAAGATCAAAGTCGGCGCCGAAGCCAAAGAATTCGGCATATCCTACGACTCCCTCCGCGAAATCAAATTCCTCCAAGAACTCGACCACCCCAACATCATCAAACTGCACGCCGTCTTCTCCACCAAAGGCCAGAATCTCAACCTCGTCCTCGAACAATTACCCCAAGGCGATTTGTTGAAATTGATTCAAGACACGACGAATATCAGTTACACTCCTGCGGATATCAAGAGTTGGATGCTCATGCTACAACGCGCAATACATTTCTGTCATGCGAATTTTATTTTGCATCGGGATATTAAGCCGAACAACTTGTTGATTGCGAGTAATGGGGAGATTAAATTGGCGGATTTTGGTCTGGCGAGGAGTTTTGCGGATCCGTATCAGAATATGACGAGTCAGACGATTACGATTTGGTATCGTCCGCCCGAGCTGTTCTACCAGGCGAAGCATTATGGCGGGGCGGTGGATATCTGGAGTTGTGGGTGTGTGTTCGCGGAGTTGATTGCGAGAGATGTGTTGTTTCGCGCGTGGCCGGAGAGTGAGTTGGGGATGGTAAAGTTGATTTCGGAGAAAGTGGGGACGCCTACTGAGCAGAATTGGCCCGGGGTGACTTCTTTGCCGGGGTATATCACGCCTGAGCCTGTGATTCCTGTGAAGCCGAGGAGTTATTGGGAGGCGACTTTCAGGGCGATTGGTGAAGTGGGTGTGGATTTGCTCATTGGGATGCTGATGTTGGATCCGAGAAAGAGGTTGAGTGCCGAGGGCGTATTGAAGCATCCATTTTGGACGAGTGATCCTCGACCAAGCAAGCTGGAGGACCTACCTCGTAAGGGTGGCGGTGTCGAGCAGATGGGCGAAGACCTGAAGAGAAGAGGCGGAGAGCTGCTGGTGAAGGAAGAAGGCAGAGACCGAGGAGACAAGGTTGCAAGGAAGCTGTTCTAGGACCGCGACTTCGGACGAGTGTACGAACGTAACGATGATACGATATAAAACGACAGGACTTGGACACAGGAATCAGTCCTTGTAAGATAGATGGGCGATTCTAGCGTTGGATGAACACTTTCCAGCCATGACTCCGAGAACGTTCAGGCTCCGGGCAGTACCACGATCGAGGGCTCATGGCGTGAAGGCCGCCAAGGATCGCAAATGCATAGTAAGAACAAAGAGATCAACATGCCACATGTTGTCTGACCTGATGTAGCCTTTTCCGGTACCGCGTGTCTTTGTCCATAATGTCCAGATGTTCGTGACTGCCTCTTGAGGATAACATTAGCTTCACCGTGGCACCTGCACTCCCATCCATCCCAAGGATTTCAAGCAAGCGCAAGCAAAGGTCTTGAATACAATGCGTCACCGACGCGGACGAGAAATGCATGCACCGGTGAAGACATGGAGCATCGCTCAGCTCTATTAACAACACCGAAGCCAACCTGCAGTGCCTGGAAATGGCAGAGAACCTGGATCTCCGGCCGAGAGACTGAACTCCTGATCTTGCATTCGGAAATGCCAAAGTGAACGCGCATATTCTCCTGTGCACACTTATATCAAGCAATATTTCGGCGAGGGAGATGTCGGCCGGTGCTTACCTGGACCAATGGAAAGAGTTGTGACAAGTCCTCTCCAAGTGCAACTCGAAGCGACTGCTGGTTGCACTGCACCTGTGCAGAGAAAGCCAAGGTGCCATTCAAGCTTCCCCTTCGCGGAGCCAGATGAACTCGATATCGAGCCTCACCTGGAGAGGAAAGGTCACTGCACTGCAATGCATGGTGGAAGATACCGTAGTGCTAATGCAATCCCGACTCTTGTATGGCATATTGGTCTCACGCCCAAAGCAGGCAGATTTGGCATCAAGATCACAGCCCGGTTCTATGAATCTGGGGGCTGTCGCCCGAATCCCGACCCAAGACTTCCCTTGCTCTTTCCGACCTTCATCGGGCTCTTGTCATGTCCAGCTGTCGGTACACCTATCGAGCGTCTGACATCAGTGCCGACGTGGGATTCTGAAGCCAGGAAGCAGCGCAGATGAGCGTGCAAGCTATCACGAACCTGGACGCTCGAAAGAAGGTGTTCATCGGGAGAAACATTGGTTCGGACGAGTGCTGGCTCTGTATCGAGTCAAGGAGTTGAGCTTGTGAGCGAGGGCGCGCATGCTGGCGCTACTATCCCGTCAGTTGCAATCACAGGGGGCAGAACAGTGAGCTGCGTATTATGGAAGAGCTGGCACAACCGACCGACGAGAGATGCCTCCGGACAGGTTCATTTCGTTGCTCCCAGTGGCGATGTCTTACGACAGAGCGGTGAAGCATGAAGGAAGGCCGCTCAGTACTAGCAGAACGCTTCGCCGCAAGACCAACCAGCGACATCACTGAGCGAACGGAAGCCAGAGAGCTCGAAAAAGCCGTTGGCGTGACGCGGTCCTGTTATCGGCGGCCAGTGTGTCGTTCGAGACGCTGTTCCTCCAATGTCTGGTGGGAGAACATAGGATTCCATCACCCTCGGAGCCATGAGGGACGAGCCTACGAACGACGGTCTCTTGGCTGATGTAGGGAACCAGGCAATTACCTCAAGGTTCTTCGGTGTGGCCGTAAAGCCATGTGTTGCAGGCGCAGTGTCGAAGAAGAGTGTGTGTTCAAATCCGATGCGGCTATCCTAGGTCATCCTGGAGTCGAGTACCGACCCTCCTTCTCCTGTTAGGCGACTGCCTTTTGCGCTCCCCCTCGTCATTCATGCTGCGCTCACATAGCTGCAGCATAGCGATGCAAGGACACTACCAGAAGGATGCCGCTCCACGGTGGGAAGCCCATCTCAGGCTTCGACAGTGTCCATCCTGCGCCTAGCATTGAGCCCTGCGCTTCGAACGGCTCCTCTAGCGAGTTGGTCCTCAAACACCAGACCGGCCAGCAGAAGAGCTCACAGATCGAAAGCTGCTCATGCGACCGGCATAGGACTCAACAAATTCATCAGCTCAGCGTTGCGCTGGTGCTCTGCGCCTTTTCTCTGTCCGCAGAGCGTTAATTCTGCGCACAGCAGTATAGTATGTGGCCTGTTTCCTCCTTCCAGGATCCAACCAATTCCCACATGAAAATAATGCGCTGATGACCCATGCCGAACCCCGTCGTCGATCCGCTTTGACCGTGCAGCTATCCTCTCATAAGTCGGCCGGTATCCGCTCGTGTTGAACAAGACTGGAATGAGCAGACGATAAATCGACCGTTGTTGATGTATGACATGCCTTCGAGCATCTTTGCAAGCCCGTTCGCTGTGGCCATCGATCAACGACCATGTCAACAGAGCAACACCAAGCTCTTCGCCGTCGGCGACGCCGGCCCCATAGGCATTGTCCGAATCCTGGCCGTATCGATGCTGCCCTAGCAGCAGTATTCGGACTGCTCTTCCATTTCCCCGCCAGCTATTGTAAGCTCGATCCCGTCGATTGAAGCGCTGTTTCTTTCTCGAACGCGATGCGCTCACATCGGTTCAAGGATGAGGCGGCGAATTTATGCGGGCTGCGCTTACATTGCTGGGTGGATGAGGGAAGGTGTTGAATCGATCAGGGTGGAGCGGGCGAAGGATACGATCCCTCTTCGTGGACAATGGAGAGTTCGGATCGGTTGTGGGTCGCGGAAGCAGGACGGTTTGCGCTCGTGCAGTGTCTTCGTCAAAAGCGTTGCGCTCGAAGCGTTTCGGGGTGGACACTGCGAAGCTTATGATGGCGTGAAGGCTGTGCCACCGGAGAAGTGTTAGGATGGGCTGTATCAGTCACATCTGCAACGGATGAAGAAGGCGGTCTCTTCTGCTGGAATATCGTGCGCCTGGTTGGACGAAGGGCAGATCTGATGTTGCTCCACTGGCCGGATGCTGGAGCGCGGTAAATCAGTCGGAAGAGGATTCGCGAAGGAGGCAATCTCTTCTGGATGGTCGTGCGCCTGGACAAGTCGATGGCGAAGCTGGCAAGACGCTTTCCGCTGTTGTCTCATCTCGCTGGAAAGTTTTTACGCTCGCGGCGTTCTGCGCCATGATCAACAACATGGCGCATGGTGAAACAGTCAGCGTTGACGCTGGTGGAGGACGCAAGTCTCTCTTCATGAACCATCATGTGCTCGAGAAGTGATCAGGGACAGGCGGGTCAAGACCGAGGGGAACGCTGTTGTTTGACTGTTAGAGGCGTGGTCGATCAAGGTGAATGGATGCGCTGCTCAAGAGCGGCGCTGAAGAAGGAAATAAATCCTTTGCATCGATCATCGGCCGCCCAAGTAGCAGTCTTCAACGGTGAGAGCCGCGAAATACTTGGTCGAGTTGTTGCTTGACTCTCTGCTGTGGTCCTCGTGGTGCTCTGCTCAACAAACGCGCTGCACAAGCAACCTGCTCGGCACCAGAATAGTTTCTTCATCCTCATCGCCAGTCGCTCCAGTAGCGCTTGACAAGGGATGCTGCAAAGCAAAACGACGAGCTGGCGCTTAGCAGTCAACACTATGGCAGATCACGCCGGACTACATGGAAGGGGCTCGAGCCTGCGCCATCGGCGGACCCGGTGACAATGGTACGGTTTCCAACAAGCAGCGCGCGCGGGTCTTGCTCAACAGGGCGACAACCACAACAGAAACGAACGAACGGTTTGGACTACCAAAGAGGGCGCAACACGATGGGCCATGGCAGACACGCCTCGGCCGGCGCTGGGAACAGACACAATTCCTTCTTCGTGAACCAGCGCACGCACGAATCGATCACAGCGGCGGACGTAAAACGGCAACGGACAGATAGGGTTTGAATCGACAGACCATGATGGAACACGACGAACCCAATACGCGCGCGATCCTAAACGATGCGATACCTTCTCCCTCGATCGAACTCACGCTCGAAACGATGCGATATCTTCTCCTTTCGCGGATCCACGCTCGAAACGATGGCGACAAGATGGCTACGGGCCTCAGAATACGAATGGTCTGCAGACGGGATGCATGGGGTATGCTAGACTACGAGGAAGGATGATACAAAGGCGGAGCTGATGGATGAGATGATTTCCTCTACATTCATTGCTGCGCGCTCAAAGTCGGATAGGAAGGGAATGGTTAAAAGACTGAGCGAATGGTTCTCGGTCTTGTGGGAAACGATGAGACATGGACAATCGATCCCTGTGGCGTTCACAACGATGCGGAAAATTCTTCCTCGAACCAGCGCGCCTGATTCGAACAGGATCGGAGGCTGTTATGAGCATGGAAGCTTTGCTTTCCGAGCATGGGGGCATGAAAACAGGCGGTGGATGTGCTGGGGCTGAAGATGGCAAAGAAGTCAACCCTTCGTTCTTCAGCGAGCACGCTCGATTCGGCGGACAGGGCAGCTGGTCACGGATACGAACAAATCGTTGTGGGACAAGAAATGCGAGGGATGGCATTTTGGACCAATTAAGAGTGGCGCCTGCAATTGACACCGGCTTACTTGCGCGCGCGCTCGGGATGATCAAGGTTGGGAATATCTTGCGGACACGGACAGATACTGAATCAGTAGAAGCATGGTGAGCCAAGGTGGGTCATTTGGCTACGGGGCTGGAAAGTGGTATGCACATGGTTGGTCACGCATTGAACGGCATCATGGATGGAGCACGGTGGATGTGTTGATAGCGAAACCTGGAAGTAAGCTGCGTCTTCTCCGTCCAGCGAGCGCATCTGATCACAACAGTGGTCAGGCCATCGGTGTACGTTGTCGTTGGACTGCCATGAGCAGAACAGACGGTGGTGAATCGATTTGGGCCAGCGGCGGGTGGATGTAGGACTTTCCTGCTCGAATAAGCGCCCTTGACCCGATGGATACAGGAAGTGGTCATGGATAGGGACACACCGAGTGCTGCTGGCCATTTAGCGCTGCAATCATGGCTCATGAGTCGAACGGCGGCCGGCCTGGCAGGAAAGACGCCTTTGTGCTTGGTCGAGCGCGCGCTCGAATTGTTGGGTTTAAACGCGATATGAAGCGTACGCAAGCTGTCGTTTGGACAAGTTGTCGCGTGATGGGCTATAGAGATCTAGATAGAAGCTGGAGTAGCACGGCCTTCTGCCATCGATGGTTCATGAGTGCACCATTGACCACGGCTGCGTTGGCGATGGAGTACACGAGCGGCTCTTGAGCCAGCCATGGATGACACAATAGATCACGGTGAATCGTTCAGAAGCGGAGCTGCCGTTGAAGATATGCTTTCGTGGGGAGTTCCCAGTCGTTTCTGATCATGGAAGACTGGCATAGAGGTCGAAACGATCGATCAAGCTGCAGACAATGAGGCGTATCGAAAGACATGTTGGTGTGCTGCCCTCGAGGGGCCCTTGGTGCCTCGAACAACTGTCCCCAGACAAAGGTGAAAGGTCAAAAGGCTCTCATTTGAAGCAGATCAGGCATCAGGGCAATGATTGTTGCGTTTCACTTGTTGGCTTCGCTTGTCTTCCGCTGCAGCTGACCGTTGCACACACAGCATAAAAACCCCTTCGCTCGTCAGCACTTTTTGTCCATCAACACCAACATCATCCGCACTTCCTGACCGTGTCAAAGCGCTTCTTCAACGCATCAACAGACTTCTCCAGCACATCGACGCTTTCTTAGTGCACCAACGCGGTTGATCACCGCACGCACCGCGCAAAACCGCCGTCGCCGGTCACCACTTCCTTCACACAATCAACACCGACAACATCCGCACCTCTTGACCGTGCCAAAGCAGGTCTTCAACGCATCAACACACTTCTGCGCCTCGACGCTCTTTCAGCGCATCAACGCAGATTTCAACCGCACAAACAGCGAAACCCCCTGTCGCCGGTCATCACTTCGTTTACATCAGTACCAACACCATCCGCACTTATTGATCGCATCCGCACGCTTCTTAGCACATCAAACAATCGCTGCAGCGCGTCGACACAGTTCCTCCGCGTACCCGCCTTCGTCGGTTGCCGCTTCCCTTTCATCATCATCATCAACGCCACTTAGAGGTCTTCACCGTCCTCGTCGAATCAACGCATTTGTTGAGCGCACCAAAGCTGTTCTCCACGGTACGTGCAGTACAACCTCGCCTTGATCGATCACAGCTAACTTTTTCATCATCAGCGACACCATACGGAGATTTTCAACGCCTCGCCATCCTCACCGCATCAACGCACAACACTCGTCCATTACCACCAACAACAACAACCGCTCTTCTACACCTTAGCAAACGATCGAAACCATGGCACAAAAGCAACCACTCGTCAACACCATGAGGGGCTACGAACGCGACTTCGCCGCTCCTGCTCCGCTCGCATCGAAGAGCGAGGCAGAAGCCCTGCTCGCCCGTAACCGGGAGCTCGTCGACGACACCCTGTGGCTGGTGTCTGAGTACTACCTGACCGTCGAGCTACTCGACTATCAACGCAAGGTCACTAACAACAACAACCTGACCATCAAAGAAGTTGAGGAGGGCATCAAGAAGGCGTTGAAGAGATGCGCTCACCTCAGCGGTATCGACGAGAACAAAGACGTTGGTCGATTCCGCTACGAGTCGTGCAAGCGACGTATCGCCAATCTCGAGGCGAGACTCGTCGATGAGCCTGATCTGGAGCAATACGGCCTCAACGATCTCAAGGCTATGGTCCGCCAGCTCCGCTACCACGACGAAGACGAAGAGGGTCGCAAGAGAGTTACCTTCTTCGATAGGGACGAGATCCACCACCTTCCACCAGTCTCCGACGATGCAGAAGACAACCCCGAGCTCGATCAAAGCAATCCCGACTTCGACCCCGAAGTCTCCGCTGCCTCCGCCGCTCCACCGACTACGACCGCTGCTCCCAAGCCTACGCGTAGATACAATCGCCGTGGCGCTGCTCCTCGCCCAAACCCCGACATGCCCAAGCCTGCCGTCAAAGCTCGCTACGGTACCCAAGCCGCTCAGATGGCTGAGCGCACCTCCCGCTTCGAGGACTGGGCCCCTCGCATCTCGTACTTCGGCAATCGCACCGAGCACTCTCGCCAATGGGTTGGTTTCCGCAAGGCTCGCCGCAACCTCCGTAACGACGAGCGCAATCGTCTGCGCAAAGAGATACCAAGACTGGAGGAAGAGCTGGCAAAATGCCGCAAGGACTTGGAGGAGATGAAGGAGGCAGACGAGATGGAGGAGAGACTGTATGGGGACAGGATGAGACAGGGCCAGCAAGAACAGGACCGTCTCGATGCCTGGGAGAAGTTCCTCAATCTGGAGAGCGACGTGGAGCCAGAGCTGGATGAGTACGGATACGTGCTTGCTTCTGCCGAGGGAAGAGAGGAGGGTGGTGCTGAGGAGGGAGAAGGAGAGGGCGAGGTGGAGATGGGAGGAGTGGAGTAGAGGGTGGAGGAGGATTTGGGGGTGGGAGGATATCCTCCGTACGTTCAAATGATGCCTAAGGCGTCAAAATAGGCTGCGCTTTTCGCGTAGATACTGCATACGAATCTCTTCTCTCTGACTTCATTTTCCCATTTGTGGCATTCGATCGTCATATGCCTCGTGATTGGGACAATGCATTGTCCCAGAGACTGCAATTTTGATGCAATTCTGAGCCATTTTTCTGACTTCAGCTTCGTATTTGTGGCATTCCGTCGTCATATGCCTCGCGGTAGAGACGTTGCATTATTCCAGAGATTGTATCTTTGAGGCCATTTCGAGCCTGTCACTCTGCTTTCATACCCATATTCATGTTCCTCGGTCGTTAAATGCCTCGTGATAGTGACAATGCGTTATTCCAGAGACTGGAATTCTGATCCAATTTTGAGCCATTACTCTGCTTTGATGTTCGTATTCGTGGCGTTCAATGGTCATAGACCTCGTGGTAGAGACACTGCATTATTCCAGAGACTGTAGTTTTGATGCCATTTTGAGCTATTACTCTGCTTCGATATCAGTATTCGTAGCATGCAATAGTCAGAAGCCTTCCGATAGTTATCACGAATTCTTCCAGAAACTGCAGTTTTGAGCCTATTACTCTGCTTCCATATCTATATTCGTGGCATACAATATGGAAAAGCCCCTTGATAGTGACTAAGAATTCTTTCAGAGAGTGCGTTTTTGAGCCCATAACTCTGCTTCCATACTCGCATTCGTGGCATGCAGTATAAAGACCCTTTCGACCGTAATCAGGTATCTTCTCAGAGACTGCAGTTTTGAGACTGAAACTCTGCTTTTATATTAGCATCCGTGGCATGCAATATAGAGAGTTTCTCGATGGTAACAATGCGGTCTCCCTGAGAGTGCACTTTTGGGCCCATGACTCTGAAGCGTCGTTCTTATTCGAGGCATTCGATAGGCAAAAGGCTCCGGTTGACGACAAAGCAGTTTTTCTGGGATTGCACACCTGTGCTCGTGTCTCCAATTCCACGTTCGCCTCTGTGGGATTCCATAGTCATATGCCTCGTGCTAGAGACAACGCGTTGTTTCAGAGAATACAGTTGTCGGGGCGTGACTCTGAATTTCTGTTCGCATTGGAGGCACGCAATAGAATAAAGCTTTCTGGTGCTAACAGCTCGAAATGCCGGAGAGTCCTATTCCAGGCTCATGACTCTAACCATCTGTTCTCGTCTATAGTATTTGATGGGCACAAGCTGTTGATGGAGACGGAACGATATTTCTGAGCGTGCAGATTTGGATTTATTACTCTGATTCCAATTTCCCGTTTCTGCCATTCGAGGGGCAAATTTCTCGAAATGGACACGACTCGATCTTCAGAAAACGCAATCTCTAGCTTATCACTCTGATCTCAGGTTCTTCTTCTTGCCATTCAAGAGGCAAATACCTCTCGTCGGAGACACACGATGGTTTTGAGAGTGCGATTGTCAGTCCATCACTCTGATTTCAAGCTCTCGTTCCTGGCATTTGGCTGGCATCAGCTCCAGGGCAAGCATGGAACACTGTCTCTGAGCATGCAGACTTGAGTCTATCGCTCTGGATTCATATTCTGATTTGCTGCCATTCATTGAGTGAAAGCCATCTGATCAATCCAATTCAACGTCTTTGAGAGTAAAATATGAGTTCATCGCTCTGGTTTTATGATTTCATTCGTTGCCATTCGATCTGCAAGAGTCCTCTGATCAATCCAATTCGATTTCTCTGAAATGAGAATTGAATTCATCGCTCTGATTCTATGTGCTCGTTCGTTGCCATTCATCCGCAAAGGCTATCTGATCAATTAGGATAGGGTAGGGTTAAGCTCGTTGAATCTACGCAATTGAATTCTCTTTCGACTGGCGCATTATCCTCAAGGACGGCGCCGACGAACTGGTGGGATGGGAGCAGCTCGCCGCAAAGGATGGCGTCGAACTCGACGCAGAGTTTGGTACTCTAAACCTGCGCCGCCCAGACCAGGCACTTCGACAAGTCAGAGACAAGGTGGACACAGCATTCGAGAATGCCTTGCTGCCCGACCAAATTGGGATCCACCAGAATCGATACGAGCGAGGTGGTGCAGAGCCAGCAGATCTTGCTGACAACCCTGTCATCTGGACGGAAATCTTCACCCAGTTCTCTGGCACACCACCACCGCGTACGACATGGTGAGACACCTTACATTGCCTCAGAATAACACGACAAAGGGCACAAAACATGGAGTCACCACTGAAGACTCACTCGCATATCGCTTCACTACAAGACTCCAACGATGCTGAGCATAGCATCGCAACAATAAGCCTGACCGCACTGGTCTGAAGTAGGTTAGCAGGGCACGATGGAACACGAGGCAATTAAACTACACAAAATGCAAGTCAAACTTCTTCAATTGCTCTTCAATTTCTATAAACTGCTGCCCTCACCAATGTGTACCTCGATGTCTTCGAGCATAGATCTGAAGCGCATCGCTCTGTTTTTGTGTCCTCGTTCGTTGCCACTCAATCAGCATAACCCTCCTGATTGATGCAGTTCGATATCTCTGAGAACAAGATTTGAACTCATGGCTCTGAATATGTGTACTCATTCGCTACTATCCAGTCTGCAGAACTCTGCTGATCAGCCCAATTCACTATCTCTGAGAATAAGATCTAAAACTTGTCACTCTAATCTCAAACTCTCATCTCTGGCATCCAATTAGAAAAAGTCTCTTGGCAAATCCAGTTCAATATCTCTGAGAACAAGATCCGAAGTTGATCGCTCTGATTCAAGGTTCTTATCTGTCGCATTCAGCAGGCACAACTCCTGCAAAAGAGACAGTACATTGTTTCTGAGTACGCAATTCATAGTTCATAACTTCGACTATCTTGTTGAAAGTTTACGCTTCTTTCTCCTACGAATACGCGTTCCTCCGCACGTCCAGTGCATTTCACGGGATCAAATGTGATCATCCATGGCGATTGTGCAAACGTGCACGGGTGGAAGTATCGAGTATAGAGGATGTCGTTCTCAGAATTCATATAGATCACACCCTTTTCCAGCGATGGCCACCGGAGAGTGGCATTGAATGGAGAAACGGCCAGGCAGTGTGCTCGTGCCAAATCGAGAGTGGGCTAAAAATACGACTGTCTCTTAAATGCAGCTGCATGTACAGGGCACTAGGTATGAAGAAGCAGTCCGTTTTGACCGCGCTGCTCATATGAGAACCAGATCAATACGCACTCAGACCAGAACACATCTGCCCCAAAAGGCATTCTCACAGTATGCATATTTACATCTGGACAGTTGTACCCGTAGGTCTCCTTACATTCCTCACTTTCTTATGTACTGAATTCAGCACATACTACGCCCGCGTCCAACATGTTGCCTCGAGGCAACAGCGAAGACCCCGACAAATTAATGCGTTGTATTGAAGCGCAGACGGCGCGAGATGAAAAGATTACAGCGTACGTCTCCAGAAGTAAAGCATGGCTCGAAGCTGTTGAGCAAAGCGATGTGTAGTGCTGCAGAGTTTCGAGCAGGATGGGAGCGTAGATTGGCCCTGATCGCCGCGATGCAGAACGCCAGAGAGCGTATACCACCTCGCAATTAGCAGAGTACAACAACCCGTCGGACACAGACCTTGCAGCTCGTGTAGCGTCTAGCAACGGAGTGCGCTACTAACGATCCGATCGATCGCATTATGTCCTGGTGCTTGCAGATCGATCCCGCGAACCGCCCGAGCATGAGTGAACTCGTCGCAGCTCTGGAAATCGAGCTGGGCCGCCGTGCTGATCCTGTGAACTGGGGGCACATAAGCACACCCTTTCTCCTTCTCAGCCAAGTTTCGAGCAGGATGGGAATTGGCTCTGGCGTCCGATGGAGACCAGTAGAGAATGAAGTTTGAAGCCGATGGACGGAGTAACGCAGCACGTCGCATTGGCTCGAGTATCAAGAGTCAGCAGCGCAACATAAGTGTATCTCATGATTCCGGATCCAGCTCGTTGTGCCACCGTCACTATCCTGCCAGTTGTTGGCCCGGTTCCAACAATTGTTCCAGGCGCTTGCCCGTGAACAGGGCTTTCGAAGACAACCTGGAGGCTGATGTTGAGAGCAAAGGCCACAACCCACATTATATCCTGGTTGCTTCTCAAGTCTGGACATTCGAGTCCAGAGTAAAGAGGTAGCCCCTCACTCCGTTGATAATGGAATTCGCGATTCAAGTACTCTCGGTGGAATGCATGGTCCTGTTGAGCGCGAACTCGGTGAGCAAAGTGCAGGACAGCACGCTTGATGAGGTAGGTCGTCTCATAAGTGCCGGTAAGTCCCTTTGCGATGGCTTCATAGAGCGTAGCCCCGGCGTGTGATAAGTTACCCTTGAACAGTGGTGCATGCTCAGGCCGGTCGACCGTGAAGTGTGGCAGAGTCATGCTCACCCTGTTGGCTCTGCCGTGAAATGCAGCAATGGAGTCAGGTCGCTAGTTAGGTGAAGTCCTGCAGGTGATGAAATGTGACTTTTGCAGTTGGATGAGTGCGGCCACTGCAGGTCTGTAAAAGTTGAGAGTAGTATTCACGAAAAAAAGAAATTGGCTGCTTAGAAAGAGCGAACTCGCGATTGGTGCTCACCTTTGCTCCCTAGCCTTTCAGGCCGCTTACTCAAACCATGGAAGCAGCGATGAAGCCACGCGCATGCGTCCGGAATCTGCTTCCCACTGATGCGATGTGTGAATGAAATGTGCCAGCCATGTCTACTACATCCGATGCGGCGGAACGGAGCATGTACTAGCTGGTAGACATCGTACACAACAAATTCGAAGACAGAGTCCGTGCCGGGCGAGAGACTTGGCCGCACGAGCAAAGATGACCAGATTTGCACGACTGTGAAGGTACCCAGCGCGTGGGCATGTGATGATGCGGGAAGGAGCGTCAAGACCATTTGCTGTGTACCCTTCGCGGGCATTCAGGTGGATTTGAATCATTCATTGAGGCGATTGATCGAGGGCACAGAAGTTTGAGAAAAGGCTTGACAGGGCGAGCGCGTGCTACGGTGTATGCTGCTGTGACTGCTGCCTGTGAGGTGTAAGTAGTTTAGACACAGCTATGCAGCCATGAACAGATGGAATGTAGAACTCAGCGGATTCTCGAGTCATCCCACTTCAATACAGTGACTGCGTGATATGACTGGGCGTGGCAGCTTGCATGGCTTCTGTACGCCTTCTAGCACTGCTGTGGGTGGCGTGAGAAGGCCTTGGAGTTGACTCGTAGCACATGACTTATCGGCGTCTGCAATGTTTGTCTCTGTCTCTGGCTGAGGTATGGTGGTGATAACCAGCGTGCAGGCGATGGGCAACAGTTGTACAGATGGTGATGGCAGGAGGAAGGCGGAATCTCGGAAGGTGGGCCGCGGAGGCTCACGGCGGCGCGGCATCGTCGGCAGGGCATGGTCTGTGGTGACGGGCGCGTCTCTCCTGTATAACTTCTCCATCGCTTCATTGAGCAATTCGTTAAGCTGGCCATATGCCTCATCAGTCACACATGGGCCGCCAAGTCGCGGCCGTGGCCAAGGGCGCGGGCGCGTGGCCGTCGAATCACAGCGTGGCAGCTCCACGTCAGGCTGGCGAGGCGTCGCGCTTACAGGACGACCCAGTGCGCGGCCAGCGCTCTTGGGCGACGAGCGCGAGCTTGAGCATATCGTAGGCTAGAAGAGGACGACAGGACGCTGCTGTCGAAATCATCCATCTTCTCCTTCTCCTCCAACTTTTCCTCCTCCCTCCCTCCCTCCCTCACGCAGACTCTCTCACCGCGGCAGAACAAACAAGCACGAGTGACGTCGACAGCTTCCACGGCCGGCCGCAGCTCGCATGAATCCTACACCACGCACGTGGGACAACATCGAAGAGTAGCGGATAATTGACTGAGCAGGCCGTCGGAAGAGTTCCCAGTCCGCGACGGCGAAACGAGGCGGAGCAGCCCAGCGCAGCCCATCGATCGGGCAGCAGCGGCCGGAGCACAACACACAGCATACTGCACCGCAGGCAGGCAGCCAGGCAACATGGCCGCCAACAGCCACGAGGAGCTGTTCTTGAAACCTGAATCGTCTGCCAATCCCTCCGAGACGCCCCAACCCCTGCGCATTCAGAAACACCCTTCGCCCTCGAGCGCGGAGCCGCAGCAGCAATGGGCCCAGTATCGAGTCCCGCCTAGTGCTGCCACCTTTGGCGCTCCCACTTCACCACCGCCCTCGGGGCCTCTACCCCTACCATATCCCGACGAACGAAATCGTAGACAGGCCACGCCGGGCGCATCGTCGCAGCAGAGGATACCCAGTCGCACCGGTACCCCGCAAGAGCTAGCAGAAGAGGGCCGGGCGGGCAGTGGGACGAGACCACGCAAAGACAGCATGTCTTCCCAAGGCAGCGGCGCGACCGCGGGGAGGGCGAGATTCGCTGCAAACGATCCGAACAAGCCCACATTGGGTGGTTATGGTGGAGGAGCGTCGCCCGTATCAGCATCAAAGCTCTCCGATAGGAGGGGCACCCCAGCGAAGAATATATTTCCACCAGATTCGCCTGGGGGCCCAGAGCCTCCCTTGAAAAGCGACGACGACGATGGACTGTTCGCGGTCAAACCTCAGCGCAAACCGAGCGAGCCAACAAATGACTATCAGCAATTCTATCCTCCTCCGCTCGGTGCTGCCCCACCAGCGAACTCGGCACCAGCACAGGCTCGATTGCACATTCCGGATCCTGCAGGTGTGAACAGACTGAGCAGTACTGCTTCTACGTCTACAACGAGGGCGTCTCGTGGGTCACCTCCACCTCCAGAAACGCCAATCGGAGGCGACACTCTACCATCAGGACTGGGCGGTATAGAAGCACGCTATGCGGCATCCGGCATTCCGGGCACGAGCACGTTGAACGAGATGCAGGCACAGAGCGCCGCTGCAGCTGCGCGGCGCGCACATTATGCACAACCCCAGCCTAGGCGAGGCGAGCTAAACGCGCCGCAACAGAACACCAGCGGGAGGTGGAGTCCGACCGAACAACCTGGTTCTGCGCCACATGGGCCACCGATCGCCTTCCAAGGCACAGAAGAAGTGTCGTCCAGAGGCGAGGGGGTCCCATCCTCCCAGCAACGACCACGTCAGCAGAGTTACCCAAGACCGGGACAGCCATCAGCGTCACCTAATCACCTAGAAGGCGCAATGAACAACATGAATATTCACGATGAGCCACCGCCAGCATATTCACCTCCGACAGCTGGCACTGTCAATTCGCAGTACCCCAACGAGAAGGGCAGATATGCACAGTCTGCAAGTCCCAGCGTCGCGGGTTCAGATCAAGGACGACGTCCGTCAGATCTCAGCCGACCACATCCCGCCTTTGCCAACGATCCGCCGCAGAATATGGGTACGCCATCACCGCAGCCTGGATCATCACAGCAGAATGGGAACGCGCACGGCATGGCGCCAATTAACATTGCCCAGGCGAATCAGTCCGCTTCACCACAGCCTGGACCGGCCGGTCCTGCGAGTCCGCCACCACTTCCTGAGGGATGGATCGCGCACCTCGACAACAACTCGGGCCATTATTATTACATCCATCTGCCAACTCAATCAACACAATGGGAGTTCCCGAAAGGACCAACACCACTCAATCTACAAGAGCCAATGTCCCCTGTTGGCGGCGTTGCGAGTCCTGTGTCCTCCGTCTTCAAGCAGCCACTGCAATCTCCAGGCTTCCCTGTGCAGCAAATGGCCAACTACGATCGGAATAGCATGTTCTCCATGAACTCGGTGGCGAGTCCTACAGCTGCCGGCTTCACGGGTCCTCCTCCAAGCGCTGGCATCGACATGTACAAGATCTCGCCATCGAATGCTGTCTACTTCGGGCCATACCTGCGCTACACCAACATGGACATCGAGCGAGGCCTCTGGCTCGGCAGCATCATGCTGATCACAGATGCTGGTAATCAGCCTCCCACGATTCACTTGCACCAGTCGCAAGATCTCAGCCCGAATCCGAGACAGCTCAAGGCGCATCCGATACATTCACATCAACGATGGATCTTCTACCGATACGATGTTGACGTGAAGATGGACGAACAAAATGCTGCGAAGTGGACGTATGCCATAACGTCGCACTTGGGCTGTACAAGATATGAATTCCTAGTTGCTGGCAGATATGAGACCAGTTGGCGATTCGTGGCGCACTCTGGCAATGACTTTGCGCTCAATGTGTCTGCCAACGAACGATCTCGGCTTGGAGGCGCACCTTTGATGTGGAAAGATGTTCTAGTGAAGCATCAGGAGTGCGGCGGCTTCCATACGCAGGTCGGGCTTGGAGGTCAGATTTTCGCCGATCGACTCTGGAAGGACATACCTTCGCTGAAGCAATGGACGCAGGTCAGTGGCAAGGAGAATCGCAAGACTGCACAGTGGACTGCCAAGATGGAAGAAGACGTGACGCACGCGTACTTTCACTACTACTCTTCACACTTCGACCAGCCCGCTGTCAAGGAAGCCTTTGCGCAAATTCCGCAAGTGTGCTGTCTGGACGATCATGACATCTTCGACGGATATGGCTCGTACCCCGAGTACATGCAGGAGTCCCACGTGTTCAAGAATCTTGGTCGCATCGGTATCGAAATGTACCTTCTCTTCCAACATCATACGACACATGAGATCCTACGCAACGTGTCCAACGACATTGATCTCTTCACGATCACTGGCAAAGGATGGCACTTCCTCAAGTACTTTGGCCCCAGCGTGGTCATTGTGGGTCCAGACACGAGAAGTGAGCGGACGGAGAAGCAAGTGATGGCGGGGCCTACATACCAAGGCATATTTCCAAAGGTCGCTACGTTACCTCCCAGCGTGCAGCACTGCATATGGCTCATGCCAGTGCCAGTCATCTATCCTCGACTAGAAGGCATAGAGCACATGGCACACACGGTGCAGACTGGTAAGAAAGTCGTCACTGGTGGGTTTAACATGCTGGGCAAGGTGACTGGTGGCGTTGCTGGCATTGTTGGCGCGAAGGGCGTGGTGAATTCTGGGTTCGATGCTGCCAAGAAGGCTGTTGGCAAATCCGGACTCATGCAAGGTGTGCTCAGTCCATTTGGAGAGATCAATACGCTTGACGAGCTCCGTGATCTGTGGACGCATGAATCCAAGGTAAGCAGGTTTCCGGAAAGAAACTCGTACATGGAACTAACCCGGTGCAGGACCTTGAACGAACGTACATCATTCGCACACTCCAAGGAATCGCTCACAACAAGTCGCTACGCATGACGTTCCTCTCCGGATCCGTCAATGTATGTGGCGCCGGTCTCGTCCACGATCCATCTCACCCCTCGGATCACAAGACGATGTACCAACTCATCACCTCGTCGATCGTCAACGCGCCCGCTCCTACATTATCTATCAAGCTCCTCCACAACAACAAGCAACTGTACGTTCCACAGAACGGACATCGCAGCGTCGTAGGCCAAGTCTCGGACACGAAAGAAGACATGATGGAGATCTTCGCAGCAGATGTGGATGGGCGACCTCGAGAAATGAGGAGATTAATGGGCCGCAGGAATTATTTGGCCTGTGTGGCGTATGATCCTGAGTTCGTGCAAGGTGCTTTCAGTGGGCAGCAAACGCCAGGTGTTGGAGTCGAAGGGCAGCAACCACAGAAGGGAATGGGACGATTGAGCCTTGCGGCCGACTTCATGGTGCAGAATGAAGGGGCTTTTGGACAGCCGATGAAATATGGACCTGTCATTATTCCGAGCTTGGAGTATGGACGATAGGCATAATGAGGAGCGGATGATGAAATTGCATGTAGCGCAAGCGTTGGTTTATGATGATTTTAGTGCATTGCTGCCTTCAGCGTTACAGAGCGTAGCATGTAGATGATCTTGTGTAGTGCGGTACATGAGAAGAGATACGTCTGAGATCCACGTAACGCTAACCGAAGCTTTATCAGTCTTCACTCATGACATTATAACGCACAGTTGACACCCATCACGACACATAGTAGGACAAATTGCACTTTTTTTTCTGTTGGCAATCTATACCATCATCATCGATTCCAGGAGGCATTCCCATTCCATCATCAGTGCACTCCACACATCCAAAACCCCTCATACACATACCCATCCCATCACACTCATGCAAACACAACACCGCACTCACAAAATCTCCTCAGGCAAAACATAAACCCAATTCTTATCCGCCTCCACCACCCTCCCATTCCTGATTTGCGCTTCCGTGTTATTCGTAATCATCCCCTGCAACTCCTCAAAATTACTCTTACTCTTATTAACCCACAAATGCACTCCCCCCTTCGCAACATCCACGCCATGAAATTGCATATACCCATCACTGCCTGGCGTATCACCACCCACGAGAATAGGTCGTTTCCACTCGTCAATGTAGGTTAAGATTGCGGCCCATTTCCCTGCGAACCAGGTCGCGGGTGTCCAGAGGTAAGGTGTAATAACGAGATCGAGGTTCGCTTCGGGGTCGTATGTTCCAGCTTCGATTTGTTTCCGAGCGGTTGTGACTTCGCCAGAAGTCGTATTGCGGAGGAGAGTTGTGACTCCGATGACGTTTTGCGGTGGGACGTTATAGCCGTATTTAGGGTCCGAAGCGACCATGCGGACGAGTTCTTCGTGGGCGGCGGTTAGGACGTAGACTTCGATGCCGTTGGTTTGGAGGGTGTTGTAGAGTTCGACTTGGGCGCGGAAAAGTTTTGGGGGGTTGACTGAGGAGGATTCGAGGGTTGTGGTGCCGTTGGAGGAGGTGGAGAGGTATTGGACTGGGATTGTGGTGTTGAGGGCTAGGAGTTCGTCGACCCAGGTTTTGAGTTGGCGGAGGGTGAAGCCGGAGAAGATTTGGGCTGCCCAGGGGTAGCAGATCATGTCGTCGATTTCGCAGAGGCGGAGGTAGTAGCTGTAGAGCGATTCTGTGTAGTTTGATGCGGTGTTGTCTGCGAAGGGGACGAGTTTGAGGGTTTGGTCCATGGTATCGCGGGTCAGGATACCGCGATTCTCGAGGAATGGGAGGAGGGATTCTTCGAGATCGAATCGGTATGAGGTGTTGTCCATGTCGAAACAGGCGTAGTTGCTGCTGTTGGCATTGCCTGCGATCATCTTGCGGAGTTGGCTGGCTTGTGGTTCCGGCCAATGCTTCAATGGGATATTGATAGGACTTGTCGTGATGTTGGGGTTCATGGTCCGCGCTGTCGTCACAGCAGCGGACGCTGCGAGCAGCTGTAATGATGCCTTCATGTTTGCTTCGCTCTGCTCTCGTGAATGTGTAAAATGGGGGAATCAGCAAGAAGACAGGGCCCGGGAACGACGCTGTATTTGAAGCAATGTATTCTTCCCCCAATGATACCTCCGCTAAAGCTGATAGGACAGGTTCGGGGAATCTCGAAGTCTGCATGGAAGCGAGTTCGGTCAATGGAAATGTACGAGTATGGTATAGTGAGGCCGTGGTTGATCCTATCAGTGAAGTCAGAGGCTTCGCTACCCATGCAAGCCGACATTAGCTCCGTACCATAGCGTGCTTAGCTGGTGGATCAGTTGGTCAATGGTGAATTCCGGCAGTCGCCGCCCCATCCATCTCGGATTCTGACTGCGGGCTTGCAGCTGGGCTGAGAACCTCTCTTCTACATTCGCTAGTTACGCGAAACGCGATATTTTTTCTCAGTCCGGTGTTGCGTGATGACATACCGTATGTGGATGTCTTGATTGTTTTGCCGATCTGAGAGCATAGGCCTCGATCTTCGAACGGGTTATCGCGGGTTTGCCTGAGCAGAAGCAAGCAGGAATCCGCAATGTGAAATACACCTGCTGAGATCCGCCGGAGGTGTGGAGTGGTTTTGTCGATTCAGACAGCTTGCCAACTCCGACGACCATTGCGACGGCATTTGGGTGAGGCAGGAAACATGGAAATGCCGTGTCTACTTTCCTTCGCTCCTGCGCCCAAGTCAATCACCTCAGCCCCACAAGATGCAGTTCCAAGTGCAGTCCTGTACCGTGATTTGAGCGTTGTAGCTTTAAGACGGAGAGTAAGAGGGACAAGAACAAGAACCAGAAGGCTTGTCGATTCAGGCTTGGCAAGTCGTCGAAGACATGGAGTGTGGTTTGGGCAGTTCATTAGTCTTTTCTTCTGTCTCTATCAACATACTTTGGAAATGGCAGTCCTTTCATTCCTGTTCCTCAGGGTGTCATTGGATATTGTACTGTAATTCCTTTCCTTTCCGATCCGGTCGAGCCCGTGCTGTACAATGCATACTCCAACCTGCTGCAGCTGGCCGCCAGTATAAACGGTATCACTTCATTCCATTTCATTCCCCTCACATTACCACAACCGCACTTCCTCCTCAAAAATTCGTACTCGACCCCGCCGTCGTCGAAGGCGGCGGCGCATACCTAGCATTCGCATACGCCGGCGCCGCACTCTGCGCATGCCCAGCACCATTCGTCCCCCCAGACGTATAAACCGGTCCACCCAACATATTGCCTCCAGCCTCCGTATCCATAGCCATCTCATCATCACTCCTCTTCACCGGCGCAGGGTACCGATCAGTCTTATTTCTCGTCCTCGTAGCCGGTAAGAAATCGATAATGAAACTCCACTGATAGAAGATATAAATCAAACTGATAACCCACTCCAGAACAGCAGCGCGGTTATAGTTCCCTTGGTTACTCATGACACCGAAACTTATGGCCAAGGCGAGTTCGACGAAAATGAAAGCGAGTTTGATCCAGAAGGAAGCTGCGAGGATGCGTTGGTCGCGGTAGCGGACTCCGAGACGTTGGTATTCGGCGCAGATGAAAATTGCCGAGATGATGTAGGCTGCTATAAACACCACCAGCATGGAGACATGGACCCGTGGATAGCGGACTGTGTCGAAGATGGTGAGGAGGATGAGGCCCGCGGCTCCTATGAGGGCGAAAGCGATGGCGAAACCGCTGAGGATTTTCTCCGAGATGCTGTAGTTTTGGGTGAGACGGCCTTTGTGGCGGAGCCAGCGTTCGCTGATGAAGGCGAGGTCGAAGATTGCGACGGAGGTTGCGCTGCCGGCGATGAAGAGTGGTTTGCCCCAGGATGTTGCGCCTATGTCGGAGATGTAGGGGTATGTTTGGCCGGTGTTAAAGGATGTGTATTGTGGGCTTCCGATGGCGAGCCAGCGGCCCAGCATGGCGAGGAGGGTGCCTGATGGAGGATCTTGTCAGCTTCTTTTGCGCGTTTATGCAATGGGTACTGTTGTGCCTCGCGTGTTCGCATACCTAGCCATACGCAACCCGCGAAGAGCGGGAGAAACCAATATGATAGTCCAAACATCTTGCCCGATATCCAATGTCTACTCTTTCAATTCCCAACTTCCAGCGAGGTCCGCGCGCTCGGTGCAGGCGGTCGTGGTTGTATTCGATCGTCGTCGTCACGCTGGATCTGGATCTGAAACTGGGATATTCTATGCCTAGCAGCGGCGCAGCGGCTGTTGTCTTCTGTATGCGCTGGCCAGTCCAGTCCAACTGCCAGTCCAATCGCCCTCGCTGGCAGCTGTCCAGAATTCACAAGAGCGACGAGCCAGCAAGTCGAAGAGCGAAAGATGTGATGGGTTGAGACACTACCTCGAAGCGCAATTTCCATGTTCGCGCCGTTGTGATGACATTTGATTCGGTCGCACACGCGCCGCTACGTCATTTTCATAAACTCCGTTCCAGCAACCCGGATGCACCGGAATCTTGGTCATCATGTGCAGTGCAGCTGTGCAGTAACATTGCGACGTCGCGGTGTAGAGGAGGAAGAGGCTGTGTGCTTGGCTGCGTGAAGATAAGTCTCGGTTGTATGTGGACAAATGCTTTGTTCGGTGTTTGTGATGAGGTGTTGGCGTGGCTTTGCAAGCACGCGTTTGCCTTGTCCCGCTGTAAGACGCGTGATTTCGACCGGGATGCGGACGGGATTGTCAGATCACCGTTGCGGCTTGCGGCTCTGCAGCGGAAGTAGGCGACTTGGCTGGAGATAAAGTGCATATTCGCCGCTGTTCTGCTTGTTAAAGGCCGGGGAACGTATATTGCAGCCTGAGACCACAATGGCGGTCAAGAGCCAAAGGACGCGCACACCGTTGATCATGCCGAGAACTGTATGAGTGCATGAAAGACACCGGAACGTGATGGGCTTCCATCGCTCCTGAAAGGTCTTAATCGATCGTATTTCCATTAGTTAACCAAAGTACTTGGAATATTCTCAGTCGCTGGGTATCATTACGCTATTCTGCACTCAACTAACGCCCAAGCAACAACGCCTCCGAAATTCTGCGTCATATCTTGTTATCATTCTCTCGTCCTGTCAAGTCATTGTTCTGTCCATATTCCTCATATGCTCGATGCCTCTAAGTGTCCTGCACTTAGACTGTATTCCACGTTAGCTGAATCCTTATGAATGGCAGAACTGGGACAATATCTTACCTTTGCTGACGCGGTGCGATCGGCTGCGACGACGAATAAGAACTTGCACAAGCATCGCAACAACAAAAGCGAAGACGGCGATGATAGCAACAGCGAAAGTCGCAACGAAGAGTCGGCATCCGTTGTAACCGCTAGATCGTCCGAAGCCGCGGTACACGACACGTGGGTATGGTGGACCGTCGTCACAGCCGTTGGTTGCGGATCTGTTGATGATTGCTACTGCCATCATCATTGCGACGCAGAGCAAGTCGAAGAAGATGGAGCATGCTGTCAAAACGGAGACGCCGGCGGTAAAGCAGCTTGTCAAGGCGGAGATCATGGCCCAGAGTGTTGTGATTGAGCCGAGGACTAGTGAGGCGATGTTTCGTGCGCCGAGTTGGGTTGCGGTGAACTATACAGCAAGGTTAGTATGTGAAGGTTTGGACTTGTTGAGTGTGTTGTTACTAACCCAAGCAAAGGCTCCCATGATGATCGCAGCGCAGATGAATGCGATCGCATAGCAGGTGATGAGCACCAGGCGGAGAAGCCCGCCCGCGATGGCCATGTTGTCTGTAGGTCGCTGGAGGTTCGTCGAATAAGTCTTGGTCAAGCGTAAGATGTAAGATTCTTCAGCTGGGTCTGGCAAGTGTCACGCTTCAACAGTCGCAGAGGACAGAGAGATGGCAATGAACAACAACGAACAAACCTACCATGATTGCGAAACGACAAACCTTTATCTCCCTCTCTCCACCCATACCGCTATTGCGGGCACACGCATCGTTTACCATGCAATGACGAATGCCGCGAGGCTGCACAACGATGCAATCTGTTTTGCCAAATGAGCCCACTCAAATCAGGCTTGGAGGAACGGTATGGTCAAGCAGGGTTCCGCGGCCATGGCATCAATGAGGTCGCGTACGCGTGAGCGCTGCCCCGCCACGTCCACGTCTTCTGCTGAAACATGACTAGACGTCCGAATGGTACTGCAGCAGTAAAAACGTGAAAAAGCTTGATGATGTAGCGTCGTCGATGAACAGCCACGATCCGCGGGGAGGGAAGAAAAGGCTTTGCCAATCCAAGGCTCTGGCGTCGTGTGCCAATGCATGTCTCGCGGCGAAGAACCGAGTGGTCTGGGTCTTGTTTGTGCTGGTTGAATGCATGATTCGTCGGATGCCGACCTGCCTGAGCGCAAACAAGGCGCAAGGCGGTGATTTTGGTGGTGTGTTTGTTGGTTTGAGGCTGGAGTGGAAGCATGACGTACGGCTGCTCGTTTGGAAACCTTGTCGGCGATCCGTGCGCGGCAGGCTTTGCCGAGTGCCGTGTCTTCACTTGCTGCTATTTCGTACGGTTGAAGCATCAGTATCCATATTTGCGCACATTCCTGACGACACCGAGTGGTCGCTGTGCTGTGGCGAGTACGCGTTCGAGTAAAGAAGATGTTGCTGACAGTGGGCCCCTTCGATCGATCCCCAGCGCCCTGGGACGGTTTGGCGACACGTCACGCCACGTTTGGATCAAGGACTTCCCTACCGCAGCAGTGGTCAGCCGCAGTGGCTGATTGCGACCCCATCAAGATCATGTCACCAGACGTACAGGATGAGTTCTTCGTGCAGAGCGGCGTCATTCTTGGCGCGACGAGACGAACAGGACGAGAAACCAGTATTTTGCTCCCTTTGAACGGCTGAAACGGACAGCGCGGAGGTCCAAGCAATGGCAGACAGAGGACTATAACGACTCTTTCGATATCAGCCACTGCTTATGGGTCTCTGTCACGCGGAAGTCCTCATTCAAGTTCATTTCGGAGTCCTACCGATTAGCAACTGACTTCATCACGATTGAAATCGCCTCTCGGCCAGTTCTTGTCGCCAGGCAGAGGGCAGCTGGCTTGAAAGAGTACTTTGTTTCGACAGTCAAGTATACAAACCTGTTGACGGATTCGAGCTCTTGCATAAAAGCTGCTGCAATGCCGGCAGCTACAGCCTACTGTACTGCTGCCTTGAAAGCTCGGCCAAAGCTCATGGAAATCTAGAGCGTGTCTTCTTACAAGGATGTCGATGTCTTCACGGCGGAGCCCTACATGGGTCTAATTTTGACCGCGTCCCACTCGCTCATTCGCACTTCCCCCCGCGTCAATTCTGAGTGCGAATAGCAGCTGGTTCTGAAGGAGGATCCGGGGTTTTGTCACTCGCACGCCACCCTACGCAGTAGCTCGAAGGGAGAGGCGTTTGACGAAGCCCCAGATAGTGCTGCGGCAGCCAGAGAGAATATGCAAGTGGCCAATGTCAGACGACTTTGCCATCTGCCATCAAGGCAACTTTAGGGGATCCACAGATCTTGAAATCGTTTCCTCACAATCCTCCGGCACTTTGCGCAGTGACGAACGGATATCGCTCACATGAGCTCGTTTGATATCCCGTAGGGCTGTCTCGCGGTTAGCGTCTTGCTCGAGAAGATTGCGCGATCACTTTGCCCATATCAGGGACGCTTCTACGGCTTTCATTTCGGGTTGTCACTTTCAGCTATTGCAATCAGCTTGCAACATCCAATACGGCACGGAGCGAAAAAAAAAGTTGCACGGCTGCCATCAATTGATATAAGACGACTGCCCAATGATATGACTAACTGGTACTGTAGTTGCGACGCAATTACGTCCCCGTCTCCGAAAAGAAGATCCGATCTTTTACCACGAAAACAGCTTCCAGCCAAAAAGTACACACCAGCCGCGGTGTTCAAGCCAGTGCATACCATTACCATGGTGGCAAGCAGTTGTAGGTGACCCAGTCTTCAGGCCACCAGGACTGTCTCTCGCAAGCTCGCGCCATTCCGTGCGGCTCGATGCCACGGTTGTTGAGATCAATGCATCCTCGGCCAGGCTGCCAGACGAGATTTGGGTATTGGCTGTTGAGATCCCAGCAGGCGCGCTCTCCCAGAACATCGTCCTGCACCAGTTGCCAAGTGTTCCAGTCGAAACGGTTGCAGGTGCACTGGTCTTTGTAGCAGCCTTCTTGATTGCCATCGCAGTCCCAGCGTTGCTCGCCCCAGAAGCCTGGGCCTTGGTAGACCGACTGGCGGATGCTATTCACGTCCCATTGCTGGCGGTTGCCCCATTGACGGTTGCCCCAGCCCTGGGCCATGACGCTGTACAGACAAAAATCAGTTCAACTGCTTTCAGCGCACGCTGGGACCATTGCTTACCTGACTGCGAAGAGAGAAGCGATTGCGATGACCTTCATCTTGACGAGCGGGTGATGATACTTGTGGTGCGAAGAAGCTGGCTTGAGTGTGCTGTTGTTCTTGAGAGGCTGTCGTTGCTGTTGGTGCTGGACTGATGGCTGACGAGGAGGTCAACTGCTTTATACAACTGCGGCGTGATTCAACTTCAGCCCTCGACAACGTCCAAGTCCTGGCTCCAAGCAACTTAATTTGGCGTTGTAGGTTTACCTGGTTGCATACAAGCATCTGACACTTCTGCTCATTCGCCAATGCGTACCTACTGGTGCCCATCTTGGGAAGCTCAGGCCAACCAGTAGGACCAGCGCACTGCATGAGTGTCACTTCAATAACCACGCATACTGGGATGAGGGTTCCATCTGGTTCCGGACATGCTGTCAAGCACTCTTACTTGAGCACAGCCCACTAGGAACGAAGGCCGGCGCACATCGGCAATCCCCAGCGGAGTGGTACCTCGCCTATCACAGCACATTGCGGCAGTACCCGGCATACGCTGGTGGCTATTTTCGCATCACCTCTTGCTAGCGAGGCACGTTTCTTGACCACACCCAGGCACACCGCAACACATGTATCATCTCCTCCTGTCAGCATTGCGGCCAGATCTACACTGGCAGACCAAGGACTAGCATTCACTTCCATGCAAGTGATGACTGCACGTCTCTCGTTTTGCGACGCGATTGTCGGCTTTTGGAGCTCCCGTCACTACGGCACAAGAAACAACTTCAATGAGTAATCGTGGCCACATCACAAAAGTCAATTATTCCCCCAAAGAGCATTACGCGACTCACGTGTCTAGGGACGGGCGTCGGGCGAAGTGCTTACTGTACTCTGATCGACCGCTAGTGCTCGTTTAGCGCTAGTCACAGTGGCAACTGGTCCCCACTCACGAGTATACGCTGCGGGAGTGCAACTTCGTGCCAGGAATATCGCTATAAGCATGCACGTCTGGAATAATATCAGGAGACAAGGCGCGTGCGACATACGGTTTACCAACCAGGAAGGCGCAAATGCCTCAGTATTGACTTCCAGCGATGGACCTACTGTACTGTGTCTTGGCATCAGACGCAAATGTGACCTCCTAACCGAAATAGGTAAAAAGACGGACCTCCCTCGCGGGATCCAAAAATAACACCTCTACATTGTACAGCAGAGCTGCAGCATAGCATAGCTATGTCTCCAGATCTTCGATCCGACCTGCTGATCAGAGTGGGAGGTTGTTGTGAAGATTCTAGATCTACCCCAGGCATCGTGTTTCAAGCGAGGCACAGCCTTGCGGGACAAGGCGGAAGTCGACACCGCGATTTTTGCAACCCTTGAACTTCGTCTCCTGGGATTTGTCGTATTGTCAGGATACTCGCAATTCTCGCTTCTCCATCATTTCGTTGATGGGGATGTTGAGACCGAGGAATAAGCGACGAAAACGACGGAAGAGACAATGAGTGCACCTAACGACAGGATGACAATTGCAGGCTGTGTGTGCGCTACATTCACTCCTCACTCGTCACGAACACACAAGTTGCACGATCAACATGCCGATTTTGCCAACAAGTCACCCTCCAATGTCGTCCTTGCCCAAGCTCCGACTGTTTGAGCTGGGTGAGGATTGGACGTCTGATGACAACTGCCCTCGTTTCGATCGGTGATCAAGGAGACACCCTTGCACGTTGCACGTGGATTGCACGTTCCGGGGCGACATTGAAGTGATTGCACGATGGGAAGACCTTGAATCCTCGTATTGGGAAGTGCATCACTTCATTGCCTTGCATGTGGATGGCAACCGCACTCGAGGGCATATCGAGCCCCAAGTCACCAGCCGTCGGTCGCACATTTGCCACTGGATCGAATCAACAGTCTATGATGACTTTCACGAGCGCTGATGAGCACTTCGTTTGGAAGCCGAGCAAGTACGGCAAGGAAATCTGGAAGGCAGGAACGAGCTCACAAGCGAGCATCACCGCTCAATGCAATAATTTGAGACGTTTAGATCTTGTCGATCGTGGTCGTACCTTGACAGAGGCGTCGCAGCAAGTTCTGTATCATTCGAGGCCATGATTGACATCAGTCGTGAACCAGGACAACAGGACAATCGATGGATCTAACACTTTGCGGGAATTTCCTGCTGTCGCTAGAGATCGAGCACAAGTCCTATCTGCGGCGCATGATGCCAATTGATCAGCCGCAAGCCATTAATCATGGCGAATATATCGAATGGAGGCTATGTCTATTCTTGCTTACACGAGACTTCTGATTTCTTCGTACAAGCTGCCATGCCGAGAGAAGATTCCCATTCCCGAGAGTTGTTGGGCTGCAGAATCTAGTTTTGAACCCTTCGTGGGGCCCGAGACATTACAAAGAGCTCAACAGAACGGCAAACGCCGAAGCCTTGCATCTCCTCTCCCACTCAGTCTCCAGAGTACCACGTCTTGAGCCACAGTTCTCTGGCTTCTACTTCGTCATCGGCCATCTCCACCTCTACCACCTCGTCCTCCCCTGCGACTTTGTCTTTCCCCATGGCATCAAGCGCACTCATGATCTGTCCGATGGAAGCCCTCTCTGCCGACTTCTGTTGGAGACCTGGCTTCTCAAATTGCTTGTGATGGGTGGCTTGGGCTTCCTCCATTTCTTTCACCACTTCCTCACGAGTCTTCTTGCTCTCAAGTGCTTGCTGGTCGTATCCACCACCCTTGCAGGTCATGCGTAGCAAGAGTGCTTTTGAGGTCATTCCGATTTCTGAATGGGCTGCGTTGATGTGGCCGGCGATAATTTCCCAGGAGTACCGCTTGCCGAGATCGTAGAGGATCAGGCCTTCCAGCTTGTCGGGATTGCCGTTGATGAGGGCTCGATCTGCTCTGGAAATTATGATGTGGCTCCGGTTTGATGTGGTATCGTAAGTCTCTGATAGCTCAGGTTCTTTTGGTTGTTCTGACTCCTTAGAAGTTTCTGGTCGCTTGAGAACTTCTGGCCCCTTGAGAAGCTGGGGCTGCTTGAGGCTTTCTGGCTGCTCGAGATTGCCTGGCCGCTTGAGAATTCCTCGCAGCTTGAGATTTCCTTGCCGCTTAGGATTCTCCGGTTGCTTGGAATGTTCTGGCTGCTTGACCGGCTCGATCTCGGTCTCGGCGAGGAAGCCATTGGAAGTCGCCCCTACGATATCCGTTGTAACAGGGCGATCTCGTGGTGTCCCGGATCCATGCTTGCGCTTGGGCTTAGGTGGTAGTAGTGCTGTCATATCGACAGGCTGAGCGAGTGAGGCGCCGGCTCGTGAACTACCAGCCTTCGGTCTCAATTCACGTGGTGGTGTTGTTATATCGGCAGACTCCTGAACCAGATTGGAGCTTGAATACGTACCACCTGGTCGCGAGAACCAGGAGCGAGGTCTGGAGTTTGTGTCGACACTGCCAGCTTGCTTTATCTGATATCCGATCTCCTCAACGCCATCGTAGATCATACCCTCCATGTCCTGGGGCGGGAGTTGAAAGGCGAGACCATATTGACGACGAGTGTCGTTGAGCTCAAGCTCGAATTCGTACTGATCGTACTTCTTCTGGTGGATAACCTCCCTCCGGTAGTCGTTGAGACGGTCACGAAGGGCGTTACCCGTGACCGGATCCGATCTCCCATTTTCGTTGACCTTCTCGACAATCTCAGACAGCTCGTATTCTTTGGCCAAGCTGTAGAGGAGAGAGTCTTTGATGTTTTCCTGGTCACCGCCGAAGATGTCATCGATCGGAATACCTTCGAGAACATTGGACTTCTTTCTCGTGGCTGCGGGAAACTCGATCGACTTCCTGGCTCTGAGATCCCTCAAACGAGGACCGCCATTTGAGTCGCCTTGGGCTGGAGTTTTTTCGAGAGCACCGGAATTCCTCCTCGTGGCTGAGCGAAGCTCTCTAGTTGTCCCTTCTGAGCCAAGAAGACGAATATCGGCAGTCGAGCCACCTTCAGTTTGAGTGCCCTCGAGAGCACCGGACTTCCCCTTTCTCGTGGCTGCGGGACGCTCTATAGTCTTTCCTTTTGAGCCACGAGAACGAGGATTGGCAGTCGAGGTGACTTCGATCAGGTCTTCATCTTGGTCTAATTCCTCATCGTCGGAGTCTGGCAGAAGTTCCTCCAGATGCGTGCGGGTCGTGATACTCAGGGCTGGAGAAGGGGGTGATTGGCGGGGAGACTTGCGGGGAGGCGTGATAGCCTCGGAACTATCAGCGATCCTGAGAGTACATCTGCTGTGGGCTGAACGATTCAGGGGCTTGGAGCTTGTGTGCGCTTCGGGACCTAGCGAGTTCGCTACTGCCGTATGCGAATCGCCACGAGACGTACGCCGAATTTGAGAAGGCTCGTCGGGAGTCTTGTTCGAGCGTACAACTCGAGCTCGCTTCGCAGCTTTCCTCTTGGCCATCTTGATCAGCTTGTACGGGTATGTGCTAAGGACTAAGCGTCCATCAGAAGCTATTGGCCCGAGTCTTTGATGTCAGTGGAAGATAGAATAATGAAAAATTTCAAGTACTGAGCAAGAAGCTTGCCGAAAATTTATATTTGTGCTAGATTCAACGAGCTTAGATTGTGCGATTAGTGCATATTTGAGGGGTCCATCTCATTCACCCTCCCTTCACGTCGCATCTCACGACTGCCATCAAAACTGCGAGCGCTGAGGCACTGTCTGCTCCTCAGTGCATACACCAACGCCCACATAGATAGCTAAGCGGGTGATAATGTTATGAAAGGAATGAGATAGCATGTGAAAAATGATAGAGATCGAGCTGGGATGTTATAGGTTGGAGAATATTGCTGCCGAGAAAGAGTACTTCTAATTTCGATGAGCTGATACAAGAATTGGCGTCCAGCGCCTACTTGATGAGCATCAGCCCGACTGTTGTACACTGATTGCCTACTGCCTTCGTGACGACCTCCGAGGAGTCTCTACAACGTTCTTCGCCCTGCCGCGAACCTTCAGACCAAGGCCAACACGTGCATCGTTGACCTCCCGCTTCAGACGATCACCGTCGTCGCCGGCAGCAGCATACGCGGCTATCAAGCGCTGAGCGATGTTCGTGGCGCTGATTTCTTCCTCACTTGGATGCGCGGCATTTACGAGGTCTGCGAGGGCTTCGTTGCTGTGGCTTTTGGTGAGGCGCACGAGGTTCGCTCCTCGGATTCGCTCGACGGGCCCGTTTACGATCTCGTCGTTTGTCGCTGTCGCTGGGTAGACTGGCACGTTGTTAGCTGTGAACGTCTGCGAGCTAGAGGCGATGTCTGACGCTGAAGGAGGAGGCGTGGGCTCCCGAGGCTCCTCTTCTCGTTCTTCCACGTTGTACATCATCAAACGTCCTCCAGCAGACATGTCGAGTTCTCCGAAGTCTGGATCGTTCTCGAAGGCAGCCTGCAGAATCGGTGCAGCAAGATCGAGATCGTTTTCGTTGTACATCTTGGAGTGTTTTGATTTGGATTTGAACTGTTTTGATCTTGATTGCGTAGATCTTGGTAGCCAGAGGAGTCAAGATGTGCTTTTGTGATTGGTATGAGTTGTCGAGATACGCAGAAGGTCGGCATATTTGTATAGCGCGTGCTGTTCATTGAATATAGAGATATACAAAGCTATTGTCAGCGTGAATTGAGCTATTGCAATTGTTGTTGTGAAGAGAAAGCTATTGTCGGTTTCGTCGAAGCTATTGTGCGAACACAAACTTTAAGTAATATTGTCGTTGTGACTGTTGACAACAAGCATTTCAGCTCGGTCAGCAGGCGCTGAAACATCTTCTGCCATGACGTCGCAAGTACAGACAGAGTACTGTGGCTTGTCTGACTGAAGTTCTTTGTCCGTCTAGCTCCCAACAAAGACATAGTGCGCTTCATAGGAGACAGTGGAGAATCTTGCATGCCCGTGCTGGAAGGAGTGCGCCACGTAACGTGTCAGCACTGGTTCTTCGAATCGACTCCTGTGTTTTGCTGTGGGAGAACTAGTCTGGAGGTTGCTGTGAAGATGGCGAGTGCTTACGAAAGAAGGGAAAGGGATGTGAAGTCTGGGGCGGGATTTCCTGCCAAGAGCAACAATCAGACATGACTTTTTGTTTGAGCAGCTACTTTGTTGAGTGCTTACATATGTACCAGATCAGATAGATTGTGATCAATTTCTCCCTCTGTCTCAGCCACCAGATGAGCCGGCAGTTAGATCAGCTTCCATTGCTCTGGTCACGCCCTCAGGCGGCATGACCTCTGAGACCTTTCGCGTGCTTTCATTCGTGCCTAGACGCCTTCCTCACAAGTCTCGTCCACATCTCAATCATACAGACTGTGCAAATCCTTCCTTGCAGCAATCTGTGTCAGACTGTCGTTGTCGCCATCTCGCTTGAAGAAGTCGGTGATGCGTATACTGTTGGTCTCTTTTGGCTTCCGTCCCTCCTGCACTTGCTTCGCATTCAACTTGTTTGGGCTCTTTGGCCGCAGAGGCTGACGTAGCTGATCCGTCAGACGTCGGCGGTTTTCGAGCGGAGCGGTATTTTGGACCTCGAACGCCTCGCTGTCGTCGTCGCTGTCCTCGATGACAATTGGCGCTTGTGGTGAGATAGGTTTCGCGGGCATCGAATCTTCGGAGTCTGAGATCAAGATAGGTGACTCGGACTTCGCCAGCTTGGCTTTCTTTCGGGGCGGCTGGAGCGATTGCGCTTTGCTGGAAGTCGAGCTTGCTTGCGGACTGGAAGACAGCTCCTTGAACGACAACTTTCGCTTCGTGGACATCGACTTCGAGGCCTTCTTGAGTCCTTTCGAATCGCTTGAAACGGGGTCCGTAAGCCAAGGGAGCTTTCGACCTTTCTTCTCCGCAGATGAGTCGCGCCCCCGCTGTGGTGTCTTGTGAGTTTCCGTCGTCGATGGAAACTTGTGCGTGGTTTTGTTTGAGGTGGGTGTGAGACGAGATGGAGTGTTCGTCGTTTCCGGGCCATGTCCGCCATCGTCTCTCGTGTTTTGAGCGCGTTTTGGGCCAGTCCAGTACTCAGACACTTTCTCAGGCTCCTCCCAATCTTCTGCCTGTATGCACAGCGTACATTCTCCGCAACGAAGACTTGGAGCGGGCATATGCACACCTGATTGCCCATGAAATTTGCGAGCCTTATTCAGGTCGAACTCAAACGCATAAGCGCATTTCAAGCCCTCTCGCAGCACCTGACTCTTGTATTTGGCCAGCTCTTTGTGCAACTTCCGGATGTTGACACTTTCATTAGGTCTGCCCATGTTCACCTTTGATTCGATCGTGGAGAACTTGTAGCGCTTACTCAGTTCGAACAAAGTGCTGCCTGAGATGAGTTCCAGCTTGCCAGTAAAGATCTCGTCAAGAGTCCGACCGTTGATGAATCCAGGTGTGTTATACACCCTTGTGTCTGCCGAATCATCGTCGAAGATGCGTGGTTCAGCGGTACCCGCGCAGAGTTGTTCTGTCTCCTCCAGCTCCAGATGGGTCAGGGCGGCTCTGGGCACAGGCACCAGATGCTCTCTCGAAAATGCTGTCCATGACGTCGCCACCGTGTCTTCCATGATTTGCTCACACGCCGATTGTTGAATCGCCATTTTGTTCACAGGAAGCTCCTCATTCGTGCTTTTGAGCACGACGAAACGGTCGAGTCGAGTCTGAGTCCTAACCATGTGGGAAGGCGGTCGAGTGATCACCGGTTTGAAATAGTCGGAAGGTGTCGCCGTTGGTATTCCTGCGTGATAATGTGGACGGAGAGAACAGCTGATTTGTGGCACGCTATCGGCGTGGAGGACGGCTGTCTGTGGGAGGAAGAAAGCCAGAAGGTTAGGTGAAAGAGCGGGGCAGTCTTCGAGGACCTTGAAGCGCTTTTGTACCCTCCGTACGTGTATGTCATTGCCATTCACTTGCTTGAAAGTCTTGGCTAGGGCGGCTGCTGCTTCGAATTAGCAGTCAGCAGACCTAGGGAGCCCACCAGAATCTTCGGTTCGTCGCATAGGTCTCATGTTCACCGCACTGGTTGTGCAAATCACGGGGTTCCAGTCACGCTGCTCCCACCTAGATGCCCGATTCAATCTTTACAGGTTGGTCTAACTCACTCTTGCTGCGACAGGCTCCATCTCGGCTTGAGTGTATGACAGACCTACACGAGAAGGCTGAGAAGACAAAGCAGTTGTATTCGTTTCCTCAAAGAAGACATTCACCCACCAATCGCAGCAGGCTGGCCTCACGGTGGTGATACCAGGATTACTCTTCTGAACACTAGGACCTCCGATGGCGGGCGAGCTCAGCAGACATTCCGATTCAGCCAGCGCACATTCTCAGCGACGTGGTGGTAAAAATCTTGCCAGTATTACGAGGTAATGAATGCCTGCCATTGTCTACGACATGGCTTTTTCGCGCTGTGTTCTGGCCTGGCTTTGTGTCGGTAGCCAAGCCTGTGTGCCTGTGAAAATCAGCAGTGAGCGTCACCAACGACCATAATATATGTCCGTGAGCGCGAATGTAACATGTCTTTTCGCGTGCCGGAAATCGGCTTTTCGGAAGTGTTGTTCGCAGTCAAAAGAGCTACAAAAGTGGTCTGAATCTCCAGAAGTCGTGATCAGACGAAGGAGCCTGATATTCCTGCATCATGAAGCCATTTAGCTGTCATATGCAGTCTCACAATTAAGGTGATCGTGTCGCCAATGGGTAGTGTTGCACCTGGTGCATTGCTGACGTGAAGAGAGAGGTGAAGGAGGGACATGAGGGAGTGAGGTCAAGGGCGCTAGTCCACGATAGGAAGGTTTGGCGGGCAATTCTGAGATTCTGGAAAGCTTTCGCGCGTGGAAACGCGAGCTTTCTGAGTAACAAGCAATACTCCTACACAGCACCGCAAAAGATGGTGAGACGTAATGTTTCGTTCTAGATGAGTCGCAGACACTGACATTCTGCAGTCTCAGCAAATCTTCGAAGATGGCGGCGAGCAAGAGAGAGGAGAGCAGGCCCGCCTTAGGCACGTGGAACAATTTGAGAAAGAGCAGAGATGACATATACTGACTGAAGGCAGCGCTTTCGTGGGCGCTATCGCGATCGGCGACCTCGTTAAATCGACTCTAGGACCTAAAGGTCAAGACAAGGTGCGCAGGAATGGGAGCAATAGCCATGCGAAGCACTTCTGACTTCGCTAGATCCTGCAAAGTGCCTCGACAGGCGAGATTATGGTCACCAACGATGGCGCCACCATTCTGAAGAGCGTTGCTCTCGATAATGCCGCCGCAAAGGTGCTAGTCAATATTTCGAAAGTCCAGGATGACGAAGTCGGAGACGGAACCACAAGTGTCGCAGTTCTCGCAGCAGAACTTCTTCGAGAAGCAGAGCAGCTCGTGAACCAGAAAATCCACCCTCAGACTATCATCGAAGGCTACCGAATAGCCAGCGCCGCCGCACTGCAAGCCCTCAGCGAAACAGCAGTCGACCACAGCAGCAAGCCTGAGGAATTCCGCAAAGACCTGATCGCAATCGCTCGCACGACCCTCTCCTCGAAAGTGCTCTCACAAGACAGAGACTACTTTGCCACGCTCGCCACCGACGCCGTATTGCGAATGAAGGGCTCAACAGACCTCACACACATTCAAATTATCAAGAAAGCAGGTGGAAAATTGTCAGACTCATATCTCGACCCGGGCTTCATCCTCGACAAGAAATTTGGAACAGGGCAACCCAAGCGAGTAGAGAACGCAAAGATCCTCGTCGCGAACACATCAATGGACACGGACAAGGTCAAGATCTTCGGTGCCAGAGTGAAAGTGGACGGGACAGGGAAGTTGGCAGAGCTTGAGAAGGCAGAGAAAGAGAAGATGAAGGCAAAGGTCGAAAAGATCAAGGCACATGGCATAAATTGCTTCGTCAACCGACAACTGATCTACAACTGGCCAGAGCAATTGTTCACAGATGCGGGGATTGCATCAATAGAGCACGCGGACTTCGATGGCGTGGAGAGGTTGGCGTTGGTCACGGGAGCCGAGATCACGAGTACATTCGATCACCCGGAGCATGTCAAATTAGGACACTGCGACTTAATTGAGGAGGTTGTGATTGGAGAGGACAATCTCATCAGATTTTCTGGCGTGGCTGCTGGACGAGCTTGCACGATCGTGTTGAGAGGATCGTCGGAACAGCTTCTGGACGAGGCAGAGCGGAGTTTGCACGACGCGCTTGCGGTACTCTCGCAGACCGTCAAGTTCCCAAAGACGACACTTGGAGGAGGTTGCGCAGAGATGGTCATGTCAAAGGCTGTGGATCAAGCTGCACAGAATGTTGCGGGAAAGAAGGCTTTGGCTGTGGATTCATTCTCGAAGGCTCTCCGACAACTTCCTACAATCCTGGCCGACAATGCTGGTCTGGATTCCGCCGATCTCGTGGCCCGATTGCGAAAGGCCGTCTACTCTGGCATGTCCTCGTCCGGTCTGGACTTGATGAAGCCAGGTGGTGGCATTGCAGATATGCGCGAACTGGGCGTGATTGAGGCTCACAAGCTGAAGCATGCCGTGGTCAGCTCAGCAAGTGAGGCCGCAGAGCTATTACTGCGAGTGGACAACATCATCCGTGCAGCCCCAAGAAAGAGGGAGAGGATGTAGAGCAAAAGACGAAAGTTACGAGGCAATGTGCATAGCGCAGGAGTCTGGCGCCACAGAAGAAGCAGGACTAGATGTCGGCACTGTATTGTGCTGTAGATACCACGCATGTGAATTCTATTGCAATGACGATCTTTGGACGTGACACTGTCTTGTGCCTGATCCTTCTCGGACTGCGGTCGAGGGAGAACAGTAGAATGTTGTGGAGGACAGCATGAATATATCAAATATGCTGCGGGCGTGACCTGTACTCAAGTGGAGCTTTGTAGGTATGCATTAATACAACGCACTCATCGCCCCAGTCTTCGGAGTCATCGACCACTACTGTACAAAAAGATGTACTGTCCTACTGTAGTCGTGCCAAGACATAGACAAGTGGTCAGCAGCTGCCGGCCGGCCGGCATGCAACCTTGTCGGCGATTGAGTTCTTGTGCCGGAACGTCACGCAGGGCGGTCACAAGAGAACCGAAGAAGAGAAAGTGAGGGTGTGCGTTGGACATCGCCTGACTACTTTTGGTACTTTTTGCTGCTCCGGAACACGAGCTCAAAACTCAGCAGACCCAGCCACTTGGATCTCTTTCTTATCTGGCTGCAGCTCTTGTGAAACAAAGCCGCGATAACAAAACAATAATACAACGCGTTCCACGCAGTCTTCGAGGACAACCATACACTTCCTCACTCACGCAGCACCGTGGATTTGGGGAGAAGAAGCTGTAGTGGAGCATGTCGGATTCCTCCAAGGCCAGGCCCATTCCCTCTGGCAGCTTTCGAGATGCAGATGCTCAGAGTTTCGCCAGCGCGTCTCCCTCTCGAGCCTCGAGGACGGCGAGGCTGGCAGCGACACCGGTAGTGGGATCCGTACGCAGTGGGCACTCCAGATCGACGAGCCGTAGCCATCAGCAAGATGTGCAGACCAGCGGTGAGCCTCTCGCCGGAGCATCTGGCACATCGGTGCCCGGTCCGGGACCAAGTTCGCTCTCTCAGGCACTGCGTGGGACAAGAGGGCAGTCACCGGGCGGAGCACAGCGGCATCAAGTGAGAGAATCTCGAGGGACAATGAGATATGAAAGCCCGAGAGGAGATGATGATAGTGGAACGTACACTCCTGCCAGCGCGGCAGCACAGCTCGGGAGAAGCCCCACACCAAAAGAAGATATCGAAGTGCTGAAAAGACACTTGGTCGGGCCGCAGTCCTCTTCGCCTGCGGGGTCTTACAGGCAAGGAAGTGGGTTCCCGGGAGAGTCAAGTACTGCTGCACAAGAGGAGGAATTCTCGAGTCTGCAATTACAAGGTGGAGATACAACCCGGCACATCTACCGATATGCAGAGAAAAGAGAGCGAGAGGAGCAAGAAGCTGGAAAGCTGCGGAGGAGCATGAGCTACAGCGCACCAAAGACGAACAACAAAAAGGATGACGATGACGATGATATATCCTTCATCCAAAAGCCAGGTGGTTTCAGAAGAGACCATATTCGGCGTCGGGATGAATCTGCTGCTCCAAGCGCCAGTGGTGGGCGGACGCAATACGGTACTCTTCCTCGTGGCCGGAATGCAGTGGATCCTGAACCTCCGAGACGGCAATTCGTGACATCCAACTTCATCGAATTCTTGACGCTGTACGGACACTTCGCCGGAGAGGAACTGGAAGAAGACGACGAGGTGCTGGACGCTGATGAATACTTCTCCTCCGACTATTTCGAAGATGCCACAACAGAAGGCGACCGCGACGAAGACCGCGACGACTGGGGCGAGGACTCTGCTCTTCTGCCTGAAACTCCAGGCAAACGGCGAAGAAAGCGGAAGGTTCGTGAGAAGGGCAAAGGAACGCCATTCGGTGCTGCCATGCTGCTGCTCAAGTCCTTCGTAGGCACTGGAGTATTGTTCCTGCCTCGAGCATACTTGAACGGAGGCATGACTTTCTCCAACGTGGTTCTTCTGGTCCTGGCAGCTCTATCCTACTATTGCTTCATCCTGCTCGTCTCTATCCGGCTCAAGATCCACGCATCGTTCGGAGACATGGGCGGCAAGATCTTTGGCGCCTACTTCCGGAACATGATCAACTTCTCCCTCGTCATCAGCCAGATTGGATTCTCATCAGCATACATTGTTTTTGTGGCGGAAAACCTCCGAGCATTTGTCCTTGCCATTACTCGTTGCAAGAAGGATATCGATGTCGGATTCATGATCCTCATGCAAATGATCATCTTCCTTCCAATGTCCCTCTACCGCAATATCAACCACATCCAGAAAATGGCCCTCCTCGCGGACGCGTTCATCCTTCTTGGCTTGTGTTACGTCTATTACTACGACGTCCGCACCATCGTCCACCAAGGCGGCGTCGGCCCCGGAATTAAACATTTCAACCCCGAATACTGGACCCTCCTGATCGGCACCGCAATCTTCACCTTCGAAGGTGTCGGCCTTGTCATCCCCATTCAAAGCGGCATGGCCGAACCCAAGAAATTCCCCAAAGTCATGGGAACCGTCATGCTCATCGTCACCGTCGTCTTCGTCTCCGCTGGCGCCCTTTCCTACACTGCCTATGGCGAAAACACCAAAACTGTCATCCTCCTCAATATGCCACAAGACAATAAAATGGTCAACGCTGTGCAGTTCCTGTACAGTCTTGCCATTCTACTCAGCACGCCTTTGCAGATTTATCCTGCGATCGAAATCACGAGTCAGCAACTCTTCTCTAGGACTGGAAAGTATAATCCGTGGATCAAATGGAAGAAGAACATTTTCCGGTTCTTCATGGTCGCGCTTTGTGCTCTTATTGCTTGGGCCGGAGCGGGCGATTTGGATAAATTCGTCTCGCTTGTTGGGTCGTTTGCTTGTATTCCGCTCGTGTATATTTATCCTGTAAGTCCTCTGTCCTTTTCCCGCCTAACTCTTCAGGCAGGAGACGAAGCGTATATGCTGACCTTTTGGTAGCCCCTCATGCACTACCGCGTCGTTGCGACCAAGAACTGGCAACGCGTTGTGGATATTTTGCTCGTGATCTTTGGTTTCGCTATGATGTCCTATACGACTGCTTTGACGATTGTGGCCTGGGCGAGTGGGCAGAAGGACTCTTCGCCGGGATATTGTGACCCGGTGAATAAGGGGGATGCATTTATGTTGCCGAGATTCTGATGATAGTGGATACTGTAAGTGAATTTGATCGTTGAGTTGGATCTGTCGGAATTGAAGGAGTGGTGGGGATGGGACTAGTTTGGATACAGAGGTGCTGAATGTTCAACACGAAAGGAATGAGGAGTTGGACGAAGATTGAACGACTGAAGAGTTGGATCGAAGTATTGTACGATGTTATCGCTGTTTGTATATTGTGTATAGCGGCGGCGCTAGAGGTCGAGGGCTGGATGCATTTGCAGGCATATATGAGATAAAACATAGAACTCAGGAGGTGGAACATTTTCTATGCCTCTCTGTCGTGGCGTAAGTTTTGCCCGTCACTGCCTGTATGGATTCTTCCGTGCTGGTATCTTAGAGATACTCCACTTCCACCACCGTGTCCACCTGCATCAAGATATGTCCATGCCTCTAATCCTGCACACTCTTGCCCGCAGCAGCGCCCTCCTTGGCACTCTGTTCCTGTGTTCTCGACTCCTGGACACCTCGCTTCACAAATTGCGCCTTGACGTTCTTGTATACTTCCTCTGGCTCTGGCGTGGCGTCCACTTTGACCACTTTCCCTTCTTTCTCAAAGTGCTCCACCACAGGCATACTTGTCTCCACGAATGTCCTGAATCGCTTCTTGATGCTCTCTTCATTATCATCTGCTCGCCCGCTAGTCTCTCCTCGGTGCAGCAGTCGCTTCCTCATAGTCTCCTCGGGACAGTCAAAGAAGAGCGTGAAAGCCATGGGGCACACGATCTCCTGGAACTTGACCGCTTGGTCCATCTTGCGAGGGAAACCATCGATCAAGAATTTACGATTCCCGGTCTCGGAAATGGTAGCTTTCATGGCATTTTCGAGAAGCTGGATTGTGACCTCTTGAGGGACGATTTGACCTTCTTTGATGTAGGTCTTGATCATTTCGCCAAATTCGGAGCCAGCACGGTCTTGTTCGGCGCGGAGGAGGTCACCTGCAGAGAGATGCTTGAAGTTGTAATCTCGGACAAGGTTGGAGCATTGAGTGCCTTTTCCTGCACCTGGACCGCCCAGGACGAAGACTACGAGGGCTTCATCGTCGGAGGTGGGGTTGATGGCGGATTTGAAGAGGGGAGAGGTGCGTTTGAAGGACTCGAGTTGGTCGATTGCAGGCATAGTTGCTGTTTACTGGTCCTTGGGAGAGCGGTTGGTGGGGTGTGGCCACTGGTCTTTGGAGGATGGCGCTCGGTCGGGGAGCTCGTAGGTGTGAGCGGGAGTTTGGCCGGCGCGCTGTTGAATGAGGATGTTGAAGGCGATTGTGCCTAGGGCGAAAATGGCTACTAGAGAATAGACGGGGAGTTGGTTGCCGCGATTCTTTTTTGGTGGGGAGGCGCGGGGCGCGATGGGAGCTGGGGGCGGAGTGGTACGCGAGTCGCGGAGGCGGTGGCGGAGACTGAAGGGGCGGAGGTGTCGTGGGAGGCGGGCAATCAGGAGGGTCGGACGTGCTACGGACATGGTGGGCGAGAGCGATGGGAAAGTGGTGCAGCTTGATCACCTTCGGGCGGTGAGCTCATGCTCGGCCGCTCTCTTTCGCCGATGTTGAACCTTGGCCGGACTCCTTTCATCAAACAACCACCTCACGCCAACCATCACCATCATCGTCTGTACAGCCCGGCTTCGGAAGCTATTGTATAGTGCCTATTGCAATGGTGATGGCGTGAAATACCCTGCCCTTTGACGGGACCACTGATGACTGGCCCTGCACTCGTTCTTCCAGTTGAGCCAGCACAGTCCGCATGCTCACAGTATTCCCAATATGCTTCATCTTGCTGTCCGCTGTCGACCCGCAGTCACTCGCGGGACTTATGGCAGCATTGTCCCTGCGTTGTCGCGTTCTGCACTTACAGTGGCCGACGTGGCAGCGCCAGATGATCCAAGGACTCTGCTCGACACTTCGGAACAGCCCAGGCAATCGAGAGACACGCGGTTACATGTGAGAAGGAAGAGAGTAGGATTTATCGCATCTAAAACCCGGCCTCGCGTGACAGAGTCCGACCTGCAAGCGAAGCTTGAACTCGAACAGCATCCAATACGGGCTGGCACGATCCTCCAACGACACCTAAATAATGGCAGCTTGACCTTAAACGTTCTCTGCCTTTGCTTAGAATACCCATGGTATCTCTCGATTAGGGACCGATGGAGACTTGAGAGAGGACCGACTCTTCAGAGGCTGCGTGATGGTCAACTTGGGCGAACTGCGCTGGTCGCTTTGTTGCAGAATCCGCAACTCTTGCTAGAGTTGGCCAGGACTCAGAGAAGCTGTTGTGATTTTCTTGCTTACTATGTTGTCAACGAAAACCTGGAGAAACAATTCTACAAGTGCTTGCAGCTGCCACTCAACGAAGGCCAGTACGGTCTCCACTGGCGCGGCCGACTTCTGGCCTCCCTGTGCAGCGCGACCTTCATGCATGGCACTTCTGCATCTGCTGATCGTCCTCTGAAAACCTTCTTTGAGGGATACGAAGCGGTCACTTCTGATCAGGACAGTTTTGTCCAACGCAACTCCCAAACCGAGAGTAGTCCGACGTTGGACGAACTACAAGTAGGCATCTCCCATTCATTATTCGCTATGCGAGCGATACTTGGAGATCGACACAGGTTGCTAGGCTACCCTGACACAGATCCAAAGCTCTACGACCAATTTCTTGCTCTTCTGAGATCCTCGAGGTCATCTGCTTTCGACCAAGCATGGGACATTGCGCGGCTTCACATGTACCATCCACGGAAACTTGACGAAAAACCGGCAGTGCGACTACTTCGAGGCGTCGCGAGACTTGGTTTTCCGGCCGACAGTCGTGTCATTCGGGAAAGAAAGCAAATGGTTCAACCGGTGTGTGACTTTATCAAACGTGCTCACATCGTGGCCGAAGGCAACGAGAATCACGAAGACTCCGAGTGGATTCTCAACACCTTTGGAACACAGTTATCTCGTGCATACAAGCTGTCCAGGAAATCCGCCAAAGCCGAGATACGGACTCGCGAACAGACGCCCATGCTGGAAAGGCTCTTTTATGCAGCTACCGCACCCAGAAAATACCGCCGAGCACCGCCTTCAGCTAAACAGTCGTTGGACTCGTACTTCTGGGAAGATGCAGAAAGCTAGAGTATGGCGTTGGTTGGCTCACGATGTTGAGACTGCTCTGGACGCAGGTGGGAAACATGAAGACGACTCTGCGAATGCCCAAACCTTATCGTCCCATTAGCCCTACGTTTTGGACAATGATTCGCGCAAAGGATGCTTCATTGAGCACGTCCGCGCAAGAGCCGTCGGCTGCGAATGAGGCGCCTTCAGGACCTCATCAAAGAGCTCCAATGGTCTGCGGTTGCTAACTCTCAGCAGCAGCACGCAATGACGATTCAGACATGAGGAGATTTCACACGACTGTGAAGAAGGAACGATGTGATGACCACATGAAGCGAAGTATTCGAGACTCGCTGAGGTTGCCAGCACTCCTCTCGAAACACAGCTGTACAATGTATGACCCCTCGTGGCAGGGAGTCTCACGATCACGTAGATCAGCCGGCTTGGGAAGCAGGCAGGCCGCTGATTTACTTACCCTCGGGCTTTATTCTGAATTGTATTATATTCATGTGAACAACGTATACCCCTTCGTCAGAACAACGCAGGTTTCCTGATCCTGAATAATTTTACACGCTTACATTATCCAGATCACGTCGCGATCCTCAACCACTCTATCTTTTGGGTAGAAACGTGACAATCAATTCATAACCAGCCTCTTTTACTCGTATCCAAAGCATCGATTTTTTCATCTCACTCTCCTCAAACCTTCCCAGCCTTCCTCCTCGCTTTCGCCCTTCTCATCTACTCTCCTCCCCCTTCCTCATCCATCAACCTTCGTATCCAACGTAACCACCGCATCACACTCCGTAATCGTCGTTGTCAAAGTCGGATCCACTGTTTGCGAAGCTGTGCATGGTGCAAAGCAATTCAGAGGAATTGTCTCGGTTGTTAAGGCGCAACCTTTGCAGTCGCTGATGATGTATTTGGTTTCTGAGGGGATATCGGGACAGCAAGAGTCTTCGGCGAAGGTTGTGGTGTGGGTGCAGCTGGGAGCGCTGCTGATAGTGCTACTGATCTTGCTGTTGCAGGATTGAATATAGGCGAGAGAGGAGGTTGTGAGGGTCGCGAAGAAGAGAATGGCTTCAGTGAACATGTTTGATGTCGATTCTGTATGTGAATGTCTGAGATTGTTGTTCTTTTGTGGATTGGGTTTGATGTTGACTACATGGTGCAACAATTATATCTCTCACTTGATTTCGTCGAGTATGCGATTAACATGTGCAATTGGCTGGATTACGCTTCAGCTTTCAGCTCTTCCTTCAACGTTACACTGCCCGTCACAAAGCTGTCGGATGTCCCGATCGTATTTCGCAGCGTGATCAAGTCTGTGGCACAATGTTTGTGGGTCGCCCAATACATTCCATCAATGCTTAGCCATAACAAAAGTCAGTCAGCCGCTCGTGGAGACCTCGCGCGAATATTTCATGAGTGTATCAAATAAACACTTTGCTTTGTAGGAAAGCTATCACATGAAGAGAATAACGATCAGTAAATACCAAAATTAGATGCTTTTCTGTTCCGCGCGCGCGGTCGTGAGATGTGTCACGCGACAACCACCATCACTCAAGCTCAAGCATCTTTTTTCGAAAACGAGAATCCATGAATCAAAATTCAAACCCTCCTTCTCAAGAATAAGGAGTAGGTGCTGCTCTCTTGCAAGCAGTCACAGTCGTTACACTCTCAGTAGGACACGCACAGATACCAAACGCACCCTCATCCTCCACTGTCTGCGTCGCCAACGCGCACCCTCCACAATTCGTCAACGAAGTCTTAGTCGTCGCATAGACGTGCCCGCAGTCGCCGCACGCAGGCTTCGTTTTGGTGATGTTCTTCGTGCACTTGGCATTGTATTTAGTCGTGAGAGAGCTGGTTGTTGTTGGCGCGCAGGCTGTGATTGTGCTGGTGAGAAAGGCAACGATTGGTGGTGGCGATACGCAGCGACAGAGTGGGAAACTGGATTCGTCGGTCTCCAGGGCACAGCCTCCGCAGTTTGTGTATGAAGTTGCAGTTGCGGCTGCGATTGGTCCGCAGCAGGTGTAGGATGTTGGGGTTTGAGTTATGGTGCAGCTGGGTTGTTGGCCATAGCCGCCTGCGAACAGATTTTGTGCTGCTGCTAAGGCAGCGAAGGTGGAGATGATTGTTATGGCGAGCATGGTGGCGTTGTCCTTATGTTTCGTGCTGAATGTCTTGGGTTGGGTTTGATGCAGAAACGAATTGGCGCCTTGCTTGGTTGGCTCTTAGGGGCCTTCTCTTATTCGGATGTGGTGTTGCCAGTTCTTATACTTCGCGACGTGCAGTTCTTAGCCATGCGCAGGAGTCGCGAGATCCGAAATCCTTGATCGTTCCTTCTTCCAGGGATGGTTCTTTCGTCGTCTCGTCTCGTTCATGCACCTGCATTCTTGAATCGACAAACAGGAAACCAGGTCAATACATACGGTCAGCTGCCAAGCATGCGTTGTGACTACGCTGTGCTCCTGGAATAGCGTACCGTTGACCCCACAGCACGTGTGTAGATCACTCTATTGGCTGTCGGAATGTGAAGATGCGGCAGGAACTTGTTCTGTCGTGAGACTGCTCAGAACACCCGAGTCATGCCACCGACCCCATCTCGCCTGCTCCGTCCGCGAGCAGCCTCAGGAATGTTTCACTCCCCGTGATCAACACCGCAGCTCGTGTTTGTTGGTTACACGTACATCTACGGCCGGCCGCGACTTGGCGAGAATGGAGGTGAGCGCAACAGCGCCATCGTGCTTCCGCTTCTGAGTCGTCATGTCTCAGGCCGTTGGACCGATTCATCCTACAATATCACAGGAGAAGTCAGTTGGATCGTCTTGGCAGCAACTCTGCCTTGCCTCTGCTTCGATGCGCCTTGGCCTCATCTCGGAAGGCGCGGGGATGGAGCGAGCAAAGCCGGCAGGAGGGCGATGGAGTTTCATCACAGCCTCTGCAGCTGAAAAGGCTTGCTGCGCCCACGATCCTGGCCTTTAGCATGGATATCAGCTGAGATCTGGAGGCGTGCAAAGCTGCGGTGCAGTTCTCGCATTCGATGCAGCAGGTCGACAGCGTGTTTCGAGGAGGATGTAGGTTAGAAAGGTGGAGGTGTGATTGCATTTGCATTTCCCATTGTTGTTCTGCCTGAGGCTAACTGTGTCACGTGTGCTCGTATAAACCTTTAGCCGCAAGTAATAACGAAAGTCTGTTGTCCCTTCCCAAGTTCAAGCTCCAATCCTCTCCGAACTCCTTTCGCCAAGTATCAACCATCAACTCATCACTGGACAATGCACTTTCCTGGCTGACAAGCACTCTCGTCATTGTCTCTGTCATCTCTGGGACCCGAGAAAGTCTTGCCACAGACCGTTGTCCAGTAATACTCAAGCGCCAGCCACCGGTAGCTGTCGGCATTGATCAGCTTGTCGGCATCACTCAAGCCCTTGACATCGAGAGGTCCATAGGCCTTGTCTCCAATGTGGGTACCGGTCGCGGCCTTGCCGATGCGGTCGAAGTGGGTGTATTCGTCTGCCCTCCCGTCAGCTCAAGCTCTCTCAGGTGCACGGCGATTTCGAATAAGGATGGTACGTACGAAGAATGATCGCACCAAGAACGTCCATCAGCGTGCTGACTGTGGACCCCAAGCTATCACAGCTGACGTCTGAACGTTTTGGGACGTCGTAGCCCTGATCACACATATGCGCGATGGCGATTTGCTGGTTGTTGCGTACGAGATTGCCAATATAGGCCAGGGTGATGCTATCGCCCACTTTCTCGGTTCCTGGAGTCGTGCAGATACCCTTGATATCCTTGTTGGTCCAGAAGATGTAGCCGAGATCGATGGAGCCTTCTTGGTCATCGGTGCCCCAGATGTCTGCGGGAGTCACAGGTCAGCAAAGCAGCCACTTGAGCAAATGTCTGGAGCACATATCTGAAGCACATACTTTTGTACACCTTCTGTACGGCGTCCTTGTCCGCATCACCAAAGTAATGGCCATAAATTCCGTTGTCGACGGCGTTGGACCAGGACTGCTCCAAGTAAGAGGCTAGCTGGACAGCATCCGTCTGGCCGTCCTTGAGCTGCTGCACATGGCCTGAATCGGTCGGGTTGTTCATATCGAAATCAGGCAAGTATTGGCTTGCGAGTCTCTTGACAATGGTTCCGCGCTTCGACTTGGTATGGATGTCTCCGAGGATGTCATCAATCTCTTGCAACATGTCCTCCGGAGCGGCATCCTGGATGTTGTCGATGTCTCGTTCGGCGATGTGGACACTGCCATCGGATTGGTAGCTGCGGACTGCCATCGACCTGGATGAGGCAGGTGCTGCGTTGGTCCCTACGAGGCAGAGGGAGGCTGCCAATGCACAGCGTGCTGCAAGTGTGCTGAAGTGCATGGTCAGTGAAAAGCTGACTTGGCAGGTATTGTGCTGATTGATAGTGAAGGTTGAGGTACGATTGGGAGTTCTGGTGCTTGATACAGTTTCGATTGGAGAAGGCATTCGACTTCTTTTATGTCTCTGACTGAAGGAGTCGGCATAGATTCTCTCGGAGGACCTGTTCCAACACATCCATTCGTCATAAAAGATGCCATTGCAAGCCTCAGCGACCAAAACGGGCCCGGTTACACCAATGCATCATAGGCACAGCCATAAAGAAGGCTATACAGTCAAAGGATTGCAAGCACAGAATATCGGCTCGAACCAACAACTCCCAATTCTCGTATTGAATATCTATTTGCGCTATCATGACACGGAGCAACAAATGTGGAGCGAGCGCTGCGGAAGGACGAAGTGGATTACGTCTGTTCTAAATGTGTCGCATGAAGCTCGACGCTCTCTCATTCTTCTTCAACGAATACCGTCACGAGCACAGGAAATGGCCAATTGAGGAGTTTTCTACGGATCGCAGCGTGTTCTCGGAGCTTGTGTTGATTCATATGGTGCTGCACCTGCTATCACTAACAATTAAAGGTTCGTCACGAGGCATTTCCTGCATCTTCACCTACGGACAGTCCATAGGGATCGATAAAGTCTTGCTCGCTGGCAGCAAAGCGTGCCCAAGCTCTCCACCTAAAACCAACTAAGCCAACGCTTATAGCCAGCTGCAGCAGCGTAGATCTCGGCAAAGGACCAACAAGCTCTCATACCCGCGCCCGTCCCGTGCATCTACACAATGCAGATGTCCGATATGCTACCTCAGCTGTGAGGTACAGCGGGCGGGTTGTCCAGGATTCTCGTTGAAGGATCAGAAGGATCGACAGAACAACATCGGTGGTATTCTTCCGAGCGCTTCGACCCTTTGTGCAACATTCTTATTTGCCGTCGCTTTGTGTTGTGGAGTCCAACTGATTTGAACTTGGTTTCATGCATTGACAGGATTTACTGCGCCTCGTCCTGTGGCATCTGCAAGCTATTCCAAGTATTTCTTGGCAGTGTCACATGTTGGCTTGTTCCAACATCAGAGTGAAGTCATCCTCGTGCTACATCAGCTGTGTTGGTCACATGAAGCTGCATGAAGGAAGTAGTTGGTCTGTGGAGGCAGTAGTAAAGTTCTGTTGCCTGACTTGGACGATAAGTGGGGCTTTTTGAGTCGAAGGCAACTGCATTCACGAAGTAAACCACTTCAACGGTGCCCAGCAAACGAACACATTCGACGAAAGCGACACACACATGAGCATCAAGAGGTCACCACAGCCTCCGCAAATTGTCTATGCTGCAGTCCCTCAAGAAATTCTTGTCCCCGACAAAACGCAATATGTCCAACTTGCACCCCAAGATCTCGATCTCGATATCGACGAGCAGTCCAACGCTCTCAAAATCTGGCAATCAACCCTTCACCATCACTCTCTCAGCGAACTTTACGAACAATCCACAGACCATCACAATCGACACCTTTCATACTGTTCTCTACCACCGCTCGCTCGCACTCGATTATCAAGGTCTTACCTTCAAAGACACGTCGAGCGGGGAATTGGCAAAACGCAGAGTCATCGACGTGCAGTACAGGGTACCGGAGAGTTTGACAGAGACCTTGGACAGCGTAGCAGAGATTCCTCCGCTCAATGATGGATCTGAGGCGTATATCGTGCGACATACATTCCAGACACCAGCTTCTTCTGAAATTCCTGGACATGGTGAGGGAGAACAGCCGTGTTCGACGGATCCGGAGATGGACGCCATCGCGAAGGATCTCATGAGGGAGATGACGGATCAGACCGCCGGCTTGGAAGTGGGAAGGACGTATGAGATTGGTCTCGGGAATGATATGAATCGAGTATCGTGGTGGAGAGTTGGAATGAAAGCTGAAGTCTTCGCGCAGGGCTCGGTGAGCAGGAGACCCGAAGGTCCAACGATCGAGATGAACTTAGTGAAGACTGCGACTTTTACAGTCGTAGAGTAAAACCTGCACTCAATCAATCATTCTTACAACCCGACCCCATCATCCATCCCTTTGATATTTCTAAAACTAACACACCTCCATCCTTCCCACCCCAACTCCCCAATTCCTCCGCCCTCTGCATCATCATTCCCATCTTTCCTAAACTCCGCAATCACCACACTCCTCCTCACCAACCCCACTTCCCCATCCCTCAAAGCCTGCTGTGCCCAAACAGTCGCAGACCATTCTTGCATTCCCCCTTGTCTCTTCCTCCCATCTCCAATCCAGACATCAATCTCCAGATTCGTAACTTCCACAAATAAATTTGGATTTCCACCAAATAGGACTTTCCCCGTTTCGAGGTATTCGTCAATACTCACGTGTGAACGACTACCGTATGCAACTTCGATTTGTAGATTGGGAGAGCACGTCATCGCAGAATACCAAGGTTCTTCATTGCGGTTGTATTGTCGAGCATTGTGGGCTTCTGTTATTGCTGCGTAGAGGGTTTGGATTTGGAGTTTGGCTGTTTCTGTAGGTGAGAGGGCTTCAATAATGCCGGGAGGGTTGGCGGGTGGTTTCATTTTGATTTGTTAACATGATTTTGAGGCTGGATGGGACATTGCTCGATTTGGTGCGGACATGTTTGGAACGTGCACAATTACTTGCTGTATGCATGATGTTGTTGCTCATCATTTTCTCAGCCGCAATGGATCAGGATGCAGATCTTTCCCGAGTGGACAAGACGATGTTGTTGGCCTATCGCTGCTTTGTCATCGCCGAGGTTTTCAATTCTTCGACAGCAAGGTGGAAGGACAGAGTACAACAACCATTGCTGTTCAGTTGGGCAAGGCTATCATGTAAAGCAGTCGAAGTTCAATTGTCCAAGCTCGTTCATATGCAATATCATCAATTCAGAGAAATCATCGGGCCCGAAAATCGTCATCCTTCGTTCTTCGATCTTCTTCCATCTCTAGGACAGGGTCTGAGATGCCTGCAGATCCGACAGACTAAATCGAATAATCATAGCGCGAGTCTGAACAGCGCGCTTCTTCATCTCTATCTATATCTACCACTCCCGAAAAACTCCATCATGCTACACTATGCTTAATGAATCCCAATCCCATCCCACAACGTCGCCGAAACAAGCATACTCGGCACATCCGCAATCCCATTCGGTACATCATCCGCGAAGAATCTCATCCCAAAGGTCTCCTCCGCAGCATATATCCTCGTCGTGATAGCGGTTCGACCATTTACAAAAACTTCTAACACGGAATTATCTCTCCAGACTCGGATGTGTAAGTTCTCTTGTTCGAGTTTGCCAGTGATAGGATCTCGTGTCGTGAATAAAGTATGTGGTGCATGTTCGGGAGCGCTGTTGATAAGTTCGGAGGAGTTGAGGACTGAGAAAGCAGGTCGGTTGATTGTGAAGGTTTCGGAGAATTGGTCGAAGAAGAGGGTCGTGGAGCGGGAATAGTCGCCTTTGTGGTCGATGCTGAGGCCGATGGTTTGTGTGCCTTTTGAGACTTTGAGAATGCAGTCGAGTTCCCAGCGGTTGGTTTTGATTTCGTTTGAGTTGAATGTGACGTTGTGGATTCCGTTGCTGAGTTCTTTGTTTTGTAGTTGTGCTAGTCGCACGCATGGGGCTGATCGGAGGTGCTTGATGAGTGCGGGATAAGGCTGGCTGGCGAGCGTGCGAATGGTGTACGAGCCGAAGCGATCTGGTTCGCGCTCGATAGAAGTAATGCTTGACAGGTCTGACGTGGAAGCGCCAACAACGTGACGAAGCGTTTGCATGCTCAGTTCGCGAGGCATTGACAGCAAGCCACTCCAGCCCTGAGCATGGCGCAGATCATCACAGAGATCTTCTTCTGTGACCCAGCCCCAGACGATTTGCCGATGCGACTTTGGATCGTAGAACGAATTTGCAGCATACAGGCATCCATGGTCGAGATGGCCGCCGTAGTTGTATGTCATCTCCACAGGCCCAGAAAATGAAGTGTTTTGAGGTTGACGTAGACTTCCTGCCATCCACAGCTGTCCACGCGCAGGTCTCGACGGACCAAATGATCCTGCTATTGATGGTGATCGACTAGGCACGCAACCTTCTGTGCCCATGACAAGCAGATCTCGTTCGCACTTCGGATCGTGCTCGTCTCGCAATGTGGTGAAGTTTGTCACTTCCCAATTCTTTCCCATGTCGCCCGACCACCGTGAGGGACGCATATTCAGACCAAAGTTTGTTAGAGGGCCAATGTAACGCCATTTGCTCAAATCATTTGCATCAACAGCGTAGAGGAAGGTTGTTGGTGTGACGTCTCTGATGCCTCCAGAGATGATGCCGAACAGAGTATCTGCTTCATCCATGTCCAGGAATCGAGCCATTCGAGGCCACGCTGCGACGAACGGATCTCGCCACCCAGTCACCTCGAGACTCGTTGGTTCAGAAGGCAGTATTGGATTCGCATCTATCTTCGACCATGTTTGCCCACCATCGTATGACTTTGCTAGTGCTAACGACTCTGAGCCTCGGACATGCGGGAGAGTATGATGGATTGGCAAGCAGTTCACAGATGTGTAGGCATAGGTCAAAGAGTCATCTCGTGCGTTGATGAGGCATCCCGTAAAGACGCCTTTATTGTCATAAGGTGAGTCTGGAGACAGTGAAGGCGTCTCTCTGTGGTCCCAGTGTATCAAGTCTCGACTCATTGCTGAGCCCCAGGCAATATCTCCCCAGTCTACTCCATTCGGGTTTTGTTGATATGAGATGTGATAGAGGCCTGTTTTCGGGTCATATCCAGGTCCACAAGGATCATTCATCCAACCAGATGCCGATAGGAAATGGTAAGATGGGCGCCATCTGTTGATGCGTTCTTGTCTGCTCAAGTTTTCTTGCTTCCTTGAAAGTGACTTGTGGCATACTGGTGGCGTAGAGGGCGTTGTGCTTGGTTCTGCGGACGATGTTGGTGTAAGATCAGCCGATGAGCTGCTGGATGAGCTGATGTCTGCCATGTCGAAATGTGAATATTGGTCAACGTGGACTTGTTTCGATTGACACGAGAGCGGAGACAGGACGCCTCAAAAACATTCTTCCTCTCATTGCAAGCGAGACCGCGGTCCCACCGTATGTCCGAAGCAACACCTCTAAAGCGTCGACGGGCCAGCGCCGAGAAAGTCCCCGCATGGGGATTGTCACGTTTCCAGAGGATGGGGAAGTGGAGCTCCCGATGGTTGTCGGAGATACTTGTGCTTCAATGTACGCAACGTGACTCGGTGATACTATCCGTTTTTAGAAATTCAGCGAATCGTCTCCCTCCCCAGAACGCCACCCACGGGGTAGACTAGCTTGAACTGTGTGCAGCGTGGGAACCTCGTGGTCGGAGGTTCTCAATGGTGATGTTCGAGAGCTTGTTACTTAAGATGTCGTTCGCCATGCCTCTTGGTACTCTCCATCCACCATCAATAACATCACTTCTCTGGTACAACGTCTTTGCGACATTACTTCGCAAGCCAGCCAAGCACTAAGGCGTCAAGCCACACACCCTCGGCTACCATGAAAGACGTCCAGGTCGAAAAGACCGATGCGGTCCACGTCGAGACAGAATCCATTTCAGCCACCTCCTCCACCGTGGACCCGACAACGAGGAAGAACCTGACAGCCAAGGAGCAGTATGCTCAGCTATGGACAGCCATCAAGGCGGACTCCCGATACTGCTGGTGGGCACTCTATTGTATGATCCTCGTCTTCGGATGGGGTTACGATGCCGGCCTTTCTGGTGTCGCCATCGCCTTTCCTGAGTTTCGCAAAGTCTATGGCGAGTGGTACCATCCAGCCGACCAAGAAGGACAATGGGTCATCCCCGCACTCTGGCAGTCTCTCTGGAACGCAGCTTCCACTATCGGTCAGGTCTTCGGTGGTTTCCTTGTCGGCTGCATTGCAGACAAAGTTGGACGCAAGGCCCTCTTGATCGGCGCCGTTGCGCTCTCCTTGGCATCTTCCTTCGCGCTTGTCTTTGCGCCAAATCTTCCGGTACTGTTCGTGTCGAAGCTCCTCCTCGGTCTCTCGGTTGGCCTTTCAACTGCGACACCTCCTCTTTACGTGACTGAGAATGCTCCGGCTCACCTTCGAAGCACTTTCTCCTCATTAACCAACGTGGTCATTGTCCTTGGATTCTTCTTGTCGTCCCTCACAGGCTATGGATCATCGAAGATTCAGGGAGAGTGGAGCTTCCGTCTCGCTTTCTGCATGACATTCCTCGTGCCAGCTCTCTACGCCATTGGACTGCCATTCCTGCCAGAGTCTCCAGTCTACCTCATCAAGAAGGGCCGTGAAGATAAGGCTCGCAGAGCTGTGATCAAGCTTTACGGCGAGAATGCCAAGGTCGACGAAATCATCGACACAATCAAGAAGGAATTGCACGAAGACGATGCGGAAGCCAACGGTGTCAGCCAGACGAGCTGGAAGGCCATCTTCAGCAAAGAGAACCGGACTCGTACCTTTGTTGCTGTTCTTGGTCTGCAGTCGCAGAACTTCTCCGGTGGCTACTTCGCCAACACCTACCAGACGTACTACTTCGAGCTCATTGGTCAAGCCGATCCATTCATGTTGACGGCCATCTCATCTACGCTGCAGTTCCTCTCCAACTTCGTCGCTGTCGGACTTGCGGATGTCATCCCACGTCGAAAAGGTCTCATTGGCGGCGGTACCATCTTGATGATCTGGTCCATCATCATCGCAGGATGTTCGATGGCCCCTGAGAACAACAGCGCGGCTGTTACAGTCATCCTGTACGTAGAGTCTCGAAGATCGATACCCAGTCGAGCGCGTGCTAACCTGCGAATTTAGTTGCTTCATGATCACATGGTCTATGCTGTCCACCGCCACCGTAGGCTGCTACGGGTGGGCTGTCGCACAAGAAACAGCTAGTCAATCTTGCAGACCAAAGACAATTTCTTTTGTCTTGGTCTGCCAGCAGCTGACAGCGCTCCTGCTCAGCTCGATCTTCCCCTACTTCATCAACCCAGATCAACTCAACTGGGGAGGCAAGATTATGTTCTTGTTCGTGGGCGCCGAGCTTTTCATCATGGCTGGTCTGTACTTCTTCCAGCCTGAGACCAAGAACAGGAGCAACGTGGAGATTGAAGCGCTGTACGGCGCAAAGGTCCCACCACGCAGATTCAAGGATTTCGATGTCGTTGACGGACAAGTCGTGGAGAGGAAGCAGAAGAGTGGGTTCCTGAGCCGCTTCTCTAACAAGGCATAAGTGGTACCCGGATCGCGAATATCGACAGAGACTATACTAGACAGAGATGATGCTTGCCTTGTGGCAGATGATGCTTGATCTTTTAGCGATGGCGCTGGGGAGTTTGGCCGATACTGGCCGCTCATATGGTAGAGAATCAAATCTTGTACAGCTTGAAACGCGTACCCTGTAAATGTTCAGTTTGTTCTTGTCGCGGAACTTATCTTTCCAAGCGCGCGCGAGAATTTCTCGCGGATCACAGGAAATCCGTTACTCGATATATCTCGGCATTTCGTGTTCATGTGAAGAACGACAAGCGACGTTCGCAACGGGCAGGGGTCGCTCGGACCGAAAAGGCCGAAAAGGCTCCGACGCGACTGCTTCCTCATTCTTATCACTGCTGGACACGAGAAGCGCGTCCAACATCGCCGTGTCACCTCAGTTGCGGACAGCAACATGGAAACTCGCAAGCAGCCGGAATCGTTGCTTTCTCGCCGCGCCCCCGATTACGCGACTACCACGCTTCGCAAGACGGGTTGCCTTGGGTACGCCGCGTAAATGCAGAGACACGAGGAGCGAGGAAGTACTCGCGCCCACGGGCAAAGCACGCCGTGTTGATCATGCTTTTCCATTCTGCTGCCCAGCGGAAGGCCAGCACGATCGCCGCAAACCTCCAGCGCACCGTCCGACGCGATCGATCGCCGCATGGACTTGGGGATTTCTCTCCCGCGAAAAGCACAGTCTGTGACTGCTTGCGAACGGAGGCAGGGAGGCAAAGATAGCATCACCAGGAACAAACAGTGGTCGGCATACTATCGAAAGCCTGCGATCGGGCCCGTCAGTGGTGCCGCGATGCTTCAGCAAAGGAGTGCAGCAAAGATAGAGCAGCATCTACGATGAAACGCGGGATACATCGTCGATATCGACAGAATCCGCGCATTCTGTCCTTTGCGGAAGTCGTTGTGCCTGACGTATGTGAAGAGAGCGGCAGGTGTCCGGGTGAAGATGCAACTAGAGCTGTCGGCACAATCGCTGGCATGTCCATATTCGGTCCTGCGCGGCATGAGCACATGGGATATGCGTGCTTTTGAGCGTCATCAGAGCGAATGTGTAGTACAACGGCCTCCGCGCTCTTCGATGGCGAGTATATGGTCTCGATCTCGAGGGCTGGAGTCTCCTTGTCCGGAAGCGTGGAAGCTCAGTTCCGGAGAGGTACGCTTGGTACGCCGGGCTGCGGTCAGCCACTCTCCCGCCGGGCAGCACAATGGAACCTCATCAACACTGCACGCTTTGCGTCCTCGCTTCTCGTATCTCTGCATTCATGTGGCGTATTCAAGGCACCCTATGTCGACAAGCGAGGCAGCTGGTGAATCCATTTCGCGGGAGAGCCCGCAGACTGAGGGTGTTTCCCCGTTCGAGTTTTGCTGTCCGCACCCAACCATGGCTCGGTACCCTCGGTCAGCGCAGCCAAGCTTTGGTATCGAAGTCTGCGGAATGATGAAGACGAACCGCAAGATTATGGCCTGTCAGCAGAGATCTAGGAGCATTCCGACGCAGGGTCGCAGCTTCGGCCATGGTCTGCTCTCGGGCGATGAGAGCATCACGTCGCGCGTGCATAAAGATCGCAAGCATCGGCGGTTGTGCACAGCAGGAGTGACGACAACACTGTGTACATGCAAGGTACATTCCTGAGATCTCGATATTCTCCAGATCGATGCTATTTCGAGCACAATGCGCAGAGCTCGCTTCTGCTGCCGCAATGTTCCACTAATCTTGTCAGATACATCCTTCGAGGCTCGAGCTAGGAGGCAGGAACCTTAGCGCAACACAATTTGCAATTCTGCTGAGGCACAACTCATCCAAGATTGCGCGACAAGCCAGACACTAGACCCTGAAGGGCCCTTACGCTCTAGACTACTCCTGTTACTAGAGACAATGGTGACAGTTTCACTGCGCACGCAGTGAGGCGTGCTCTCGGCTCTCCGCCAAGTTTGGTCTCATCCGGATTAGGCACCGCGGCGTCCATCCTTCAGCGCTCGGATCTGTCACATATACTGGATGTGATAGGGTCCGCCGAGTAGCTCGCTACCTGTTTCTTGCCCCTCGGCCGGCAACAACGTGCAGTATGCGCGCGCATGTCACCGAACGACCTCGTTGCCCGGCAATCCACCCAAGACGACTGACTGGAGTGGACCGGACATCCGTACGAAACATCGATGATGACTGCCTGTAGACTGCGACATGTATCGAGATTCGTGTGACGTGCCTGCAGCATTGTGTTCGCTGTGTCCACTGTCGACGTCGAGGTGCAGGAGTGCCGGTCAACACAAGATAGCGCCACATGTAGACGTTATAACCACGCGCTGCCTCCGGCGTGGAGAGCTGGAACATATCCTATACCTCGATCACCAACAGCAAAACATTTCGGGTTACCCGTGAATCAAATCGCGTGTCTGTTCTCAATTGCTCAACTGAGTCGCGCTTTGCTCCAGCCCACGAGGGTACTGTTTGCCCGCAGCGTCTAACCTGAGAACTTCTCATCCTCGATCCACGGTGCGCTTCAGACAGTCTCAACGTTGCTTCCTGCCTGGAAACCGCCGACGACGCGACATCGAGGAGCCAGCCACATCAGCTGTCGCTACCCTCGGCAAGCAATCACGTTACTCGGAAGACTCGGCCAGTTGCCCGAGCAAAGGGCTGGGTGGCGTGTGCGTTTCATAGCCAAGGATCCTGCAAGGCGCCAATCAGTATTCAACGGCTACTAATCTTGATCTGAGGGCCGGCTACAGTCGTCTGTCTGGCGTGGTCCACTGATCCGTTCAATTCTTTGATCAGCGCGGTCGTGGGTCAACGGCACAACGTTACCACGGCACGCAACACTTCTAGCTAGGCTGCGTGGTGAAGTTTGTGTCATTGTAGTACAGTGCCCTCTGAAGCAGGCGCGAGGAGTAGCAGGATATAGGTAGGAAGGTTTCTCTTGTTCTACTAATGGCCTCTAGCATCTTACTAGCATTTGAGTCTCAACTAACCTCACCTCACACGATACACACAAAGGACAACATACATCTGTTCCGATTCGGGTAGAGCCAGGAATAACGTCATATACCACATGTCAACCAAGACATTCATCTTCCTTCGCCAAATCTAGAGGTAGACTTTCAACCTTCACAATGTCTAGATCGCCAAAACGGAATGCCATCATCATGGATGAGCATAACTGGCCTCTGGCCGACATCCCCACCCCCCAAATAATGCTTTCCGCTTCGCCCTCTATCAAAGCGGTGGACAGGACGGAAACTTTCACAGCTCACATGGACGACATGGATCGAGAGAACCTTTCCCTATCTGGTTTCCACTTCTCAACCGGCGATGCGCAAGTCAGTGCTGCTGAGTTCCATCGCATTGCGGCCCGACTACTAGCTGGGGAAGAACAGAACATTGACGAAAACGATGAGGAAGAGACACCTCGTGTACCGTCTATCCCGCGACATCTTCACTGCGATTTGGGCAAAGATCTTTCCGGACGACACTGCTGCTCATGTGGGAAGTCGTACTCCACTGCATTTCGCCTGACCGAACACATTCGACGATGTGCTGGTATCAACAACTACCCTTGCCACATCTGCGATAAGATATTCTCAACACAGGAAGCATTGAGTCGACACATCACCATCAAGCACCACGACGACAAGGAACCTTGCCCGGAGTGTGGCATCAGGTTCCCATCAAACTATTTACCCAAGCACCTAGCGACCGGGCTCGGTGGCTGCGACAGCACCGTGCAGGCGACTTTCACACCGCAGCTCGAGGAGCAGACATGCCATCGCCAGCCCACATCTCAGCGCTACTGGGTCATTGACGGTGACCACAGCTGGACCACGCATAGCGCCCATGACTCAGGGTACGTTGCTGCCGATGCAGATGATGCGACAGGTCAGACCATGTCCTTCGTCACTCGCCTGTTACAACGACCCATGGCATCGCCCAACACAGTCCACTGCGACCTCTGCGGAGATGAGTTCCCATCCGATGGCGACGCACTTGTTGAACACCTTGGCCAACACTCCGTAGACTTCAGCGAGAAGAGACATAAGTGCGACGACTGCCGCATCTACTTCGCCAACGAGCGAGACCTGAACCGACATCTGCAATCCGCAAACCTCACAAAACACTGTGGCTTCACATTCCGACACAATGGACCTTGCAATGGCCACCACCCTCCCACGTATTCCAAATTGTCCATCACCAACGACCACGCTCTAATGCAAAGACATCTCTGGGCATGGGAGCTGAGCCAGTTCCGAACACATCGTGTCGCCGTTGCGACTATCCTGGCCGAGACCCTCAACGGCTCTGCCGATCCCCACATGAGCCTGGCGGATTGCAAGCGTACCTACGAATCCATGCTTCCACACTTCGCCGCTGCCAACTCCGACGGCACACAATCTCGCTGGTCCTCAAGTCAACGTGACAGCGCTATTGACATGGACTCCCTCGATGCACACTTCAGCAGAGTCATCGACGACATTGATGCACAACGAGCACTCACTGCCGCTCAACTCGAGTTCAATGCTCTACACCAGAACTCCGACCGCCCAGACTCCGGCATCATCATGCAAGCTTCAAGAGTATCTTTCCATCGATACAACCGTCGGGACTCACTGGCTCCGGCTTCTGCCGAGAAGCCTACGAACACAACTGAGCGACCTTCAAGTATTCGAAAGTCACTACTAGAAAAGACTCTTCGCAAAGTCGCCTCAGAAGAAAACAACGCTCGCGCCGCCGCCGCTACAGCAGCCGTCAAGCGAGCCGCTCTCGGACACAAACGTTACGCCCTCAGCGCTTCTGGTTTCGCCCTCTTGAGGCAAAGAGCAGAACTCGAAGAGCGACCGAATACCGCACCAGGTATGGGGATGAAAGTCGCTGCTGCCACGGCGTGCTAAAAGGAGATGACACGAAAGGAGTGGAAGATGACGACGACATTCCCTGATAACGGAATATTCCCTTGCTCTATTTTTGCTTCTCTTTGCTATTGAGTTATGGACGTCCCACATGGAGGACTTTTAAGCACGAGCGAGATGATACCACCTTTCGCGAGAATGTCAAGATATGACATAGACTGTCACAGCTGTTTTTCCTTGCGAATAGTAATGAGAATGTATATAGTGTAGGAGTATTATGGATGGGCTATGACCGCCAGGAGAATTTTACTTGTATAGATAGAATGAATGAGCAGATGGCTTTTCCTCAGCACTCAACCTGGCCAATTCCTTCCATTCAACAGCATCTCCAGTTTCCGTTGAATGCTTGGCAACGACTTGTTCTGGACTCATCCCGTTTTATAGATAGATAGATAACTCTTATACGCCGGTCTACCTCTTTTAACTAGAGTAAGCAGCACGCCCTATA